TCTACAATATATGAAAGAGCTGGGCGGATAGCAGGAATAGACGGGTCTATCACCCAGATACCAATTCTCACTATGCCGAACGATGATATCACGCACCCAATACCTGACTTGACAGGATACATCACAGAGGGGCAGATATATATCGATCGAAACTTGCACAATAGGCAAATATATCCCCCTATTAATGTGCTGCCATCACTGTCTCGTCTTATGAAGTCTGCTATTGGCGAGAACATGACGCGAGATGACCACTCGGATGTTTCCAGCCAGCTGTACTCCAAATACGCAGTAGGAAAGGAAGCAATGGCAATGAAGTCAGTTGTTGGGGAAGAGTCTCTCTCTGTAGAAGACAAGCTGGTGATTGAGTTTGTGGATAACTTTGAGAAAGAGTTTATTAGCCAAAGAAAGGATGAGAACAGAACCATCAATGAGTCCCTAGACTTGGCATGGCGCCTTCTCAGAATATTCCCAAAGGAGATGCTAAACAGAATACCAGACAGTATACTTAACAAATACTACAGCATACAGACGACAGAGGACAAAAAGCAGCAGTCTGTGCAGGAAGAGGAAGAAGAGACTAGTTATTGAATGCGTGCAACCCGAACACTGAAAATAAATCACTCTAGTATTTAGTAGTCTGTTCCCTCTGCATTTTCTAGTTGTATCCCTACAGAGTGCATTGATTTATATATTCTGCAAGGCCCATAATCTGAAAGAAATAATATTCACAGATACGCTTATCCGTGCCATTCCAGTCCATACACTGATTAAATAGATTTTTATCATGCGTTAATTTGGGTATCTGCTGTGTTTTTGTTGTGCCTTTGAGAAATGAAAGTGTATGTTTTCATTCTATAATCTACATCTGGCAGAGTTTTATTTTGTGCAGGACTAAGATTTAAAGAGGCAGCATTCTATATAACCTGAATTATTCTTCTCTTATAAAGGTGTATGCGCAATAGTGCTGTGCATTCTGTTAGAGTAGTTATCCATGCGATTGGGCATAGTTTAATTTGGGTTTCAGTTTTCTGTGCCTGCAATGAGGTGCTTCTAGAGTGCACAGTGTGAATGACTAGTGCATAAGCTAAAAATATGCAGTGAAATATTTTTGGGTACAGAGAATCCCTTCAAACAGTTAGAGGTGTTTTAATTATACGTTTATTAAAAAGTATGCAGTGCAGGCAAGAAGGCTGCCGTTAGAAATATTTCCTAGTTTTTGTATTAGTATTTAGTCTGGGAATTCATATTTAGCTCAACTATGCCAGCTCCCTTTGGCATAAGGTATATAAGGAAGTCGAACACATCAGAGGACTTAGCAGCAGAGCAGATGTCGCCTCGCTGAAGTATTCGTCTTTTTCCTTTTTCTGTGCACTGCCATGCACGAAGTGTTAGCTCCTCAATGAATATCTCGGTTATCCTTGAAAATAGAGGAGGCACTTCGTTTGCCACTTTGCTAACTTCTTGCTCAACTTTCATGAGTCTTTTTATACGTGCCAATGGAAGGGCATTATCTTTGTGTATCATTGATGTTGTTACATAGTCCAAAATGCTCTTCCAATACTCATCTACTATAGGGTTCTTTCTCTGCATGTTTGTTGGATGGGCGTGTGTTTTATTTCTTACCTATTTATTTATTATAGCCTCACTATGAAACACTTTCTAACACACTGTAGCACTACGTCATAGTTACAGAAACAAAACAATCTGGGCATCTCACCCAAAGTATATTCTCTATTAAATGCACTAGATAATGTTCCTAGTAGGAATATCACATCTGTAAAAGGACTATAAGGAATATGCACTAGGCCAATAGAAGATAATTGATGCAGCATTAAAACATAATCATATAAGATACAAGAGAGCATGCAGGCTCTAATATAAATGGCATAGGAATAATATTAACTGAAAGTGCACACCAAGAAAAAATAATTCTGAGTATAAAGGCTAGTACTCAGAAAGATTCTTTAAATTCTAATTAAGCAGATGGCCAGTAATATTGCACTATAAACTAATATATGAATGGTACTATGTTATTATAAAGAGCCCTAGTGTTCAAAGGTTCTTTGTATGCAAAGGGCATGCAGCACCCACCATATAAAGTATTTCTATAAACCAGCTTATATAAAATGAATTTCAGCAGAGATGGTTTTCAATTCATGCATGGTGCACCTGCAAGACTCACTTAATTTCCAAATATTCTGCAGTTAGAAATATTTCATAATGTGGATGCATTTGGATAGAAATTAGAAGCCAATGTATATTTCTATATATGGATATTTCTTCTATTTCTGTACTTTTCAAACTATTTAAGTTTTAAATTTTTACCCCCCTGCCTTTAAAGCTCTTAAGAAAAGTTAAACTGCTAAGGATGGAACAGAAAAATATATGCGTATTGACAACATTATTATTACACAGTGTAGGAACACCAGTGACAGAAGAGAACATTAGAAAAGTAGGAGAGCACCTAGGAGTAAAAGTAGACTCCTACCTGGCTGAGCTGTTCAGCAAGATGACCAGCGAGCAGATCCAGTCCATTATTGAGAATCCAACTGGAGGATCAGTACAGGCAAGTGCCTCCGCAACTACCCAGGCAGTAGAAGAGAAGAAGGAAGAAGTAGAAGAGTCTGAAGAAGAAAGCTCCGGAGACATGGACTTATTCGGTTAGATCAATAAATGATAATCCACTAAACGTTTCAATTTTGATGTTTTTTATTCTATAGGGGAGAAGTGTCAGCCTCCGGCCAGGCAATTAATTTTCTTGCTGCTGGATAGATATAACCCGAATATTTTGTAAATAATTTTCATTAATAATGGATGAAATAGAGAGAATACTCAGCCATAAAGGAAACAGCCACAGGGTTCTGAATCTTCCAAAGGAGTGCACAAAGGAGGATATAAGAAAGAGCTACAAAAAGCTTGCAGTCAAAGTGCATCCTGACAGAAATTCTCACTCAAATGCTTCAGAGGCATTTATTATTCTTCAAAAGGCATATGAGGACTTAATAGAGGACAGGCCTAGGTTTGCAGAAAGTCACACATATAGAAGCCATCATAATGTACACACACATAATGATATAGAAGAAATAATAAAGTGGTACACGTCAATGGGAGCACAACGATACGGCTTCGCGTACCAGTCATTTAATGCAGGCCCGTACTTTAGAGAGGCACAGTATAGAAGAACCCATCCTCAGCCAATAGAACTATCCAATCGCATAGCAATTACGATACTAATAATGCTATTTGTATACAGTCTTTTAAGGTAAATCATCATTCTTATTATCCAAATAAATAAAGGCATAGACTACTATATCACTGGGCATCTTACCAGATTAACTTCTTTAGAGTTTTCTGTGGTCTTTTTCCAATAAAAATAATCAAAGACCATGCAATGTGTATGCTTACGAATATCCAAAGTAACTGTCTGGGAGGAGACATACTCGCATGTTATACACCCAAAGGATAAATATTATTCTGACAGCTCTTAAAATGCACTTCATGCAATCATGCTATGCGCAGTATAAAAGATAGAATTATACACCTAAAGTATTCTATGCAAAGACAAATACTTCCATTCTTCTGGGCTTCCGTGCAGTAGAAGGACCGTGTGCTCTGGATGGATAAAGACCTTCAGATATATGGACAGAAAGAAGATTAATTAAAAATGAAAGCTGACAGGACAAGCACTCTGACAGAAATATTTTTGGGCAGTGAATTTAATTAAATGTGCGCATGAAATGCATAGAACTGTTTTTAGTTTTAGGAAAATCCGTAAAAAGGGATTAATACATGGAAAAGAGGGATGTTCTTGGAATTACATTAAGTAGAAATGTGCATACACGATAGATGTGTGTGTGGTAAGGTAATTTTGCAGGTTGATTTTTGTAGTAATAAACTTCAATCATGACGGGAGCATTGTTTGAATTATAAATTTTCAATTTTCTTTTTTAATAAAATGAACATTGAAGAGACACAGAAAGAGAAAAAAGAAGGCCAGATTGGGAGGCAGAACTCAATATATGTTGGAGACATCCCGACTAGCACAACTGAATCAGATCTATTTCAGATATTCTCAAAAGTAGGCCAGATATATACAGTAATTATTCCAAGAAAGGAGTTATCAATAGTAAAAGACAAGTGCTATGCATATGTCACATTCTTTGATGAGGCATCTGTTCCTACAGCAATAGAGACATTTAACTTTTACGAGCTCAATGGGTCTCAGATCCGGGTTATGCCACTGGATAAAGAAAGTGTGGTGAACAACCGAGAGGGAAACATAGTGATAAAAAATCTGCCAAAAGAGACAGACAACCAGACACTTTATGATACATTTATCATATTTGGGCCTATTGTGAGCTGCAAAGTGGTTAAGAATAGTTTGTCAGAGTGCAGCGGAATAGGATACATACAGTATAAAGACCCAAAGATTGCAGAGGTAGCAATACAGATGATAAACAAGATTATGCTAAATGGGAAGAAGCTTTGTGCAGTGCAGTGCGTCCCAAATGATAAAAGAGAAAAAAAGAGAGAGAATGTGGAAAAGATATTTACAAACATCTACATGAAGAACTTCCCAAAGGGAGTAGAAGAGGAGGAGCTCAAAAAGAAGTTGGAGGAGTATGGTGAGCTTACTTCATTCTTTGTGCCGCGTACAGAGACAGGAGAGATGCGCGGATTTGCATTTGCTAATTATAAAACACATGAGATGGCAGAGGCAGCAATTCTAGGACTGCACGACAAGCCTTTCTTTGGCGGAAACTCAGGAGAAGGAGAAAATCTTTATGTTCAGCGGGCCAAGCTGAAGAGCGAGAGAGTCGAGGAGACAGCTGGATACTTTGCAAACCCCCCAGAGCAGGAAGTCAGAAGAAACATCTACATTACAAACCTTCCAGGGGATCTGAACGAAGAAGACGTGGTAAAGTACTTCAGCAAGTACGGGCCAATAAACACGTACAAGCTGGGAACAGATACGAAAAACAACAGATCATACGGATATGTGTTCTATCAGAAGGCAGAGGATGCAGCAAAGGCAGTTGAGCTGGCAAACAAGAGCGAGTACTGCGGGCAACCACTGGGCGTAGCATTCTTCAAGTGCAAGAAGCTGAGAGAGCTAGGAAAGGTAACAAATAATATTTATAGTACTGCAGGAGGAAACAGTTCATATGACATGTCCGGTGCCAAGGGAAAGAAGAAGATGCACACGCCAGCTTCTGCAAAGGAGGGCAGCTGCACAGCTGGGTATGAACTATACACGCTTATCCTATCTTTGGCCCCAAACTACACAGAGAAGATTGCTCAGGCTGGATTCGCAAATGAAGAAGAGTTTGCAAAGAAGATTACTGGAATGATCTTGGAGTTGGATGCAGAAGAAGTCAAGCGAGCGGCTGTTTTAGGGAATGTTTTATCAAACTATGTGGAAGAGTCTCTAGAGGAGATTATTATGCATCGAAGAAAAGATGAGTCGGCAGAGAAGAAGGCTGTAGCCATAGAATAAATAAATATGATATATTTTACTAGCTTAAAAATGGAGAATCCAAGGATTGAACTCGGGACCTTGTACATGCGAAGCACACGCTCTACCACTGAGCTAATTCCCCAATAAACAAGAAACAAAATTGGATAATAGGAGTACTAATATTAAATGAAAACACAAAAACAAAGAGAATTTATAACTGGTACTGCTGGTGTGCAGGTGTGCCCTTTTATGCCTACAGATCATATATCTCAGAAGACTCATTCTCTGGAATATCCTGCGAATATGCTTCTTTTTCTATGCTTACTACACTTGAATGCGTATTTTCAGGAAATGTCTTCTCTTCTGTGACTGTTTTTTTCTCTGGCAGTTTTTCTTCAGGGGGTGCTTCTTCCTTTTGCCTATAAGTAGGCATGGGCACAGAGCAGGAAAAAAATTCAGCAAATGCAAATAGCACGAAAGAGTGCATGGTTAAAGGTAGCCATGCGGTTTGAGTGAGAAGTGAAATGGACTGTGGTAGAATATTTGGTATACTTAGCTGGGGTAGATAGCACCTGTTGCACTCTTTCTCCTGGCACCTTGAGTTGTACAAAGAATGTGTAAGAGACGTCAGAAGGCGCTGGGCTAATGGTACAATGGTTTCATCTATATCGTTAAAAAGAGAGTGCACAAGTGAAGGCGTATTTTTAAGTTTAGTGTACGCTAGGAAGAGCCAAAACCCAATGAGAATGCGAATGTCCTGGGATAGAGAGTCGTTCTGAAGATGCTCTCGTAGGGTGAAAAGAATTTCTGGCGAGAAAACTTTATCTGATCCATTTCTGAGCCCAATGCAAACTGCTGTTTTAATTGCCAGCAGAGCACAGGAAAAAGACATGGATGGGACCTTGTTAAGGAATGAAAGAAATTCATCCATTTCCGCGTCATTAATAATAATTGAGTAGTTTGAAATTAGCCCAAAATATTCAAACGTTCCAATTGAAATGCTTTCTAGCTGCATTGGTATTTTCTGTGCCAGATTAGCATATATTCCTAGAATGAAGTTTAGCTTGCATGCGCATGTCACTGGGGTAGAGCTAAGCTGGGATTTGTTCAGGAAGTTCAGCCACTTTTCATGTGGCACATCTGTATAGGAAAGAAGGTACAAAGCAGCCATGTCTCTCGTGCTAAATATTAAATCCGCAAATGGAGTCAAATGGATTCTATGTCTTGGATACGATGCAAATGCGTAAAGAAGCTTTAAAGTGTATTCTGGGTGATTTTTCATAGAGACCTCAACCCATTCTTTCCACCGCAGCTCAAAGAAGTAGTTTACAATGGCTATGTCGCTGTTCATAAGTTGGGCAAGAGACTTAATCCCGCACCTTGCAAGTGCTCTGTTCTTCCCAATGCCTATTCGCATGAGCTCATCTACAAACCCATTAAAAATAAGAAGCTTTCTAAAGGCGGCTGAGTCCTTTCCAATTTCCACAAGAGCCTCTAGTATGACCTCTCTTCCTAAAAAGGCTTCTTCTATTAATAGGCTAAGTTTGTTAGACTCTAAAATGCCTGTGGTGATTAATGCTTTGTTGTGCTTGATTAGCATTGAAATCGTGTTTCTTACATCGTCTAATTTATCGCTCATTGGATCCATTAAAAGCCTAATTATGTTGTCTACACCTATTTTGCTGATAAATATATTTGAGAATTCTCTTCCATTCTTTTCTGAAAATATCTTATTGAGAACTTTAAATATGTGGGGTACTTCAGGCGGAAATGTGTCAGGCGTGCTTAGAAGCAGAGCTGCCAATGGATCGATAAATTCAGTTCCTCCAATTAAATTATCCTCCTTAACTATTTCTAGTGCTTCATTTAAGGAAGACAGCCGGTCCTTAGCGTATGTGGCTGTTTTAAGCTGAACTGCCACTATTATAGCTCTTTCTTGCAAATCCATAAAAATACAGAAAACAACAGATTAAAAGACCCAATGAAAGTATTTTGTAAATCCAGAAAAATCCATTCAATAGAAAACTCATTCAAAGCTATTGGGAAGAGAATCTAGGCAGGAATATATACTGTAGCATAAAATATTGCTAGATAGAGTGCATATTTAGTGTTGCTTAATTGCTTACAAAAGACGTCTGCACAGACATCTAATAAAGAGATATATGTGCATACTTATAGTCAAAGGAAAGACCTTAGCTCAAAGTCATGTGAAGTTGTTTATAGTAGATATAAAATAAGAGCATATTTGAAATGAAATATTATTTTACAGTCACCATTCTGTGAATACTATGCTAGTAGTAAGACCATATTTAGACAATAACTCTAAACCCGATTTTACTCCAAGTTAAGGCAATCATCCAGAAAGAACTACACAGAAATGTATCTAGATGCATTTGCTCGTAAGCACATATATACTGTGTATGCTAAGTGGTTCACTGAATAAAAGGTGCACACTACAGGGCTTTTCCATATAAGTACAGTCATACTAGCTAGGGGAATGTTATTTAGAGAAGGCAGAAGAATAAAAAAGCCATTTATTTCTGGGAGTCTAGCCATTGCGTTGTAGACTGGCCTGCAAGCATGCCAGAATAGGCAGCTGTTATGGCCTGCCTATATTTATTATCCTGTACATCTCCTGCTGCATATAATCCCTCTATTGCAGTCTGCATTGTTTCTTTGTCTGTCTGTATATAGCTGTCACTTGCTAATAAACTTGCACCGGTTTCTTCTTCCAGAGACTTTAAAAAGGCTGTTGATGGATCGTGCCCTATTGCAAAGAACAGGCCACCTACTTGCAGTTCTGTCTCCTTTCCTGTCTTGGTATTTTTGATGATAACTGACTCTAAGTACTCCTTTCCTTTGGCCTCCACCAAAACACTCCATGTGTGTATTTCCACATTGCTTATTGTCTTTACCTTGCTTAGCAGATCTGGCCTTGCTCGGAATGTCTCTGATCTGTGGACCAAAATCACTTTGCTTGCAATTTTGGCAAGATACTGCACCTCTTCCATGGCAGTATCCCCGCCTCCAATGACCATCACAATTTTACCAGAGAACATCCACCCATCACACACTGCGCATGCACTGATTCCATTCTGCCAGAGAGCATCTACGCCAGGGGCACTCAGCTTCTTGGCAACTGAGCCAGTTGCAATAATTACAGCTTTGCTTCTAAAGGTCTCTTGGGAGGTTGAGATCACAAAGTACCCATCATCCTTTTGGACCGAGTTCACCCAGAGCTGTTTTGTTCTTGCATGCTCTTCAGCATGGTTCTTGAACAAGTCAGCCAGTTCTGGTCCTGTAATCCCCTCTGCAAAGCCTGGGTAGTTATCTACAGCAGTTGTTGTCATCAGCTGACCTCCTGGGAACTGGCTAGTTCGTTCGTAGTCTCCTGCTAGAATTAGTGGCTTATACTTGGACGCATAAATAGCAGCTGAGTACGCTGCAGGGCCACTTCCTATAATTACCACAGATTCAGTATTAACACTTATACTCATGCTAGGCTGAAAAAAAACTAAAAGAAGAAGGCAGTTGCTAATGAAGAATAGAACTGAATTCATAAACAAAACAATTGAAACCCACAATATATACACACAAAGCACTAAAATTAAAGAAAATATGCAATATGACGAATATGTCTGCGATGAATGCCATGGAAATGGCGTAGACCAGTCCATTCGAACTGCATTTAAAGTAAATTATTGCGGGAGATGCAAATTAAAACTAGAACTAGTGTCCCAAACCACAGCGATAAATGACTATCTGCTGAACAAGGAAGACGTACGGCATCTACAGCACTTAAAAGCATTGAATCCACGAAATCCAGACTGGAAACCAATGATTCTTTACAGAAAAACAGACATAGAGAGGATTTCTTTAAGAAAATACCCAAACATTGAAGAAGAAAGAAAACAAAGGCAAGAAAAGCTTGCAGAGAGAAAAAAGAAAGCACTTAAAAAGAAGCTTGCATGTCTAAGAAGAACTACCCGCGCAAAAGTAAAGGAAGACCCCATACATGTACATGCATTTAATGACAATGGCGCATGTGAATGCGGAATGAAAATTGAGTTTGAGGAGATTTAATGAATACGCGCACATCATGCTTTCATTACCAATTATTATACAATTTATGCACACACCACAAAAAAATATAATTTCATTCAAGCCACCCATATAAAAGATCTTTTTATATAGCTTCTCTAAATGTATAGCTTAGCTGCATTATCCCAGAGACTTTACAAACCAGAAAATTAAAGACTATTTTATTCTACTCTCAACAATATCTTTAACCTATATAGTTTTGGGATAGTCCAAAGAACTAAAACTTTCTGTCAATCTAATACGTTAGTTTTGCATCAATTATCTAAATTTCCCCTAAAATTAGACCAAGCAGTTATAACTTTCTTGAAAGGGAGCTTAAATACTGGAATAGAATATCAGGGAGGCAAATGGCAAGAATCGGTACTTTCAGAAAGACGTTTGATGTATTACTTCTGATAATAGGCATATCAGCAGTTCTTTATATAGCATACTACGTAATATACGATTTAAATATATACAAAGGGAAGAATAAAGAGCTAAGAAAGCTGTTTAATACGCTGAGTGCAAATAAAGCGAAGAGTTTTAACACATTTATGAAAGAGCAAAATGTAGATAAGGGAGAGATAATAGCCTGCTTATCTGAAAATGTTAAGATTGAGAGAAGACTAACTGCAAAGATAATCAACTCAATTTTGGATAAAAAAGTAAACAGATGGTTCTTCTTAGAGCGAAGAATAAATAAGATGCTCAAAACACCAGATAGAGAGAAGCTGCTGCGCTTACTAGAAAGAAAAGAGGGCCTGGCGTTTACAAATCTGTTAGATAACTTGGTTCATACTATAGTGCTTGACCTTGACGCAATAGAAGCTAATTTAACAAGCTAAAATTCTCATTGAATATCAAAGAATAAATGTAACACATTACATGTGATAGCATTGACTAGTTATTTTCATTTACATTGCAAACTTTTATTCCAAACACTATAGGGATAAAAGGCATTATTTATAGAAATATTAAGTTTATTGCAGAGTATTCTATGCATGCATTTTTAGCATATATTAGATTTTAAGAAGTGTCTTTGATTCGAGCTATCTGCAGAGGAACTTCTGAATCTGTTAGCATGCATTAATTCTGCAGTGGTGCATAAACAAATAGAAAGAGAGCTAAATAAATTGATAATCAAACTGTGTCTTATTTAATCGCTGCATACATCTATGTAATTATGCATACTAGAGTCACACTAGTAGCATTGTACATACAGTCTTATTCATAGTGGTTCTATTGCTTTTCATAAAAACTAACTAAATTTGAATTGTTTTATTTAAGGGGTTATAAGTATAATAAAAAGAGGCTGGGTATAAATTGAAGAAGAGCTTTAATAAGATGGAGATGAATCAGCACATTCCATGCAAATGACAAAAGTGCCTTTTTGTACTCACTTCTCTTTAATAAAAAGTGTGTCTGTATACTCCCTCCCATTTCTTTTAAAGAATATATCAACAATGCATGTAGAAAATAGCCCGAACGTAACAATAAACTCTGCAGCTATGCAGAACAAGTTTTTTTTCATCAAACTAGCTTCTGTTGATAGAAACAGCTCAGTTTGTCCTAACGAGCAGCCTGCATATAGAAGGAATTCATTGTTCCTTCTGGATGCTATATCTAAATGCCTTTCATCAGTAATCTGCTTACTTTCTGTAATTTTCTTTTCGGGAATATCAGTTGGTTTTATGCACATTACCTCGGCTATAGATGATAACAAAAACAATAAATTGACTGCAAACACTCTTTTCCCTTTAACTATCTCTACATGCATTCTGTATAATTAATTATTTTTATTCGTGCTTAAAAACTACGCCCAGTCTTGTATCGCTATTGGTAAAGAAAGGATCGTGAATTGAAACGGTCTCATCACTGGAAATGTGCACCAGGGCAGATGCATCTTCTGCTGTATTTTCAACATAATCTGCGGGGGGAAGAAAGTCCACCTCTAAGTCTGTATCTATTATAATGATGCCCGGCCCCTCTGGCTGTATCTCTGCCACTGTGAATAGAATGTGCTTGAACTCGCTTTCTATATATAAAGAAATTGTGTCCCCTTTGCTTAGCACCTGGTAGTTTCTTAGAGAATTCTCAAGTGCTATCTTTGGGTTTTCTATTTCCAGAAAATCTTTGCTCTGTGGCAGTAGCTTAATAAATGTGCCCTTAGGCAGGGACACATATGATATTTCAACTGGGCTCCCGTCGAGTGCTAGTTGTTCGTACAGCCAGTTGGGAAGAATTGCCTCATCTGGCTCATCTATAAATTCCTGAACACCCACGTGTGTATACGATATGTCTCCGTTTGCTGATATTTTGAAGATGTATGGAGTGTCTACCTGTTTTGACACCAAAGTGATCAAGCAGAGCTGCGGTAGAAATATCTTCCCGGTGTGGTGCTCATTCCTCCCTGGGGCGTATCTTTTGGGCGTTAGCGTCCATTCCAGCTCATTCCTTCTAGAGAAAAGTCTTGAAAACATTAACTTGAATATTTTTCTAATTTAATTCGTAGTAATGAAAGTGTTTGACATTGTTATAATAGGAAGAAATGTATCAGCAATAACCGCAGCAATATACGCAGGCATGTCAAACAGTAAAACTCTCTACATAAACTGCCCAGATGAAACAAGCGTTGTTACAGGCGTTAACAGATACGTTGGGTACAAGGAAGGCACATACGAGGCATTTCGCATGAACGCATACAAGCAGATGAGTAAATTCAATGTGGAAGAAAGCACTGCTGAAGTAAAAAAGATTGAAATTGAGAAGGCGCAGGCAAGAATATTTTCCAACGAAGAAATACTGGCAAAAACACTCATTATCTCTACAGACGAAACGCTTAAACTAATAGTTGGAGATGTAAACAGCAAGTTCCTATTTAGATGTGGAAATTTAGTGAAGGACCAAACAGAAATGATTGCATTAGCTGGAACAGGATGTATGGCCGCCATGAATGCCAGAACATTCATTGCAGAAAACAACTAATATGGTTTATTTGTCGCATTCTACCAAGTAATCCTCTAGAGATAGAAATAAAGATGATATAACCCGAACAGTTTTCTCTAAATAGAATATTTCCAGTGTTTATACCTAAAGACTATATTTTAGAAATATGTGCCCTTAGTTTTCACTCTTTCTGATACTTTTTGCAAATATGAAAAATAAACTCTCCTATGCATGCCATACAATTATATTAAGTAGGATGGTTTGATTCTTATAAAAAAAAGGAAGAGGAAAGGAAAATCAAAGAAATAGCATATTTCAAAGACCCATACTCCCGCTGATAGCACAATAAGCAGTTCAGCTCACATAATAGTAGAAAAAGAAAGATTATATTTAGAATAAAACACCATGATTTAACAGTATATTTTTAAAGAAAGAAAGCTAAATAGTTCTATACATTCCAAGGTCTTCTGAGAAAGTAAATGCAGAACTGTTTTAAATTATTGGATAATTATGTATACAGATAGTCTATAGGAGAATAGTCAAAATAGTCCATTTATAAATAAAAATAACGGGCGCCAAAAATAATGAAAAATGAGAAATTAAAACGGTTAAAAAGAAAATCTTTTTTTGGTTTACAAAAAATGATCAGTAGAATACTTCTAAACTTAATGATGCTACAGAGTATTCTGACAAAAATAACAGTAGAAGACATAAAGAGAGTCAGTGTGACTTCTATTGGCAAGAACCAGGATGTGATTATTAACCCAGAAGGGCCTTTGAATCTTCTGCGTGGATATATTGGGCAAAGAAGCGGACACATGAACAACAAACGGTTTTATTCCTCTGAAATAGAAACCAACTATTCGTTGCGTGAGAATGGGTTATCTATTACAAAACAACAAAATTACGACTTTAAGCGAACACCAGCTAATGACAGGGTGTATAAAGACATTGCCACACAGGCTCCTAATGGCAAGTATCTCAGCGCGTACCATGAACAGCTCATAAAGATGTTTCCTTCAGAAAAGGGAGACCTTTCCATTGAGGCAGGAAGGTCAAATGCACTTACGAACTTCTTAAGAGCTAAACACGTCAAGAAGGATGCAAAATACATTCTTGCAGCACTTCTTCTCCTTTCAGAAGGTGTTGACATTAAAATAGCAGTAGAGCATGGAGAGGACATGAAGTGTCTTGTCATAAAACGTAAGGCATCCAAAGATAATAACTTTGTGAGCATATTAATGCATACTGCGGGTATAGACACAGCCACTAATGAGCATAGCTATATTATTTACCAAAGTGAAGTGGCCGAAATTATTGACTTCTATAGACAGTGCAGAGCCAGTCCACTGCTAAAAAAAGGAGGCGAGTTTGCAATGCCAACTACCAAAAAAGAGTTTGAGAGTGGGAAATTTCTGAATAATGCACGCTTTCTTATACAGGCATACATATATGAATTTATTGACACTGTAGAGGATTATACAAGCTTTGTGAATGCAGTGCATGAGCTTCTTTCTGATCAAATGACTGAGAAAAGCAATCTAAACGACAACACCAGAGTATTTAACGAGCTCTTCATAGAAAAAAGTGCGCAGAGCAAAAGTATAAAGTATACTACACCTTTCGATGACTTAGTGAATGCCGCATATAAAGATGCTAATTTCCCATTTTATAGTGCTACTCAGCTACCAGCATACATTAGAGTGCCGCAATGCAAACTAGACAAGACTGATTTTGTGAAAGAAAAAGCCATATACTACAACAGCCGCGTAGAGACAGCCCTTCTAGGGCTATTCTGCTGTCTGGCATACAACCCAAGGACAAAAAGTTATCAGACCAGCCACATGGGAAAAGGAATAAGTAAAGAGCTGAAGGAATTCTTTGAAATATATTCTAAGCCAACAGAAAGCATTGGCTTTGAAATGCACAAGGAGTGGAGTAAAGTTGTTGCTTGCTTAAAGAACGATAAAATTAACTATAAGCAGGAAAGGAACGAACTCTGCTCTGGAGTTGCAAATATATTTTTAGCAATTGCAGAAATAACAGGACAGAAGAAAGACACGGAGGAACTAGTTAGGTATATAGAGATTGCATGCAGATTAGGAAGGTTAAATTTTGACGATGATAGCGAGGTTGGTATTTATGATGCTATGGAGTCTATTATTATGTCTCTATCGCAGAATAAGGATATAGAACTAGATTGCAGCATGCTGAAGCCCGGAAAGAGGTCAAATGGAAAGGCAGATCTCTTTGGTAAAATTAAAATTGTTTATACATTTGATAAAAAACGTAATGGAATTGCTTTGAATGTAGAAAGTAATGATGCTAGTCTTGCTCTTCTTTCATTTCCACGTGCTAGTTCTAAGTGCATTGAAGAAATGTATAAAAAAATAGGAAACATTTACAACGGAATGAACAGCTACACAGGATATATTGCTACTAATTATTCTGTTATGGAAATAGACAATTTAAGAATGAATAGAGAAACACGCTTAGATGGCTATAGCAAAAATATTATAGCACTTCTGAACAATGAATCTAAAGATGTTTCTAAAGTATTCTTGTTAGGAAAGCCTCTTGATATTGAGTATAAGTATCTGTTTGTGATTAAATTTATGCTCTACTCGCTGCAAAAAGATTTTCCTGCAACTCATCCTTTCACACGCATCTCTGCAAACATGTTAGGAAGTGTGCCACTGGATGACAATCATACAATGCGGAATATGACGTATCTGTTCCCATTTCACCCAAGATGGCAGGTATACTATCCCAACCTTGGATATAAGCCATCCCAGCATCTGCCCAGAGAAAAACATGGTAGAGTCAACTTGTTTTACAACTATAGGCGTATATTAGTTTCGGAGAGTGTTGATATTGCAGTTAAATGTATTGAAACCTATCTAACAATGGGAGAAAAATATTGTACTGACATGTTTTACACATTATCTAATGCCATAATATGTAGAATGTTTTTAAATCATGTAGTAGAGGAGGGAAAAATACCCATAATTTCCAAGCTTCACACCATAATTGAAAGATACAAAACTCCTAAAGATGCAGAGTATGTTAATGACATCTACATGACTTTGTTTGTTTATGCATGCTGCGACCATCCAAAAAAACAGAAATTTATTAAGCTAACGTACAGCCTTATAAACTTTGATGATTTGCGGAATCCTAAAGTCTTTAATCCTGTCATAGATTTAGCCCTTATTGCAAAAGTTTTACTAGTCGTAAAAACAGAAAAAGACTTGCTGCATTTAAAAAGTGACATACAAAGTAAACAAAACTATGATACGATGCTAGAATATCTATCATGTTCAAAATCCAAATAAATACAGGGTATTACACATAAATTATACTATTTTCTTTTGCTTTGTATAATTATTAGTAGCCCCTCTAACACTTAAAATAGCTCTCTTATTTATAGCTTTGTCATGTTTTATTTTCAATTGTCGTAGATGCATGCACCTCTATAAAGACTTTGCCGTGTGCCTATGTTATCCACGCTATGCACACTAATGCGCTCACAGAGTATTTAGAGACGAGCTCTTGTTAAACTCTGTAATAAGATTTTTGTGGTGCTTTTTTGGAACTTTTGTCAGAACCTGGTGGAAAGCAAATAGGCCATTTGACATCTTGTAGAAGTTTTCTATAAATTGCTCAGGGGAAGACGGCTCCTGCAGGAAAAGCTTTAGAAAGAGCTTGGCCTTGTCGAATATTGAGTACTGTATATCTAGCTCAAGATGCACTAAAATAGTGCTCTTCAAGGGAACCTCAACCGCACTCATAAAGTACAGAACCTGCTCTGCTTGCGAGACAGTAAACTTCATCTCGCACAGAACTAAAAAGATTGCCTCTCCTAGCATATCCAGCCACTCTTTGAGTAGATAGTCATATGACGTGAACGAAACACTCGATATGCTTTCTATCTCTTGAATTAGCTCAGCAAGAAAAGGAATTGTGTAGCTTTCTAGATTTCCTGCCTTTAGAGTCTTCTTGTTTAAAAAGGACAGCCTGTCCTGCATGTATAGCATATAAGACGCATACATTCTATGGGATAGATCATCAAGCGCATGAATGGTACTAGGAGACGCGATGTCCGAGATGTTAAATGTTTTCTGAAGCTTAACAAGCATTTCTTTTGTCATCTGCTTTACATAGTGCATGGTTTCAATTCCAGAAAGAAAGTTCTCTTTTGCCTCCGTGAAGGGTGATTTGCTGATGATTTTTGAGATAACTTTATCAACTATTGTGAGAAAGGAGTATCCTACACTTGGAAATTTAAAGTAGAGCAGCTTTGTTAGCGTCTGTGTCAGGGTGGTGTATATACTGTATGTACTGCTGTGCACCTCATTCTTAACAAAAAGCATTTTTTTGTCAGCCAGTGGCTTTAGCTCGTTTTCAATGTAGATGTGAATATATGGTATAAATGCAATAGTTAGAGAGTTTGGCTCAATCTCTTCATTGCATATAGGAAGCTCTGTAGATATATCGTCAAGCAGCTTCAGATGTGCAGGCGATCTCTCTGAGACCTCAAGACCTTCTATCTTTGTTTTGTTGTTAAGAGATGTTGCTTTTCTACCTGAAATCAGAAGATATGTGGTTTCAAACTCCATGCATGCCTTTAGGGCCTCCAAATAGTCAACACACGAGAAATCTGCTCTGTCAATCACACGGATCAGCTTATTCTTCAAAATAATAGAAAGGTCGCACAGAATGACTTTAGAAATATTCCACCAAATTGGAAGATGCGCTGTTTTCATGCCTACATTATCCTTTATGGTAAGAAGTAGCTTTAGAGAGTTCTCTACATCTATCAGATTTTCCAACCTTTGTATCTCTTTAGTGTGCTTTGTTTGCACATTATTTGACATCCAGATCACAATGGACTTTTGCACATCCGACACATACTTTTCCGATAGGATCGTTGACAGAAGAACTGCGCTTTTATCAAGCCCCTTTTCATTTGTTATGCTATACTTTATGTCACTTATTAGAATATTTTTTAATAGCAGAATGTTCTCGTGAACTAGCTCGTATCTTTCCCTGTACTTGTCTTCTATAATGTAAAGCTGCGGGCGCAGAATGATTTCCTCAATTACCTTTAGAGTTCTTACAAGCCCCTTATAGTCCTTATATCTGACTTGTTCTCTGAAATTGCTTAAAGCCTTTTTGTGTTCCTTTGTCAATATATGTGGTTTGTTTGTTTCTGCAGGAGTCTGTACTTTCTCTTCATTTACCATTTCTTTTAAGTTTTCTTCACCCATAAATATTCTTTGTGAAACAGTGTGAGAGAGAATGCGTCTTAATAAGTCCCTTTAAATTGGTAAGAACGACCAGAACGCTAGGAAGAATAAGCGAGCAAAGCATGCCCAAGTTGCACTCCAGTGAATATTGCAGATGCACCTTTCTTGGCTGATTTATTTTCTTCACCAGCTGTGCATATAAATAATCTACCTCCCCAGCTATCTTTACTGGATCCAAGGACAAAAGGGGTTTCACTTTATCGCACCCAACTATGTCGCTGTAAATAACTATCTCTCTTAGTTTTTTAATCTCCTCATACTTTTGCAGAGGGTCTTTTGCACTAGTATCTATGTACGTGCGCACAAATACGTTATAGGCATTCTTTACCTCCTGCATATCCAGCTCCAGCCTGTGTTGGTAATATAGTGGAAGTCCAATGTGTTTTACTAATGCCGAGAGCAAGAGTACTAAGTATCCTAGGTGCACTGCCAAAATCACTTTCATTTTTATTTATTTAATTTTTACGCCCTTGTAATATTTAATATATGTGAGGAAGACAGTATTCATGTTTAATACAATGGATTGACTATTCCCTCATACATAAGACTAGTGCAGGGTAAGAGCAGATGGGATTATTCCTTGTTTGTGTCAGAACCTCCATACATTTTTATATTAATGTCTTCTAATAGCATATATGCTTTTCCTTCTATAATCACTTATAAGCAACCAAACTGAAGTAAATCCAATGAAGTTTATACAGAAGTCTGAATATAATAAAGAAGAACATGGATATTAAAATTAATATGAGAGAAGCATTAGATCTCGTGCATAGATGAAGGTTACTCTATCTTGCAGAAATACAGAGCATAAACAGAATAGCATCATTATTATAGGCTTAAATCTATACGTTTTGTAAATCTTCTCTTATGGGCATACAGGCATTATTAATACTTTTACTGTTTCTGCCTTAACATAACAGCCCCAAGCAGGATGTCCTTTTTTCTTACACATGTTGCAAGTTTTTTCTGTACACTTGGTTTGAAATTTCTAGAAGGTTTCTTGGAAGGAACTGTTTTAATATTCTTTTGTATTTTCGCAGCTAAGCATTGGTAGTTTATTCTATACTTCTCAAACTCTTTAGTTTCAATTTACACTTATCCAAGCATCTGGATACTTATAAGCGCCTATTCTTATTTCGGATTATATACGATCTAAAGAGTATTCTTTGGTGCTTTCTATGGATGCAAATACACGGTAAAATACAACTCGCCACCTTTATAACAACTCTTAGTTCTAGGTATTCTAAATACTGTATAGGCATTACACATCCTTTCTCATTACTACTTTTTTTAAGGTTTTATTGTTAAACCTTGGCCTTTATAAGAGTAAATTCCCTTAGCTAGACTACATTCTAACTATACCCTCTGCATTTAGTAAACCAGCCTTCATATGACAAGTAGCCTCAATTATAGTTTTATTAGTAATATAATACATGCCATTAGATTCTAGAGAGGATACAACAAATATATTTCTCGAAAGAAGCAGAGCACTGTCTATATCCTGCTATATTTGTTATTTATTGAGTCCGTTAATGCAATCAAGATGGTGTAGACTTTTTTATGCTCTTCTATCTTACTATGATGGTAAAGTATATGCGGTTGGTTTATTCAATATATAGAAATAAATTAATTTTCCGGCAAACTACTGTTTATTTTATTTTATTGAAAACTCAAGTTTCCTATTATAGAACATATGTTCTTTGCTAATAGAGTGCAAAAAGGCAGGAAGTGCTTTTTCTTGTCGGGTTTATTCAAGAAAGCCATGTGCTGATACTAAAACTAGGCTCTTTACTAAAGCTTGAATTTCCTCTAAATTACGCAACTGCACGCGCCATAATATTGAACATTATTTAAAGAGCTTACTATTATATAGAGCAACAAAAAACGCGGCTTTAAAGTAATTTTAAAACCCGTCACAGCAAAAGTATGGAAAGAGGGTGTTTTCTTTATAAGAATTTATTGTAGAATAGTTCTAACTGTTATTTAAACACTACCTAGAAAGGACTACTACTCTATACACATTGTAAATATCAAAAAATGACACTGCTTGGCTGAATAGACTGAAATATGCAGCTGTATTAGCAATATTCATATTTCAGTTATATTAAAATTAAAACTCTATCTTTTATATATAAATACTGATTCTTGAAAAAAAAATTAAACATACAAATATGGAAGAATATATGCAGAAAAGAATAATAAGTTTTGGGGTACTTGGGGTTGGCGCAGCTCTTATATTGTTCCCGGTATTAATGAACCTTTACTATATGTTTACATGTGAGGTTGAGCTAAGGAATAGAGGTGAGTTTCAAACATACTATACAACATCCAGTGGTGGTGATGCAAATCAATTAAATACAGTACGAATATCAAGATTCGAAGAACCCAATCCAACTGAAGGTATATATAGTGGAAGAGCTTATATTCCAGCGAGGACTGCTTCAGATAACTATTTTGATACTAGGGAAAGTACTTTTGAGAATCCTCTCGGCACCAATTATCGGCAAAGTTCTGCAAGAGGCTCTGGAGTTTATAGACCAACAACATATACTTCAAACAACGATGAAAGAGAATACGACGAGGCTGGATTGCCAACTAAAATATATCACAGTATAAAGTATAAACTGGCTTTCTACATACAGTTATTCGGGTTATGGCATATATCTATAATGTGCTTGGGCATCTTTATTATAGTCATTGGATTACTGGTATTTAGAGAAAGTATTTTAATGCAAGAGAGAACGGTATCCTTCTGCGGTGTAGATCGTTTAATTTATAGTGATGTTGAGCAAATAGCTAATCCCATTCACACTGAGGTTAAGCAAATAGATAATCCTATTCATACTAAGGTTGAGAAAATGGATAATCCTACTCATACTGAGGTTGAGCAAATAGATAATCCCATTCACACTGAGGGTGAGCAAATGGATAACCCCATTCATACTGAGGTTGAGAAAATGGATAATCCCATTCATACTGAGGCTGAGCAAATGGATAATCCCATTCATACTGAGGCTGAGCAAATGGACAATCCTATTCATACTGAGGGTGAGCAAATGGACAATCCTATTCATACTGAGGGTGAGCAAATGGATAACCCCATTCATACTGAGGTTGAGCAAATGGCAACTGAAGTTACTCTTGAAAAACCACAGCTAGAGACTCTTGAACCTACAGAGGAAATTTGCAATGAAAACGAAATATTAAAGCGATTAGAACGTGGAGTAAATGCCAAACCTGAAAGGCCATGCATAACCAAAAAGCAGTGGGAAGATATGGTTGAAGCGCATGATAAAAAGTATTCAGGCATCGCTGTAGACCTTGCAATTCCCAGTAACTTATGCTAGTGATATGGTCTATTACCATCCATCTATTAATAAATTTTTTAATGGTCTACCATAGGTTTACACTTAATGAGTTCATGAAGCCAAAGTATGCATTCACAGCATCTGGACTGTTCTTCATGCTACTGGGGTTTTTACTATTTGACCCTCTGTTAATTAGAGCAGGAAATGTCCTTGTGTTCATCTCTGTTCTTATGTCCATTAAGTCGCTTGAGTACTTCCAAAGTATTCTTCTATTTTTTGTTGGATTTATGGTTTCTTTTAAAATTGCAAGCCTTGGAATATTTATAGAGATGGTAGCTTTATTTATATGGGCATCATCAAAAATATCTCGGACAATGCTTTCCCCTGTAAGACTCGTTAAAGGGCTATTTTCTAAATAATAAAAATGCGTTACAAATATACAGTTTTAGATGATATCAGTTTATATATAGATGCAAGGCTTGAAAATCAGCCAAATACCCAGAAATTACACCATCGCGCCAAGCATATGCTGGCTTTGGCGTATCAGAAAAATCCATAAATTGAAAAATTTTATATTCTTGGCATGGTGAACCACTCCAAAGGAAGCTCAAATGCAAAGCCAGTGAAGAGAAAAAGTGATGAGGCAGAAGACAACGTATCCGAGGACTACACAAGCGACCAAACCACTGGGGTTGAGAACGATGATTTCTCCGATCCAACAGATGACCTCGGCTCATCCACTACTGTGACAGAAGAGGACAGCCTTGAAGAGGACGATAACTCAACCACCCTAGACGGAGATGATTCAAGTTTTGATGATAGAGATGAAGTGTCTGATTCAGGTAATTACGGTAGTGATGACAGCGATGAAGAGGAGTTTGCTTCTGACAGCCAGGAAAGCAACAACAGTGATAGCACCGCATAAGCGTAATAAAGTTATATGACCGGTTCTGTTTTTATTTTTTTTATGCTAAAGAAGAAAGTGCTTAACTCACTAAATAATCTGCAAGGAACAGATAACCAGAAAAGAAAAGAAGCAGAGAAGCACATTATTGATGAGTCTTCCAGCAATTTTGCAGGAATGATAGATGCGCTTCTTGACATTCTAGTTGATACATCACTGGGTACGCTTGGAGACACAATGACTGCTGGGCTTGTTTTAAAGACGCTTTTCTCATGGGAGTCAGAGGAAAAGAGGCAGGAGGTGAATATGAAGTGGACGTCGCTTAGCGAAAAGGAAAGAGAGGCGCTGAAGGCCAAACTCATAGGAAGTCTGGGAAGCTGCAAAGGCAGTGTTGGTGAAATATTAGGGCAGTGTCTGGGGGCTGTGGCCAGAATTGAGGTTGTGAGCGGAAGATGGCTTGAGGTGTTCTCCGATCTTTCTTCTGTTGGTGTGGACACAAAGTCAGAGACCGTGCGCATGAATATAATGGAAACCATTGGTATTCTGTGCATGGACACCACTGGAATGGACGAGTCGCTTATTTTGCACTCGTCTGGATTTATTCTCACAGTGCTTATAAATGGAGCCAAGTCAGAGAATTTGGACACGCAGAAAAGCGCGTTTAAGAATTTAGACAGGTGCCTGGAGTTTATATCTCACAATATTAACATTGAAAACGAGTGCCTGATTGTGATGGAAACACTTTTCAATGCATGCTCTTCCAGCAATGAAGACGTAGCGTGTCTTGCCTTGCGGTGCTACACAGGAACTCTTTTTATGTACTATAGCAAAGTGGTAAAGTATGTTGGGCTGGCATTTGGGAACATTGCTATGAATTACATGTACTCAGAGAGCGAAAAAAAGATTCTTGCTGCAATTGAGATGTGGAGTGCGATCACTGAGCACGAGATGTACAGCCACGGGGAAATCATAAGCAAGGTTTTTTCCACGCTTGTTGGCCAGTGTCTTATACTTGCTATGAATGAAGACCTGGAGCAGACAGATGAGTGGATGCCTCACAAGGCCGCTGCCTGGCTGCTTACCTCAATTGCACATTGCGCGCCGGAGAAGATCAACGGGAACATAGTAAATAAGGCATTCAGCGAACCTCTCAATCTTATCTCCGCAATCGAAACATTCATTATCTCCCAGGATCCTGTCAAGTTTGAGGCTGGGATGATCGCACTAGGCTCCATACTGAATGAGGAAACCGTGAACCCGCTTGCTCCAATGATTAAGCGCGTTGGGCCTCTTGTATTTCACTCGCTTGAGTCCAAAAACCCAGTGGTTTTGGACACGGGGATGTGGCTGCTTGAAAGATTCTTCAAGTATGCATACTCTGCAGTGGAGCAGTGTCATTTGGAAAACGACATCATCCGGCAAATTATGAAAATTATCAGCCTTAACTCAGACACATCTGTTACTGCAGCCTGGACTCTTACAGGAATTGCCAGTGCAGTTAGAGCACAAAGCACTTCCGACACGTACAGAGACCACGCAATATTCACGAACTTCACAATGATTTTGGACTCGCTGGTCCGTACGTTCTTCTCCCTTCACGAAACCCAGTTTACGCTTCGAGTGTCCCTCTCTTCCGCTATTGCTGAGGTAATTAAGGCAGCAATTCCTACATACTTTGAGAATGTAATTAGCTTCCTGGGCGAGATTATTGGGAAGACAAAGAACGAGCTTGTTTCTCCAAACTCAAACGAAGAGACAATCTCCTGCTATATGAACCTAATACAGGCATGCGTTAGTACGTGCACACTGGATCAAATACCTAATCTTCCACATGATATAGTCAGCGTGTGCATATTCATTCTACACAGAGGAAAGCTTGTGTCTCTCTACACAGAGGCATATCTTACTTTGGGCTTGCTTGCAGACAGACTGGGGATTGACTTTGGCAACTATGCAGAGGAGCTGATTCCATTTGTCATTCGGGATCTTCGCACCTTCTGCAGTGATGAAAACAAAGACCTGAAAAGCCCCATATTTGCAACCAGTCTAATTATGTTTATTGGCTCCATGGCGAGCTCAATGCAGCTTGGATTCAGTGTGTATATGTACCAGATTGTGCCCACTCTAATGCAGGCTGTGATGTCTCCCCATTTGCCGCGAGAAGCAAAAGCTACCGCCATTTCCACGTTCTCTGATATCTCTCTTGCAGTTGGGAAGATATTCGATAGATACCATGAGTCTATCATGGAAATTGCAATGAGCGTGGTTAAGCTGAAGGATGACGGAAGTGACAGTGGATTTATTTTTGTTCTGAGAGAATCTCTTCTTGTCCTTCTCTCATGTATTGTGCAGGCCTCAGATGGGCGCAGTTCTTGTGTGTTAAACTCGGTAAATATCATACTTTTAATTGTTAAAATAATTGCTGAAGAAACCAATGACTCTGCATGTATTATCAAGTCTCTCTATTTGCTATCTGACCTATGGGTGCTCTGCGGGCCATGCGGAAACCCATCTGTGATTTCTTCTCTTGAGTCCCCCTGGGTCTTTGAGTTCATTGCAGCAAAAGCAGAGTCAACGATTAAAGAAGTGCGGGATGCAGCAATTTCCACTAGACTTCAGATTAGCTATATTAACAAAGAGTAGATCTTTTGTGGATGCTTCTCTCTTAAATAAAGATTTAAATTATTAAAGACACAGCGCTTTTCAAAGCTACATACATATTCGCAGCATAGCTGCACAGATGACTATTCTCACATATTTTTATATTTAAAACTTCAATGTATAAGGGCTTTAGGCATGTAAGTAGATTTATAGTGCCTAATGTAAAAGAGCAACACATAAAATCATGGTAATAAAGAAATTAAAGAGACTCTATCTATAAAATCAAACTAACAGTGCCTAAGTATTGGTTCTAATCTACATATATATTCTGCACTCTGGAAATAGACCTCTTCCATACACTTGAGTACGTGCAGTTTTTATTCTTAGGTGTCTACAAGAAAATAAAGTGTATATATGTAAGGGTGTTAGAATATTTTTAGTTTGAAGTGGTTGATACAAAAATATAGAAGAGAGCATAGGAAAATCAAAAAATAGACAAGAATTAAAGACCCACTCGCACACAGGCATCTAGATATAAGCAAAGAATATATAGTGCAAGAGAGAAAAACAGCTCTAGAGCGAACAAAACTGCCTCACCGCACATGTGTACAAACGCGCTCTTGTACAGAAAGTTATGCATATTGAAGCGTACTGCAGTGTTACTGGATTCCCAGAGAGACAGACAGTAGGCTTTAGTAGCAGTTAAGTAATAAGACACAAATATTTTCTTGCACAGTATAAAAACTTGCCTGTTCTCTATATATAGCCATATGTTTATGAAGAAAGGCATATACTATTCAGAGAGGATTTAAGCCACTAGCTTATAGAGCCAAATGGCTAGCAGGTTAAAGCTACTCGTACATATAGAGTCTCTGGACATTGTAAATTCGACTGTGAAAAAGGACAAAAAGTGCAGCACTCTGTGTTCCCACGCGGTCTCCCATCGCAGTACTATCAAAGCTGTCACGCGCTTAACTTCAGAGATCGAACGGGTTCTGGTGTGTACGCAGGCATATGGCCGCACGAGTATTAGTTACCTGCTGGCTCCTTGTGGGGGGAATGTTAGTCTTAGACGAGTTTTTTCTTCTTGTCTTCTTCTGTGTGCACTGCAGAAGTTATTTTCTTGTGGTTGGTGTCTAGCTAGAGGAAATTTCTGTTTTCTTTGCCTGTATATTTTACAGCATACTGTTGCTAATTTTGCTTATTAATGTGTCTGCATTGACTTAGCTGAGCTCTATTCTATTTGACTGCTTCTCATAACCAAATTGTTTCTAGTAATGGGTCTAGTTTAGAGCTTTTGTGTATAGAGAATAATTTAATAAATAAATAGCAATGCCTAGCTATACTGCTTTCTAGCCAACTTATATGCACTTTTACTAGATGCAGAAATACTATCTCTGGAACAGACCAGATTAATCTAATACAAGATTTAAACCAGAGATATAGATAAACTGCAAGTTATTTTCTTATATCTGTGCACACATCTATTATTTTTGTAGACCATATCTAAAAATTAGTTTTTACCAGAATATAAAATACATAGTATTTTAAGTGCAATACTATAATGCACACGAGCTTATAAAAATGTAATCTCTCAAACCTCCTCTGTTTATTCCGGTGCATGCGCATTGTAAGTGCATTTGGTTGTAAAACATAATTGTTTTTTTTTATTTCACTTATGCTTTTCTCAATTGAGACTCTTAAAGCGTATGCGCAGTCCAAAGGAATTCCAGAAATAGAAGATGAAGACTTAAAAATACTTGCGCAAGACTTGGAATACAGGCTAAAAGAACTGGCACAAGAGTCATCAAAATTCATGATAGCTTCAAAAAGATCAAAACTTTCAATTGAAGATGTGAATTATGCGCTTCTTTCAAAAGAGATAGATCCATTGCTTGGGTATAACACAAGCAACTCCCTCATGTTTAAATCCATTCCTGGGTCTAACCTGTACTATGTACCAGATGAAGAGCTAGATCTGGAGTCAATTCTTACCTCGCCTCTTCCAAAGATCCCGCAGAAGCCTGTTATTTCAAAGCACTGGCTTGCCATTGAAGGCGTCCAGCCGCAGATACCACAGAATCCGCTGCCCATGGAAAGAATGCCCGAAATAAAGAAAGAAGACACGCTGGCTGCCATGAAGGAGGACATTGAAATACGAAACCATATGAAGCACCTTCTGTCCAAGGAATTGCAGCTATACTACGAGAAAATTGTGCAGTTTATTAAGGAAAAGGAAACAGTAAGTATTGCATCAGAATGCCTCAAAAATGAGAGCGGAATACAGCAGCTAATTCCGTACTTTGTGCACTTTTTTAACGAAGAGATTTTGAAAAACCTTCGAAACGGGGAGTATTTGGTCGATATCATCACCGTATATGAAAGTTTGATTATGAACAAAATGATATTTATAGAGCCATATATGCACCAGATGCTTCCTTCCTTGCTTACATGCGTGGTAGGAAAAAGCATAGGTCTGGACAGCAGAGATGGCGCGCGAGCAGAAGATGGCGCAGGCAGTACTGCAAATGAAGATGCCCCTGGCCTGTCCGCAAGAAGAAGGGCATCTGCTACAATAAAGCACATATACGATACGTACTCCCTTTCGTACACAACTCTTGCTCCAAGGGTTTTAAACACTTTGTTGAAAACCTGGGCAGATGGAGCAAAAACACCAGAATCACACTATGGAGCTATTTATTGCTTGTGTAATTTAGGAGAGAAAGTGATTAATGGTGTAGTTGTTCAGTTTAAGGATGAATACCTAGAAAAAACAGATGAAAATAAGTATGCGCTGCCCATTCAAATACTTAGGCGATATACAGATTCATAAATAAATACGCATATTATTCTATAATATATCCAACGCCTATTTTATATTCTATATATCCCTTTTATCTTATTTAGTGACTACTTTCTTATTGCGTATGCTTCTCTACTCTAAGTATTAAATAAAAAATTGGGGGTTCTCAAAGCGCATTAAATATTTGGCTTTATGAGTACAGCTATTCGCAGTGCGGTTTAAAGTGCCTCAAGTATATATTGGTTTTGCATCTATATAATGCACAGCAGCCTTTTATTTAAAATATTTATATAAATGAAAATTCTTGGCATGCCACTCGGGTTATATTTTAATTTAGTGCAGATGGCTCTTTTTGCAAGCAGCTTTGGAATGAAGAAAATCTAGTGTGTTTATTTAAATTGAAGGACCCCTAAATTTATTCTAACTCCTATTCTTTAGATGGGCTAGCCACTTGGAACCCGAATATCTTTGGTACATAGCTTGCCTCTTCTATTACTTCTGGGAATAAATTTCTGTACATGAGAATGAACAGATGCGGGAATGTAGGGCCAAAGGCACATCCATCCACTTCCCCGAGCTCACCTCTTGCCTCGTATATCTGCTTGCATTGGTAGCAGAAGAGCTTTGTTGTGGATTTGTTTGGCTTTTCACTGAGTCCAATTGGAAGAAACGGAAATCCATTGCAGAACACTCTTGCACACTTGCCATACACTCCTGAGCTTACAATGCCATGCATGCCCTCCAATCCTTTTTTGGTTATGATGTATCTTTGGTGGATCATATAGTACAGTATAACTCTTGCATCTGGCGACACATAAATGTCTTCTCCTCTAAATGCCCGAATGGTTTTATCGTATCCTTTTATAAGATCGGAGAGACCGAATAAGTTAAAGGGGTCGTCAATAAAAAACTGGTCGACTCTTAATATCATTTGGTCCGTGAACCCGTCAACAAATCTATCAATCCAATCCATGTCCGAGCTGGACGTTTCATAGTCTTCTAAAGAGCTAACTAGCATAAGAATAGAATAGAAATTGAGGGCATAAAAAATTATAAATTAATCCACAGAAAGAAAAGACTGGCCATAAATAAAAAGAGACTCTGTAAGAGAGTGCAGAGTGCATGGCTAGACGAAAATAGTGCATAGTATTAACTCGCTTGTAAATTGTACTACAAACACGTGGATGTATGTTGGCTGAAATGTGATAGCCAATGCATCTAGAACTGCGCTATGTATGTTTATCTTTATAGAAGCCCAAGTTCTGTATGGAAGACATATCATTTTATAACAAAGAACCATGGCTCTCTGTATTTAGTTTAACTTCTTCTCTTGTTTATCATCCATAAGCGCACATTAGACTAGATGCATGTTTAATATAATGCTGTTATCTATGCACATGCCCCATAAATGTACTGCATTTTTGTCTATACTCTACTTTTTCTGTGAATGAAAAGCATGTCACAAAGAAAAGGATTTGTCGTATGCGAATTTATTGTATATGTTTAAGTCGTTTATATCATGTATTCTATGGTTTTATAATAAACCTCTTCTACTAGCAACAGAATTGCGGTCTGGACGTTTATAGATACAGTATGCTAGTTTTTTACTTTAATATTCTTCTACTCTCTATAGCTAGGTGCCTCTTATTTAGTTTTCTGCTGCATGCCACTTTCTGTATAAGTGAAGTCTATACATCAATAAATGAGTTGTAAAATCGCCATCTAGTATATGCTGTAGTAATCCATATAAAGAAGAAACTACTTATAGCAAGCATTTTGTCTAAGATCAATTCAAAAGCTTCATTCTTGTTAAAGTTGTCTTTCTTTTCTAGCTTCATTCTGAAATGGAGTTTATTTTTATAAAATTCCGGATAGATTTATGGAATGTATTTGTATTCTAGCTTTTATTCTCTGTCAGCGTAGGCATATCTAAATATTTCAAGCACACTGGAAAAGCTATTTATTTTCACTGAGCAGCACGCAAATATCATTTAAGTCTACTTCAAGCACCTACATGACAAGGACATTTTAGAATAACTTTATGGATAGTTTCATCCTGTTTTATCTAAGGCATTTTGAAGAGTATATGCGATCTGGCTGAATTCGGGTTATATGTCTTTTTCAATGAGCTTCTGGATATGGTTATTTCAGTGATTGAAAATATGTAATTTCCTGTGCTAAAATACTAAAAACTCTTTCTATGCAACTGTATTACTATGCCAGTATAAGTTTGGTGCTTATGATTTTTTGTCTTCTAGCATTGACTCTAAATGATCATAGTGCTTCTGTGCAAGATTCTTTTAAATGTCTTTGTGTTTTTCGCAGAATTAGCATATTCCTAGAATTCTATTTTCTTTCAATTTCTATAGCTCTTTATTTTTTGGATTATTACTCTTCAGGCAAAAGTATTGTATAAAAAATATACAGTTTATATTTTTACAGAGGCACACTATACCAATGCAGAAAAACATACAATAAAGCAAACAGTGCACACAAAATAAAAGCACAGAGAAACTTAAATAATATAAAATCAACAAAACTGAACATATGTGAGTGCAATAGGATTCAAGTAAAGGAGAGATTATACTATAGCTACAATATATAAGACTGGCATAACAATAATGTGTTGTATTTAGTAATTGTTGACACACATTAAATATACTCGCTGAGTTTATATAAACTCCTATAAAGAAATTGCAATGCGTAAGAGACAAACAATTTAATTCTACAAAATATAGCCCAAATCAAGTATACACTATGAAGTCACTGGATATGCATGCAATAAACATATTAGATAAAATGCTGCACTGAAAATAGATTTAGGTGTAGTTGAGACTTCTTTATAATTTTTTCTGCTTATAGTAGAGGCAAGTCTCTATTGAAATCATGGGCTCTTTTTGTATGCCAAGAACTATCTAGCAAATATTACATATGTAAATCAAATAAACATAATAACATATTAGGCCAGTGCAGTATATAAATGTAATAGAATGCCATTGCAGGCTGTTTCAAAGAGTATATTTAATATAACCATTTATATACACAGAGAAAGAGGTATTTTCTGTCAGAAAATAAATAAATAAGTTCTCTATATTTATACCATATATATTGCAGATGCACGTATGTTATCTACATATGGATTGACAGTGAAACAATTAGATCCACGTGATATAGTATGCAACAGTACAGAAAAAACAAAAATGTGACTGCAAGTAGCTGTAAAAATGCCACAAACGCCACTTTTTTGTTAGAAAATATACTTTTTCGAGCCTGGAGTTTTGGATTGATCACCTCGCTGAACATACTAATATTATCTATAATATACGCATTCTGTGATCTAAACAAAGACAAGTTTTCTGTTCTCAGCCTCACGCCATCTGACTTCATTTTTTCCATATATCTGTTCCAGCTCTCAACTTCTTGAGTTAACTCATTTTTGAGCTCAGACAGCGAATTCTTTTTTTTAGTCTGCTCTCTAGAGTTTTTTGTCTCAAGTATAAAGTCGTTTTCATCATTGGCTCTTGCTGCGCCTTGTCCAATGCGGGATCTAATAATAGAAATTCTACCATTTATATCATGAATATCCTTTGTTAGACCTTTTATTTCGTTGCCAACTCTCTCAATAGACTCATTAATCTCGCGCAGTCTTTCATTGCAATAGCTTTGGATTATACTTGTATAGCTAGTTTGATGTTCTTTATCGCCAAATAGGCTAGAAATCGAAGAGAATAGAGCTTTTAAACACGTGACTACCTTGTTAGAAACTTCATAGTAGCTAGAACCATTTTTGAATTCTTCTTTATACTTTACCATATGGAGTGTTTCTTCCAGGATATGGCGGGTTTTAAATGAGGCTATTCTCTCTTCATTAATATCTGATAAGTTGTTTTTAATTGCGGAAATGATCTTTAAATCTTCCATTGGAATAAGTCTTATTAACTCTTCCGTAGTTTCGTCTTTGCTTCTATTGGTTCTTCTAGCTTCTTCTAGAATGCTATTTGCATCTTTAATCTTGGAAAACTGTGTGAAAATATACTGTGTTCCATAGTCTATAAGAGGCATTTCGTCTTTGTCTAGTATGTATAAGTCTGCTAAAGTAAGTTTTTCTGAATTTTGGATCTCACTGTCATAATATGAGCTGATATTTTTTAAACAGCTACTAACAGAATTGCTAATGTCTGGATCCTCTTGAATAAAGTTTATATAAAGTTTAATATATGCTGCATTCACATTTTGTTTAAAATACGTCTCTCTATCTATATCCAAAATATTCGCTTTCTCTAAATTGGTGTAAATCTTTTCTATTTTACTAGTGGCGTATTTTTGGATAATGTCTATGTTGGCATTTTCCAGAAACATCTTATAGATAGCATCGTCTGCTTTGCCTTTGCTAATTAATATTTCTTCATATACATATAGCTTGGCTAGTTCCAGCACTTTTGTCTGCTCCTCTGGAGACAAGTGTGTAGATGAAATAGACATAGAGTCGCCTATGATTGGAAGCCATGTTAAGAGAAGCTTTTCCGAGTCACTAGCGTCCTGATCATCTATATTGTCTCTGTTATCAAATGCATCTTCTATTTCATCTCTATTAAATTCTAAGCTGAATCTTCTATTCATCTCCATCTTAATAAGTAAATCAAACTGAAAGTGATTTTATAACCCGCTTTAATTATTGGTGGCTTTATTAAAGATCGCTGGGCCATTTATAATATATTTAAGAGCCGTTTGATAGGTGGTCTACCGGCTTATGAATTTTAATTAGTGCACATGACAATTTTTGTAGAGCTATTACTCCTTGAGAGTTTTCTTATACTAAGAAGAATTGCAAATAAATAATTATGAGAGACCACTAAAACACAAGTATTACAATCTGAGCACCAACAGAATGCAGTTTTACAAAGAAAAAATAACAGAGTAGTTGAAGCAAATGAATAACGAGATATATAAGTAAAGATATTCACAGAAGGAAAGTAGAGGTTTTTGAGGTACAGAAGATCTTATGCAAGAGGTATAATTTACCTGTTTTAATTGGGTATTTAATTCCTATATTCAGTGGGTTAATAAGCAGATTCGCGCAATAGTTACATTTAACAGGATTTTTTATATTAATTCTTCTGTAATTATACTATTGCATATATTTACCTAAGCCCATATAATTTTATATTTTGACTTAAAATAAAATGTTCTTTATGGGTTAAAAGTATGCAAATAATACGAAACAGCCCAGAAAATCGAAAAGTTTATTATTAGTATGCTCTAAAGACAGTATGTCTTAAGCCTAAACACAGTAACATGCCAGATAGGCCTTGTTATTTTAAAGAAAGCTTCTTGAAGAATGTTTCTATATGCGCTGAATGTATTTACACAGACTTCTTTTTTCTAAATACTGCTGAAGTTCTTTCTCTTCGTATAAAACCCAAATTTTCATAAGACTTTCTGGATAAAGTATATTCAAAATCGCTTCTATTGAATATCAAAAAAACAATGGAATTTTATGAAAAAGGATAAACTAAAGGAGTGTGAGTAGAATTAGCTCTATGATAGAAATAATGCACTGCAGCAAAAGAAATGTAAGTAGCCAAAGCAAAAAAAATGAAAGAATCATTAAAAAAGAAACAAAGAGGGACACCAGCAAGATATAGACAATATGGAACAACCCTAAAGAGTCTCCTGATCCTGCTTCTTTCATATTTAATTTATAAACTCATGTTATGTTATGCGAATAAACTGATATAGATACTGCAATGAAAACATATTTAAGAGAAGACAAATTTTAGAAAAATAATCTAAAAAAACATCTGTAGTGTGCATTGTGTTGGCATAAGAATTTAAGCTGCAATATGCAGTGTAGAAAAGAAATCAATGAATTAAGTAAAAGAGCTAAAAATTATAGGGAAGAATTAAAATAGCAAAATATACTAAAATATTTAAGCTTTAAATATGTAAAACACTAGGTCTTTGAGAAAACAGAAATTTATTTGCATATAGCTATTTCTCTATTGGAGATATGCAGATGAGGCATCCGTGTACTTTATAATTCGTCTGAGTTTGTTCCTGGGCGATTTCGCAGGGTGTCAACAGATTTTAGTTGATTTTTGAGTTGTTCGCTTTTTTGAACAAGCGATGGAAACATATAATCAAAGCCATTATTGTCCTTTTCCTCATTCTTATCCACAATATCACTATCAGAAAGGTAGTTATTGTGTATAGAGGCACACAAACCCTTTATGAACTCCATCATTACATCAAGAGTTTTTGCATAAGTATCTGCTATTCTTTTAGCCTGATCTTTCTCTCTTTCACTGCAGACAGAATCTCCAGATGGTTGGGGACCGTGATCGGACTCATCTGTTTGATCTATCGCAGGCTTTTTATTTAACTTAGAAGGATTGTCTTTTTCCGCTGTTGTGGATCCTTTTTTGGGCATATCTGCTGGTGTTTTAACACGGGGGTTAGTACCATTGGAGTCAGGAGCAAGGTCTTTTATTAGACACTCATCTACTTTGTCAAGTTGAGCAAAGATTTCTATCGCGCTTCTGGTTACTATATGCATCATAGGCCTAAATATCTTTAGAGCTTCCTCCATTGTAGCTCCGGCATTAGAAAGCATCTCATTATCAAAGGAATCGGGGTTAAAGTCAATTATGCTATCAAAAGACTTTGCCAGTGCTTTTTTCAGCTCTGGAATATGCTTTTTTATACAATTTAGATCAATGGGTGCATCACTACCTCCTTGTTTAATAATATTATATATGGCATCAATGTGCGGGACTAGTTCTTCTATCTGGAATATCATGTTGAGCATAGCGCCCTTTGCAAATGCAGCATGCTCAATTTCCGGATAAAATTTACTTTTATTTGCCATTATATACTCCTTTTGTCGTCTTTCTGCCTCATTTTTGGGATGCGCAAGGTGCAGAGCTTTTTTTCTTTCTTTCAATGTATTGAGTGTCTTTTTATTGTATGTGAATCCCAATAGCACATCTGAAAATTTCGCAACCTGCCTATTGATATATGCAAAGTATGTTTGTGCTGCTATTTCAAAGTCCTTGAAGGCGCTCATTTTCAGTTGCGGCTCCAAAAGCTTCTCGCGAATTTCTTTTAGTTCGGTGTAAAATTTCTTCATCTGGTTATGTGCCTCAAGCATCCGCATTTCAACAGAGTATGACTCTATATTATCCAAAGCATTAATATCGCGGTGCTCAAATTCCTTGTAGTTTTTGGAGCACGTGTAGTTTGGTGCCATGCGGAGCACATTCTGTATGTAGGCGTGCTGGATAGGGTTCAGCTTGCTAATCGCCATGAAGCTGCATGCCTTTGGGTTTATTGATCTGTAGTCTTCATCAGGCGGGTAAAGATTCATTGATAGATGTTCTTCTGAGAACTCTTCTATTGACCTGAGAAGACCTCTGCAAGCTGCGCAGCTTTGGTTGCTTTCTAGGACGTTATCTAGGCCATCCAGCGTGTCCGCTTCTGTTTCTATGTCTCTTTGTACATTTCTCTGTATTTTTTCTGCTTTTATTATTTGTTTAATCCGGATTCTTTTCTGAGCTCTCGCCTGGCAGTCTATAATTTCATTTTTATCAATAGAGTTTTGGGCGCTAGAAGCTAGGTATTTGCCTATGACGTGCCACGATGGCGGAAGCGTCATAGCCTGGAAGTAATAACCCAAGAGGGACAACATCTTACTTAAAGAAGAACTTTTATTCATGTCCTGCGTATCTCGCTGGGATCTTGGATTCATATTTGACTTGCCATGTCCGGTAGTCTTTCTTATATATTTCATTGCTCTTTCCATTGTCCACCACCTGCTGCTCCCATTGCAGAATTGCATCTGTATTTATAGTAGGGTTTTGATATTGAGATAGTGATGAATTACAATCGCTATCATTTTATTTTTGAACCCCCTGTCGGTATAAGGAATTTCCGAAGGAGTGGTAATTTTACCACAGCCTATTTCCGATATTACATGTGGTAGTCTTTCTATAGGCACGATGTCTCCAGTAAACACCATAATATTGTCCATGCCTACACTAAGAACATACTTTATGGAAACAAAAATAGCCACTATATATTTCACTGCATAGTTTCTCATACTTCAGCCCAATATATTTTTCTTTTATCGTTTAGAGTATAATCCTTTTGATAGTTTTGCTAATTTATGTAAGCATTGTATAAAAGACATAATATAGTATGGAAATCATCTAGTTACGGAAAAATAAATTGTACAAAGAAAAGGCGCCAGCACTAAATTGCAGTGGATTTGAATGCTTTGAATACTGCACCATGCTAGAATGAGCATTCTGGCATCTACTTTGTGACTGCATTAGTGAGGGATATGTTATTAGAAACTCTGTGTTTATCCATCTATGCAAGGATAAAAGCAGCCAAGAAGTATTGAGTAAATGCAAATTATTCTCAAAGTGTATTGCGGCTGACTATGCTACTGCAGGTTCTTCACAGAAGGACCAGAAAATCATAGTGATTGAGGTTTAGTTGAATGTTAGAATATTGAGGCAGGAGAAATACATGCACTCAGGTATGCAAACTACATTTGCTGCTTGATTCTTGTTCTTTATGTACAGTGCTGGATGTTATTCAGGCACTAGCCTAGATGAATGCTATTTTAAGTCTACCAAAAATAAACTACATGGCAGCAAAGAATACATATATACAACGTACAGGTAAGGAGGGTTTCTGTATATTTAGAGAGTGAAACACATTATATGTTGTTATTTTCTTTTTGCATAATAAGGTTTAGTTACCGCTTTTTAAATTTTTCCCCCATGCCAGAACTCTTAGGTAAAGATGAAATTAGAAATATACTTACAGAAGTGAATATATTGAAGAGCAAAAGACATAGTTCCTTAGGAATTTCTATTATTATAATTACAGCAGCAATTGCAATAAGCGCCCTGTTTATATTCATCTCTACAAAAAGCCATCTTACAGAAATGAGAAAAGCACGCCTGATAAATCAATTAAGGTTTGGTGAAGAGGATATCCTTCTGGAAGACGAAGATGTCAAAAAAAATAACAAGGCACAGAGCAGACCTAACCCAGAGTACATAGATATATCAAGAGTAAAAATAATCCATGTCCTCTCTGGCATCATTGCACTGGTATTCAGCGTTCTGACAATTACAATCTTTGCATATGTAATTTTCAATAAAAAATATGAATATCCTGAATCCATCCAGAATGCACTTAGCAAAGACATAAACATGGTAGAAATGCATAGAAGATTTGCTCGGAGTGTTAATAGCGTTGAACAGACTAGTTCTAGTGTTTTAGGCAGTGGAGGTAGATATATGCTGACAGGCGATTCTATTCTAATATTCAACAAACATGACATGGGAAGACCTATTCGGGTGGCTGCAATAAAAGGCCTGTTGCATGAGCTTGAAAAAAGAACAGAAGATGAAGCTCTTTTGAAATCCATTAGAGCGCACAGAAACTATTAGCGAAAATAAAGAGGAGCCTACACTATATTGCCTGCATTTTTTTTATTCACATGGAAAATGCATGGGATGCGAGTATACTTGCAGACTACTTTAAATACAATATGTATAGTGGAGAAGCTGCGAAAGAAGGGTGGCTTTTAAATTATCAGGTAAAAGACATAATGTCTTCTGAGAAAAAGAGGCTTCTCACAACTGCAGTATTCTACTTTATAGACGCGGAAAATAACAATTTTCGGGTAGAGATGCCGTTCTCCCCAAAGATACTTCTAGAGGTTGCTGCATCCTCGCTCTCTTCGGTTGAGGATTACCTGAACGGGCGGTATCCAGACAGCATAAAGGCCACGGGCATAGCCACCAGAACAGATCTCCAGAAGATGAACCATCTGGCAACTGACGGATCAGAGTACCTTGTGATAAGCATGTACTCTGAGAAGGATGCCCAGCAGATTAGAAAGGAGATAGATGAAATCACAAGGAGAAATACAGCGCGGCAGAAGGAAAGCGCAGTGACTCTTCTTTTTGCGAAAGAAAAAAGAGCCTGCCTTTTGCCAGACCCAGAAGAGTACATACTGAGCATATGCGAATATGACATTTCGGCGAGCATTCAAATGGCAATTGAGCTGGATATCAACGCAGGAAAGTGGTACACTGTGCAGTACATGGGAGGATACATTATAGGGCCGTCAACGCGGGTTCTTCCGCCAGATCTTAGAATTTTCTCATTTGATATTGAAACAACCAAAGACCCTCTTAAATTTCCATCTGCAGATAAGGACCAGGTTATGATGATATCGATAATGAGTACCCAGGACGGATGGCTGATTACAAACAGGGAAATAGTTGGAGAAGACATTATGCCGTTTGAGTTCAGGCCAAAAAGTGACATTGGAGGGGAGTTTGAGATCTGCAACGAAAAAAATGAGAAAAACGTTCTGAATAAGTTTGTAGAGATCTTGCTGGCGTATAAGCCGCATGTAGTCACAACGTATAACGGAGACTTTTTCGACTGGCCGTTTGTGGAGGCTAGACTGGCAGTGCATGGAATTAACATGCAGACGTCAATAGGCTTCTATAAAACTGCGATGGAGGAATACATATGTCATCACATTTTGCACCTAGACTGCTACAAGTGGGTAAAAAGAGACAGCTACCTTCCGGCAGGCAGCCAGGGTCTGAAGAGCGTGACAAAGGCCAAGCTTGGGTATTTCCCAGATGAAATAGACCCAGAGTATATGGTGGAGTGTGCAAAGAGCAACCCTAAATTGATGGCATCCTACTCTGTTTCTGATGCAGTGGCAACACACTTTCTGTACTTGAAGTATGTCCATCCATTTATTTTCTCGCTTGCGTCGCTCATTCCGCTGCCGCCTGATGATGTGCTGCGAAAGGGGTCTGGAACACTCTGTGAGGCTCTTCTGATGAAGGAGGCGTACGGGTGCGGAGTGCTGATACCTTCAAAGAAAAAGTCACACATTCTGCACAACTACAATGGGTATATGGCGGAGTCGCTGTCATACGTAGGAGGGCATGTAGAGTGTCTTAAGTCTGGTCTATACAGGTCAGACTTTGAATACGAATTTTCATTCAACAGACAAGACCTGGAAAAGATGGTGGAGCAGGTAGGCTGTGTGGTAGATTCAGAGCTAGAGGGGAAGGAGTGCTATAACAGGAGCCAGGTGATATCAGAGATACAGGAGAAGTTGCGCATTTTGCAAAAGTCAGACAAGGCTCGAATGAAGCCGCATATTTACCATCTGGATGTGGGGGCGATGTACCCAAACATTATTCTTACCAATAGGCTGCAGCCAACTGCAGTGATGGACGATAAGGCATGCGCGCACTGCGCATATGCACCAGAGAAGGACACCTGCCAAAGAAAAATGAGATGGAAGGGCAGGGCAGAGGTGCTTGCAGTTGGAAAAAAAGATGTGCAGGCAATAACAAAGAAGACAAGAAATATGTTCATAGCGCGTAAAAGAGCACAGAATGTGCAGGAGAAAACAAAAGCCGAGGAAGCAATAGATAAGAAGGGAAATCAGCCGTATAAAAAGGACACACCAAGGCAGCAGTCATTCGAGGAGTGCTTGCGAGATAATCTCATTGTGCATGCAAAAAACACAAGCAAAAAGACAAGGGAGATTGTTATAGAGGACAAAGAAAGCATTATTTGCCAAAGAGAGAATCCATTTTATGTAAATGCTGTAAGGAAGTTTCGAGACCGAAGAAATGAGTATAAAAGACTGGCTAAGGAGGCAAAGGAGCAAGCGAAGAAGGCAGAGAAAGAAGATGCACAGCTAGCAGGAGACTGGAAGAAAAAGGCCGGGATATATGATTCTCTGCAAATTGCACATAAGTGTGTTCTCAACTCGTTCTATGGATATGTTATGAAAAAGGGCGCTAGATGGCACTCTATGGAAATGGCAGCTGTGGTGTGCCAGACAGGCAGCAATATCATACAGAACACCAAGGCCGTAATTGATGCATTTGGAATAACGCTAGAGCTTGACACAGACGGAATATGGGCCCTGCTGCCTGAGTCGTTCCCTCTAAACTACACGCTTAACACGCCAGATGGATCTGTGAGGTTCTCGTACATATGCTCTCTTCTGAACTTTATGCTGCTTGATAAATTCAGTAACCCGCAGTATCTTAAAAAGGAGGAATCAGGGGAGTACACAGTCAGCACAGAGAACTCCATACGCTTTGAGATTGATGGTCCGTACAAGGCAATGTTTCTGCCGGGCTCGATGAAGGAAGGGGAGTCCATTAAGAAAAGATACATTGTTATAAATAGCGCAGAAAAAATATCTGAGCTAAAGGGGTTCGAGTTTAAAAGGCGAGGAGAGCTAAAATTTGTGAAGGCCTTCCAAGAAGAGACTTTTAATCTTCTTTTACAAGGAAAAACACTACAGGAGTGCTATGCTGTTCTGGCAGAGTGTGCAGACTACTGGATTGATATTATAGAAACACGCGCAGAGTCTATGTCGCAGGATGTGATTTTCGGGTACTTTGGAGAAACCCGCAGTCTAGGAAAGAGCGCAGATGCGTACTCTTCTGTAAAGTCAACCAGTCTTACAGCAGCAGCAAGACTTTCAGAACTGCTTGGGCAGGGCGTGGCTGCTAAAGGCACCGCATGCTCTTTTATTATTGTTAAGTACCCAGAGAATGCTCCTGTTACATCACGATCAGTCCCGCAGGCAGTATTCCACTCTGATCCGGAGACAAGAACAAGATATCTGCAGAAGTGGCTGGAGGTAAAAGTGGTTCCTGAGGATATTCGGGAGATAATTGACTGGTCGTACTATTTAGAGAGGCTCTCCAGTATAATCACTCGAATACTTATTGTGCCGGCTTCTTTGCAGGGCATTTCAAATCCAGTGCACAGAGTACAGGCGCCTTCCTGGGCAATTCGGCATAGAAAAATCACAGACTTCCTCCCGTGTGCTTCTAAGAAAGCGGAGGTAGCAAAAGAATTAATAGGAGAAGAGAATGTGGGTGCGGTGACACTGGAAGAGCTTCAGATTAAAGACTCCTTAGTGGAGAATATGCCTGAGAATGCATCGCTGAACGAGAACAGTATTGGTGAGAACTCTGGCATAAAGAATCCCAAGCAGAAACAAGAAAAACAGAAAAGCACTGCAAACCACATGGATGCAAAGATAACAGAGTTCCAGAAGCTGACAAACTTCATCACAACTGATAAAGAGGCAGATGAAAGAGCAAGAAGACTCAAAGAGGCGCCAGATGCACGAGTGCCTGCTGTATTTATTAGAGAGGCCTCTGAGGACAGGTATACTGCAGTTTATTTCGAGAACAATTGCTTTGTAGAGAAAGTGGTTCCTCTGAAGAAAGTATTCTATCTGCATGCTGACTCGCCTGTTTTGGATAGAATTGCATCTGCATATACTTCTTTGAGCCCAGCAATCCATGCAGAGAGGCTTGTATCTTTTGCCGTTGGTCTTACTGGCCGCAGAGATTTTGTTAAAATAGAAATGGACACTGCAGAGTTTAAAACTAGATTCCACCGGCATACAGCTCTATTAGAAACACCAGAAGTGCGTGGAATATATGAGCTGAACACCCCATCTAGAATAGCAGCACTGTGCAATTTGCGGTATGAAAAGGTCGCAGTATACGCGCTAGCAAAATGCATATTGCATAGAAAACCAATCTATGCTCTATACAGCGGCATAGATGGCTCTAGCATACCTTCTATAACAGCAATGCAATCTTCTCCAGGAGTTGAGATGTTCACTTCTCAGAAAGACCTTGTTGCATCCCTCAAAAAAAAGGCACCTGGGCTGGTTTTCTGCACACCTGCAGTGCCTGCTCTAAAAGTTAATCATTTCTTTGTTCTAGTAGACACAGGGATAGTAAAGCCAAAGGCAAGCAAGACAGGAAAGACAAGCCGTGAAATGCCAGAAACAACTAGTCAGCAACCCAGCACTGCTACAGATGAACAACCAATCGAGAAAGAGGAAGACACTGCAAATATTGATGAAAACCCAACCGCTACTGAAGAGAACCCCTCTAAGAGTTCTAAGACAATTTCTATTAAGGTAGATGAGTTGCCCGATCATGTTAGAAAAGAATTAATTTCTGCTTTGCATCGTGCAGCTAAAAAGGCATTAAGCTTGACCCAGCTGGCTTCATACGCAGATATTCCCGTTCTTCCAGGTGACTGGCCCTGCGAAACACTAGTGCTTGATTTACTCTACCATAGGAAGAGAAAGAGCCGGCAAATTCTGGGATGGAATGACTCCTTCCTTATGAGGAAAAAGCACTATTCTCCTGGTAGAGTAGATGAAAATCCCTTCAAAACAGAGTTCTGCAAGGAGGGCATCTACACAGGAATATCCTCTGTAGTGTCTGTATCAGGCTCAGTTCTTCTGAGTCTTATTGAGGCAGATACTCTTCTGCGGGAAGAAAGATCTTCATATGCTCTTTGCCCAGAAATGCATGCTTTACAGGACCTTGCAAAACATATTGTATACTCATGCATACAGCAGGAGGAAGGAGCCAACTCACTCGCAAGATCAGTTTCATTCTGGCTTCGCACGCCTGGAATAGACTCAGCTCTGCCCGCGCGTCTGTCTGAGAAGGCTTCCTTGCTGCAAACCAAGTTCATTGCCAGAATTGTTTCCGCAATCAATGCAGCAGGCTGTGAAGTAGTATCTGCAGACTCGGAAGAGCTAATTCTGCACACAGGACAGAGCACCTTGCAGCAAGCCCAGGTGCAAACTAACTATGCTTTGTCAGAAGTTACTTCGCGCACATACGGCTCTCTATTGCAGATTGATGTAGTAGACTGGCTTAGTCAGGCTGTTTTTGTAGACTCTGCAAACTATAGGAAAATATTCTTGTCGGGAGAAAAAGTGCAGTCCTTTATAACAAAGGTGCCCTCACAGGCAGTAGATGATTTGCTTGAAAAAGACGACTTGCAGGCGCTAGAGTGGATTCAATTTGTATATCAGCAGAATCAATCAGAGGGCATCTCAGCTGCTAGGCTCTTTATAAAAATATTCGGGCTTAAGTTTTCACAGGGGGACTTTCCTAGGAAGGCTGCGCGTCTAGTTGAGCTAAGTCCTTTTTCTGAGGAGATGCAGGCAGGCTTTGGTGAGAGTATATGTGTTTTAGTGGAGTGCAGGTGCTCAGCAGGAACATCTTTCAAATCACAGCCTCCTTCTCGCAAATGGCTGGAGGAATGTATGTATGGAGATACATTTTTCAGTGATCTACTGTTGGAGAAACGAAAAATAGATCTTCGATGCAGAAAGTGCTGCAGGATATTCTCACGGGATGTCTTGGAAAAATGCTTTATTCAGAAAATGCATACAGTAGCAGAGACAGCAGTTAAAATGGAGAAAAAGTGCTCTCTTTGCAAACTTCCAAGTAAAAGTGCTTTGTCACAGAGGTGCTCTTGCGGTGGCCGGTTTGCTAGAGATATTAACAAAGCGTGCATTGAAGCGATGCAGCATATCGCCGGGCTGTGCGCGCTTGCTCCGATTGCTTCAGTTATTGTCTATGCAAGAGAGATAGTGGCATATCTTGACCAAACCAAGCAGATCTTAAAATAAGTAACAGAAAGTTGCTTAGTATCCTTTATTTTATTCAATAAACCATTTGTTATATATATTTTTCATATAATGATCAGTAGTTAAGGTATAATAGATGTATTTATTATATAAGCAGTTTTTCTGTGTGGTTTATAAGAAATTCAAATGTCAGTGCATTGAAATTACAACTCTTCTTGAGATATTCTTCTGTAGTAAGAGTGCCCCAAATGCAATTTTTGGGATGGAATATTGAAAATATTCTTTCTATTAAAGCTAATATCTTTATTGGAACGATATTACTAAGTTGCGTTGCTTCTTTCATTAAGCGTACTAATAATACGGCTGTTTACATGCTAAAATTTTGTTTCTAGTCTTCTTGAAGTTCAATTATAGATTTTCCTTTCTATTCAGATAGACTTCCTAGCAGGTTTCATTCTTATTAAAGATTATTGTTGAAAAGAGGATGCTTGTTAATTAATTTTGAGAATTCTAAAGACTGCGCAGTGACTTTCAGTCTAATCAAAAATTCTTCATTAATTGGATACCTAGCAATGGGCCTAGCTGCTCCTGGTGAGATATGCACTAGATGAGTTGCTGTTAACACATGGTCTTTGTATTGGTTTGGGAAGTACTTGTCCAGCTTTATCGTTCTATACTCGCTTGCAACAGATCTAGCACTTCTGGAAATCAGCTCAGTGTCTGGAGTACTGTATGTTTTCATACGGTCTTCCATATCTATAATGCTTTTTTCTATTGCCGCCAATTCATTATTTGACCTAGAAGTTATTAACTCTATAACCATCCCTGTCATAACTAGAAAAATAATAGAAAAGAATGCAAGCAACCTGATATACTTCCATTTCATGATTTTTCTTTCTCTTCTCTCATATACTGATGATGCTGGCTTTGAATAATCTACTATATATACTTCATCGCCTTTCACAATATACCCGGGATATATAAAGCCTCGATATAAAACGATAGCTAACCCAGAAAGCACTACAATATATAAGCCTCCCAGTAATACTTGGTATATGTATGTGAGTCTTTCAATTTCATGCATATTTTTAATCCAATTTAAATTCAATTCTTTCACTAGCATACACTGATCTATATCCATGCAAAAAAGCTAAAAAATTTTAATTAAAGTATTTTAACTGCATAGCCATATAAGAATTCTTATTTATGCAGAGAACCTTATTTTCTCTATTGAGACCGCATGAAGTCCTTCTGAATCAGAAATGAAAATAATTGCAGCCTTTAACCTTGGTGTTGTTTCTAATAAGAATGGCATGAGAATTCTATTGTGTCTCTGCGTATTACTGTGTAGCCTATGCTTTAACTTTATTTGCCTAATTCTGAATAATTCAGGTTATATATTTTTCTGGCTCATTTTGGGCTCCATCTTCGAGCTTAAATCAATCAATTTTGTGGCAGTTTGTCTTTATAGAATAGAACTAGAGAATGGATGCAGAGCAGAATAACTGTGCTGAATATCTCAGAGAAGAACCAGCTAATCTGAATAATAAGCTTGTCTATTTAAAATATGCAGTGCCTATTTATATTTTTAGCATAAATAAATAATTTTATTCGGACCATTCAACATAACTAAATCAGTGCTTATTAACAGAATAGAGTCCAGATTTATGAACACCCTAGTATAGATTGCAGAAAGAACTCAGTATTTAGTCATGTGCTGAAAAAAGGTGTTTTTATTTTTGGAATAGCTAAAATAAACAGCGCATCTTTGTGAATATACATGGATGAATATTTTATTTTAGTTATACTTTGACCTATAGAAATATAGTGACTGCCAAGAAAGTCTTTAAAGCCGGGCAGCAGATTTAAAAATAGATGAAAAGAGCTCTAAGTGCTTATAAACCTTACTATCCATACTATGGCAGAATATTAAAGTGGGAATGCACCACCTTCAGGGCATCTTTAGTTGAAAGCATCTGTAGCCCATTTAAAGCAGGCACTTTTTCTTTGAATACTTTCTGAACTAGATCCCTCACACTTTTTCCGTCACATACTTTATTGACGCACACTTGTCCTAATTTTCCTGAAAACACCAGGAATTCTTTTTCTTGTCTTTCCATCTTTCGAAGCAAACTATACCCCATTGTATCCAGATAGTAGTATGCTTCCTGCAGTGCACTTCTTTCTTTTTTTGCACTTCATCCAAACCGTTTTGAGAATATCTTTGCTAGGCCAGGAACTGCTGCATGTGCAGCCCGAACATCGAAATATGCGAAAAAGCTTCTTCTTCCAAGATAGTCTGATATGTTTCTGACATTCTCATGGTCAATCGTGTAAAGCACCTCTGCTGTAATGTATGGATGCCTTGGATCTATTCTAGTGTAGACTCCGTTTGCATACGCACATACTTTCCACGCCCTGTCCCCATATGCATCTGCCAAGTGTTCTGCAATATCGCTTGAAATCCCCTCCTTTTTCGCAATTTGCAGGCCAAGTGACTTGTCATAAGAGTGGCTTCCTATCACTCTCACATGCTTGGTCACGCATTCTCGCCCTGGCAGACCCCCTACTTTTGCTGCTGTAGATACTGCTTCCTCCGCCATGGCTCTGTAGCTAGTCCATTTTCCTCCTGTAACTGTAACAAGACCTGCAGGAGATACCTCAACAACATGCGCTCTTACAGCAGATGTGCTGTCACTAGCAGATCTATCCACAGCCAAAGGCCTTACTCCACTCCATGCACTCATTATATTTTTCACACCTGGATATACCTCTGGCCGTATGAGGTCCCGCATTTCTTCTGCCAGGTATAGAAGATCCTTCTCCCGCGCCATTTTAAAGAAGCCTGGTGTGTCTGTAGTTCCTAGTATGACACTTTTATGCCACGGCAGCATAAACATTACACTTCCATTGTGTGTTTTTGGATGTATTATGCCCATTCCATTTACATATCCCTGAAGTATCACATGCACACCTGTGCTTGGGGCCATCATTGTAGGTGTGTCAGGCCGGTCATTTTGTCTAAGCTTGTCTGAATTCGGGCCTGTTGCATTTATCACACTCCGTGCTTCTACTGTATACTCTTTCCCAGTTTCTGTGTCGGTAAAAGACACGCCTGTAATCTTTCCTTCACTTTTATTCAGCTGTGCTACTTTACAATAGTTCAAGGCACTTCCGCCATAGTGTGTTCCTGTTGCGATCAGCATGGAGTTAAATCGCGCATCATCCATCTGGCCATCATAGAATACCATTCCCCCTGATATTCCGGTATTGGCAACCCCGGGCAAAAGGGTCTTGATCTTAGAAAAGGGCAGAAAGCTGCTTGGTGCAATGGCGTGCCCAATTGACAGCCAATCATACATTTTGGCACCAAACCAGTAGTACGGTATAGTGAGCTTGCTAGATATTGGAAGAATAATTGGTACTGACCTAGTCAGATATGGTGCGAGTGAGAGGAAGGTCTTTCTTTCCTTCAGACCCTCAACCACCAAAAAAAGATGTTTGTAGCTCAGCTGTTTCAGAGCAGTCTCCAGGTACCGAATTCCTCCATGGATCAGTTTTGTGCTCTTAGAGCTGGTTCCACTAGAAAAGTCATTTTTTTCAAGAAGTAAAACAGAGTATCCTCTAGTTACAGCATCTAAGAAGCACCCAGCACCTACACTGCCGCCCCCTATTATGACAATGTCATAAGATGGCTTAATCTTCTTAAGAAGAGCACTGCGTGATGGTGGCATCCATGAGAGAGGAATGCTCTTACTATAACGCTCCTTATGCTTATTCCTTTCATGCACAGTAAGAATGCGATCCACGATTACTGCCCCTGCAAGCACTGTACCAAATGTACTTCTGAGTATACTCATATAAACAAAAAGAAATTTAGGAATTATTATGGGCGATAATTAATAAGAACAAGCATATTACAAATAATACCAGCGATATTCACCTGGAAAGCCTTTGCTTTGTTATATCAATACAAAATTTTTATTGAATTAACATTACCTACATACAGGTCAATAGAAATTATATATCCATTGCATATATAGCCCGAATTAAAAGAATATGCTATTCTTTGACGCTTTCTTACCTAAAAGGGCCTAGAGTACAGAGTTCTAAGCACTGCCTAGTAATAGGATTTCTGCTATATGTAGCATGCACTAAAACTAGTTGTGGATTTAAGAATCTGCCTGTAAACACCTATCTCTTTCTGCCTGCCAATCCATACTCATAAATACTTATTCATTCTTCTTTTTACTTTCACTCTTTGCGTTTTCTCTTGCTGATTTTTTTGCATCTTTCTGAGGGGGAAGATCTCGTATGTCCTTTGTTAGCTCTCCTTTTTTAATGAACTCAATTGCCATTCTGACAATAAGCACTGACCAGTATGAGTTAAGCAAGAAGACTCCCAGAAGAAGCCCCCATATGGGAACAAGCAGCTTGCTTCCAAACTCCCATAGGAAACTGTATCCTGGAATCAGTATCATGAACACATAGATTAGAATACGAGGCACAATGAACAGAATGGAGAATATAATGAACAGAATGTTTCCTAGCGTCTGATACCCTAGATAAACTGCAATCTTTGCGGAGTCCATCCAAGAGTCAGAAATATCGTGCAAAAGCATAATAAACACACCGTATCTCAAGAAATTGTATCTATACGAGAACCCAACCAAGACCAGTGTAACAAAGTGATGGTAAATCATAAGATAGAAGTCAGACTGCTTTTCCTCGAAAAACATTGTGATAAAGCTGCCGCTGTAGTAAACTGTTTCCAAAATGTAGTACATATTCACTTTGCACGGCGTTGCATTGTTTGGCCACTGAAGTGTAATCCCAAAGGGAGAGAATATCCATGACTCTGTGGACACCGTGTACAGCCCCCAAGCACTTAAAATGCCAAAACAAAAGGCCTTCCATAGCGCCCGTCTGAACTTTCTTCCGTCAATTTGACCTTCTGGCACTCTGGAGAGTGCTCGAATAAGGACAGGTGAAACAACTCTTTTTATGATGTAGTGCAGAATGACATATAGAATTATTCCTGCTCCGTATAGTATAAGATCTTCAGGAAATCTTAGAGCCGAATCCATACTTCTAGTTGCCCATTCCTCACGCATTCCTCAGACACTAGAATCTTCCTTGTATTTATGAAAGAAGTAAAACATAGTTTCACTTTTATTTTTATGAACAAGGCTAAGCAGGAGGGGATTCTTATTCTGGAGGATATTCTGGGCACAGTTGAAGAGATACTTCTTCTGTCAAAAATCACGATTGCCGAGAAGGAAAAAGATATCCACAGAGAGATAAAAGAGGCATTTCAACTAAAAATGAAAATAGAGCAGCTGGTATCTTCTGTATCATCACTGCACGCGGTAATATTAGACCTAGAAACCCACCGCGAGGCAAACCAGCTCTGGAAGGAATCCAACACAAAGTCATCTCTTATTCTGCAAAAGCAAAAGAATAGAGAGCACTTAATGGAATATCTAAAAAAGCTTTGAAATAAGACAGCTGGGATGGGATTAATGGGAGAGCATATATTAAGATAATGCAATGCTTTATATCTACCAGAGTGCGCTTATATAAACTGTAATAAAAATAACTAGACTTTCTTTGAAATTCCTGTCATTAATCATAATAAGTAACATTTCTAAAGAAGGTAGAACTTCGGCTAAAAATACTAGTTTAAATAGAGTATATAGTTATTGTGTTTCTCTTTCTCAAGAATATATAGCTCTTACTAATAGGCCAGACTTCAAAGGAAAAGCAGCTATTGTGGAAGGTTTTCTACCTTTTGCTAATTTCTATTTGTATTAGGATACTCGATGCTTGCGCTTGGTGAGTTGCTCTCTATTTCAGGCCACTATTTCCTGCCAGAACATCATATACTTCCCTAGATAACATTAATAAATGCTATGTAAATAGCTTTATGTAATTCTATGTTTTTAGCCATAAACACGCAATAGAAAACATCATTCTTCTATTACATTATGGATCATTTCTCTTCACGATTTTTTTAATGTTTAAATTGAAATAAAAGAGTTCTATTTTATATTTGCATCTTTAAACACTGAAGAGTTTTAAGATATAGCGTAAGTATAGCCCGACTTCCAATTGGATCCTAGAAATATATAGCATAAAATATGCCGTATGTAAATTAAAATTACACAGCATAGGCCGCTCTATATGCAAAGTGTCCATGGTTCAAGAAAGTAAGAAACAAACACACATAAACAAGAGTTATCCAGTAGTATACATACCAACAAGGCAACTACCTTTATACTCACCTAAGCACAAGCTTAGTACAAAAAAGCCCGAAGAGCCAATGCCAGCGCCGATATTCAGAAAGTTTCATCAGAAGCATTGCAGCAAAAACTATATATAGTGGCATCCCCAAATAAATTTCAGCGTGGCCCAAGTTGAAATAAGAAAAGCCTTTCTGTGATACCACAAAGGCGTAAAAACACTCTAAAAATAACACATTTATGAATATTTATGGTCTATTTAATATTCTATAGCATGGCATACTTCTGTGTCCACTCTCTGGCTATTCGCATATACTCTGCATTGCTCTCATTGTATAGCTTGGATATATTTGTATCTAATGGGTCTAATGGGTTTGGATCTGCCAAAAGTGACGTAATAGACAGCAATACCTTTGATATTGTTAAAGCCGATGACCATTCCTTCCCAATAATATCAAGGCAAATGTGTGTATCTTTTATGTTGCAGTGAAATATCTTTGTGCAAACCCTTACCTTTGGAGGGGCATAAGGGTAGTTTAGTGGAAAAACTATGTCAAACTCAAAAGATCCTCCTTCATATGGCGTTCCCTCTGGCCCAAAAATGGTTGCCTTCCAGACAAGCAGGTTGTCCGAGTTTATAGGCCCTGCACTGAAACAGGCACTTGTGTCATTATTCATTTCCGCTAGGTCGTTCAGAATTCTTTTTATGTGCTGCCCAGTCTCTTTGTATTTCATGTTGTTCTCTGGAAATATTTCGATAATAAAATGTTTGAAGTTATTTTTTGCATGAAACACAAGAGGCCATCCTTCGCCCAGACAACGCCCTCTCTACCATACGAATACAAGCTTCGTAGATATAAGCCTAGGCGGATCAAAAAAGAAGAGTCAAAAGAAGTAGATGAAATTGAAAGATTTGCCTCATTCCACACCGGCAGAAAGCACGAGGAAAAAGAGACTGCTCACTCGCACAATGTGGTCTTCAGAAGACACATCCGCAGAAAGGATCTTGAGGCAAAAATAAAGAAAAATGCAATGGACGCAGACGCAATAAAAGAAAGCCCGCCCCCAACACATTTTGAAGTACTGCTTGTGAAAGAGTCGCCAAGCAACATCGTTTATACATTTGACGTGGTTCCCTGGGAGTATTCCGTGGATAATAAAGAAGAAGAGCGAGAAACAGAAGACAGGCTCCTTCTAGACCACAACTACAACACGCTTCAGTGGGAGCAACAGATTGTTTATGATGATACCATGATAAACACGCAGCGGCTGGATACCCACTTAGTCATTGATGCAAACGACAGGAATCTTCTGTTCGACATAATTGATAAAGAAGGGCCAAAGGAGAAAAAGCCAAAAAAGAAAAGACACCAAACCAGGCTGCTTTCCGGGAAGTACAACATATCGGGAGACAAGAACTATGTGGAGCCGCATGAGACGCTTAAGAGCGCTCTGGGTATACAGGGCGTGCAGCACTCAATTCCTGCGCTAAAGTTGGCACCTGAGCTGTACAAGACGTACCTTACAAAAGAAGAGCTCAGGCACTTCCATAGGCCTCCACTACACATTTCATCTGGAACAGAAATTAGGTTTGTGCCTTTACTGGAAAGCACTGCAAAGCCATCTTCCATCCTAAAGAAGAAGAAGGATCTGACGCTCCGAGACACTGCAGACTTTCTGCTTCTGGAGTATTCTGAGGAAATCCCTCCGCTCATTACAAAGACCGGAATGGCCAGCATCATCACGACATTCTATAGGAAGTGCAACGCCAAGGACAGTTCTCCTGCAGAGCCAGAAATAGGAAGCTTAACTGTTCTTGAGCCTAGAGATCCAACCCCCTTCATGTTTATTGGAGATGTGCAACCGGGCGAGAGCATCCCTGGTATTGTGAACAATCTGTACAAGGCCCCGATGGCCTTCCATACATCAGAGGACCTTCTGGCTGTAAGAACACACGGAGAAAAGTCGCTGTACTATATTCGCCCAATTGAGGCACTCGCCTGTGTAGGACAAACTCTTCCTCTGGATGAGGCATTTAGCCCGCACTCAAGACGCCACAATGTCTTCTGCAAGAACCGAATGAAGGTGGCTGCGTACAGGCTCTTTTACGAAAAGGGCAACAGGGAAAGAAAGATGTATATATACCAGCTGGATGAGCTTTTCCCGCACTTTAGCGAGGGAAGCAAGCGTAAGTGGCTAAAGGAGTACTCTGAATGCATAAAGAAGGGGAAGGACAACGTGTGGGTTCTGAAGCCCTCAGCTTCTTTGCTAAGCGAAGAGGATCTTAGAAGAGCCGTGACGCCAGAAAAAGTCTGCCAGTATGAAAGTATGCTTGCTGAGGAAAGACGCCTGAAAGACGCAGGCATTGTTTTAGCATCTGTTGAGGAGGACGCAGGGGATGACGAGGAGCTGAAGCTCACCGTGTGGAACTGCACGAGAAACTTTGTGAATGCTGCGGGAGGAAAAGGTGTTTTGGAAATATCTGGAGCAGGAGACCCAACAGGAATTGGGGAGGGCTTTAGTTTTGTCCGCGCCCGCAAAAAGGAGCGAGAGGCAGAAGAAGATGGAGAGAAGAAGACAACTGTAGAGCAGATGCAGGAGTACAAGGATGAAATAAAAAAGATATGGGAAGCACAAATACAGGCGATTAAGTCAACTAAGCTGCCAGAGCCCTCTGTGCAGGAAAAAGAAAAAGAAAGCGCAAAAACAAAGAAAGTTTTCCCAGAGGCGAAGACCGGAAAGATTCTTTCTATCACTAGAACAGTCCTAAGAGATGACAAAAAAGTGCAGGAAACAGAGATAGTCACAGACCCCAGGGTAATTGAGGCATACATGAAGTCGCGTAAGAGACAGAAGAAGGAAGAGGCGAGAACCTCCTTGAAGTGCGGTTCTTGTGGCCAGATTGGGCATATGAAGACAAACAAAACATGCATGAACTATAAAGGAAAGGCGGCAGAGAAAAAAGAGAGAAAAAAAAGCCCGGCAGCAGTGCTAAGTGAGTTCATTCTCGGGGTTATAAAGGAGCTGTTTGCAGTTCCCTTTTCAGTGGCATTCCACCGGCCTGTTTCAACCAAGAAGTTCCCAAACTATCTTACGTTCGTGCCAAATCCAATTGACCTTACAACAATGAAGACCAAGGCCAGGGCGAATGGATACAGTACATATGGGCAGTTCATAGAGGATGTCCAGCTAATGAACAGAAATTGCAGTACATACAATGGCCCTGGGCACTCTCTTACAAAGATATCAGAGGAAATGCTGGGGGTAACTCTTTCTGCATATAGGAAAAGCCAAGAAGCAACCGGCACACCAGTGGAAACACCATATAATGAACATGAGTAATAGGCAAATGGTATTTTGCCCAATATTAAGAAAGTGCATCCTTGCCTTCTGCAATGAATAAGTTCAGATTATAATAAAATGACTAATACCATGTTTTTTCTGAAAATACGCGCATTAAAACACACGCTTACATAGCAATATGGATTATGCCCACTAGGCTATTTAGTTTTTAGCATATTTCTTATTTTTATACTAGCCAGAGACGAGGCAGTCTAAAGAAAGACTTTTCATAGTTATTAGACAACAAAGTATCTTCTTGGCTATACATATAAAGCATATTTAGTTAAAAAGTTTTTATTAGATTGCATGGAGTGGTCTGCATGAGAATACTTGAATGCGCAAATTAGTGCGTGTCAATAAGAAAAGTAAGTTAAAAATGCAATCCATTTTGATATCAACAGACAGTTTATGTGAGTGATCTCAAAAAGTATACTAATTAGAGTTACCCAATGAAAGATATGTCAGTAAGATCACTTTTTTGGTGCTATATATTTACTACTAGAAAAACCCAGAGCTCAAGATAAAAAAGACTGCTAGCAATAGCATGCAATTACACCAAGAGGGCAGTATAAAAGACATGTTAGGCGAAAAAGCTTATAATAAGGGTGTAAATCATGGGCAAGCTTAAAAAATACATGAATTCTTTTCATGCATAAGCTGATGCGACTATCCAGTAACTGCTTTATATTATCGTGCTTCTTACTGAATAGCATGCTGTATATTGTTCTGTTTAGCAATCTATGCTTAAGTATGGTATATTAAAAGTTGAATAGAATAATAATGTGTACTAGTGGCACAGTGCCCAACTATTACACTGTATTTTTAAAAGGCATATAAAGCGCACAAACTTAATAATGCATTTATTAATTAGCTTCCACAGCTTAAGCAGTCTCCATCAAGAGAGCATGTTGCTGGGGGGCTGCTTTCTTTCTGTAAGTACTCCTTGGCCTGCTGTTTGTCCACTGTAAACTTGATTGCTGCCTGGGTTGGCTTTGTTCTTAAATAATAAGTGCCTGTTTTCAAGCCCTTTTTCCATCCGTAAAAGTGCATGCTGGTCAGCTGTGCAAATGTGGGCGCAGATATGTGGATGTTCATAGACTGACTCTGATCTACATATGCGCCTCTGTCTGCAGCCTGGTCAATAACTGCCTTCTGTTTTATTTCCCAGACTGTTTTGTAGAGCAACTTAATGTTGTCAGGTATGCTTGGAATGTTTTGGATAGATCCCTCGTGTTCTATGATAATATTCTTCATTTCGGGTCCCCATAGTCCTAGATCTGCCAGATCCTTTACCAGATGCATGTTTACAATCTGGAACTCTCCAGAGAGGGTTCTTCTTGTGTAAATATTGCTGGTAAACCCTTCGAAGCACTCATTGAATCCGAGAATCTGCGAAGTTGATGCAGTGGGCATAAGTGCAACAAGAAGACTGTTTCTGACTCCGTGGGTTGCAATGCGCTTCTTTAGCCCGGCCCAGTCCCATCTGTCTGAGGGCTGGACATCCCACATGTCGTACTGCAGAACGCCCTGGCTAACAGGACTTCCAGCATATGACTTGTATGGTCCGTGTATTTCTGCAAGCTCGCAAGATGCCTCCAGGGCTCCGTAGTAAATGGTCTCGAATATGGCCTTGTTTAACTCTGCCGCTTCCTTGCTTTCAAACGGATATCCCAAGAGAATGTACACGTCAGCCAGACCCTGCACGCCAATTCCAATTGGTCTATTCTTTAGGTTTGAGTATTTGGCTTCCTCCAGTGGGTACTTGTTTACATCGATGATTTTATTCAGATTTTTTGCGACAATCTTTGCGACCTCTTTCAGCTTATTAAAGTTAAACTGCTTGTTCTCAATGTAGGTTGGAAGAGCTAGAGATGCTAGGTTACACACTGCAATCTCACTTGGGTCTGTATACTCTACAATTTCAGCACAAAGGTTACTTCCCTTGATGACCCCGAGGTTCTTTTGATTGCTCTTTCGGTTGCAGCTGTCCTTGTAGAGGATGTATGGAACACCAGTCTCAATTTCTGCCTCCAGAATGGCCTTCCAGAGCTTTCTTGCAGAAATAACCTTTTTCTCAATTTCTGGCGTCTTCTCGTATGTAGTGTACAGCTCTTCGAACTCGCTTCCGTATTTCTCATGAAGGCCTTTTGCCAGGTTTGGGCAGAAGAGACACCAATCACCATCCTCTTCCACTCTGCGCATGAAAAGGTCTGGAATCCACAGTCCCAAGAAAAGGTTTCTTGCACGCATTTCCTCCTTTCCTGTGTTTTTTTTCAAATCCAAGAAGTCGAATATGTCTCTGTGCCATGGCTCTATGTAAACCACAATAGACCCAGGCCTCTTGTTTCCCCCTTGGTCAACATATTTTGATGTTGCATCAAATACACGCAACATAGGAATAATTCCATTTGAGTGCCCAAAGGTGCCCTTAATGTATGAGCCTGTGCCTCTAATGTTATGAATGTTTACGCCTATTCCTCCTGCATGCTTGGATATAACTGCACACTGCTTTAGAGTGTTGTATATTCCATCAATTGAGTCGCTCTGCATGGCGAGCAAGAAACAGCTGGAGAGCTGTGGCGAGATGGTTCCACTGTTGAACAAGGTGGGGGTCGCGTGTATGAAGTGCTTGGTAGACATAAGCTCATACGTCTCTATTACAGCATCAATATCATCCCTGTGGATCCCCACACTCACACGCATCCACATGTATTGCGGTCTCTCTACAATTACATTGTTAACTTTCAGGAGATACGATCTTGTCAGGGTCTTAATTCCAAAGTATGAGAACTCAAAGTCCCTGTCGTTCTGTATGGCAGCATCCAGTCTTTCTTTGTTCTTCATAACTATCTCAATTATATCGGGTGAGATAATTTCGGTTTTAAGGTCGGTCCCATTTATGGATGTTGTGGCAAGCATGCACATTGCATCTGAAAATGTCGAAGGGGTACTCTTCTGAAGAAGCGACGCCTCTATTCGACCTGCAAGCAGAGAGTAGTGTGGATGACTTGTTGTCATAGTCGCCGCTGTCTCTGCTGTGAGAGTTCCTAGCTCCTCTGTGGTCATGCCATCACACACTCCCATGGTTATCTTCTCTGCTAATTCAGTTACTTTAATGAACGTTGAGTCAAGCCCAACTGCCATTTTTTTCAGATGTTCTAAAAGTATCTCTTGGTTATATTCTACCTCTTTGCCTCTTTTTAAGATAGTTCTTTCTCTTAACATTCTTGACAGGGATAAAAATAATTTCACTTTCTTATGGCTTGTTATGCGGCACGAATGGTACGAGACCAGAGAGACAGCCACAATAATTGTGTCCCCTGTGGAAGAGGTTCAGGAAGTAGTAAAAAGGGATGATACCTTAAGCATATCCTTGCCAAATGAAGTATATTCCATACGAATAGTGCACGCGTATTCTGTCCAGTCGCACAGAATACTGAATAAACAACTAGAAATTACACTCAAGAAGCCTGTCTGCAGCAAGTGGGGGCATCTAGAGCACGTGCCCATCCTAGCCTTTGAAAGACAAAAGGAGATCCCCAATGACAGTAGCGAAGCGCTGTCAAACGACCCAATTATGAACATGTTTATGGAGGTGTATGCAAACGCCTCAGACGAAGCAAAAAAAGAAATGAATAGATCCTTCTATGAATCATCAGGAACTGAGCTCCGAACGCACAGAACCCAAGATACATGCTCTAAAAAATAAATATGCACATAGTTTATGCAGAGTGTAGTTCTATCTAGATTTATTTTCCATTTAAATGAGGCACCTGCCTAATTAAATCTTATGAAAGCGGATCGATTGTGGCTACTACAATTTCTGTGTTAACCCTGGAAAGGATAGAGAAGTGGGGCTCTGTGACCGTCTTAATCAAACCATTTGGGAGTCTTGGGACTAGGAAGACCACTCTCTTGATCATGGTCAAAAGGCGCGGTGTTACTGTGACTCTTTCTGCAGGCGGTTTTGGCGAGTCCTTTATAATGGTTACAATGTCACTTGAGTCAATGGTTGAAGACTCTGGGAAGATAGAGGCAATGTGCCCATCGTCTCCTATTCCTAGGAAAGCCAGGTCTATTTTTGCATTCTGCAGCAGCTCTTTATACTCGCTAATCATTTCTTCATGGGTAAGGGCAGTGTTATACGGGTGGACTGTGCCCACGCCCTGCAAAAACACCCCTGCATCGTTGTAGTTGCTGAGCGCGTCAGTTAGTGGAACGAGCCTTTCATCTGCAAAAAAAACAACCCACTCTTTCTTGTCAAGCTGGCTAACCGTGGCGCATTCTAACACTCGGAGTATTGACCCTCCAGATATCATCAATGTGAGTGGTTTTGCAGAGTATTTCAACAACTCTTCGTACACGACTATTTCCAAGCTTGCCACACATAACTTTGTTTTCATAAATACAAGGAAGACCAGATATTTTTTTAATGTCCAGCCCCGATCCAGAACAGACGCATTTAGATATGTCAATAGACTTAGTTCCAAACGAGCCTTCAGAAATAGAGCACCCGTGTGTTTCATGCGGAAGTGCTGGAGTACTTCGACTTCTCATTGTTCCAGACATGTTTTTCCCAGACACGCTCATTAGCACATTCGCATGCCACTCATGCCCCTTCAGAAATAAACAGATGGATGAAATGGACCAGTCAAAAAAAGGCGTTCGAATCTCCTGTCATTTAAACAACAATGAGGATCTAAAAAGATACCTGCTCGTTCCTTCTAAAGCGAAAGTATCATTTGAGGCCGGTGATGATGGTGTGTCTTACACAAACCAGGAGGACACTGTTACAACAGTGGAGGCGCTTATAAGAAGCATATTTGAGAAGCTTGTTTCCATGGGGACTCTGCCAGAAGACAAGCTAACAGAGGAGGAGCTTGCTGGCTTGGATGAGTACGCCAATATAGCCATGTTCCTTCAGAAGTCAATGGATGAGTTAGACATAACTTTGAAGATTGACGACCCCAAGGGGTTGGCCCGTGTTATGCCCCTTGGTGCAAACATGCAGACCACCACAAAAGGCATTCCATTGGAGTATTATAGAGATGGTGTTGTGGAGATCGACGAATATGACATAGAGGATGAGGTTAAAGAAGAAGCAGAGCAGGAGGACACAAAAGATGAGAATCCAGATGAGAGATCCGAAGTAGCATAGGAATGCAATGCTCCTTCAAATAATATTAAGCACACCAAAGGACTGACTTTATCTTAGAAAAGAAAGGCAAGAAGCATATTCTTACGGCCCAGCATGACACAGCAGAATAAATAAGTTGGCTAAACGTTTTCTTGAAGTATATATTTTCTTTGCAATGAGCTATAGAGTAATTTAGGCAAATTGATTTATTCATATAATACTCCAAAATATTAACTCTAAATAATTTATGTCTTCTTTCTTCCCTGTGGATATATTAAACTCTTCGCTAGCTTATCTTAAATAGAAAATTTATATACTGCTTTGTTTTCACAAAAGCTAAGTAAAATAAAGAAAGAAGCTCTGCCAACATACACTCTATATGCGATCTTCCGGTCCTATGCAGCTCATCCAATTCATAAGAAGCTTCTTAAAAGCAGCCTCAATATTTTACAGAGAGAAGACACTTTGTGTCTACCGAGTTAAAGAAAACTATAGAACAAAGCAGCATTAAAGGAGTATTTCTAAGAATAATCATTACAAATTTTGTGGGCTCTATATGACAACACAAATAAAAGCTGCTATTATATGTTTGAACCCAGTAGTTTGTACATGTAATGTGCCGCAATCCATCTCTGTTATTTAACTGATAGAAATTCTGGTATACTGTACTCTACTCTCTATATTCAGAGCAGAATATTTTTCACTTTTATTCCAAATGGATACAGATGCCAAGAGTTTCGGAACCATTGAAGAGAATGGCACTGTGATTGAAGGAGGTGCATTCTACAATCCAGCACAGAAGTTCAACAGATCGCTTACCATTCAAATAATCAATAGCTATATAAAAACCTCAGCCAAAGAGGGAATAGTACTGCTTGAGTGCATGTCAGCTACCGGTCTTAGAGGGATAAGATATGTAAAGGAGCTGCGCGGGAAAAATACTATTGTAATGAACGACATATCCACTGCAGCATGCAACAACATAGTGGCCAACTGTATTGCCAATGGCATACTAGCAGACCTCAGCAAGCCAGTTTCAAGCGAGAATGGGACGGTTGAGGTGCAGAATGAAGACTGCCGATCTCTTATGCTTTGCCGAAAGAAAGTGTTTGATGTAATTGATATAGATCCCTTCGGCACCTGCTCGCCATATATTGAAACGGCTCTAGAAGGAATTGCAGACGGCGGGCTTCTGTGCGTGACATCAACTGACACAAAAGTGCTTTTTGACAAGCCGCCTGAGTCATGCTATAAGTACTATGGCTCTGTCTCCATGAATAATTCTTACTCGCATGAGCTAGCTGTAAGAGTGATTCTGTCATATATCTCACGGAGTGCTGCAAAGGCGGGGATGTACATTGAGCCACTGGTCAGCATGTCTATGGACTTTTTTATTCGAGTGTTTGTCCGGGTCGGCCGCAGCAAGCAGAAGTCAAACCACTGTTTGCTTCAGAACAGCCAATACTTTCTGTGCGCCTGTCTTAATAGACAAGCCCTGCCTATTCTGCAAAAAGACAGCACAAAAGAGGCATATCGGCATGTGAAGATAGCTGCGTCTACAGAGTGCAGGATGTGCAAAAGACATCTTGGTCTATATGGACCGTTCTGGACAGGTCCTTTGCATGATAAGTCGTTTTTGCAGGAGGTAATCAACAGCATACCAAAGGCGGATATTGAGAGCAAGACAGGAGGGATCAAGGAAAGTGCACATACACCCACGCAGATAAACAGAAGAATACACGGAATGCTCTCAATGGCCAGGGACGAGATTGATACTATCTTTTACCACTTTATTCCCGCGATCTCATCTGTGCTGTCCTTCCCTGTTCCTCCCCTTCCGCAGATCATTTCATTTTTGCATGCACACGATATTAAGGTGTCCTTAACACACTGCAAGCCAAATTCAATTAAAGCCACAGGGGATATTGAGTACGTGTATGCAGCAGTCATACTCTACTATAAGTCAGTAAAGCCCGAAATATACGCACTGTACGAAGACAGACTTACAGGAAAGAGACAGGACATAGACAGAAACACGCATAATTTAATGGTATATATGAATGCCTACATAGAAGAAAATGGATTAAAAAGTAAATTTGAGGTAGATGATGAGGCAATAGAGATAACCTCCAAAAAGTACTTGAAGTTTCAGGATAAAAGTGGGCTTGGATGGGGTCCCATGAAAAGATAGAGGTTTTAATAAAGATATCCGGAATAGTCCAAAAACTATTTAAGAGTTTTAGTTTTTTTAGATTTCTGCATGAACAAGCGAAGATATAGGGACGAAGAATCTGGGCAAAGAGCGGAAGAAAGAAAGCCAGTGGGTGAATCAGAAATATACGAAATGATGCTTAAAAAGGTACGGCTTCTTAAAGAGCACGAACTGAAACTAGTCACAACGAAAGTGCCATATGAAGAATACTTTCGCCAATACTATGAAGTGTGGCTGCAGGATAAAATAATGAACGGGCTCTTTAAAAGCATCTGGTATATGGAAAAGGACCTGTGGATGCTTCAGTCGCACGCTGACGCCTTTATGGAATTTCGGGACTTTATTGCACACCACCGGACGAGCATTCGCCTGGAAACAGAGAACAAAGCATGCCTATTGCAGACGGAGCTTTTTGATAAGTTCAGAGCAGAGTCTGAGGTGTCTGCGCCTGTTGTTGTGATCAAGGGTATTGGGGAAAAGGCTGTTATTCGAGAGCTTCTGGAGAAGATCCAAAAGGTGGTTGAGGTCACTGAGTGGGCAATGTCTCAGGCAGGGGGAACGCCTGAAAGTTTCCAAAAAACTCTCTATCTCAGAACAGAGATGGACATATCTGAGTTTAAAAAGGCAGTAAAGGAGTTAATTCCTGAGGAGTCTATTTTAACTGTGCAGTATCTTCCAACTGCGGGAATGAGCCGTGGCATAAAGGAGGTGGGCCGCCAGTTTATGGACAAGTACTCTCTAATTGAAACAGAAAAACAGGCAAAGAACATTCTGCTGCGCATGTCAGAACTATTCGGGGTGCCTGATGTTTATAAAATAGTGTGCTCTCTGGAAAGCAAAGTGCAAAAAGAAGAGATAATTGATTTGTATATCCTTGCGCTTAGAAAGATCTTTAACTTCTGCTACTACTGCGGAGTAAAGTACGATAACCCATACGAAATGGTCTTTAAGTGCGGCCTTTATCATCTAAGAAACAATAATGTGTTGGACGAGTCCAGCCCAGTGGAATACAGAAAGTTTATCAGCCACTTTGAGATAGATCGAATGGGGTATCTAAAGAGTATACCACAGGAGCTTAGTGTTAGTCTGTTTTATGTTGAGAAACAGGATAACAACGAAATAGAATGCAAGTACTGCAACAAGAAGTTTGGAAGTATTGAGTTTTTTGAAAAGCATTTGGAGAGAAAGAAGCATAAAGCACATGAGATGAGTATCAAGCTACACAGTGACTTTATAAAGTGCATTCATTCGCTCAACTATCAGCTTATTCATGAGATTGAAAGAAGGTATTTAAAGATTCCATTTCAGCTGTATAACTACATGTGTGTAAATATGGATGCAAAAGAGCAAGAGACCGACTATAGCAATTTAGAAAAGAAGTATCCAATCTTAGAGACCAACATGCCAATTTCTATTGAAGAGTTTAGTGTGAACGAGCTGTAAACCAATAAACAGACAAAATAAGCTGGTTTAAATGAAAAGTTATATTCTTTATACATGCAGTGTATTTACCTGCACACATCATATGCATTGCACATTCACGCTATGTTCAAGTAAAAAGCCTAGAATAAAGCTGTAAGCATCCTGGGCTATACAGTATTTAGGATGCATTATTTTTATGCCACTATTGCTGCATCTCTGCTATTATACTTTATATGTATGTAAATGTAGGTATGCTAGGATGTTTTGCTAGAAAGGGTTTTTTCTAAAAGGCTTACTTTTTATACCCACTACTAAATAAGAATAAAATCCATAATTAAGTTTATTTAAAATTATGAATATATATGCTAGCTAACTTAAGCAGTTACTATTGGCTTAAAAAAGCTTGGATAGCGCATATATGAGGACTGTGGAACTGGCGCAAGCCATGCTAAGAGAGAACTTGTTATAAATAGTGGTAGAAAGAATGCAGACCATGCATTTTCTTTTATCCTACATCTGGATTTGCAGATTGGTGGGGGGCACCATCGTCTGTCTCTGCTGCGCCATTCTTTACTTCAAAGTATGTGTCCATAGTATCCTTTACTATTGTAAGCGCAGTTAAGTCAAGCTCTAGTCTATTTATTCCGTTCTCTTCTGGACGATCGTTTTCTTGCGCTTTAGAGTTATAATCGTTATCGTTTTCTTCGGGACGCGAATCATCCTCATAGTTATAATCGCTTTCATCATCAATATCAATCACATCATCTGCAGCACAAAGAGATGACATAGTGCTGATGACCTTGTATTTTGCATTCATCAGGACATATTGGTCTATCATGGACTTTATGTTTTGTGAAATTGTTTTCTCATACAGTCCAGGGAAAAAGTGTGAGCTGATGTGCGGATCACTTATTGGGTAGTCTGTGTGCAGCATTCCCAAATAAATAAGCTTTTTCTGAATATTGGTCTGCATGGTCAAAAAAAGCTTAATTATTGCTTCAAAGTAATTATTATATATAATATCATAATTGGTGTTTGTGCTGTTCATCGTAGCGCTTAGTGCGGCCTCTGTTTCCTTGCTTGTTCTCACAGAAATAGATAATGAGTCGTTCAGTTCCTTAGAAGAAATTCCTGTTATATTCTGCAGAAGATTAACCAGCTCTTGTGCATTAGAAATCACTGTCTGTTGAAACATATTGTTATTATTGTGTATAGTTGGCTCAAAAAGATTAGAGTCTAGAAAAAGATTCCAGTTAACACTAGACTTGGGGTTGGGTGTGTCGAATATGTAAACTGCAGACATAACAGTTGCTAGCCTATTGAGAATTTGTATGTCTGTGTCTGACTCAATTCCGTCTCTATTCTTGGTTGCGGGGTGGCTTTTTATTTCCCGAAGCGTTGATATCATATCCATCGCCATGTTCAATGTTATATTGGTCTTTTTTTTCTTGTATTCTATATCCTCTTCCAGTGTTGGGGTGTTCGGAGGAACTAAGTTATACATATGGGATGCAGGGTTGTTTTTATTAACCACTTCGTCACTTGCTATATTATATTTATTCACCATATCTATTAGATGCCTATAGCATAGAGTATAGTTTTTTGTGTTGTGTATGGTATACCTTTTAAATAGCAAAAAATCTGATTTCAGCAGATTATCGTATTCCCAGTCCATATGCCCATACAGTATTTTTTTCTCTATGCTTCTTTTTATATTATCTGCTGTTCTTGACCTCACTTCCATATTGGCTGGTTTGTTATATTTTATAATTGGTCTTTCGTTCATAGTCTTATGTAGATCTAGAGTAGGCTTTACTTTATTAACATCCTGATTCAATGGAAATTGATGACTCAGCATTTCTGCTATTGTTTTTTTTTCTGTCTGGTACTTTCCTCTGGTGACTTTCAATAATGTCCGGATGCCATTTATTGCATTATTATACTTTAGTATGAGCTTTTTTAATATTTCCTTGGAAAAGCCAATATAATGCTGCCACTTTTGCTTTGTGCTACTGCTAAAAGAAACGTCATTTGTGTTTAGATGTTCATATCCTGCAAGTATACGGGTCTCCAATTCCGCATCAATTTGTACTATAATATCTTTATATGTAACGTATAGATAGTTAACAACATCCAAGAGCTTATCTAGATTGTCTGTCTTCTTTACCACGTAATAGTAGTTGTTTGGGGAGCTGTAAATACCCAAGATATTATTCAGCATATTTGTGTACTCCACTACTTTGGGTGTTTTCATACTTTTTTCTACCCACCCTGAATTGGCAATAAAGTCATTTATTTGGTATAATTGAATGTAGACGCTGTTTATGAGGTATTCCAGCTTTAAATTTTTTTTTCTTTCTGTATTTATGCTATTCTTTAGAAAGTTTATGTTTTTAATGTCAATCTGCGCGTTGGACTGTTTTTCTTGATCAAATTTGTAATTATCATATTCATTTTTAATTCTGGTGTATGCACTTTTTAGCTCTAGGTGGTTCTCTTTAATGTACACCTGAAATGAATATATCGCATCTTCAATCTGTTTGTGCTCCTGCATTAGCATTCCCTTTAGTATTGTGTTGAGTGTGAGCATGGTGTCTCTTATTTTATAAAGATCTTTTCTTTTTGGCAATTCCAATCTGTTTATTTCTTTCTGAATGGTTTCTATTTTCAGCCCAATTCTAGTGCAGGAATATTTTTTTTGTTTAAAATAATCCCACAGAGATGTCTTTGGCATGCTTCTTCTAGTTTCAATGTCAATGTCAAAAAGTTCTTTATATATACTTCCTTGTCTAATTACAAAGTATTTAAATGGGTCTGACATGACTATTGGCGCCATGTTCATGTTTATAAAGGGCTTGTAGTTGCATTCCTTTGTATATTCATACATGTCATCTATCTGCATCAAATTTAGATCCAAAATATAATCAACATTGGAATCTCCCAATATTACATCCATTGTATTAGTTGGGCACAGCACTGTTCTGTTAGAAGTAGAAGCAGACCAATCCTCTTTGGAATTTAACAGCGCTCCTGGCTTGGTAGTCATGGGCTGCTGCTGTATAAGAGCAGTGGTGCTCATTATTATAGAAATAAACCATGTAAAAATCTTATCTAGCCTCATGCTTAGAAGAATAAATATTTTAAATATAAACGCTATCTATTTGATATATTTCAAGCGATTATAAATGGAGTTTATGCAAAGATCATTCCTTCTGTTGTATAATCAGCGTAGCATCGGACAATATACATGTTATTGTTAACAATAACGAATTAAATTAAAGACTAAACTATTTAAAGAGTTTAATTCTCAAATAAATACTAAAGTTTAGCAATGACACTCTCTATGAATTTAAGTAGTAATGAAAAGAAGCAGGCAGACACCTGAAAGATTTAGAAAGTTAAAGAGAGGTTGAAAATAAGTTACTGCAAAAATGGCTGCCACAGTAGGACATCGAAATGATACTAAGACCTGCTTACAAACGCCAAGAAACAGGAAGAGTGAACCGTACACTTAGAGCAGCATGCTATAATCTGCATGCGCATTTTCTATCCATTCAGCTGCATTTATACAAGATTTATATATGTTTTATATATTTATCCTGCACTCTCTATCTCTAATCTACCTCTTCTGTGCAATGCCTCCATTCTTCTGTCTATGTGTTCTTATTATCCTTTCTTCTACATCTTTGCAAAAATAAACTCTACAATATTCGTACTACCACTACTGTTCAGAAGGGTTTGTTTCTTCTAAAAAAAAGATAAAGACACACGAAAATCAGAAAACTGCACTTTTTGAAGAACCACTCTCAGCAAACACTCAGCGCAATGTAGAAAGCTGAATAAACTCCGCATTACACGCCAGCCACATAAAGAACAAAAAGGCTCTGCCCAGACATGAAAACCTATGCGTACCTATACATGCATACCACACATGATATACATACACGTATATACATACTATACACATGCAATATGTATGCAATATGTATACTGATAGAGACACATCAGAAGTAGACAAGAATGTATTACTCAAGCATGCCATGCAAGTGCCAAGACACAAGCTGTCTACCTCACCTACCCATCTACATATACTTTCCTACATCAGCAGGTCTTCCCCCAGTGCCTGCTGCACATGTCTTGTACACACTCTCCCACTATATTAATTTTTCGTCATATTACCCTCTGAGGAGCGCAATTCGCACATAGGACGGGATATACACCGCAATTAAGTAAACAAACAGCAGAACGTGGTCTAGAGCGCACTTAGAAGGGCCCAATGCACATATTTCCCAATTTGATCATTTTTTGGGGGTATTTAAGGAGCACGCACTCTGCATTTCAGAACACCAGGAGAGCTGCATCTGTCTCACGGCGCAGTGCAGCAGGAGAGGGCTGGCTAGGAGGTGGCAGGAGCAAGCCGGCACTAACCCTGCCGGTGGGTCGTCCACTATTATCATTCCCTTCGGGGTAGCCTATAAGGCCATATGGAGTAGCTTGGATGCCAACTTTGTCATTAGGAAATTCCGCGCATGTTCTTTTTACCTTGATGCTTGTACATTTAATATTTAGAGCCGCTGCGTTGTCTAAGCCGAAGTGGCACTGAACTATGCGTGCACTGGACTTCCCTGCTCCTGTCCTCAGCACCGACTGGCCCTCTCCTCTGCGCAGCGCGCGCGATGGCCTGCCGTGCTGTCTGCAGCGCTCCGGCAAACAGCAGCATGCGCGGGCCGCTGGGTTCTCAGGCCAGTCGCAAGACGCCGCTCTCCCTGCATATGCAGCAGCTAACCACTACATGTGTATGCAGCGAGCGAAGATGTGCTGTGTGCAGGCAGTACATGGCGCCCGTACATGGCCGGTACACGCTATTATTAATAAACAGCCGCTCCCGATCTGCCTGCTGCCTTGCTGTACTGTGTCCGCCCTTTGTGTGCTCAACTAATATTCCTTGTCCGCAAGCCTCGAATGGCTTTTTATCTTAAACTCTTTTACTGTGCTGCTAATTTTCCTTGGAGCAGTAGTGGGAATAAAATGTTTCTTTTGGTAAGCAATGGCCAAGCAAGCGCTGTTTGCGAATAGCTATGTGGTTACATAGATATAGCACTTGCATGCATTTTACTAGTTGCTAATAAGTGTGCATTGGGCTGAGAGACATTTTATGGCTGGAATGTCGTAATAGGTAATACAACTTTCCTAAAACGTACATATTATAATTATAATTACGACTAAGGACTTATATATATAGTAAAATTCATAAGAATGTATGTATATTGGAGAATACATTCGTAACTCGCTTGAAGTACAGTTTAGAAACACGTATCTTCGCATTAGAAATCTATGCGTATATAGGCTGCACAAAAAATCATACTTTTCAACGATTTTAAACATAATATACAATATTATACTGACTCTTGTGCTATTTAGTAGCACAGAATGCATGATTTACTTCTTTTTTGGGTCTCTTCCAATATACTCCTTTTCGGAGCTGTACTATAGACTACGCCCAGCTGCATGGAACACATTTGACAAGGACATTATGCAGTTTCTATATCTTATGACAGCATTTTTTTGCATATTCTTTGAGCTTTTTGTCCAAGTGGCTATTTTCCAGAAACTAGTGGTGGGGTATCTTCATACTGTGATGGAGGGGTCTTTTCTAAACTATGCATTTGGATTCCTCTTCTACCTGGGGTGCATAATACTCGGGTGTGCCCTTCATTTGATTGTTATATCAGAGTTAGCTAACCTGCTGGATCTGATAAGAATTAAAACTCTTCTAGGAAAGGTGGCTATTGGGGCTATTATTGCAGGGCTGCTATTCCTAATGATTCAAGAATACATACTAGTCAACAAAGCGGCAAAAAAGAAAAAGAAGACAGCATTTACACTTAGATTTTATATGTCTTTGCTTGTTGTTAGCATTATTATGATGCTGATTTGGTTTGGAATTGACTTAGGCATTCCTTTATACACGTATATTTCAGGCATAGCTAGAAGTGAAATGAAGAATGTTTTCAATTTAAACTAAAGTGTAGAGAAAGCTAGAATAGGCAAGAGTAAGCCATTTTAAAGGCATTTTTCTGCTCAAAAATGCTCAATTTAAGATAATTTCGGGCAATTGGGTTCACATTTAGTTAACTTACATCTATATTCTGGATGCAATCACAGAAGTATAAAATAGTCTAAGTATTTAAGCAAGGAGGCTTCTCAGTAAGATTTATCTATGTATTTGACATATAAAGAAATAGCTGAACAAGTAAGTTGGATGGCCCTGGAGATAGAAATATAGAAGCTATTTGTAGAATTCCCACCCACGTACATTTAGTAGGCAGCGTTAAAATTAATTAATTTGCATACAAGTATTTCTACTTAGGTACTTTAGAAAAGTAATAAAATTATTATAGTACAGTAGGATAATGTCTAAGAATATGCTGCAGTGCTACTGACAGCAGAATATATTTATTATTTGTACGTATTTTTCATTCATTTTGTCCTGTCATATAGCTGAAGATAAATCCAGTGATATTTAATAGCACAGCCCAAGATAGTTAATAGGAGCGTGCAATTGAATTACTTCATTCATATTCGATGGATTTCTAAAATATTATCGAAAGCTAAGTTTTATCCTCAGGATGTATAAGTATGGATTTTAGGCAAAGAAGGATTCTATGAATAGTACCCACAGATCTATTGGTATCTTCGATTATTAGCGATATTATGTGTATTCCAGTAGTGTTAGAGCAGTATTTGCTAAGAAATACTATGACTTATACGGATTATAAATGTATATACCTAGCAATAAAGCTATCTAAAGTTCCTAATGCTAAAAAGTCAACAGGCCTGCCTGTATGGCTGATTTATTAATAGGTTAATTACTTACTAAAGAATTAACGATAGAGCAGAAATTTTATCTATATTACTCGCAATGCACGGTTTTTTGTCTGTAAATGTTTCTACTTTCAAGGAAGAAAGAAGCTCTTCATCTGCAAATATGCGGATATCAGAAGTACCCGCCTGAGTATCTGGAAAGCCTGCACCAAAGAAATCATTGGCAAAATCCCTGCCCACTAGCTCTATTTTATAAACACTTCCTGTCTCTGTCTGAACCAACAGAGTATCGGATCTGCCTATGAGTGATAGAGAGGCTCTTTCTATATGCGCAACCCCGGAAGGCAGTGAAATAGAAAGGATTTTGTGCAGCTGCTGGCTGCCTTTCCTTTGGAGAAGCACAAGAGAGCCTCTGTTTTCATGAGCATACCCCATAAGAAAGAACTCACTATTAAACACACCAATCACTTTATGGTGATTTTTAACTCTGTCTACATAGAAAAGCGGGGGGTTTGCGAGAGAAGTAATGCCCTTCTTTAAGTCAATTTTGTACAGCTTAATTTGAGAAAGTGCATACTCCACCAAGTGCTTATTGCACACTTCATATCGACTGTTTGCATTGCTGCATAGATAAACATTGTTTATAGCGCTTTCTACAAACCCAGTCTTTGTTACTTTGTATGCAATGAGGCCATTTGATGTGCTGCAGTACACTATGCTTCCGTACTTAGAAATTCCCAGAATTCTTACGCCTTTAAATGAGATGGATTCAATTTGCACTATCTTATTTCCCCTTACGCGCAGTGCAACTAGCTCAGATTCATCTGCCCGATTTATGGCTATGCATATTTTGCTACCTACCAGCGCTGAGTACACTGAGTAAATATGACTCCATCTCACCTCATCCAGATATTTATGCCCAAACAGTGAAATACTTACACAAAACTCGGCAGAAAGCATTGTATTAACCATCCTTCTATGCCTGCTAATAACCAATGTTTGGTTTTCTACATCAATTACATCGACTGCATCGAGGCCTCTAACCTCCTTGGCGTTTACTGCGCGGACCTTTATGTACTCAGGAGTCTCAAACAAATTGTATATATCAACATAATGCGCAGTGTGCCTTGAACTATAGCGATATGCTAAATAGGTACTGCTACTCTTGTCAATTGTATTAACCTGGTTTTTGCCTCTGTCTATGTGCTGTGCAATGACCTCATCATGCTGCCTGGATATGAGAACCGTGCCACCATCTGTATTTATCATAATACTGTCTTCATAATATGCTCTGTCTTTAATGATGACCGATCCAATCTTAATATTTCTGCTGGTTAGCTTATCATTATCTATATACCACAGGCTGCCATTATATCTCTGCAGTAGATATTCTGCATCACTAAGCGCTATGCACATGCATCCAGAAAACAAAAGAGTATCAGAGTAAACAACCTCTAGAAGACTATTAACATGGATTACCTTAGCTACATCCTCCTCGCAGACCATAATTCTACTGTTATATATACTTAAAGAAGCTGGCGCATACTCTCTTCCAAGAAGCTTAAATGCTCCTGTCGATAAGCTGTACAAATACACACCGTCTGCAGATGCATACACTAGCAAATCTCTATGCACATCTGCGAACACAATCTCGTTTTCGTGTGAATGCTCTTCAGCTAGGACATTTTTGCTTTTATTCTTTGATAACTGCGTGTCCTTACAAAGCAAGCATTCTGCGCTAATATTCGAGTGTGTGTATGTCAAAAGCCTTCCTGATCTGCACAGAATGTGAACCTTGTTATTGCACAAATATGCTGCCAAGGCGTCAGTGCAGGGAATCATAGTTTGAGTTACACCACAGCTATTCTGCACTTCTATTCTACTCTTATACCGTATAACAAAGTAGGTTTCATTCTTCAAGAGCTGCACAGGCTCCTCTTTTATTTGCATCTTGTTTGCACGTTCTTTATACTTTCTTATAAGCTTACAAGCTTCAGTTGATCTGCCTCTCTGCTCAATTAGCTGCACACTAGTATTTCTGGTATCAGTAGCCTTCACTTTTACTACCATGCAGCCCTTTTTTAGAACACCGCTGTCTTCATCCTGCACAGCCTCTGTGTCTGCTTCGCTTGATACGACACAGATGTCACCAAGCTTGTTGTATAGATATAGATCTTTCTCTATGTTTATCATCCCCTGCGCAATGATCTTTGGGCGGGCATATTGAACAATACAAAATTTCTCTACATCTATATAGCACAGCTCATTAGTTAGTAAGCTAAGCACACACATCCCATTCATAACGATGCCTGCCCGAACAAGCGCCCCAGCAAAGCACATCGTTTTGGTGGGCGCACTTGTATTGTGCAGGGTTATTTTATCAGGCTCGATCAGCAGCACCTCCTTGTTCTGCAGACTGTATATCTTGTACACCGTGCTTGGAACAGAAAACTGCAACGTTTCTTCAAGCCGGTCCTGTGTGCTCAGCACCCGAACTACATTTTGATTGTGCGAGCTGAGGAGTAGTAAAAATTCGCTGCTTTCAGCATGGCATATCTCCATTGATAGTATTTTGTGTCCATAGGGGGTGTATCTAAGGATCTCTGTTGTTTTCAGGTTATAAATTATCACTTCATTCTCTGATAATATTAATATTTTATTATCTTTGATCCAGCTGCATTTTACAGTTAACTCCTGCAGATCAAACAAAACCGGAACTATCTCCAAGTCGGATAGAAGTCTGTTTTTAATTATATAAATAGCCTTATCAGTTAGCGCGTATATCGCAGACTCATTTGATAGCGCCCACTTGATATTGCAGGGCAGCTTTATCTTTTCATGGGTGTCTAGGAATTCTATCACATTCTCATGCACAAAATACAAAGAATGGTTGTGCACCCCGCAGCATGTAAGCATGCCAGACTTGCTTATTTGTTCAAGAAAGAGGCTTGCCATAAATATTTAAAAAAACTTTACACAAAAAGTAGTTTTATAATGAATGCTTCTCAAGCTATAGAAAAGGTTGCTGAGATTGATAAGCCAGAAGGATCTCTTCTCTCAGTGCACTATTCAAATAAGACAAACGCCATATACTCAATATTCCACTGCGACTCGCCAACACCTAAAGTAGAAATCGAGTCCCAGCAAAAGCTTGCAAGCATAAAGGCAATTATGGAAAGGATTCTAACATGCGTTATAGCGCCCCATGAAAGATTTTCATACAGATTTCACATCCACGTCCTTTCTCTAGCAGAAAATGCAATGGACATATGCACAGACCTAGTCACTGGGCTTTGCGCTTTAATGACCGCCATGCATATTGAGCTAACAGACACTCTTATTGCATACACCAGAGCGTATGAAGCTGGGTCTGCCTGGGTCTGCAAAAGATATTTTGCAAACGATGTGGTGTATATGAAAATGCTTGGGCACATGTCCCAAAGCAATGTGCTGAATGCAATAGAATATATGCCTTTCGAAGAAATGGAAGAGTTTAGATCTTTACACAAAATGTGTTCTTTTAATAAATAGCCCTGAATAATGAGGTGGCAGCACAAACATAAACATATCTTGGTTTGTTTTCATTGCTTTTTTAATTTAATGGGACAGGAAAAACAGAGTTGGCTTAGAAATGTGTTTGATTCTGAATACTTCGTATTTTGGATGGCTTTGACATGTCTCTCTCGGTATAAAGAGAAAGCAATACACCAGTATCTATGCTACAAAATATATCAGACTAAAAGGGAAGAGGCAGTTGTGTACTACCCGCAGCTTTTCCATCTGATGATGGTGGAGGAGGGGGATCTGTGGAACCGGCCTATATTTAGAATGCTGCACAAAATATCACGCAACGATCGGCACTTTGCAACTGTTTTGAGCATGTATTCGCTTTCTGTTTCTGACTCGTACAAAATCGGGCAGGCCAAAGAAAAGACAAAGTACAAAATATGCCTGGAGTTCAGCAGGATAATTGCACACCCCGCGCTGCCATGCATAAAGCCTCGGCACCACAAAACACAAAGAACCATTTACACAAAGTTTCTGCAGATGACATATGGCTCTAAGGTGGGGCTGTCTCCAAGCATAGAACATATGCTAAGCCAGCAAAAGCAGTTTTATTCTCTGGCAGAGTCCCAGGCGCGAAGAAAGCAGGAGGCAAAATACTCTGTTACCTCAGCTCTTGCCTCAATGCTGTCAGGCCTGGCTGCTGTGGCAGATTTGCACCAGCACACATACCTTCTCGATGTGTCCTTGAGCAATCGAATCTATCCAACAAAAAAAGTCCTGTACAAGCACCAGGGTGATGCCGTGGAGCGAAAGATTGCAAAAGAGTCGCCAGAGGCGAGCTTCATAAACAAGCTAAATTTTATATCAAATTCGCTCATCTCCATTCCAAGACACATGCGCGAGCAGGCATTTATCACTGAGCTAAACCTACTTAATTTGTATCTGCCGCACACCGTGTGTCTTTCAATGTTCTGCCCAGGAAGTGCGCATATGAGCATACTCAAAGTATCAGTGGACCTATCTAAAACACTAGACTCTGCGACTAGGGCACCATTTATGCTAGTATATGAGGTGGCAAAGGAGTCTGACGTCCTGCAGAAGCTACAGCTAACAGACCTGCCTGCATCCAAGGAAAAAGCATCGTTGCATTTCACAGACAAAAAACAAGAGACAAAGGAAAGAGTATTTAAAACAGCAATAAAAATATTAGGAGGGCTTAAGGAGCTGGACTCCAGCGCGCATGTGGATATGGATATTCTATCGATAAAAACACGGGTTATCAAAAAAATATACTGCATGCACACTCCTCAGTATATTGTGCCTGCAAATGCAAAATATGTGGATGAGTGGAAGGTTGCTGTGGAGGCAGTTAGAAAGAAGTCAAAGTATAGAAGCCTGGAGGGGTGGGGCGTTGGCTCTCTGATCATCAAGACAGGCTCAGATATGAAGCAAGAGCAGCTTGCATCGCAGATATTAGGAATTATAGAAAGCATTTGGGCCCAGGAAAAGACAGGACTCTTCCTAAATCCATATAAAACAATGGTTACCGGGCGGAGCTCTGGTATGATAGAGACTATCCAGGGCGCCAAGTCAATCCATCAGATTAAAAAGCATCTTAAAGAGAGAGGAGGCGGACAAAGCATTATGGATTACTTTATAGAGAATTGGGAAAGTACAATAGAGGAGGCACGGGAGACCTTCTTTAAAAGCCTGGTTGCATACTCCCTGGTTTCATACATTCTCCAGATAAAAGACAGGCATAATGGAAACATTCTGATTGGAAGCAAAGGAGAGCTCTTCCATATAGACTTTGGATTTGTGTTGGGTGCACACCCGGGCTTCTATTCTGTTGAGTCTGCACCATTCAAGTTCTCAATTGAATATGCGGAGGTCGCCGGGAAGGATCGTATGGGCAGATTTAAAAGTGAGTTTCTTAAAGGATTTTTATCTCTAAGGAAAAACATGGACCACATAATAATTTTAGTGGAGAGTGTTGCCAAGTCTGGAGGGATTCTTTCAATTACACATGCCTCTGTGCACTCGCTGCGCGAAAGATTTCAGCCAGGACTAACAATCGAAGAGTTCTCCGAGAACGTATCTGACATAGTGGATAGAGGCATGAAAAATGTTTTCACTGATATATATGACTCATTACAATACTATACGCAGGGATATTGTAAATAAATATAATATGGAGTAAAAGTGCGTAGTGGCTAAATAAATTAGAGGTATTAGATACTTCTTTCTGTTTTTTGAAATGCGCCGCCAGCCCATTCAATATACAATGCAGTTTGCATTCTAGATGCGCAAAAAACTGGCGGCTGTGCGCTGTCTCTTTTTTTGTTAAATGCGCGCAAGGCCGGGCAGACTTATATTTAATGTTACTTTATATTTATTATTTCTGTTGAATCAGAGTTATGATCTTTTGTCTGTCTGATTCAGGCAGAGCTCTCCAAGCGCTTGCAATGACTGTTCCCTGTCCTAAGCTGCATATGTTTTTTGCATAGTCAAATGGATTGATGGCGTCAAGCGGGGTTTCAAAGGAAGGATCTTCATCAAAGCACTGGGCGTCTCCATACTCGCTGTCTCCTTCTTGGTTGTAGTCCTCATCCTCTCCGCTGTTCTTTAGAGCTTCCCTGCGAGAAAGCGCCCCTGGGAAAGCCTCAATCACAAATATGAATATTTTCATGAGCTGCTCAACAGATATCTGCGGGGGAAGCGTGTTTTCTGGCTGGGAGAAAAGAACTCCTGTGAAAAGCAGTAGAAGCTTGAGGTCGTGCACTCTTTCAAACTTCTTGTAGGTTGACTCTAAGCTGCTCATAATAAATGTAAGACTGTTTGTTTTCTGAAGATGCGCCAGCGTCTCGCCTGGCATGAGAATTGCAGAGCACAGAACAATCTCAACTGCAGAAATAAGAGATCCAACAGCGGTGATCATTTCCTTGTCCGAAAGTACTAGGGAAATGGCGGCCTTAATAAATCCACTGAGCTTGTCACCCAGAGCCTGTGGCATGTTCAAAAGAATGCTTTCAATTATTCTGCACAGGTATGGGAAGTCGTAGTCTGTGATGGCATCCTGCATCATCTCGCTAAGAATAGAGAATATTGGCTCAATGTACTTAACCATATTCTCCTTTCCATACGTGATAAAGTTGTCAAACACACTGGAAAGCTCGTTAATATATATGACCAGGTCGTCCATAGGCATTTTCAGAATCAGCTCAAATATTTCATACATGCCGTCTACAGACTTAAGACAGTATGAGCATGATACTAAGAGAGAGAAGAGGTCTGGGAAGAAGTCTGGGTAGTTTGTTCCCACTATTAGCACCATTCTCTTAATGGGCACCATCATGGCCTGCATACTCTCTGGCGCCTTCTCTAATGATTCAATTAGAGTAATAATGGTTCGGATGTACCCATCTATCACCTCATACCGCTCCTCTGGCTCTTCTTCCTTCTCCTCTACACTCTGCTTCATCAGCTGGATAACAGAGGTGCAGATTGCCTCTGAGATGGCTGGTGCGATATCCCGTGCTTCTTCTGGGCACTGCATAATCACGTCCTCAAGAGCAATTGCAAGAGCCTCGATCTGTATCTTGTTTGAGAGGTCTAGAAGAAGCTTGATGAACCCTGGGATCGTTCCCTTAAGGCGCTCGCATATCACTGGGTCTGTCAGCAGATGTGGCAGGCAGAGGATGCTTTCCACAACCACCCCGATGTCCTTGGATCTAACAGCAACTGAAAACGCGTCCAGCACAGATGCAGGAATTGCTCTATAGTAGCTCAGATACTGGAGAGTGGAAAACGAAATGTACTGGATAATTGAGTGGGGCGCCTTAATGTCGTTCATCACAATATTAAATACATCTTGGTTTGAGTGGATGTACTTTCCTGCAATTTTGAAGAGGCTTAGCCCTCCAAATCGAAGCCTAATAAGCTCTGGCGTGGGATTAACTGTGTACCCAGATATCTCCCCTATGATTGCATTGACAAGGTATGCAAGTGCCTCTGGTGTGTTGCTGCTCTTCTTTGCGATATCCAAAAATAGATCACTTGCTGTCGTAGAGGCGTTCTTAGTGTATCGTGCCTCGCACTCTCGCATGAAGTCAATCTGGCTGCTTTCCCAGGACTCCTCCAGCTCTTCTGTGAAGGAAACTGCTGGAAGAATGAACCGAGTCGTGATCATTGGCGTGTCGTTTCGAATAATATCCCAGCCTACACTCTTGCTCATAATGTTTCGGATCAGCTCAAAGGAGATTGCTTCAACTGTGGGTGACGCGCCTGTTCGTGTGTACAGAGAAAGAATGTCGATTGTCTTTCTGTAGAGCAGCGCGAGCACATCAGGCCGTGTGAACAGCTCGAACGCAGGAACCGTCTTCTTCTTTTTTGTTTTTTTCAGAAGCCCATTAAGCAGCCTAAAAGACCACTTGACTGTTGAGACGTTCTCATAAAGTGTGTTTATGCACATCTCTATGACAGTTATAACATTCTGCAGGAACATGTGGTCTTTAAACACATTTGGAAGGATGTAGCTCTCGCACGAGTGCCCAAGCACCTTCATACCAAACGCAGCCAGCTCTCCATTTCCCTCTTTTATTGCTGCAACAATGATGTTCATAATGTCTACTCCCACATTGTCCAAAATGCATTCAAAGTGCTTCTCCTCCTTATAGTCTTCAATGAACGAAATTATAACTTTGTTGAGCATCTTTAGCCCAATCATCACCACAGACTTTTCGCTACTTTTTATAAACTCCTCTACCTTCTTAAGAAGGGGCTCACACTTTTCCACCTCTTCTGACTTTAAAATATACTGCAGAGTCACCATGAGCTGCTTTTCTCCTTCTTTTGAAGCTGAGAGCAGAATAAACGGAAATTCCTTAATTATTGTCTCCTTATCAAATCCGTCAATTTGCCAGAACTTTTCTAAGTATCTTCTGAAATACAGTGCAGACAGTAATCTAACCGATGGCTCTTCATCTTTCGATGAGAGGTGCAATAGTCCTGTTAAGAACCCATCATTTCTACTAATTTCGTCAAGGGCTTTCTCTGCTCTTTTTTTTGTCTCCATATCTGGTTTGGTTGTCATAACCACGCAATCTCTTAAATTTACTTCTGGTTTTAATGTCATATATATGTGCTGGGGGTAAATATTTTTTTGTAATTTGTATGTATTGTTTAAATATTGACCGATTCAAAGAAAGCTCTTTTCATATCCAAGAGTATTTAGAAGAAATATACGAGGAGTGCATGAAAAGAGAGACTACCTCTTGCGAATCAATTATTACGGAGCTTGAAAAAATAAAGGAGGCGCTTCACTATAAAGAAGAGGAGATAAAAGACAAAAATATATGCTTTTCTGGGAGAGGGAAAATAGAGGAGCTGGGAAATGCTCTTTCGTCAATTGAGCTCTCGCCAGAAAGCACGCAATTTATCCAGATTATGCAGGAGCGAGATTTAGTTAAGAAGCGAGGAAGATACATTGACTACTGCAGCTTGGTGGAGGAAGACGCCCTTTTAAGCAATGTAGAAAGCAGCGCACAGCTGCTGGAAATTGCAGAGTTTGTGCAGCTTCTTACATGCCTGGCCTCTGCATCTCCTCCTCCTAAGAAAGCCCACAGCGGTATTCTAGAAACTCTTTCGAGCGTGTTTGGGTCTTCTCCGGAAAAGGAAGACAAAGAGGCTTCTAAAACAGCTGCTTTCCAAAACGCGCAGGCCATCAAAGACCTTGATCTCTCCGAAGCAAGCAGCTTGATTGTATCTGAAGAGCTTTTGCACCGGCTGAAAAGGTACAGGAAGAAAATAATCTCTCTTGCAAAAGAAAGCTACTCTTCTGCAATTGAAAAGAACAATCTGGAAGAGGCCATGAAAACAGCAGTGCTATTCTACACGCTTGATCTCAAAACATATCCAATTGAGTGTTTGATAAATAACCAAAAGCCTTTGCCATATACTGCAGCCTTTGTAGCAGATATTGATGTGGTGAAGGACAACGCACTTCCGGACCTAAATCAATATCTCACCGAGGTGGCAGAGCGGATTGAGGAAACAGTGCACATAATAAAAGACATGCTCATCAACAACCACTACATGCTGGATAAAAGCAAAAGCGCGTCTGTGCAAAATCCTGCTGAAATATTCCTTATAATAAAGAAATTGCTGAGCAACTCTTTCTTGCCAGTAACTGCAGCGCTGAACTCAATTGACGATCCTGTGGAATACTTAATAACGCTTGAGACAATTCTTATGCACACTACAATGCTTAAGGACAGAATATGCTACATCCTGCCATGCATAAAGACTCGTCTTAAGAAGCACAGCGTGCTACATATCTCAGAAGATCTTCTGCTTGAAAATGAAACAGCGTCGATGCGGGTGATATTTGATGGGCTGAGTAAAGCTGTTATAACAAAAAAAAGCACTCTGAAATACAAAATAAATGGAGAGGTTCTTACTGCCCTGAAAACACCTCTAGAGGCTGTTTTCCGGTATATGGCATACTGCCATAAAGTTGCTAACCGAAGCGCCAAGCTAGAGTATAGCCCCAAAATTCTGGAGCTTTTGTTCAACTTCCAACTGCGCGGATTTACTTTAATACTTGATGGAGTCTTCAGCAGGAAGTATGCACCATATCTGGGGACTAAGCTGCACCTGGATGTGTACCTGTGCATCAAGAAATACTACAAGAAAGTTCGCACGCAGAGCAATGAAGGATTCATTTCTAGCGTATTGGGGAAGCTTAACCAAATAGAAGCAGAGCGAAATAAGAATATCTCAAGTTCTGAGATGCATTATTTAATAACTAGGTTAGACGATCTTCTTGGCGTGTATAATACAGAAGAGACCATCGATCTTCTCTCATCTTCCTTCAATTACCTGCCAAGCGCTCCCATTTACAAGTCCATAATAAAGGAGACCTTTAATATTTTCTACATAAAAATAAAGGAAAAGGTATATACGCGAACAACTCTCAAAGATGTAAAAAGGTCAATACAATACATCAGTGCGCTATATAAATATAGCAAAACACTGAAGACGCCTGTTGACAAAAGCCTAAAGAGATTGAAGGATCTTTTAGACAGTGCACTAGTGGATGAGTCTGACCTAAATAGAATATTTGACCTAGTCAAAGCAACATCCGAGGAGCAGAAGGTCATTAAAAGAATTCGAGAGAGCATCAACAGCAAAACCCCTTAAGTAATAAAAAAGTTAAAGTTTGTTTCGCTCAGATTGTCACGCAATTTCTCATTCTATAGTTTTACAAGCAATCAGAAAATATAAACATAAAGCAGCACATGTTGTGACTTATATAGCTGAATTAGATGGCTTGGAGGTAATATCAAGAACATTCTGTCTGCTGTCGTATTGTGCATGTATGTGTAAGCGCCTCTAAAAACAACAGAAGAAGAATGCTTAGAAAGATATATGCCCTATTTGAGTTAAATGCTAAAGTGCCAGCAGACTTGCATGCATCTCGTTGTACATGCTAGCATGCAAAGGAAGACTGTTTTCTATTTAGTACGATAGCTAGTTTGGGCATAGTATATAAGTAAAATGTAAATAAAATATTTATGAATGAAGGCGAGCGAGTTAAGCGAGTAGATGACTTGACAAAACTGCTAATTCAGCTCATAAACAATATGAGGGAGGTGTCTGATGGCCTGTACCGGCACACATACGATATAGACACAGAACTGCCGCAGATCAACAAAACAGTCATTAGCAATATAGAAAAAATAGTGAATAGCCTAAAGGAGGATCTTTTTGTGTCTGAAGAGATAGTCTCATATCTAGAAAACAAAGACAGCGATGCAGGAATGCTTCTTGAATATATAGAAGAAAAGGAGCAGGAAATGACAGATCTAAAAAATAAAGCAAACGGAAAGTCTAAATACTTTAAGATGCTTTACAATGGAATTGTTAAATCTCCAGATGCCAAATAAATGTCTACAGCCGTGTGTAATGTGCTTTCTCTGCCCCCCCCCTCACTCTTTAGTGCGCCTACAGCCGATTCTGCGTATAGCATATCCACTGCTAAGAGACGGCTGTCCTATATTTCTGAAAGCTTCATAAATTTTTTATGGGCCTACTGAAGCGTGTGGAGTCACTACCTCTTATATCCACTATTTCTGGGCTAACCAGCAAAGCCACGATTAGATTTCCAAAATATGTGCTAGGCCTGGGAGCATTGCTTGGGGCTGGGGTGCTTGCTAGAAGTACAACAGGGAAGAGAGTATTTAAAGAGCTGTGGGAAGTTGGCTTCAGCGATAAAAAAGGAAGCCCTCTTCCAGCGCAAGAAAAGCCGCTTCCTACAGTCTTTATAGACATAGAAGGCGTTTTAATAATGAAAAGATGGTCTTTTTCAATTCTAGGATATAAGTATAATATACGCCCAAATGCAGACACTTTTTTGTTTCAGCTGTCTAACGAGTATGAAATAGTCGGTGTTTCTTCCATGCCAAACGAAATATCAAACGAAATATTTGCAGTGCTTGACCCGTACGGATGCATAAAGTATAGGATGTACCTGCCACACTCTGACAAGTTAAATCTTAAGGAAACAAACCGAGACGTGCGAAATGTCATTCGAATTAGAGAGCGAGAAACAACAGGCGAAAATGATCTATCGCTTGGTGCATGGAGCGAAGAGAATACCCCAGACGTATTAATGGGGACGCTTGATTTTCTACTAAATATCAAACACTTAGAGTCTAATGACTTTCGAGAGGTTATCAAGTCATATAAAAACCGAGATTTTGTTAAAACATACAGTGAGGTTCAAAAAACCATATATCCTGCAGCACGTCAGTACTTTTTGTTTAGAAGCTCAAACGGAGCAGAAGAGAAGATTGAGAGCATAAATAGAAGTAGAATAGCTGAATATGAGAGAGCAAGAGAGTACATTGAAAATAAGTTGAAAATTGAAAGAATACAATCCAAATCTAAAATAGAGTAGTTTTCTGTGCATACAGATATGAATTCCAGAAAATCTGTGAATTTCTAAACATATAGACGAGTATTTCATTCGGGTTGTATATAAGCTGAAAACCCTGCTGGTTCAATATAGTCTTCTGCTATTAATTGTATTTTTCTGCAGTCTGAATAAAAACTAAATCTGTATAGTGCTGTGTATTTCAGATCACATTTATTCCTATGCTGAATAAAGTGGGCCTTCTTATAGACTAGTATTACATTATTTTATTTCTTTCATACAGTATAAGGATATTTTAAAAGTAAAATTAATACATAAGAAGATTATTCATGGACTACATGTAACTTTCTCCAGATACAAGCATATCCAGAGTTTAACACATACAAGCCCACTAGCTCCCTCTTTTATACTGCAAGCATCCTACACACAGCACCTTCTTTCTCCTTAACAACATTCTTGTTCTTTTCTAAATACTATATACCTATATAACAGCCCTGCCCAAGGTTCTTGTGTCAATGAAGAGATTAATATATAAGGGGGCCTCGGCCTACTGGCCCCCACACCACTTCCCAGCCAGCCCAAATGCTCGCTAGTGGTGCTTTACATCCGCGCTGACCCGCCGCACTGAGTGTTTCCAGACCCGACTGTTATGCGTCTGTGGCTGAGAAGTCTCTCGCACTACGAATAAAAGACAGAGTTTTCGCGTATTTATAGACCGCATTTTATTTTTTTCCTTTTTCGTCAGCAATTTCCCTCTCCGCACTTTTTTGCCCCTGCAAACCGAAGGAAGGTGGCATTTTCTCCGAAATTCCTGTGTTTTGCCCTGCTGAGCGCCCCTGCAAAAAATATTTTCTCAGGTGTTTTTTTTGAGATGGGTCTCCTGGCCAGAAAGGGCGTGCGCATCCATACTGCAGCGAGGAAAGAGACACTCTGCATATGTGTGTGCAGGGCAGAGCTCCTAGAAGGGTAGCTGTGTCCGAGAGGCAGAGACTGCAGATTGATTTATGAAAGGGCCCTACTCTCTATAACTTGCACATGCCATAAAGAGAGCAACAAAAAGAGTGTGTCCACATCTCTCAACTCTGTCTGTACTCTGGCTAGTAGTGCAGTGTGAGGTATTCAAACCAGCCAGTCTGTTTATATCCACTGCTTATGTACTGCATATCACAGTATAGCATCTGTGCTCTGCGCTATACCCTCTGTGTGTGAGGCACACAGCCAGGCTGCGCGAACCCTGCGCAATTTACCCTTACTAGAGCATATTGGGGCTCTCGCCCCCATAGACCGGTCTATATTCACTTTAGAGCGGGTCTTCTTGTATATTAAAAAGTATATGCGCGCTCTTTGGGGATATTGGGGGGCATCCAGAACGGGCAAATTAAGGTCTATTTTCCAAAATATAAGTATAAATAGAGCATAAATCTGTAAAAATATTCCAAAGGAAACACAGGAATCACTTGCTAGTTCTCCTCTATGTGCACTCGCGCACAGGCAGATACCTTAAATTCATCAAGGTAAGTTAAACTCATCACGGCCCGCACTGAAACCTGGGCCTAGCAAGAAGCACTTTAAACTCTTCGCATAGTATTCCTGGCACACACACAAGCCCATCCTGCCTGCACAAAACAGATAAAACAACCCCGCAGACAGGCCCGAATATCCTAAGCTCCTATTAAACTCCTCTAAATGAACTGTCTCTACATGTATATTAACAACACAAGAAACAATAAAGACACATGCATTTACTCCTTTTTTATTTTATTTCTGTACACTGCTTTCTACTTCTGTCCTGTACCTGTATACTTTACTACTACAGAGCAGAGTGTGTGTTGTGATGATGCTACTGTGCAGCACCATTCATAAACAGCCCGAATTCTCTGCAGTGATTTATCATTGCACAAGCACTTCTCTGCTGTGTCTATAAGTTGACTGTGGAGCAAGAGTATGCTGTTTATAGTGTTCTTACATGAATGTATTTACATGCTGCTATACGTGTATTCTTCCTTTGGTATAACCTATAGTATTGCTGCTGTGGCATTCTGGTTGTGTTCTCTATGTGCTGGGCATACATAGCCTGTTTTGTGTATTAAGCTCCTCTGTGTGGTGCCAGCGCCCGGCTGGGTCTTTGAATTGTGCAGTTTTTTTGATTTTCCTGTTCTTTCGTCTTTTTTAGAGGAAATAAGCCTTCTATCTAATATTTACACACGAAATACAGAAGAGTTTATTTTTACATATATATATGGAAAGTAGAAAAAGTGTAAAACATGTGGCATACAAATATAAAGTAAGTAGAAAATATTAATATAAAAGAATGCACTCATTTAGAAGAAGAAAATTGTTGCTTGTGTTGACTTTTCTTCCTTATATTTGATTGCTTTACATATATACTGATCATTTGTACATAAATTTAGAGAGCTTGCAATTCAAACAAATAACTATTTTATTACAGCTAAGAATAATTTAATAAGAAAAACTAGCTATAAAATCCTCCAAGTCTTTACTATGCGCGGATTTGAAATATCTATAATATATTTCTCAATTCTAGCATTTCTTTAAGGTGCTTTATCTCTGTAAATATACATGCCTAGCAAGATTTTCATATTCAGTAGCTTTCTTGTCATACATTAGATACATATTTTTCATTTTAGTTATCTTCAATAGACACTCTTTCTGCATGTTATTTATATTACTTATCTTGGCAATAAGACTTTTTAAGTATGGCTGATATTTTAAGTGCGCTTCTGTCACCACAGTTAATGAAGACAGCCCGTCTACTAGATGCACTTTATAATCAAGCTCTTTTTGCCGCACTGTATAGAATAGAATTTCTCTAGCCAATATAGCTTCTAAGGATTTATGCTCTGCGTCTACTGCCTTTTCATTTTTTTTTTGACAGTCTATTAAGCAGTCTAAATACTTTATATATTGGTCTCTTGAGGAATCAATCTCCTCTTTTTTAATAGAAAGCAAATTTCTATGTTTCATGTGCAGTTCAGAAAAATATACTCTTTCTTGCTCTAACCTTGCTACCTCTAAAGACATTTTCGTGATTTTCTTCATATTTTCATCATATTCTGGGAATTTTCCAGTTGGAATGCATGGCAGGTTTAATAAATAGTATTGTCTAATTATATTTCGTATATTCTGTACTGCTTTTAACTCTTTTAAATATATTAATGTAGCATTGTCTCTTTTTGTATAAATAGAGTTGACTCCTTTATACTCTTCTAGATATACATTTTTTGCAAGAATTGCATCCTGTCTTTTATTTGCCAAAAGTGCTTGTTGTTCTGCAAAAGTTAGTGGTTTTATATTTTTATTCTGTTGAAAAGAGAGCTGTTCATCACTTCTAACATCTAGCTGTTTGCTTAATTCTATATTATCTTTCTTATTATCAACTCCATCAAGCTCTTGTCCGATTTTTATATGACTCTTATAGAGTTTTTTGGCTTGTGTGCTGGCACTGAATTTATTGCTTCTTTCACTGTGTAAAAGCGCAGATTTCTCAAAAGCATTTATTATATCTCGTACTGACGAACCTGTTTTTCTTTCATGCAATACTTGGGGTTTCGATTGTTTTTTTCTATTCCAGGCATCTCTAATTATTTCTGCGCCTTGAACTATATACAAACCGCTCCAAAACATGCAAATGAATCCTACTTGTAGTATAAGAACATTTATGCATAATGCATTTCTTCTGTACTTCATACGAAATCGGATACATTTTATGTTTATAACTATTTCTATAACAGTCATTTTGATGTTTGTTTTAATTTCCCAAAATTTCATCATCTAGATGAAATGCGTATTTTTTGGCATATGGCCTTTATCTCCTAGTTATATATTTTAGAAAGCTAGTAAATAAAAATGAATAATTCATAAAAGAATTGCTCTTAATATTCCTACAGCTATAAAATACTACAAATGGCCACTCTTAGCTAGTTAAAGTTAGATATTTATTGAATTGCATTGCATCTATCGTATCCACTAGACACTACAAGATACAAAACACCTCTGAAGCCCAGAGGCATTCATATAGCCAGGCTTTTCTGAATGCATAGACAGAAATGCCATTATCAAATACCCTTCTTTCTGAATTCATAGTATATGCACATAATTGCAGAACAGCATATGTTTTCGCTATACACACACATGGCCCATACATGTCTTTTCTATGTGCATCTTGCATCATAGCTGTATAAGACATCTTTGGGCACATTTGCATTTTTCTTAAGGGGCTTTTCTCTTTTCATTATAGAAGACATTAAAGTATCTTCAGACACAAAAAGCAAACTAAACATATTTCTTAGTACTGAATGAAAAATTACAAGCTGATGCTTTGGGCAGCATGCACCGTGTGTAGGTTGAATACCAAAGCAACTACAGAGAAGATGAAAAGAATACCCGTGAAAATGGTGGTAGCTGAGACAGGAAGAGAGCCTGTGCTTCTGAGCTTCTTTTTGTAGAACGCAGACACTTCATACTCAACCAAGGAGACCAGAGCAATTAAAGCAGGGAACACATTGGAAGCCGTGATGAGAGCACTTTCTGGGCAGACATACTTTGCAGCAAAGAAAAACGCGTGGGCAAACAGCATGAACGGATACTCAGCAGTAGAAGTGAGAATATTTGTGATGATAAGAGACAGCCATGGGTTGCCGAGAAGCACGCCAGGAATGATCAGAATCAGAGAAAACAGAATGGACACAACTGTGTTCTCAACAGTCCTGAGTTTTCCTTTGTTTTTTCCTTCGCTGTCGTTCCAGGCAACAAAAGTAACTAGAGCAGAAGACAGAACGCAAAGAAGATTCAAAAACCCAGCAATGTCTTTGGAGTGCAGCCTGGATAGAAGGTGGTAGTTGTACAGCATTGCCACAGACAGCACAGAAATAGAAACTATTAACTTGGCAAAATACACAGCAGTTTTATACAAAGATATTTCCTGTCTGTTCAAGGACTGCTCGTCTACCATGACTTGTTTCTGATTGGCTGTCTCTACAATATCAACTGGATCAGTAGTAATTACATAGACTGGTATGTGAATCATTTATGTTTATTCTCGCACAGACCTAATATATACATGTATATGTATGCTTAAGGACTAATTTAATTATAAAAGGTCTATTTTCTATTTAATAAAACTATAGCCTAAGCATTAAAGAATATTAATATACTCATATCCGAGTTTTTTTTGAAAATTAGTCTTAATTTTCTCATTGTGCATTAAAATTTATTTATTTTTGTGTATTTATAGAGGTCTAGGCAGTTGAAAATCAATATAATGATAAACAAGTAGAGTTCTATTGTTAACTGGCAGGACATTCACCCCAATTACTATGATTTCTGGCATCTAAAAGGACATACTCTTCCATAGCATGCTGGCCTATCATGGTTAAATCCAGAAGAAATGGTCAATATCCATCTGCATTTCTGCACTAGAGAGAGTTTTATGCACTTAAAGCAAGGAAATCCAACACCTTATTTCATATAAAAAAGAGTACTTTTTATTGCAGGTTGGCTTTCTTAAATATTTGCAGCAAATTAATTTTTCTACTTGTAAAACTTGCAATGCTATTTATGTTCCTTGCTGTAATAAAAAGACAAAGTGTCATGCATGCTATGCATAATAATTAAATTATTTTTCTTAACAAAACAAAGCAAACTTTAAATCAAAGAATTCGGGTTATATAAAGACAGATTGTGTACACAAACAAATCAGCAAATATTAAGATCATACAAAAACAATATGAGAAAATATAAATTTAGATAGCTTATTTTAAAAATACAACATGCATGCTTTAAAGAAACAAACTAATATAGGTGCTCTTTTATTACAGTGGTTTTTAATAGGCTTTATTCTACTAATGCATACAGTACATGGAAAATTTACTGAAGATGAAATAAATAGGATATTAAAGACGGAAATAGATAGAATTAAAGAGAAAACTATAGTAGTAAATCCAAATGGGCCACTGAGTCCGCAGAAACTGTGTGCATACAAAAAAAATGGATATATACACAACAAACGTTTCTTTGCCCCAGAGATAAACACATACTTTAGTCTTATAGATAATAACAGTGGTATCTGCTATATACGAGATCCAACTAGGGATAAAGTATATACAAAAGAAAAAAACGGGAAAAAAGTGTCCAAGTACATTATAGAATATCATAAGAAACTCATAGAAATGTTTCCCTCTCCTAAGCAAAAAATAAGTATTTTCCCTGCAGAAGAATGTACAGATTCATTTACTCTATTTCTGAATAGCCCTCCTGTAAAAGAGCATGCTTATATGATTCTCGCATCATTACTACTACAGGCAGAGGGAATAAATGTTCCTCTCTCACTTAATGGAGCTAATGGTAACGGCCAGACACTTGTACTGAGTGCTGCAGACAGAAACACTGTTGTTTTCTCTCTTAAAATGAATATTTCTTTTTCTTTTACATTGGGCAGCGGTAGTTCTAAGTCAGAAGAAACTAAGGATGTTTATCAAGAATCAGCAGCCGGCATTATTAGGTTCTTCAAAAACTGCACAGATAATTCAAGAATACAGAAGGGAGGGGTATGTGAAGAATCAACATTAGCAGATGAGTTTCAAAATGGACTGTTTATGAACAGGGCGCTGTTTCTTATTTCCTCGTATATATTTGAGTATATAAACGATGAAAAGGGAATGAGCAGCTTTATTCAGAGAGTATACGAATTGGCATGCAGTCAATACTATAATGTAAAAAAATTAAAAGATTCTATAAAAGCAGGAAAAATCGAAGCTTTTTTTGATAGATATTTTGTATTCAAAGAAAATCATTTAAATTCAGAATATTCCTCGCAGAGAGAAAAAAAGAGCTCAGATCTGATGATTGAAATACAAGACAGCAATGAATTGCCTCTTATTATGATTTTATTTTTAAAATCTAATTATGTTATAGAAAAAGGCAGTAGAAATAACACTGTTTTTGGCAAATTAAGTACTGTACCAATTTGGAGCGAATACTTCTATAAAAATCATTCTGGTCACAATGTTGAAAACAAAAAAAGTAGAGTGCAGAACATTATTGACAATATACTAGTGGATAAGAATAAAATAGATCCTGAAGTATTGAGAAACTGGAATCAAAAGATTAAAACTTTAGATAGCTCAAATAGAAATAGAAAAGAATTCAAAAGCCCATATTGCATTATAGATGTTTTAAGATTTATTTCTTATGCAGAAGGCCATCCAAACCAATATAGGCTAGCTATAGATGGTATTAAAAATATAATGACGAATAATGGCAATCCCAATAAGGCAATAAAAACATTACAGAGAGCCATAGCAAATTTATTTACAGTTATAGATGCTGGAAATAGACAAGGTGGCCTGATTGTAAAAAACCAGTCAACGGATAATACTGTAGAGGTAGAGTTGATAAATACAGAAATAGTTTGGGATCACTCTAATATTAAAGTATTTGGTGAACTAAAGGTCTTTTACCGATACAATGATGAAAAAGAAGGAATATCAATCGAGGTTTACCGCGGAGTCCCAGTAAAAGTTTCTCTCATTTCTCCCATAAAAAAAGTTATTGGCGCAGCGCAGAGTGACTCGTTAAAATACAACAGTGAGGGGTCTCCACCACAAAATGATATCATCAGAGAAAGCATGCAAGCAATACAGACAGGAGAGTTATCTTTCGCACAGAACAGCCATGAACAGCTGGCAATAACAGACAAAGATCTGATTAGGATGGAAAAAACTGGGTTTAGGTATTTAAATAGACTGTTCCTTCATGGAATCATCGATGGAAAAGACTGTAAAGCAAAGTTGGTCAGCCTTCTTGTTGGGTATATGCATGATGTAGAAAAAGAGCGTGCTCCAGGAGATGCAGTGACGCGCTTTTTACACAATATACTGGGAAGCGAGCAGTTTGATGATGAAAATATGCAGAAGATACTTTCTACTAGTATAGCATATAAGATGGTTTCAGATTTTAACTGCTCTGATATGCTAGTCTATAAAGATGAGTATAAAAACAGTTTGTTTACATTTATACTGAACGAAAAAGTTCTAATGCTTAGATATCTAATATACAATGGAACGTGTTCTGATATTTTGAACTGGATGGCTCTCTATGTACAAATACGCAGGCTAGCAAGCAGGCGCCGTCTGGATATAATATTTAAGAAGCTTCCCTCTGAAGATATAGTCTGGCTGGTCAAGCGCTTGTCATCAGACGGGCGCGTTAAAACCAGCATTATAAGTCTAATATGCATTTTGAAAAAAGGAGATAATGAGTCTACTGATACATCGATTTTAAATCATCATAATAGTAATTTTATATCAATTCTTATTGGTGCTGCATGCCAGAGAGAAAATTTAATGCCTTTAGTTCCATCCATGTTGTTAGAACTTGATCTTGAAAATGAATTTATAGGTTATACAGAGATGCACACCAGTAGATACTATGAAAACGCCATTTGTAAACTGGAATCGATAAAATACATGAAAAAAGAAGAGAGATTTGTAAATAATCAAAGCAAATTAATCAAAAATTATAAAGAAAGCCTAGAACGGTGCATTGAAAGTGAGAAAAACCACATATATAAGCGGGCTGATGCTATGTATACAAAAGTAATAGAGAAATGGAAAAAATTATGGGTTTATGAATGTACTGAGTGAAAGCCTAACTATGAATATAGGGTGGGCAAAAGAGCATGAAAAAAACGTGTTTTGTAAAAAGAACAAAAGGGCTCTCATAAAAGCGAATAGATGTAGGTGTGCACACTGTGCCAATAAATACATTATAATAATTCTTTGCAGGCAAAACTTTATATAGACCCTTTTATTTAGAAGAAAGCTTATTTTCAGAAATAAACTACTGCGCTGTGAAAGGCCTATGTATGATATTAGTGAATGAAATAAAAATATTGCATAGTTGCCATTCTAATTCTAAGTACATAACTCAAAGACTATTTAATTACTTTGTATCTGGCTTTTACAGCGGTGTACTAATAGTAGCATAGATAAAAGCATTTTAATAGAACTTACTCTCTTTTCTCGCAAGAACCAAGAAGAAATCATAATTTGTATTTTATTTGACTGCTTTGTTATTTAAAACAAACTTAACAATAGGCTTATTTAAGCTCAAAAAGCAAATTGATCAATTTTCTATTAGAATAAACATAAACCAAGAGTATACACAAAAATAGAAGGATCTATAGTCTTATAGACAGGTCCAAAAATAAAAGAGGGGATATAATAAGAGCAATAAATATATTTTCATATGCAAAGAGAAGACTTTTTTACAAAGTTTGCACGAGTTCTAATAAATTCCTTTGTGGCTTTGGTTCTGCTTCTAGGATAGTTAGTGCGGATGCTGTGTTAATAAATACAAACAGTTGCTATTTGTGCGTCTTTTGAGCCGGCATTTAATACAGGGAACTGGGCACAAGGTGCAGAGTATCTTAGCTGGCTAGTTATATTGCGAGAATAATTGGCTAGTTCACTTTTATAATTTTATGTTTTTATTAGTCAATAAGCGCCCAATAAAAGTGTGCATTTTTTTATGACTCCTTTTACTAACAATGATATACTTGCAATATACACATAGGTATAAAAAGTGCATTCTTCCACTGTCCCACGAAAAAAGCAAAAGAAAGATGTGCTCTTATTCTAAAGGAAAAGAAATCCCATGGGGCTATCAAATACGTATGCATTTATATAACCATGAGTATATCTTTATTGGGGGTGCCAGCTTTTTTGCATATGCATGTATCACCACATTAGCTCACTATAAAAATACCTTGAAGAGCAATTTAATTGTTCTTTCTATGGGGACTCTTTTATTTCTCTTTCAGATAATTTTTCACAATAAAACGGCAAACATTAGTGTAGAGACCGTCAGGAAGTCTCTGAGAAGCACTGCAGAGCTTATGTGTGCTGGATCTTGCATATCCTGCGGGGTGTCATATGTCAGAGGAATCAATAGCATATCCGAAATAGTTAAATATTTAGAATTTGAGGAGGCGCTTGTGTACTTGGGGCTGATTCTGAATAGCATAGGATATACCAACATGCGAGTGTACATGCGGATTCTTTTTGTAGGCACTGCGCTATACGCACTAAAGATTGCTTTATACTTATGGTGCACAGATTAAGCCAACACACAATTCAGAGCGATTGGTAGGTTTGGGCTGCATACGTGGAAAAGATAAAACTGCGCCACAGAATTGAAGACACCGTACATTAAAATATTTTTGCTTAAAGCATCGGCACTTAGTGCAGATAAAAAGAGGCGCTCTTTCTAATTTTTAATGAAGATGGAAAAGAGCCAAGTAATAGAGCTATTCAAGGAAAGCTCTGTTGAGGGCTTGAGTAGCCTAAGCAAAGAAGAGAAAAAGTACTTCTGGCTGCAGACAAGGCTCCTTGGATGGCGTATAGAGGACAGCATAACAATAGACACGGTTTACAATGTATATACAGAGGCAGTGAAAAATCATAGAAAAATTATGGAGCTAATTAGAAGAAGTGACAAAAAGTTGCTATTGCATCATTTGCAAGCAAATCTCACAGAGATAGAGCTAAGTGAGGTGCTAGAGCACATTTACAATAAATAATAGACCAGCGAGAGAAAATATAAATTAGAAATATTTTTTGCCCTTGCAACCTGTGTTAATCGCTTCCCGTTCATACTTTGGAGTTTCATGCCACAGGGACATTTATTATTTAATATCTATAGAGTGTTTCATCGAGGTATATAATGTGTATAGGAGTATTTGGATGTATGAAAATAGGCATAATAGTTCTTTTTCCACTAGTGCTGTGCGACGTAGCCCAGAATGTCATTGACGCCATACAAGAAAGCAGAAAGAAATACAACTTGCGAGAGCTGAAAGTAATAGACCCCCTGATTGAAATAGCCAGAGACAGAACAGAGTTCCTTGCTGGGTCAAAAGAGCTAATAAATAAAACAGAGGTGCTGTGGGATCTGGCTGAGAAGCATGGATACAAGCCTATAGCAATGGGAGAAAACATAGGAAAGAGCATAAGCAAAGAAAAAGAGGGCATGGACATATTTGAGGAGTGGATTAAGTCTGAAACACACAGAGAGAACATTATTAATGCACCAGAGTACACCCACCTTGGCGTGTACAAGCTGAAAACAGAGACAACCATATATCTGTCTGCAATATTTGGGCAGCTGAAGATACTAGACAAAGAGGAAACAGCGCAGCCCAAAAATAGTGTTCTACCTGCAGAAGGTAACAGCAACAATGGCCCAATAGTTACAAGCACCAGGACCACAGCTGCGCCAAGCCAGCCGCCCCTTATAGAAAAGCAGCCAGCAGACGCACAGATGGGTCCTGCTGCTGCAGCACCAGCCCCTAGCCCTATAGAAAGTAAGAATGCAACGACTGCAGGCGCGCAGCAAAGCGAGATGTATAATACAATTGAGCTAGTGTATCCTGGAATAGCTGGACTCGATGGCAAACCAACTCCAAAGATACCGATTCAGTTTGTTCTTGTGGGAAGGGATGGAAAGGAGATTCAACAAGTGCCCAAGTTGAGAAAAGAAACAGAGCAGGAGCTAATTCAGAAAAGTACACTAACCCCGCGAGCTGGAAATTTCTTGCCACAGCTACTCTCTGCTTCATCTGCTGCCATAGAGCCCATAAAGCCAGGCGCTTCCAATGAGCAGATGCATAACATGCCACTCAGCTTGCCAAATGCCAACCCACAGCATAAAACAGTTATAAAGCTAATAATGGTACAGCCATCACCAAACACACAGCCAAGCATAAGAGCAGAGCCTGCGGTAGTGCCTATTTAGTAAGCAATTCTCCATTCTACATGCCACATCGGCGTAAGTGCCTGTATATGCATATATAGTATTGCATATTATTTGCCTGTAGTTTAGACAAGAGACTATCAAAGACAGATGCTTATAGAGACTATAGATCGCACAGAGTGACTTTAATTATAGGCATAACCCGAATAGCGCTTTAGTGATTTGAGAGGCTCTTGGCACAATATGGTGTGTAGACTTCTTAAGGACGTGCTAGAGGCCATTGACATAGGTGTGCCTTTATTATAGATTTTTCCAAAACACCACAAATATCTGTATAATGCTTTGCTTTTATAATAAAAGAGGGCTTCATGTGTTACTCTCTCATAAATGTAACTATGCATTTTTAATAATATTCCTGCATGCTCATATAGTTTTATAACGGTAGTTCCAGTTTTTTGAAGCCTTTGGAAGTAACAGTGCTATCCAAAATGGAGTCATTTTAATAGCATGATTGAAAGCATGCAAATACAATTTAGTCATAATACAAGATGCTGCTTTACTCAATAAAAAAGGAGACTGTCAAGAAAAGCTTACAAAAGGAGCCATATTCAAGGATATTCACAAGAGTTCAATAAATGTTCTCACTCTCAAATCTATTGCCATTATAAGACTGTAATTTATAAAATGTGCTGCCTCTCCTTATCATCACATTCCATCGTTGTATTAAATTACTACTTGCATTACAACTCCAGTAAGCAATTAGTGCCAATTCTGTAAGTACAGTATTCAGAAAATATAAATATCTGTGCTATTGATATATGTTGATTTCTGTTTGTGCAATATGTGTAGAGTCGATTATTAATACATTTTAAAGAGTTCTAGAGGGTAAAGAGCATTAGTCCATTCTGTCAAGTTACTTCTATAGTATCAATTCTAAAAAGAGTGCATGCTTCTAGAAAAAGCCACCAATCCAAATAATAAAAAAGCCAGACCGCTGAAAGAAACACATGTGTCTAGTTTTATTGCGCTGGCACAGCACATTGTAAAAACAATTGTATAGTGAGCTAAACAGATTGAGTTTTATTGCAGGTAGAAAGGCAAATGTAATATGCAGATTAAAACATCTGAGATTTTCTATTATTTTGGGCATTTGAGTGGCATGTTTTTGTTAGCATCGTTTCCTTTATAGCTGCTTAAACTTACTTTGAACAACTAAAAGCCATTTGCATATATATATATGTCTGTAGAACAAAGTATGCCTGCAAAGGCACTCTCTTTGGTGTTTGCTTCTACTTCATGTTTCTTAATAGCAACTCCCGTGCTTCATTTACCTTCTGGGATAAGTAATCGCTTCCGCCTGAGTCTGGATGGTTTGCCCGAACAAGCATTCTGTAGTTTGTGTCTATGCTAGACCTTTTTAGGGCAAAGACTCCAAGAATGGACATGGCTTCTGCCGCTGTCATTTCTTTAAGAAATCCAGCGTGCCTCCATATATTAATACCCATGCACACTTTTTAATTTATGTCTAATGAAAGAATTGGCAATAACTTCAGCAAAGAAGGAACTCTATACCAAGTAGAATACGCTCTAGAAGCAGCAAAAAAAGGCATGTCGTGTGTTGCAGTTGGAAGCACTTCTTGTATGGTCATGGCTGCATCTAAAAGGCTTCCAGAGAAACTTATGGACCCTGACTATATTTCCAGTTTTGTGAGTATTCTTCCTGGCGTAGTGGCTGTGCTTAGCGGGTATCTTATGGATGTGCAGAGAACAACAACGATTCTTTCTGAAACTGCAGTGGATCTGCTCCATGACTTGGGATATGTCCCCACTCCAGACATTCTGGCTCGAGAGATAGCTGATCAGTGGCAGCTGCAGACGCAAGAAGACTCAAGAAGGCTTCCTGCGGTTTTTCTCGCTGTTGTTGGGTATGATAAAGGCGTGCCTATGATATACTACACAGATACATCAGGCACTCTGCTTCCATATAAGGCGGTTGCCTTTGGAGAGGGAGGCACTCTAATGATGAAAAAATTAGAAAAGATATATACCCCGCAGCAGACAGAGACCGAGGCCATCCACACCGCCTTGATTTCTTTATCAGAAGCGCTTGGGGCAGACTATCTGGCAACCAATGTAGAACTGTGCATCTTCACTCCAGACGGGAAAGTAAAAAGATCAACTACTGATGAGATTGACGCTTTTCTAGTTGATATAGCTGAGAAGATATAACCTAAAATTCATTCCAATCAATAAAAGTGTTTAAGCAATTCTCCGTGCATATTTTTATTAATATGAAAGCAACAAGAAGTCTCTCCCTTCAAAGAGTGTTTCTAATGTTTAGTACAGTGGTGTTAGTGTGCATGGTGCTTCATTCAATTTGCAATATATTCATACTTGCCATTGCAGGGGGCATAATTGCGGGCCTTTGCATTGTTTTGCTCGCAATATATAGAGCGCTTAAAGTGCCAAGTGTGTGTAATAAGGAGTACAATAATTATCTGAAAAAGGGCCAAGAGGAGGTGAAGAAGATCTTGGAGAAATAAAGAAGAGCTATTCATCACATGACACTCGTATATTGGAAATATACTAGCCATTTATGACTATTTGCCTTACCTGTTGTTTATTTTTAGAGACTAAGTATATCCATCCAAATAAAAAACCTTTCATACAAGTCACGCGCATGCAGCTATTGCCTGCTGTATAAGACTGGCCTTAACCTAAAAGTGCTATGCATGTCATGCTACTGTTTTTATGGGTTTCTACTGCTGTCTAACTACTATGAAGTGGCTCTACATTTCTATTTCTTCGGAAGCTAGCCGCTATTAAGCACTGAGTATATGCTTACATTGCAAAAATATTTATCTCACGTATGTCCATCCTACATATTTTGCAGACTTCGCTAGAGTTAGGATATCCTAATACTTAGTTCTTCTACAATGTAAATCATCTATATATATTTATTTACTTCTTAAACAGGCTCTAATTATTGAGCTGTGTCTTACTAAATTTTCTATGCTTCTTTCTATACAAAGATATAGTCTGGCTCTAACAAAAAGGGCACATTTAGTATTCGGTGGGGTTGCACTCTTTATGCGGTATATTCCCTTTCATATTAAGTATTCCGCATATGCTGCAGATGTCAATGCCGGTTTTTTCAGAAAGAATTTCTGTGTTCTCAAAAAGAATTCTCTTTGATGGCTGTATGTATCCGTTTGTGTCTATGACCAGCCAATTGGACTTCACCAGATTTCTAGCCACAGTGCAGTTCTTCATATCCTCTTGGTGTGTGCCCTGCTCCTTCTCAAAGAGGCCCACTAGTATATCAAGCACAATTAGCTCGTAGTCTTTAATTGGGCCTTCTGTCACCTGTGCTGTTAGCACAAGAGTCTTTCTGTCATACCAGTTGTTCAGATTGTAGCCCAGGATGTTCAGTGTATCCTTTAAATATTTAATGTCTTCTGCTGTGAGACTTGTTTTGTCTATCTCGTTTCTTTCAAGCAAAGTATGCAGTGCCTTTATGTTGGTATACATACCTCTGTATGCTATAAAAATATTATTTTATATGCAGCTCTTAATGAGCAATAAAATACCATTCAGTTCCAGAATATAAATTAGAGGAAAATATTGCATGACACAGTTGACTAATATAATTATAAAGTTGCTGTATTATGCTTCGTAGGCACTACGTACAACAAGATGCAGATGTAAAATGTGTATTCAAGTAGGCTAATCCTTTTATTTATCAATATAGGCCTGATAATAACAGCATGGATTTACCTTTGACTGTATTTAGATTTTTTACTCATTGACTATTCTTAGACATATTCATTTTTGTATGTAGGAGACTGCATTGAAAACAGAAGTAGATTCTTGCAGATTTCTGCATACAAGAGCTGCAGATTAACGTGGGTTTTATAAGACAGTAGCATATACCCAATGCATGTATGTATGCTGAGCTACTAGTATACTTGCATGTATAAACGGCAGAAAATACACAGTGTATTCAGAAATATGGTAAAACATATAGGAAATATTCACATAGTCATTTTATTCTGTCTTTAAGTATATCTTTTAATATCTAAGCCATCTCTTACATACAATCTGCATCTAAATTCTTCTCTTTTAGAATGCTCTGCATTCAGTATGAATAGCCAAAGCCAGAATAACTAGTCTTCATTAGATCATCTCTTCATAACAAGCTCTTCTAACAGCAATGCACAGCTCACTGTTTTATTTGCCTTAAGAGCATATATTGTATGCTATTTATGCCTATTTTCTAATTCATCTGCTCTGACTTTTGCAAAGCATTCCATATTATTTCTTGCGAATGTATAATTCTATCCAAAATACTGGAGACATCATGCGGCACTGGCATAAAAGCGCTTATTTTATTCAGTGAGTCCTGGAATATCTTTCTAATGCTGCACGTGTCCAGTGATTCTGGAATGCTATCAAGAGTCACAAAAGCAGAGCTTCCCTTTCCCTTTTGTGCACGCGAAGTGACTTTCGCGAAAATATATCTGCTTTCAGAAATAAGTATTTTCTCTATGTTCGGTGTTTTTTCTAATGGATATAGTTTTCCTTCTGTTATCTGCTTATACGTCGGCGAGTTTATAAGTCGATCTCTGTATGAAAGCAAGGCAAGCAGCTGAGAATACTCCTCCCTCTCTGTTAGATTAAACATGTTTGTGTTTGCGCTGCCAATTGCTATTAGGCGGTTGCTTAAATAGCTTTCCGTGAGATCTTCTGGCAGCTTTATTCTTAGCCATGTCTCATAAAGAATCTGTAAGTCGCTCCACAGATACGACAAGCTCTCTAGCTGAATATTCTGAACATCTAGCTTCTCATACTCAGTAGTAAACAGCTCGTATGCAAGCAAGTATCTGAGAAGCCCGCATATTAGCATGGTAATGTATTGGTTTCCGGGGAAATCACTTCTCTTCACTAGCAGAATTAGCAGAGCCTGTACTATGCCCTCATCTCTCTTTTCCTTAATCAAGATTCCAACCAAAAATATTAGGTCTGTCATATTATTCAAATAAGAGCGGAAGTCGCGTATTTCCAGACAGCCCTCCTTTGAAAAGAACTCAAACTTGGCATTGTTTAAATATAAAAATCGCAGTGGGTCAGAATGTTTTACACTCTGCAGGAGCTCTTCCCGCCGCGCTGCGTCCATGCCTTCCATGTTTTTGAATAAGAAGCTGAAGTTGTGGCTCGTTCTCACATACCTAAGTATTCTCTCTGGTTCCATGCTAAGTGACAGTTCGTACGTGAGATAATTAATGCTCTTATTGTCTTTTTTTTGTATTTGAATATCATTCTCCAAGCAGTATTCGTATATCTCCCAGTCATCCAACTTCTCTAAGAGAGAGTCAATTGTGTACCCATACTCTTCAATGGGAATCCCCCTAAGAACAAGGTCTTTAAGCAGCAGCAAAGAAGATATGTCATTTTCTTTTTTTGTAATGTTGTCTAGCACATATTTCTGAAGTACAGACGCGTATGGAATGCCCTTTGCAAGCAGCAGAGAGATCAAAGAGTTGCTTACTCTTACTTTCCTCAGCAAGACCTTCAGTATTTCAAGCTGCAGCCCGCGAATTTCGCCTGTTCCCTTCAACAGCAGGACCATTGCACAGCTTGGGTGGGTTTTTGTCAGTTTTAGGCTTAGATCTTTGCACTCCTCCAGATTGTTTTTGAGCAAAGACAAGTTAAAGTTGTATATGCTTTTGAAATTAAAAATGTCCCTATGTTCTATCAACTCATCAATCTGGTTGACTATAAGCAGACTCTCATGCGCCATTATCATTTCCACATTGCAGCCAGCAATTAAATGAAGGTCTCCCTTAATTTTGCTGTACATATAACTGCCCATTGAAATGTCCCCGTCTGCACACAGGCAGTACATCTTCATGACATATATACGAACTCGAGATACGCTATTTTCAAGTAGTTCCTTGGTTCTAAGATGTTTTTCCAGAATTGGATAAAAGGCTGTTCTGCGCGAACCAGCCAGCTCATATGCAAGTCTATCTAGCGAAGCCGCTGTATTCATTAAAAAATTAAAAAAACCAATGGGTGAATATAGCCCAAGCACAGCCCGTAAAATAAATAGAAGAAATACTCTGCAGGCCCGCTGCCAATGAGCTCTGGTTTATTCAAGATGGGCTTCCCTCCGTCCCAGCCTCTTTTCTCTGCTGGCACCAGACTAATCTCCTCCAGGCCCGTGTAGCTACCTGCATGTGAGTCTGCATATGTCTACTCTGTTGAAGAGCCTTGGCCTTCAAATTATAAATTTTCTTAGTACTTATTCTCTAGCCTCTTGCAGCAGCCGTGCCAAGCACTGGGTGAGAAATAAAAGATATAGATGGCATGATAAACATTAGCACAGATATAGCTCAGATTCTTATTTATTTATACACTTATTTGCTTTTATTTGGGCAGTGCAAGAAATTATGACTTTCTCGCGGCCTTGCATATTTATTATTTAATTAAGCAGTAACACGCGGAAGCATTAAAAAGAAGCTAATTTTTATGCATTCTCCTTGCTTGCCCCTATGTCATAAAACATATTAATTAATACAGTGTGCGCTTTGGAGCCATCCATTCCAGTCCCATAAATAAACACACAAAGCAATTCTCCTGTTTAAAACACGCTCCCACAAATAAGCTAGCAAAACAGCACAGCAAGGGGATAGAAAGTGCAATTCTTCACTTCTAAAATAAATTTGATACTCCTGGAATCGGAGTAATTTTAATATAGAATGCAGACTTTTTCCACTGATTGAAAAGCTTTGCAAAGTATTTATTTAAAATTTTTATTGAAAACCCATGCAAACAACAGGACTGAACAACTATTATAGAAACTCGTCCCTTCCCACAGAAGAGGCACACGAGGAGCAGGCAGACCAGTGCAGCAGATTCTTCAAGGTTTTAAAGGTAGAGTACCCAAAGTTCTTCACTATGGCATTCCTTTACTACTGCATTGTTCTTGCATACTCCATTCTTAGAGACACAAAAGATGCAGTTGTATTAGATAGAATGTTACCCGCTTCAATTCAGTATCTTAAATCATTCATAGTCATGGGAGTAACCATGGGATTCGCAGTTGTTTTCCAGCTTCTTTTGGCAAGAGGAATCACTCTTGAGAGACTTATGTTTGTTTTCAATGCAGGATTCGGAATATTCTTCTTTGTGTACGCTCTTATTCTGCTTCCAAGCATGAACTACATTGAGCCATACAAGTTCTGGATACACGACATCTTCGCAGATAAGAAAATGTTCATCAACGGGCTTTCATTCTTGCAGGGATTCTTCCTTACCATTAACTTCTGGACAGGAACTCTCATCTACATCTCTGCCGAGCTCTGGGGTAACATTATGGCTTCCCTCATGTTCTTCGCAGTTGCAAACGAAATCTGCCCTCTGAAGCAGGCTCTGCGGTTCTACCCTCTATTCATTATTGCAGCCAATCTCGGATTAGTGACTTCCGGAGGATCTATGATGCTGAACTACTATGTTCTTACATCATTCCCCCAGCACAAGACAAAGATTATCAGTGGATTTGTCACCTTTGTGTCAGCACTGTGCGCTGTAAATGTCTTCACATACAGACATCTTGTTAAGAACATTATCCCATACCCCATCTACATTATGTCAGAGGGTGCACAGCAAAGAGCAAAGAGCAAGGAAAAGATTGGTATCATCGACGGATTCAAGATTATGCTTAAGACCCCTATTGTCTTCCATCTTTCCATCACAGTGCTTGCCTATGGGCTATGCACCAACTTGACCGAGGCCGCATTCAAGTCTGCACTGAGAAGCACCTCCAAGTCCCAGGGAACAGATGTCATGACAAGTGTCGTCTATGTACAAGGAAAGCAGCAAATAACAATTGGTCTTATGGTCATTATGATTCTTCTGTCTCCAGTCAAGTCATTAATTCAAAAGAGAGGATGGAACAGTCTAGGAGTGATCACCCCAGCAGTCAGTTTGTTCAGTGCTCTTTTCTTCCTTACTCTTGTGTGGGCCAACTCCTCCGTGACAGTAACTGGAAAGGAAGCAGAAAACCTTCTGAACAGAATCGGAAAGAAGCTCTTCACTTCTCTTGGATGGGTTGAAAGACCAGTGCTTGAGTCTGAGGTAGGATTCTACGCAGTCAACTGCATAAAGATTATGAAGTACGCAGCATTCGACATTGGTAAGGAAGCCATTGGTATCAAGATTCCAAAGGAGTACAAAGCCAGATTCAAGGGAGTTTATGACGGAGTTTGCGGTAAGCTTGGAAAGTCTCTCTCATCAAACGTTCAAATTGTCATATTAGGTCTTCTTAACTTAAACGACATCAGAACCGCAGCAGCTCTGCTTGTTGTTTCCGTTCTGATGGTATGCACAATGTGGATGTTCTCCACAATCTACCTAGGAAGAAAGTACGACGAGGCTGTGCGAGAGGATAGAGATCTATACATTGGCGAGGCGTCTAGCAGTAAACAGCTGAAAAAAGAGAGCAAGCTAGTTCAATAAACATATGCCATCTACTAATACTTGCCTATTTACGTAGAAATCCATCCATGTGCGATACATATCACTACCATGACTTTGTTGTAAGTGCAGACATTGCTTTTATGCGGTGAGCATCTGCAACGCATGCTAGTATGCTTTATTGCAAATGGCTTGGCTGGCCCCGGGGATATTCGCGATTTATTCATGACATAAATTATTTAATTTTTTGCGTGTGTCGATGACTATACGCCCCATTAAAAAAATAAAAGTGGCTGAAGCAGCGAAACCAGACGAAGTGCTTCCAGAGGATCCATTCGCAGGGCTGACTACAGTCCCAGAGTACTTGAACATGGCATACACCCAGGAAATAGAAACCCGGTACATCTCTCTCATTGAGACACTCATTCTTCGCGTGAAGTCAGAGGAGAGCCAGAAGATATGGATATACGGCCCAAAGAAAATATCAGACCACATTATAGAAATACTCTCAAACGCAGCAGCAATGCAGGTAGAAATCCTCCAAAAGAAGCTTATTTTTGACCCCGCCAACATATACCTCATGGATCTGTCGCACACCTCCATTAAGTCATCTCGGTCTGTTCTGTACCGAATACTTGAGAGAACGTCTCCTTTGAGCATTCAGAAAAACAAGTTTATATTCCAGATTCCTAGAGTCGTCGACATGATGAAGCTGGATAAAAGAATAGTGAGCAGGATGGATGGAGTCAAGGCGTATGTGAAGGAGTTAACCGAGAAGGAGTACTTCAAAATATTCAGCCGTGTTCTAGAGGTTCTGAAAATAAAGGAAAAAGAGTACTGCGCCAAGTCTGTGGTGCTTGATCTCGCCACAATACAGAAGGGGCTGGATGACTTTGTCCACTCTGCGTATTTGGTGGACAATTCGTATGAAGGTATGTCTATTAAGTTTTATAAGTACCTCTATGGTGTGCAGGAGCCAAATCCATACAAGATGCTTAGCTCTGTGCATCTAATTATTCTAATGGCTGCCACAGTAAAAAGAGTCACGTTATGCAGCGTATTTGAGGAGTTTGAAAGACGGGTGGCAAATGTCCCGCACTTTAAAAAAGTCTCAAAAGACTGTGTGTTTCGAAGACTAACAGACCTAATGAGTCTGAATCTAGTGGCCCGAGGGTACTTTACTAGTGACAGATTGGAGCTAGAGGCAGAAATACTCTCCCGGGATGAAATATATCTTAAAGTAATGCTGGAAAGAGTGAAGAAGTTCTGGACAAACAGGGTATAACAAAATAATAAAGCAGCTCTGAATATTGGCATATTTATATATCGCAAAAACCTTCTGTGTAATCTACTTGTTGTAGAGCACACAATTAGTGATATCTATATCTAGTTCTCTATGTTTAAAATCTTATACTTCACAGAGCTTGCACATTAGTGCGAGCTTCAACATTAAATTAAAGCCAACAGCTATTTACTTGACCTATTCTGGCTCTGCAAATTTGAAGCTATGTTGCATGCATATACAGCGGTTTTTATATTTTTATACAGTGGTGCAGCATGCACTGTGTTTAATCTGACACACTCATCATGAATCTATATACTTCCATGGACTATCTTGTTATTTGTACATATGCTTCTACATAACCTAGTCTTAGTAATATACTTTATGCTAGATTTATGGACTTACACCCAGTAGCACAGCAGAGAATTATTTTTATTCAATTTAGCCTGCACAACTTGAAGAAGCAGTGAATTACTGCGCATGCGTTTTCCAACTGTTAATATATAAATGGTTTTCTCTATGTAGCTGGATTTAAGCTTCACTATACTGTGCACACTGTATGTAAAAAGCATGCAAATTGCTCTGCATATTCTAAAAAATACGTTGTAATTGCAGCTAAATATAAAAATGCAAATAAAAATGAAAATGAAAATGAACGAAAAGCAAACACTTGCACATTTTCTGGAAAACAGAAACTTTGCTGCAAGCAAGAGGTACCAAAGAAAGAAAAAAGAAGAAAAGGAAAGCGAGGTGAAGGACAGTCTTATTATTGTGGATGGGGAAGTTGTGATTAGCAGTGGATGTCCAAAAGAAAATGAAGAGCGGAATGTCATAGAAGATCGTATGACTGCTTTTTCGTACGGAAGGGCTACAAGCAAAAGCAGATGGTCAAAGGAGGAAACAATTCTCTTTTACAAGGGGCTTTCTCTGTGCGGCACAGACTTTACTCTCTTAGAGAAGATATTCACCGATAAGAGTAGAAAGCAGATTAAGAACAAATTCAGCATTGAAGAGAAAAAGTTCCCAGAAAAAATAAGCAGAGCACTCTCTACCCATAGAGTCTTCAAGAAAGAAGAGCTAGACTCACTACGGAAGGAATACACTGAGATAAAATACAATACATAGCGCTGACAGAAGGCGCGTGCTGTGTATACCCTGAATGTAAGTAAGATCGTACGAATAATAATCCGAACTCCAGCTTTATTAAATAAAGTTATAAATAATTTACAGAAGGCTATACTTTTAACTTAAATTTTCTTCATTTTAGGATATAAAAATGAAAGGCTTTTATTTTGCTATTGGCCCAGTTTTTATATCTAGACTGAGTTTTATTGCTCTCATGCCACTATGGGTTTTAATTATCTGAGTGCACATATGCCGCTTACTTCTGGGTATAGAAACCTTTATAGCTGAATTTTAGGGCTTCTCTTTGTTTATAGATCCTTAAATATCCTATGCATCCAGACTCTACTACATGAAAGTCCTCTTTTCAAAGTATCTACGAAGATAAACTACATTTATTAGTGCAGATAGAATGCTAGAGGATAGCACTTCTGATGGCTTTATATAGTAGTAGTTTAAACAATTTTCATCTTTATTTTTCTTAGTTTGTAACAGATAGAAATGCCTGATTTCTACTTTTATTTTCTTCTTTTCAGATTTCCAGTTTAAGGATTTTTATTGCACATTCTTCATACGAAATTTTATTTCTTTATAATACGCATGCATGCTAGTAGCTGCTTAAATATGTTATTTTAGCTTTTAAGAAAAAAGTCTTTTATTTTAGTTATATTCATAGCTCTGATGCCATATATGCATGCCTCTTTTTGCATACACAGAGAACATTCCTCTTACTCATTTGGCGCGCATGTTTATTAAGTATATATGCTATATAGTTGATATTCTTCGCACAGGTGCTCTGTCTGGACCATTCCACTAGGAATATTTCGTGTCTTATTGCATTATTTATTTAATATTCCTCTTTCGCCTAATTAGATATTAAACATATGAATATATATATTCACAGAAGCAGGCAAAAAATGGCAGAAAAAGAGGATCTAGTCCGAAAGAGAATATATGACCAAATCATGCCTGAGATACTAGCCCCTGCACAGTATATAGAAGACACGCAAATTCTATACTATTATATACTAATGAATCTGAATCTAAAGGAAATCTTGCCAGGTGTGGATGAGAAACTGCTTAGTATAATTCAAGGGCACCTCTACACAGAAAGCATAGATAGGGCATACCTAACTCACCTGTATAGAACAGATAGAAATACAGTTAATACCGCAAGGAGCATACTAGATGGAATAACTATGTACATAAATGAAGCACTCGCCTTATATACCCCCGAAGAAAAAAAAGATGCATCTGTCACTGAAAGCAGCTCAAAGAGCAGTAAAGTCAACACGGGTGCAGAGTTTGTAGTCGCATCAAAGAATATGTTATTTGATAATTATGATGTATTGTACCACATGGCTCTTTCCACGTATGCACACAACATAGTATACACACTGGTAAACCATGCGTATAATGTTGTCAAGCAAAGATATAGGTGTGCGGACACTCCGATAATGCCATTTCCTGAGTTATATAACGAAATGGAGGGAGTGGGTGTGCACAGCTATATGATAAATGAAATAAACACACTGTACAAATTAATGGCATGCCATGCAGGGGAGGATGACCTAAATACAGTGCTATGCAATATCAGGAGTGCGCATCATCATTACGCAAGAATAGCAAGAATTAATGGGGCAGAGCAGAGGGTGGGCTGGTGCAACGCAGTTGTAGAGATGTATATAAAGCATGCAATAAACTATATAGGAAACATACAGACGGAAAAACCAAAAGCAAAGGCCACTTCACAGGGAGTAGAACTGAACTCTACCAGCAGCAAAAGAACAGAATATCCTAGATCTTATGACTATCTATACAATGAGTTTGAATACGATACAGTGCTAAGCCTAATTAGCAATAGGATGGACGCTACTGCAGACATATACGATAGATCAAAAAAGGAGGAGCACTTGCTTCTTGTGCTATCAAGTCTTAGCGCGCATAGCATCATGTTCTATTATGCATACTACATGCTATTCAGCATATGTATTGCGGTGGGCATAGGGGCAAGTGTTGCGCTTCTTCTAAATAGTTTATTGATATGTAAATACACAAGCAGAAGCAGCCTGCTAACTGATGGCAGGTATACGACAGCAGCACTAATAATAAGCATCCTAGTGAATGCCATACACTTAGAAAAGCATTTGCTGAACTATAAGAAGAGCACGCTTGCTTTGATAGAATACGAATACGATAAGATATTTATAAACATGGTATATATAGGCGTGATAAGCATTATACTGTTCTACTTAAATCCAGCTATTCTGGCATGGCCTGCCTTCAAAATATTTATATGCGTTGTTGGGGGAATATCTTTTATACTAAGCCTATTTGACAGCTATGCCAGAAAAAGAAGTATATTAAGCATATTTACATACCGTGCTATGACATACACCTTGTTTTGCTCGATAAACATAGCGTTTGTGGTCTATCTTGTTTGGCAGTTTAAAAAAACTGATATTAACATGTATATGGCATAGAGTATAAAGAAAGAGATGTTTTTAGGTTCTAATCAATAGAGCTCTGCACTTGAAGTCAGAATCAACAAGAAACTATATGCGGTGTATACACAATTGTGCATTCTTTGTAATTCTAGTTATAGCAGTAGGCTAGTCTTAGGAAAAAAGAAGTAAAAATTTGCCGTATTAGAGGCTTTATTTTATGCATGAATTAAATATATATATATATCTTGCAGATTTATAATTTCATACTTTAAAATTGTATCCTGAAGAGCTACAGCACGTGATATAACTACAGATGTGGTTTTCTTGAATCATTGACCTACATCTCTAAACTTTTTATTCATTTCTTGATACACAGGCCATCTACAAGCACATTTCTAGTCTATGATCTTCCTATACTACAATAATAATACGATCCAATTATTATTCGTAGTGAGAGCCCATAGCACGACATACCTGCTATTTTTCACTCTGCTCTATAGAAGAAACAACTTAAATATAAGCATTTCTATGCTCAAAGAATATGATTTGCCAGTTGCATGTTGGATAAATCAATGAGAAAGTATTTTAAGAGAAAACTGGCTTGGATTACTGGACAATTGTATACAAGTGTCTATGAATAAGTAGAAAAAGTGAAATATTTATACATCTAAATAACTGATGCTATTGGTATAACCTGAGCTATACAAGTTAAGGAAAAAATCTTTTTTTACTTTGAAATCAATGATCAGCAGGATACTTATGAATATAATGATGATGCAAAGCATCTTTGCTAGAGTATCAGTGGAAGACATAAAGACAGTGAGCGAGACTTTGCATGGCAAGAAGCAAGACGTGATTATTAATCCGGCCGGACCACTAAATTTATTGCGTGGATATATTGGACAGCGCAACGGATACATGCACAACAAACGGTTTTATTCTCCTGAGATAGATATAAACTATTCTATGAAAGAAAAAGTAGCATCTAGTGCAGATGAACAAGAGTATGATTTTACAAGAATACCTGTCAATGACGAATTTTACAAAGATTTGGATACAAGCAGTGCCTCTGGCAAGTATCTTAGTGCATATTACACTCAACTTATAAAAATGTTTCCGTCTGCGGATGGAAATCTTTCGATTGAGGCAGGAAGGCCAAATGCACTTACAAACTTCCTAAGAGCAGATCATGTTAAAAAAGATGCTAAGTACATTCTTGCTTCACTTCTTCTTCTTTCAGAGGGCGTTGACATCAAAATAGCGGTAGACCATGCAGGAAAGAAAAATAAGCTGGTGATAAAAAGTAAGACATGCAAGGACAGAGAGTTTGTGAATATAGAAATGCATATGGAAGGCATAGACCCAGTTACTAAGGAGTATAAAGATGATATTTACCAAAGTGAAGCAACAGGAATTATTAAGTTCTATATGCAGTGCAGAGATAATTTACTGCTAAAGAAAGGGGGCGAATTTGCAATGCCAACTACCAAAGAAGAGTTTGAGAGCGGGAAATTTCTGAATAACCCGGGGTTCCTTATACAAACGTACATATACGAGTTTATTGACACCGTAGAAAGCTATATAGATTTTGTGAATGCAGTGCATGAATTACTGGTTGATCAAATAACTGAAAAAAGCAACCCAGATAATGATACTAAGAAGAAAGGGAAGAAGGACCGAATATTCAATAATTTCTTCCTACCAAAAGATGCACATGGTGAAAGTATAAAGTACATTGCATCTTTCTGTGACCTTATCCAGACCACAAATGCAGATGCCAAATTTCCATTCTACAATTCTAGTCAGCTGCCGCAGTATACTCGAGTGCCGCGTTGCAAGCTGGATAAATCTGGCTTTGAAGAAAACCAAGCATTATACTACAGCAACTGCGTAGAGGCAACCCTTCTAGGGATATTCTGCTGCCTGGCATATAATCCAGACACCGGAAAGTACCAAACCAGCCACATGGGAGAAGAAATTAGTAAAGAATGCAGGGAATTCTTTAAAAAGTACTCTATGCCTACTGAAACCACAGACTTTGAAATGCATAGGGATTGGAGTAAAGTTGTTGCTTGTTTGAATAACGATGAGATCGACTATAAACAGGAAAGGAACGAACTTCGCTCTGGAATTGCAAATATATTTCTGGCAATTTCAGAAATAACAGGACAGAAGGCAGACATACTGGAGCTAGTTCAGTATATAGAATCTGCATGCAAAACACGAAAATTAGATTCAGATGAGAAAGATTATATTGAAAATAAGATTCAATCAATCATTAGATCTCTGTCACAGAATGATGATGTTGTTGTAAACTGCAAAAAGATGAGGCTTGAAGTGAGGTCAAATGGCAAACCAGATCTTTTCTCTGAAATTAGCATTTGCTATACTTCTGATGATGCAGAAAATGGAATTTCTTTGGATGTAGAAAAAGGGCATGCAAGTCTTACTCTTCTTAAATTATCACAATCTAACTCAGAAGATATTCAAAACAGCTATGAAGGAGTAGGAAATGTTTACAGTGATATGAAAGGCTATACAGGATGGATTGTTGCTCATTACATTGAGATGGAATTGAATGCTTTACGACTTTCAGCTTATGAGGTCTCAAGTAACTTTGAAGAAAAAGTGACTGAAATTATTAAAAATGGCTCTGAGAACATATGTAAAATATTCTTGCTTGGAAAGCTCATAGATATTAAACATAAAGCCCATATTATGGAGAGTTTTTTAATCTATACCATAGAAAATGACGTAGGAAAGGAAAATCCTCTAACTCGCTGGACTTCAAACATCTTGGGAAGTGTTTCACTCAATGATCCTGCCACCCTATTTAAACTAATACGGTTCTTCTTCTTTCATTCTAGATGGAAGGAATACTATCCAAAGCTTGCATATAATATTTCCAATTTTACAGATCGAAACATCATTAACTCTCTTGATATTTCCTATATATATAGGCTGATATTAAAATACGACTCTATCACTCTTGCAGTCAAAGCACTGTGCAACTATCTTGAACTAACTATGGATAATAGAAATATTCATTATGCATTATTACACTTCTCAGAAGTTAGAAAAGTGTTTATTCATATGATGTATAAAAACAAAATAAGCTACTTAGCAGATATTCACTCTACACTTGAAGCAACAAAGCACAAAAAGGATCTGAATGTTCTTAACTCAATATACATTCCCTGGTTTATTTCTGCATGTGAACATAATGACAGATGCACTCCCGAGTTTTTTAGAATGGCTTACAGCTTTATCAACTTTGATATTTTGAATACTAAAGATAACTTCAAATCAGGGCTATACGATGAAGTAATGCTAGATGCAATTATATATGTTTTAAAAGTAAAAAGGAGTGTTCTATGCTCAGAGGATGACTACAAAAGTGTAAACAACTATAATAGATTGCTAGCATACTTTATATCATCTATATCATCTAGAGATTAAATAAGATCATGGTGATAGAATTAAAATACAAGATAAAGATATCTTTAGAATAAATTTTCGTATGACCTATTTTATGGTATTTTCTAGCATTCAATATTGAATAACATGGGGTACCTGCTCTAAGAGTGCAGACTCTCTTTTCTAAGCCAGCAATGCTGATATATATCTTTTTCTGTTGCTAATCACATGTATATGATCAGATTATATGCAGAGCATACAGAAATGATTATACTAAACAGGTTATAATTTATTTATCGTCGTCTAGCCATAACTATCTAATAAGCCACTAATCAGTGGCATGGTACAAATTATCTTAAACCCAGCTCACTAAAGTAAAGATCTATAAATATTTAGAACTTTTATATTTCCATGGTCCATAGCTAAGATGAGAAAAAACATCCAATGGTTACTTTTCACTTCTAATTAGGAGAAAAGGAGTGCCTCCTTAATGGAATATAACTCGAATATATTGGCTAAAGAAAATCTTTTTTTACGTTGAAATCAATGATCCACAGAATACTTATGAATATAATAATGGTGCAAAGCATCTTTGCTAGAGTGTCAGTGGAAGACATAAAGAAAGCCCAAGAAACGTATATTGGCAAGAAGCAAGACGTGATCATTAACCCAGCCGGACCACTAAATCTGCTGCGTGGGTATATTGGGCAGCGCAACGGATACATGCACAACAAACGGTTTTATTCTCCCGAAATAGATACAAACTATTCTATGGAGGAAAATAAGATGGGAAGTCAGTATAGACAGGACTATACATTTATAAGAAAGCCTGTCAATGACAAGTTCCATAGTGACTTAGATACAAACAGTGCCTCTGGCAAGTATCTTAGTGCATATTACACTCAGCTTATAAAAATGTTTCCGTCTGCAGATGGAAATCTGTCAATTGAGGGAGGTACGCCCAATATGATCACAAGCTTCCTAAGAGCAGAACACGTCAAGAAAGATACAAAGTACATTCTTGCTGCGCTGCTGCTGCTCTCAGAAGGAGTCGATATTAAAATAGCGGTAGATCATGCAGGAAAGAAAAAAAAGCTCGTGATAAAAAGTAAGACATGCAAGGAGAAAGAGTTTATAAATGTAGAAATGCATATGCCAGGTATAGATCCATTTACTAAGGAGTATAAAGAGGATATTTGCCAAAGCGCGATAGGTGAAATTGTCAACTTCTTTCTGCGGTGCAGAGACAATCCGCTGCTAAAGAAAGGGGGCGAATTTGCAATGCCAACCACTAAGAACGAGTTTGACAGCGGGGAATTTTTGAACAATGCAGCCTTCCTTATACAAACGTACATATATGAGTTCATTGACACAGCAGAGAGTTACAAGGACTTTGTGAATGCAGTGCATGAATTACTGGTTGACCAAGTAGTTGAAAATGAGAACCCAGAGCAGACTAAGAAGAAAGGTAAAATGGGTAGAATATTCGATGAGCTCTTTCTGTCAAAAGATGCACTTGGCGAAAATATAAAGTACATTGAATCGTTCTGTAGCCTTTCAATGACCATTGACAAGAACATGACGTTTCCTTTCTATAACGCCAGTCAACTGCCGCAGTATACTCGAGTGCCGCATTGCAAGCTGGATAAGTCTGGCTTTGAAGAAAACCAAGCACTATACTATAGTAACTGTACTGAAATAGTTGTTTTGGGTATATTCTGCTGCCTGGCATATAATCCAGACACCGGAAAGTACCAAACCAGCCACATGGGGGCAGGAATAAGTAAAGAGCTAAGAGACTTCTTTGAAAAGTATCCTAAACCAACTGAAACTACTAACTTTGAGATGCACTTAGACTGGAGTAGAGTTATCGCATGCCTGAAAAATGATGATATTGTCTATAAGGATTGCAAAAATGAACTTCTAACGAGTATTGCAAATGTCTTTTTGGCCATTGCAGAAATAACAGGCCAGAGTGAAGACGCACTGGAAATGAACAAGTGCATAAAAACTATAATCAACACAGGCAGGATTGAGCCCAATCAGAAGGCTTATATTCAACATAAGATAGAACATATTCTTAGGTCTCTGTCTTATAATAAGTCTCTAAGAGTAAAGTGCTACGAAATGGCAATTGGCAAGAGGTCGGATGAAAAAATTGATGTTTTTGCAGATATTAACATTGTCTATACTGTTAACCACAAAGATAATGGAATATCCGCATGCTTAAGAAGCCGCCATTCTAGTCTTATGCTTCTTCCACCATCGTACCCAACCTCTATATATATTGAAGAAGAGTACAACAAAATTAAAAGCGTGTACAGCGGCCTAAACTGCTATACTGCATACATCGTTAATCAGTATATTTCTGTGGAAGCAGAGAAGATGAAAGGCAACAGTCTCAATATTGGATATGTTTTAAAAGAAAATATAGAGAGAATTTTAAACAGTGGGTACAATAATATTTCTAAAGTATTTTTATTAGGAAAACTTGCGGAGTCTGACTGCAAGCCTTTCATTATAATGCAATTTATAGCTTACTCTGAAGATAAGGATCTAAGCTTAAATCATCCTGCAATACGCTTTACTTCCAATATTCTAAGCAGCATTGCACTCTATGACCCAGATACACGCCACCAAACCATAACGCCTTTTTTCTTTCACTCCAAGTGGCAGAAATATTACCCAAAGCTTGGATTTAAGCCAGAGCAGTATCTACCAGAAACAGAAATTACTCTATTTAATTTATTTAATGCGTATGAATATATACTCAAACAGGAATCTGCGTCTCTTGCAGTTAAATGCTTAATTAACTACATAATACAGCCTATTGGATTTAAGAATAGATGCCAACTGCTAGTAGAGAGTTCAATGACCAAAAGAATATTCAATCTTATACTGGAGAAAGGATCAATAACACAGTTTATGCAGATCAGATCTACACTTGAAATACATACTAATAAGGAAGACACTAAAGCTCATAACGTTGTCTACATAATCTGGTTTGTCAACGCATGCACAACGAGTATGCCTTCATCCGAGCTTATTAGTATGATGTATGGCTTTATCCACTCTGATTATCTGTTCGATAGAAACAATCCTAATCTAATCCCATATTATGGTTATTTGAATACAGTTCTGAGTGTTTTAGAAAAAGAGAAAGATCTGCTGTGTATAGAAAGCGACAGTAAAAGTGTTAAAAAATACAATAGAGTGCTTAGATATTTCACACTAGTAGGAAAGAAACCTAGCTTATATGAAAGAGTAGTGAACACTGTAAGAGATTATATTGATTGGTACTGGCCTTTTTCTTGATGATTCAATCTGAAGATATGCGCACTTGCATCTCTTGTTCTGCATGTACTGAATCTTTATACTTGAGTGCAAATTCTAATCTAGACATGGCTTGCCATATGGATATGTTTTATCCATCCATTTAGAATAAAGTCTCAACAAATAAAAACAAGTATGCTAAATAAACTGTATGTGTTACTAAATTTCTATGTAGTTGCTCTATAATTCTGTTTCTCATTATTTTCTGAGTTTCTTAAGAAAATAGAAAAATTAAAGTCTCTAAGTATAACTATAATAATGAACACATTTTGTATTTTCAATTTTTCACAGAAAGCACGCGGTATTTTTCTCTTAAGTAATATCTCTGAGATACATATATAATAGAGTTAGAAGTAACAAAGTCTGCCTAGAAGACTTAAGTTGGGAAGAAAGAAATACTTTCAAGCACATTAAGAAGATGATTCTATAGTCTTTACTATAGTAACTTTATTATTCAGATAAACTATTTGTTTTATCTGTCTTCCTTGTTGTATATATCGTTATATTATATGCAATAGTCTACTTACACATAAAAAAGTATGATTTAAAAATAGCACATAAACTAGTAGAAGAAATAAGGGATTGGTGTGAAGCAGTTCGTATTTCTCCAATTAAAAAGGCCAGCCATGGCGTACTATGGGTTGTATATGAAAAAAATATCGTGATAGTAGTAGTACATTTTCATAAAGAGCACTCTATCATGAAAAGCATTCTTGAATGGAAGACCAGTGTCATAAAAACTACAAAGGCAGAGAAAAGAGCACAAAAACAATAGAGTTCTGCAAAAATGAGAAAGACATAAGAAAAAAGACATCTGCTGACCAGACCAGTTTATTCTTACCACATATATGTTATAATACACTACTGCGAATCCTCTTTTCCTATAAATACTTTATGGTGGACTTTTATAATATATGCTCACTATACAAGAAAAGGAAATGTCTTTTCAGAGCTTTAGAGTTTTACAGTATCAAAGCTTTTTATGCCAAAGGCTGCTAGAGCTCCTGGGGTGAATACACATAGTAAAAAAGACAGCTTGTACATGCACAGCATAACTATGCAAGCACATAGAATGCTTAGCATTGTGTTGATAACCCCAACCGAGTTTTTGCAATATGCCTCAATTCCGTTTTGCATTATATTATCATAAATAGCAACTATCCTTCCTTTATAAAGCAAATTAACCAGAAAAATGATGAAAAAAGAGATTGCTGCTGTAATAATGCCAGGCACCGCATACAGCGAAAAAACAGATATAGAAATGTTATCAAAGAAACTATATAGCCAGATGTTTTCAGATAGCTTTGCTATAATGTTAATTACTACCAAAACAAGCACATACATAACTAGTGACATGTAGTACATGTAGTTACTGTAGTAAATGTTGTTTTTTCTACGCGTAAATGAAATCCGATCATATATAATAGCAATGAACGGAATAACACGCATGATAATGTTATATGTATAGCTTGTATATACTGGAAGAAGATGAAAATTTCCAATAATAAGACCGATTCCATAGAAAGAGAAGTAAATATAAGAAAATAGCGATATAGCATTAAAGAACAGGCTTATCCATATTAAGATAATCCGGGCCTTTTCTAAAGAAAAGATTACAGAGTTTTCTATAACCCCTGTGATCTGGTCAGCTCTTTCTTCATTAGTTGTGTATTCAGATAGCGTTTTGTACAGAGACTGAATAATTCCGGTATACCACGCTTCCTTTGTATCTTTATTTGCAAGAAAGAACCGCATGCTGCGATCCAGACTATTAGAAATACCATTAATCGTTGAAATTATTAATGTTGTAAGATACATATTCTCAATAAGGCTTTTATGAAGTAGCGAGAAGAAAAGTGTTATTATTGTTGTGAGCAAGTTTAGATTTGCAAGTATGCCATACTTCAGTAGTGTAATGCTAAAAAACTTGCAGGGGAGAAACGAGTTTGGATTCATATTTTTATCCAAATTCAAGCCCAAGCAGATAAGTAGAAGCACTGCAGTGGTAATGCAATGCTTATTGTCGACCAGCCACCTCTTTGTGCTCTTCCATCTATCTTCTTGCTGTGCTTTCTCTTCCTCACTAACTATCTTGGAAAGTCTATCAAACTGCCGCGAATTTCTGACATTAATCTCAGAGCCCATTAAATTCAAATTATGTGATGCGTGTATACATACTTTTTAAGCACCAACAACTTCTTTTATGAATCATCCAATTAATCACTAAAATACAACAGGTTTTATTTATAAGAAAGCCATATAATTAAGAGTTGTTTCAGATTTATCTATTCGACCTTTTGACTATGTTAAATGAAAGTTCTCTGCGCAACTTTTATAGTTAGCTGCAGGAACATTTAAGCAAAAAAATAAGCTTCTTAACCATAAGAATCTACTATAAACTCCAGTGCTAAAAATTCTAAAAGTGCGGTACTGCACATAGAAGAAATACTCCAAGAAAGCTCTCAAGTAACATATCCTAAACAAGGCCATTTTGTGTGTAGAAGGATTCTCCTAATACACTCTGTATATTGTAATTTCGAGGGCTTATACCCCATCTATAATAGTAGAATAGTTTTCTAGCATGCCAAACTGCCATTTCTACGCTCTGAGCAATATTTAGCTATTTCTAGGCATGTGATGGCTTTGTGATAGACCTCTTTTACCATTTGTCTATTTGATAGTGGCTGTACACTTTTACTTTTATCCAGTACAGCTTTTTATGTGTTATCCAGAATAGAACACCAAGGAATAGGAAGAACAGAGGGACATAGTTAGATATCTTGTCCATTATTCTGTATCTCCAGTGTCCATAAGTATAGTAATATATATATGATATCGTAACAATGTATGATATGTACAAAGCACTCCATGCAATAGATGGTTTATGTGTGGCCTTATTTGCAATGTATGTAATAAATAGAAGCACACAAGGAAATGCATGCATGCACAGATTGGCAAACATGGAAATCCTCCTAGGCCCGTATATAGATGACTTTGGAAAGACTAGATTTGGGTTGTACCGGAATATGGGCCAAAAGATAATGGAAATTAAGAGTTCGGCTGTCAAAATAGTAGATGTAAGATGGGCTGACAGAGTGTGCATCTTATTATTACTAATATGCGGCACAGTAATCGACATGCAAAATGCAAAAAAACTGAACAGAAGCGTTGAGTTTGTCACAAAGAAGAACTTCTTTGGGTTAATAGCCAGATCCACATTAAAGTAGTTGTTGCATGCGACATCCAAATTCCCATATACAGTAGTAGCTATCCCCACCCCAGATGCTACAGAATTTATCAAAGATAAATGGTTAGAAAGTTTTCTATTTGATTGGTGCGTTTCCATGCAAAAATAAAATGAAAAATGTAAAGTTTTCTTATTAGCATGTATCTGTGTTTATAAGAATATATTCATATCTCATAATCTTATGATAGACAAACAAAGCCAAATACACAATAGAACTGTCATGCAGAGTTTCGGGTTATATTGCGACATTTTGTCTATTTTTGTACGTTAAACACATAGAACATATACAGCTATTTGTGTAGTTCTGGCACTTGCCTTTTTAGTCTATGCTTAATAACGAAGTGTGCTATTTGTATTTTTTATTTATAGAAGCAGCATATACTCTAGTTCTTAATCAATCTAGATATAGCTCAACTATGCTTAGTACTGTTTGGCTGGTCCTAACGCGTATATTTACAGTTTATTAGGTTTTTGAATATGAACAATCGAAGAATTAGATGCCGCAAATATCACAGATAATTAACTTTTATTACTCTGTGTGTCTATAAGTCACCTTTTCTTGGCACTTGGGTCACTTTCTCCAGTTGCGCCTCTGCTGGAAAACTCTTTTTTCTTCCTCCAGATAATTCTATTTAAAACTATGAGAGAATAGTACATAAAGCATATGGAAAGGAAACAAACAGCAAAAAAGCCAATTCTATTGACTCCGCTTACCATGGTAACCACTCCATATGGCCAGTATCCATTTACTACATAGCATAAATACATTGTAAGTAAATATCCTATGAAGAACCCGAATATCAAGGCATAGTGCCCGGGGGTATTGAAAAACTCAATGCAGAAAAATTCTACAAGAAGAAAGATAGTCGGCAGCCCGTGCATGCACAAGTTGAAGAAGAAAGAAATGCTATCATTTCCAACGTATGATGCTGTATTTACAACAAGAGACTTATCAATATGCCAGAGCACCCAGAATGTAACTGGAATGAATGTTTCTACAGCAATGGTAAGAGCCAGCATATACAGATATATGTTATATAGCAGAAAAGAACCTCTGGGACTAGACTGCCCAGGGCAGGAGTTGCTTTTGTGTACAAGGCCCATGCACAGAGTGACAGTTGTAAGCAGAAGCCCAACGTGAGTTAAATGATAAAATCGGCTCAGAAACTCAAATAGATTGAGGGATCGCAGTCTATACGGCTTTCCTATATCCAGGTTTCCGTATACGGATGTGATAATCCCCAAGAGTAAATTGGTACTGCGCAGACGTTTTCCCAGGTTTCTTGTTGAGCCATCGGATTTTTTCATTTCCTCCAGATCCTTAAACATTTAAATACGCGGCGCAAATTAATTTTTACTTATTGAATGGAAACTTATGAAGAGTGTGTGTACAGGGCAAAACTAAGTGAAAAAGCAGAGAGGTTCAAGCAGATGGTAGAGTGCATGAAGGCAGCAGTCAAGTATGCTAGTTCCATGGGAAAAAGCATCGGCATAGAGGAGAGGAATATGCTTTCCGTGGCATACAAAAACCAAGTGGGTGTAAGAAGGACGTCCTGGAGAATACTCAGCAAATCCTTACAGGAGTGCAAATTGGCAGAGCAAAATTCAAATGACGCAGCGAGCGAGAAGAACGTGCAGATAGTCATGGATTATATTAAGACAGTAGAGAGGGAATTGAATGATATCTGCGATGACCTACTCTCATTACTAGACTCGTACTTGGTCCAAGACACTGCAAAGGACTCGCAAGTGTTTTTCCTAAAAATGAAAGGCGACTATCTTAGGTACAAGGCAGAAATAGCAACGGAGGGATATCTAGTAGAGGTATCTCAGCAGGCGCACGATGCATACCAGAGTGCAATGGAAATAGCCAATGCAAGCCTGCCGCCAACAAATCCAACCCGCCTAGGGCTATATTTAAACTATTCTGTCTTTTGCTTTGAAATACTGAACGAAAGAACTCGAGCAATAGAAATGGGCAAGAAGGCATTTGACGAAGCAATTTCCGAGCTGGACTCATTAACCGAGGAAAGCTACAAGGATTCTACTCTTATTATGCAGTTATTACGGGATAATCTTTCCTTATGGACAACTGAGTATGCAGAAGATATTGCATACTAGTTATTTGCTGTGTCTTTATTATGCAATGGTCCGGCTGTCTTTCAGCCTTCTCAGAAAGTGGTATTCATATGGTTACTGATGAATAATCCTATTATAGGTAGGTGGCCACAAGCAGGTTATTACTTGCTTTGAAACTCGGAATAAATACAAGATATACGTTCAGCTGGTTCTGCAGCCAACAGGCACAGACTTATCAATTTCTAAAGTGTTCCGCTTGCAAAATAAAAGTATTTCAGGTAAATATTCACTAAAAGCACCGATGTAGGCTTGTTGTATCTAGGCAAATATCTTCTGAAGCAGCAGTTAGCTTAATCATTCAATTTATATACAGCAAAATTAAGCTATATATGCAGTGACTACAAGGCTGCGCTGCATTTATCGCCTAATATGCTTTCTTATAGAGCTCTGTTAGTAAACCTGCCAGTTTATTTAAAACTTAAATTATTTAAAACCTTCAATTTACCACCATGGCATGGCCTGCTTACTCAGTTAATTATATAATCAATTAAATGAATTCTGTCAGGCCATCTGCACCTAAAAGCACGCATACGAAACACTTTTATGTTTGCTGTCTCTAGAAATGCATCCAGAAGGGTAAGTTAAATATTATCCAAATTCCTTGCTCCTATTCTGGTCTGTTAAATGTTTTCAACTTTCTTATATAGCAGTACGAAGTTTAAACAAGTGGCTAGACCCAATATAAGTAGAAATAGTGCTTTAAGAAGACTTCAGTACGTAGATTACACACAAAGTGATGTGCCATATAGGCAAAAGGTTCCTAGCTCAGAAATAGTAGCACAATAGGATAATATCTTGCTAAACAAATAGTTTTTATTCATCTGATTAAAATATGCTTCGCTGCTGCTTTTGTTCAGATTTTGCTGTGCCTGTATAGAGTCTAAAAAGAGGTATCGATTTTTGCACACCACTTATTTACCAATCCATCTATATTATTGCTATGCACATTAGCATTATTTTTGGATTCCTCTACAGACTATTTAAAATAAACAGATACTTTTGATTTCACACTATAAGATAGCAGTTTGAATATTTTACTTGCGCATTTTGCATCACGATGAGCAAATATCTGGGTATACGCTGCTATTACATTTGCACTGTCCACATAGAGGCCTTTCTTTACCAGACATTTAACTGTTTCTGCTATGGTATGTTCAGATATATCATCTCGATACACTCCAGTATATTTTCGGGAGACTTTCTCTATACTTTTCAAGCTGTTTTGCACATGCGATTTTCTGCAGCCTATGCAAATAATCAAAAGTAACTGGGCATCTAAGTTATTTAATCTATTAAGTATTATTAAATTGCCTAAACTGCGCAGATCAGAATAGTTAAATCCCTCTATTAGCAATATGCCTCGGCATGAATTATTTTTGACAAACTCAATTATAGTATAGGATTGCGTGCTGAGATATTGGTATGGTTGAGCGGTTATGCAGGCAAGCCTCATCTGTGAGACACCATTATTTTCAAATTTGCGCATATACAAATCAAGTATTATACTATCTGTGATATACTGTTTTATGTTTCTGGCATATGCAAAAATACAATAGCAAACCATATTATCAAGCGGTATTTTATCTATGCTATTTCTCAAGTGGCGCTCTTTTTCATTTGTTATACATAGCTTTATAATCGGCATGCCGAGCTCTAGGTAGGCAGTTTTAACATTCATTAAGTGAACTATTATAGGCTTTGCCTGTCTATCGTGTGCATAATATATTTCTAAATTCCCACACAAATCCGATGCGCTTTTGGCTTTGTATTCTCCAAGTACTATGAATTTTACAAATACTTGTCTTTTTTCCCCAAGATACAGAGGGTCTTCATACCATATTGGCATGCTTCTGCATGCCACACAGTCTCTGGAAAGAGATGTAAACAAATTCGATATATAAGTCTCTAAATCAGTTAGAAGATCCAGTGGCATGGCATTGGTAATGGCATTCTCCATACCTTTTACTTTATTTCTAAAGTCTTGTATTTTCTTCTTGTCTTCTCCATTATATCTTCCTGCAAGTGTTACAATTATAGTAAGCATGTTGAGAAGGCCTGACTTGATAATCTTACTATTCTTGGACATGTATTCTATATCCTTAATCTTTATATCCTTAATCATTTTTTTCCATTGGGGATAAACACCTTCGGGTGTTTTCTTTCCTGGAGCTACACTGTCTGGATTGGATGAAAAAAGATTATGGCTAGAAGAACTATAATTTGCATTGTATGGCCTATCATAAACATACTTAAAGTAGTCGAAAGGCATGGGGAAGAAGTTCTTCACCTCTTCTAATACATTTGGGATGTGGTCAACTCGATACACATCGCTATTTGAGTCATATGCAAAGCAGCAAAATATTCCATGCAAGGCAGACTCCAGATCGGTCAAGAACACATCCTGTGAAAAATAGATATTCCTATACAAATGCAACATAGCTCGCTTTTTAATAGGGAACATTGCGGGATCTGTAAAGGGAAGCAATTTAACGTTTTTTATAGGTGTAGTAATTCTCTTTAGTTCTTTTAAATTTTCCCAATAGATAACTGTTTCTGAATCTCTATCGCTCCGAGCAAAACACCTCTTAAAAAACTTCGTGGCTCGCCTACTTTCCATGTCTACATTCTTCTCTTTATTTAGTTCTATGCATCTATCCAGCATTATGTATAGTGTTCTGTTGAAGTTTTTTGCATCTTCTGGGGTTTCTATATAGAAGATGATATATAACTGTATAAGCCAGCTCTCCCTGCCTAAAATATCATCTATCCAGTGCTCAATGCTATATATGCTTTTTACCTCCATTTCATGCAAGAATACTTCAGCCTGCTTTAGGCCAATGAAATACTGAATAGTGTTTACTGCCTTCTCTTGATATTTCTTATTACGTCTTAGCCTCTTGCAGTTCTTGCTGTATAAATACTGGCAAGAATCCATAAACATATCAAGAGAAAAGTGCTCACTACAATCTGCCCCGCCCTTCCATACAAGCTTTTCCAGCCGCCCATCAACTTCCTCAAGTGACAGCGGCACATCTATTTTCTCCGCCATAAGAAGAAGTGCTGCAAGAATTGTGTTGGCATATTTTTTCACAGGATCGCTCTTCAAGAATAGAGTAAAAGAGTCTGTGCAGCCTTCTTTAGGGAAGATGCTTATTTTGTTTTCGGGTGAGGGAAACATGTCAAGCAGCGCACTATAGTGGTCTATGATCTCTTTTAGCACTTTTTTTCCATCTTTATCCTTTAAATATACGCTGTCTTTGGCTGAATTTCTTTTGAAGCATGTATTGCTATTTTTGTCTAGCATACTATAATATAGATTTATGTTAGGGGAAATAAGTCGAATTGAAAAAGCATCAATGTTTTTGTCACGTAGATAAAACATGATCGGGCTAACCGGCCCATTGGGTTTAACCGTCCACTCTGTCGTTCCGCTCGTATACACCACTTCTTTCATCACCTCGTCCACCTCGCTAATTTTCATTGCTGCAAAAGTCACCTGTTGCAACGCCAAAAAGGCAACTATACAAAATATATTCGTAAATAGCACTATATAGGTGTTTCTATTGCCTTTAAATCTACAATATTTAGAAGATGCACTACATCCCATTGGAGGTTTAAACCTCTTGCTGTATAAATAGGCATGTGCCCTTTGTTCGCTTTTGTTATACATATCTTAATTTCTATAAGAATTTTTTTAATTAAATACTTGCTGATAAGTAAAAAGAAGAAATAAGCGTAGATATTTTCAAGGCTGTTATGGCAAAATGCACACTTCTCAAACCAGATCCCATGATATCTCTTACACAAAGGTAAATAATTCCAGAAAATCTACCAATCAGAAAGACGCTATATGATCATATGAGAATATTAAAATAGTGGCACATTTCAACAATAAGAAATCCCAAGTACAAAGACAAACAGCCGCAGTACATACAGGCTTCTGCAAAAATATGCAAATAAAACTCTCCTGTCAACAACTCTATTTATTCTAAACTACTATCACCTTGCTGGCACATTGCCCTCTTTCTGTCATTGCAATTGTTTTTTACATGCTGATTTTATTTTGTATTATTTCATACAAATATGCATAAATATCCTATTAATGTCTAAATGATTTGGAAGCACAGAATATATGCATTTAATATAAGTACATATAACCCGAATGTTTTCTACAGCCTCATCTGCGCGTAAGAAGTCTAGTGCCTTTTTGTTTATCGCTTCTGCATAGCTATAGCCTTTTAAATTTACTTTTAAGCCATAGCTAAAGAAAGTCTTATTGCTTATATGCACATAGTTTTCTACTTGAAGAATAATTTATTAAAACATCTCCTATGCAAGGAGGCTGCCAATTAGAAAAGAAAAATACATGTCTCAAGGAGAACTTCAAAAAGATGCCGCTCTATTCCATTAAGGGGATTTAATATTTTCTATATTTGAATAAGGGGCTCTGCACAGCTGCTTCATATAAAACTCTGTACTACATTCTCTGCTAAAGGCAGAAATATCGACTTAATATATATCCAATGACACAGCGATTTTTATTACCTCTGTACAATAATAATAGCTACCAAATAGTATCCTGCAGAAAGATCTATGAGACTAATTGAGAACGTTACATCTACGCATTGGTTGTATAGAAAACACTTTATAGATATTATTATACATCCAAAGGGAGTATTGTCTCATACTAGTCTGAAAGTGCTAGTCTGAAATAAAGTGTGCTTATAACCCGAATTTTGTTAGTATGTGGCTGCGGATGTCTTATGGCAGCGCGCTGATAAGTCTATATGTTTGAAGTCGTATTTTTTTGTATTTTCCATGTGCTGCATTTTGCATATTCTCTTGTATATTACATAGCAGTTAGTAAAAATAACTAGCACATAAACTTCTTTAAAAGAAGAATATGTATAAACCCATAATAAAGAGCTCTCACAAAGAGAATCGATTCTTTTTATATCACTCACAATCTGCTTGTTCTACATGTCAAGCCATTCTCCGTCTAAACAATGCGCATTTGGTTCTCTGGAATATGCTACTTTTCTGATTTTCCTGTTCTCTTCTCTTTTTTTATCAGAAATAAACCTTTCTACTTTTTATATTTATGCGCCAAGTGTAATAGACTTTATTTTTATATGCGAATAAAAAGTGCATGAAAGGATTGAAATAAGCCCACGCTGCTGTATACCACTATCCCACACAAACCACACCCACAGCAATATAATACACCAAACGAATCCAGGCTCCATTAACACATGAACATTCTTACAGCATAGTAGCACCATAACCACAAAAGATCTACTCAATTAATTTATTACTTTATCTTATCCGCAGATATTATATCATTCAACTTACCCTTAATGACATCCTTAATATGCTTGATATTATCCTCATCCTTTTTCTTCCAATTTTTCATCTTCATTTTCATCTTGGATAGTATACTCTCTTTAGTTTTCACCCTCTTCACCTCAAATGAAACCCTTTGTGTAATCATGTTCTGGCCAACCACCAGGATAAAGCTATCATCCCCTAGCTGGCAAAAGTACTTACCAGAACTTATAATAAACCGTATACCCAGCTCATTAATTACTTTATCTAAAGAACACAACAGAACGTTCTTTTTTATCTTGTACCCATTCAGATATTTTACCAATGACCTATTTACCTTTACCTTCTCTTCTGATATAAACTCTATTATGGCATCCATCCTATTCTTATTATGTGTTATCCTGATCTTATTAAATAGTTTGTATATGTTGTATATGCTTCTATTATAAGAACCATCTGCTTGTTTAAACTGTCCTCCAAACAAGAAGTTAATGTAGTCATAGACCTTTTCGTCCATGTCATTATTTCTGTTAATTATAACAGGAGCAGCAGACGCCACCCCACTGTTCACTGCCATAGGAAGTGGGTTGCCCATGGGCACATTCACAGGCCGTGGTACTTCTGCAGTATTGTTGGGTATGCTTTTCTTATTCGGTATTGCAGTAGTCATTGGTCTACTGTGGTTGTATGGATTATTTGTCTTCTTCTTGGGCCGACTACTCTGTTTAGTAGACTGTATTATACTGGGCACTGCATTGGTGTCTTTTATTCCATGGGTATGCGGCATTATTGTATTCTTAGGCATCACTGCATCTACGCTATTCACTACTTCACCAGTAGCCACAGCACCAGCCACAGTGCTAGTTACTACACTAGCAACAGTACTAGTCACCACATTAGCCACAGTATTAGCTAATTCTACTCTTGGATCACCCATTAGACCAAACTCAGATAAGCCTTCCTTAACCCACTCACTTTCGTATATCTTCCGGATACTCATCCTATTACCCCCATTCTTATCAAGCATACCACACAACAGGACACGCAGCTTGTCACTTACTCCATCCATTCTTACCTTATTATTCATTATCTTATTGTATAGGTTACTTATGTTCTTGTCATCATAAGGCACACACCCAACCACCATGACATACAATACAACCCCCAAGCTATACACATCCACTTCTGGACCAATGTAGTTATGCCCAGACAATAACTCAGGGGCTGCAAAGTATAATGACCCACAGAATGTATTCAAGTACTTATTTTGCTCGTATATATTGGATAGTCCAAAGTCAATTAATATTGCATTATCGTTCTGATCTATCAATATATTCTCTATCTTTATATCCCTATGCACTATATTATTATTGTGGATATAATTTAGTGCATCAAGTATCTGTATAAAGTACTTTCTTGCTTTATCCTCCGAGAGTACTTTATATTTAATTATTTCGTTAAGCAACTGGTTTCCCTTGATGTACTTGAATATTAAGTAGAAGTGGTCCTTGGTGTATTTGAACTCTTCCAACTTCAATATATTAGGATGTGATAGTAGATAAGATATTAGTACTTCTCTTAGTATTCTATTCTCTCTTTGCACCTTCTTTTCTATTCCTATCTTATTCCTGTTTATTATCTTAATTGCAACCACTTTATTATTCAGTACATTGTGTGCTTTATATACTGTGCTTGTAGTGCCGGATTCAATTATTTCATTAAGTATATAATTATTCATACAGTCCTGTGTTATAATTATTATATATGCAGTAGGGGATAGGAGATAGGAGTACAGGGGAACAAATAGGGGAAGTATTTTATTAATATGCATTAGGAGTACAATGGAATATATGATTATAGTACTTTAGTGCTACAAGGGGGGGATACCATTATCATTAAAAGTGCACTATTACATGGAGAGTATAAGTATATGGGGTATATACTAATTATAACACAATATACACCACATATATTGAAGTGTTACTAATTATAACGGGACATGGCCAATTCTGCTGAAATATGGCAAATTATAGCATATATGCACTAACTATAGCACACACATATACTAAATATGACTAATTATAGCACAGTATACATACTATAAATATATTATGGCATATACACTATAATTATAGTAATTTAATCCATAATATAACCCGAAGACTTATTACACCTTATTATGCTATAACGTATTCCCATGATATTATAAAATAACCACAATCTATTCCACTTAGTACATAATTTATTCTACTTTTTATAAATCGGACAAGACTTAATCCGCCCTATCCCGAAAATGACAAGACTTAATCCACTTTGACAAGACTATTTCCATCTGTACAGAACTTAATCCACTTCACCAAGACTTAATCCACTTCACCAAGACTTAATCCGCCCTATCCCAAAACTGACAAGACTTAATCCACTTTATATAATTCATTATAAATACGTTATCCTGTGTTATTATTATTTTTTCCTTGCTTTCTGTTTTTCTCTTCATTAACTAATGCCTTATTATTCTTATATTTAATTAGTTCAGGTATTCCGTCTTTGTTTTTCTCAATGAAAATATTGTGAGAAGAGTGATTTTGGTTTTGAAACTTTTTGCTTTGGATTTTATAACGGATTTTGCTCTTATTCGCACGCATTAATGAGAATAAGTTAAGAATATTTTTATAACGGTCAGGATCCTGGTTGTTGTTTTGTTTTATAGGAACATTTTGATTACTCTTTATTGGGAAATAATCTGGTTTCCCGGATATTTTACTAATTAGCTCTTTCAGGGTGTTTCTTTTGATTTGATTGCTTTTTGTTATTCCTCTTTTGGCAATTTCCACATTTGGAAATATCCCTACAGTTTTTTCCTCTAAGAATAGTTTTTTGCTAATTAAATCCATAACGTATTTTTGATTCTTCACCACTTCCTTTTCCAGCTGGGACACCTTCCATTCTTCTGTCAGAACCATCTTATTAGAGTTAATTAAAATATATTCTAGCGGTAAATTAATTAATTCAAAAATTAATGAATTTAATGAATTAATCACCTGATTATTAATTAATTTACTGTTATTTTTTGTTTTATCATTAACTGAGACTGTTTTTGATTTTTGTTTTATTCTTTTTTTAATTTCTTTTTTATCTTGGATTTCTATCATAAAATTCGTATCCATTTCTTTTTCTTTTTCTAAGATTTTTATTTCTTCGTTAATTAAGAATAATTTTTGTTTGTCTTTTTCTCTTCTCTGTTCATTGTCCATGGAATAAATAAAATATTTTACTATTTATAATTTATAATGGCATAAGTCATGGTGAATATGACAGAACTTAATATATTGTGTGTAATATGTCGTGGTCATATTTATGCTGTAATTAGTCATATTTTATGACAGAATATAGTACACTATGGGTAATAAGCTATAGTGAATATGACAGAACTTAATATACTATGTGTAATATGTTTTGGTAGTATTCTGGGTAAGACTATTTCCACGTTTATAAAATGTGTCAGAACTTATTACGCACTTTATCAGAACTTAATCCACTTTATCAAGACTTATTACGCAGTGTCAAGACTTAATCCACTTTCTATAATTTAAACAAGACTATTTCCCCTCCATCCATAATTTATTCCACCATGTCATAATATATTCCCAATTAGTCAAGAATTAATCCATCCAATCCCAAAAATGACAAGACTTATTCCCAATTAGTCACAATTTATTCCACATAGTACACAATTTATTACACATATTACACGACTTATTCCCCTTCTACCATAATCTATTCCCAATATTACATAATATTAATATATTCCCCTTATTCATATTCCTACAATACCCCTGCCCCCACCTCCTTTCATCATTCATATTTATTTAAATAAATTCAGAAGGAGTAAAATATGAACAAAGAGAACAAAGAAAGAGAAAAAAGAAGACCAATCCCATTAGAATACGAATCAATTGATAAAGCACTAGAATCATCCGTAACAGACACAGATATATCACTTAAAATACCAACACCCATCGATACAACACAATCCCCATCCCCATTCACCTTCAAAGATAAACTGCAAGATGACCAATTAGACAGCAACTACCAATGCTGTGGTATTTCATTACCAACACTGCATGACTTAGTCTCACACTATGAACAGTCACATTATAAGTTCATTTCAACAGAAAAGAAAGGAAAACAATACGTAAAGTGGTACGGTGGTGATACACATACAGATATAGTACAAGTACCTACTGTTGTATTTAATGATAACACATTAACATATGACTATTCTAAGCCAACTGCCTTTTATAATACTATATTACAGTCTGAGTCATTATCACTTGGTGTATTACTGCCACCCATTGTAGTCCGTGACTTTGATATGGATGCGGAGGTGGAAATGATGGGGGAGACGCATTATGAAGATGAAGATAAAAAGAGACCCTTTAAGTGCACTCATATTGGGTGCAATAAGAAATATACATCTGCTTATGGGTTGAAGTATCACATGAGCAAGGGACACACTGGGGGTGGAATGGAGAGTGAGAAGCCATATGCTTGTGATGTGCCTGGGTGCGGGAAGAGATACAAGAATGCGAATGGATTAAAATATCACTTCAATAATGGGCATTAAAGAGAGTGAAGAATGAGCATAGGATTAAGTCTTGTACTACTGGGAATATATTCTGGTGATTAGGATTAAGTCTTGTCAAGTTTATAAAAAGTGGATTAAATTATGCACTAAGTGGAAATAGTCTTGTCACTCGCGTAATATGTCCTGTCAAAGTGGAAATAGTCTTGTCCTTGCGTAATATATCTTGTCACTTGCGTAATATGTTCTGTCTAACTAGCCATGGGTTTATGGTGCTATAATAATGGAAACCCAAATAATAATAAGATGGATTAATGAGGATAGAAAATAATAAAGGATTAATAGTTTTATAGATGGAATGTATATTTTATATTGTATTATAGATGGAATGTATTGTATATTGTATTATAGATGGAATGTATTGTATATAGTGGGATTAAGTCTTGTCAAAGCGGATTAAGTTCTGTACAGAGTGTATTAAGTCTTGTATGATGTGGAAATAGTCTTGTCAATTTATTCATTACTTATTCCACACTATCCATAAGTCTTGTCATATATGATTAAATACAATACATATTCATTACTTATTACACCCACATATTAAGTCCTGTCAATTATATCAAGACTTAATCCACTAGTGCCATAAGTCATGCCAAAATATCCAAGACTTATGGCTTATATAAACTCATCCCTCCACTTTCTCTTTTCCCATCCTGTATCCCTACCTGGTGGCTGCAATTCATCATTATCTGGGTCCCTGGGTCTTATATCTGGGTTATCTGTGAAGTATTCAGGCGGCAGATACATTCCTGTGGTACCCCCTTGTATATTATCATCAAATATATTTGGGTCCGTTGTAATTAGTCTATTATCATGTGATATGTCTATTACGTATGTGCCTGGTCTCTTTCTGGCTAGGATTCTGGCTATTTCTGGTTGCAGATTTGTCTTGCTGTTGTATGCGGACTCAGTCACCCTAATGATTATATCCATGAAAATATTTAGGAAAAAGTTGTGTCATTATATGCAGAATATATGGCACTAGTGGAATATATTGTGTAATATATGACAGGACTTATGGTGTGGTTGGAAAAAGTAATGGATTTGTGTTGTAATTAGTGGGGATATGCAGGACTTATAGCACTAGTGGAATAAATAATGATAGAAGTGGCAGAACTTATGGACTGTGTTGAAAAAGTAATGGTAAATATGACAGGACTATTTACACATTATACAGAGGGTGACAGGACTATTTCCACATTATACAGAGGGTGACAGGACTATTTCCACTTAGTGCAGAACATAATCCAAATATGTCAATATTTAATCCACTTTTTATAAATCTATCAAGACTATTTACACTTAGTACAAGACTTAATACACTTTACCAAAATATATTACACATAGTTCACAACTTATGCCCAAAATGACAAGACTTAATCCCCATCTATAAAATATAATAAAAAGCTAAACAAATGACTTTATTCATCTCATATACCATTCATGCTATGATTTATCTTTATAATTCCATCCAAGCATGCTTCAATCCTTCTGCTCCATGCCTCAATAGAGTCAACCCCTGGGCACTCCCTAATTCTAGCCGCAAGTTCAACTCCCCCTAGGTTATCTTTAGTTTTATCCAAAGTAATTCCTATCTCATTAAGTCTCTCCCGGACCTTTTCACTTGCAAGTTCGACTCCTCCAACTTCCATTTCTTTTTTATTTTCAAATTCAACAATATCCATGTTCTCTACAATATTCCCATATACAGTTCTATTACGTATCATTTCCTGCAGGATTATTAATATCTCGTGCTTCTGTGTGCCTGTTATTTCTGCGGCCTGTGAGATTCTTATTTTACTGTAGTGGAAACTTATTACGTTAATATTGTACAGTATAATATTATATTTAACGTATTTTAGGAAGTGCAAAAAGTAGTGGACACCTAGGCTTATGACTCTTTTTATGATAATATCAAAATTAATGTTAATTAAAATATTATTAATGAAATATTTCCCAATTTGGTAATCATTATTATCTGATAATTTACAACTGATTATATTATGGATCATAAGCCTGGCTGGGACTAATTCCTTGTCTAGGCTCAGGATGGCATAGAGCATGGAGAGTGTAATTAGTTGCTGCCGTGTGAGGAAGTCAAAAATCTCATTATTCTTTAGGTAATTAAAAATATGTGAGAGTTCTAAATAGTTACCATAATGGGAATATATGAATATTATCCTATTTAGGAAATAACTGAATAATCCGTTATTTTTTATATTTTTAATTGAGATTCTTTTTAAGATATTTTCTGCCTTAATTAAATTATTGCTCAAAATGGCAATCCTCATTTGTTCTAACTGAAATGTAAGTATGTCACGAATATTCAACGATGAGAATGTTTCTGGATTTATGGCATACAGAGTGTTAAGACATGCAGTCGTATTATTTTCGGAGAGGAATATTTGCTTAATTGCATCCGAAATAAAGAGCCTTAAGTATTCCATGTGAATCGAACCCTCGACTATTTTCAGAAGGCTCTTAAGGAATTTAAGGAATTCACTTTCTGTGGTGTCAGATTTACCTGTGGTTTGGTTATTTTTTGTTAAATCTGTCTGTGGCTGGGATATAATCTGGTTATACCCTGACTTATCCAATTCTTCTGCATACCCACTTATATCTACGTCTAGACTGCTGCCTAATACGCTTATAATATGGTTATCCATTGATGTATTAGGCCTAATCATATTTATATCTAAGTATATTGGGTTTTTATATGAATCTTGCTGGATTTCTGTTGTGCTTAAGTGCATGTACTTGTTATATGCATGGAGTATCATTTTATTAAGGGCTTCTTTGAAGTTTCCCTTTTTTTTACTCATTTTATGGATTATTTCCAATGCATGGGATGTTGTTTCTGTTAGGTCTATCATATCTATGAGCACTTTTGTGTTTTCTTCTTTATTCCCGTTTAATCTGGTTGTCTTCTCTGTCTCTTCTAGGATATCCATATGGGAACAAAAAAAATATATATTTATATTAATGGAATAAATTATGGCTAATTAGACATAACTTAATACATTATGTGTAATAATTCTTAGTTATATTTGTGTTGTAATTAGTCATAATATGTGACATAACTTAATACACTATGTGTAATAATTCTTGGTTATATTTGGTAGAGATTTAGAGAATTTACGTATGAGATATAGTTCATATGGGATAGAGTAATGACTAATATATGGTGCTTCTTTGCATAGTCCATGGATAGTGAATATATTGGTGTGAAAGAGAGTAGATGTTTCGTATTTATTGAACAGTGTGCTAGATACGTAGCATATATCCTTGTAAGATGGTTTATGAGGTGCCTTGTCCTTTAAACAACACCTTTACGAATGGGACGGGTAAGTCATTTCCATCCTCTCCCTCCACTACCATGTCTACTCTAACAGACTGCACACCCATTGGCACACCGGAGGGATAGAGAATTTGGGACGGCTTTTTGTCTAAATTCTCCTTGAATTTGGCTACATTGTAGAAAGAGCAGTATAAAACAGTTAAGTCACTCATTACTGTGTGTATTTCTACGCCCCACTGGTTTCCTAGGGTCTTCATTATTTCAGAGAGAGGTGCATCCTGCATCTCAATCACGTCCCATGGGCCAACCGTGATCTCGCCTGCTGGGAGAGGCACTTTCTCTTTCACGGGCTGGATGGGCTCACTGCTCATGACCAGAGGAAGAGCAAGCGAGACAAAAGTGTTCCGGTATATATCTAGGCGGGAGTCTTCTGAATTGGCTTCTTCTGCTTTATGGTGCAGAAGGTACTTCATTCCTTCAATGACTGCTAGCCCAGAGACCACTGCAGTTGTAGTTGCAATTGCTGGGATAATCCTGCCGGATATTCTCTTTACTTCCAAGCGGTCTAATGTGTCTATTCCATACATTCTAGCTCGAATATTTGAGGCGCACGCCACGTACTCCACATGGCCATTCACTTCTGAGTCCTTTTCAAACTCTTCTTCTTCTAGCTTTATAGAGGAGAGATCAACCCCAGAAGTGTCTCTTGCAGGGTCTGCGCGGCCCATCATTTCAGTGCGCAGCTTGTCCACGACTCTAGATACATCTTCATTTTTAATTTGAGAAATATCTGGGGTATTGCCTTCTTCTGCACTACTGGACGTATTTTTCCCTTGGAAGTATTCCAGCAAGGCCCCTTCAAATGACAGGCTGCCTTCAACAGAGAATGTTCGAAGCACCAGGTCATATGTACTTCTGATGTATCCCATGTGCCATGGATCTGTTAAAGAAAGGGCTTCAGCACGGGGCATCTTCTTTGGGGGCACCCAGAACGGTGTTCCTTCCTCTGTTATGTGGTCTCGGGGGAATGACTCACAGAGTTTCATTGGCCCCACAATAAACCGCTCAACAAACAGGCGCACAGCATATCCAGCTGCCTCCTTGGGTGACATTGGGATATTGTTTATGAGATCACATGCTGCCTCAGAAAGCGCATCCACTCCAGCTTCTGAAATCGACCTTTTTGCTTCAATTATTCTTTCAAAGAAAAGTGTCTTGAAGTCAGCAAGAGCCCATTCTACGCAATGCACTGGCAGGTAGGGGAAGTTTCTTATGGTGCAAAGAGGAATGGATTTCTCCTGTGGATCATTGCTGTTCCCGTAGTGCTCTGTTACATGTGGGATAATCGCCTGGGTATGGCCCTTTGACCCAAGAGTGCCTGAATCAATCACAGCCACCTTGTGGTACACTGATCTATTGTCAATGTACAGCCTGGCCTCAACATTATCAAGTGCATTTAGGATTAGGTTTGTCTTCCCAAAGAATTCATCGTTAAAGATGCACTCTGTTTCCTTCCCTACCTTACTTGTGTATGACTGAATGATTCTATTGTGGATGGTTGGGTTTAAGGCCTCTGCCTCTCTGGCTGCCACAACAGACTTCATATTTGAAATATCATGTGGCCTAAAGAGGAACTGTCTATTTAAATTTGACCTTTCAATTGCATCCATGTCTGTTATTGCAATTGACCCATTCTGGCCCACCCCCAGCATAGAGATGTTCTTGATGTGCTCGCATCCTATAGCACCTGCTCCAACTATGAATATACCAGCCTTAAAAAGAGTCTGCACTGCACTCTCTCCAAATATTTGCAGAAGAGGAGTATACCTAGTTGCTTTAGCTGGGCTATTACTAGCATTGTTTTCACCTTCAGACGCATGGCTCTTTTGCTCTGCCTCCTTGGCACTCTTCAATGGTGGAAGGAGCTCCAGAGCGCTGTAGTACATGAATTGGTGGAGGGGTGTGAACTTGCTGCTGCATGCCTTGAGTACCTCGTGTGCTGCAATTCCTCCTGCAACAGATGCAATGGGTGCAATTGTAGTCTTTGGCTGTCTGAAGAACTCTGTGATAATTGGGACGTTTTCTATTTCTGTTGGATATTTCTGCAAATACGCATTAATAGTCTCGTCATGTGAGGATGTTTCCCCCTCAAACGTAAAGCACGTGTGGAGCAGGTGAGAGATCTTGTCTTCCGACTGGATTTCTGGATGCGCAATTGACTCTTTGAGCGATTTGCATGAGATTACCTTTTTCTGTTTTATTTGCTCAAATGTCTGACCAAGAAGATCTTCACCTGAATATCTTTCTAATGAAAAAGTGAAGGCTTTTGTGTCTGTAACTGTATACGTTGCATTTTTGCTTTTAATCTGAATTGTATCTCCATCCTCCAAGGAGTGCCTCTCTTCCTCCACTAGGCTTACTATTCCTGTGGGTGTGACTGACTTAATCGTCCCAATATAAGGCGCCTCTCCGTTTGTATCCATTGTAACAAAGGCATCCCCAAAGTCACAAAATATCTGGAAGAAAAGCCCCCTACACTGCACTGCTATGAAGGGCACGCTGTATTGCCTGCACACCTCATTCACCTGAATTTGATGTGCAATTGAATGGTCGTTGAGAATAACTGCGCTATACTGCCGCAGGTCTTCATCACTTGGCAATTCTTGCAATATCTGTATCTTTACATTTGTGTTAAGCTCCTTCAGCTTGTACTCCGCTGATTTGTCAATTCGGTCCCCTATGTCTGACTCAGTGCAGTAGAATAATGTGCTTAAATACTCAGCCTGCAAGGGAGTTGGATCATATATGGAGACAGTCTTAATGCCTGCCAATACAATGTTTTTAACTAACTCTAAGCCTGCATTCCTTAAGCCAAGCACAAGTACATGCGAAGAAAGCATTCTCTTCATGGCTTCATTACCCATTACATATATCTGTCTAGAGTATAATGACTCATCAATCTTTGGTGAGAATACTTTATCTAATACTGGAGATGCTTTACCTTCTTTCTCTTTATCCCCCATAAATAAAATAAAAAGTGGATTGCATTATATTAAAAATATATTAAGGTATCCTCTGTGTACAACAATGCGTATTAGGTGTAGGACATCCTAGGTCAAAGGGAAAAGAGATAGACAGAGCAGCGTGCAGTGAATATAGTAGTTTAACTGTATGAATATTTATTCTAAGAAGAGCCATGTCTATCTTTCTATCTTTTGTCTGAGATAAAGCTGCATCTTTTTATATTTGGCTAGTCTTTTTGGTTGAATTTCTTTGATGAGGAGTGAAGTAGTTAGAATTCCATAGAATTAAAAATAAAACCTGGGTGTTTATGTTAACTCTCTTGTGTTTGTGACTGTTTATTAGAAATAGTAGTATATTTAGTCATTTATTCTGGTTGTTTTGTTTGTGTCTTTAGGTGGCAACTCTTCAAATAGAATAGTTAGGCGGACTCTGTTGCAGTACCAATAAGAAATATACGCATGCATCAATTATATTTGTAATGCCCAGATGCGGATTAATTTCCAGAAGTCACCCAATGGCTCTAGATGTTGACACATTCAAGAAAATAAATGATAATATTATATCCAATTGCTTCTGTCCTATTTTGTGCCTATTTTCTTTTTCTCTTCTAGGCCAATATACATCTCTACTTTTCTTTACTTTTCTACATTTGCAAAAAATATCTCTTCCATACAGTACATGTAAATATAAAAAAGAATGGATATTATTTGTAAAAAAAGGATAAAGCACAGGAAAATCAGAAAAGCAGCACATTCTAGAGAACCATGCATACACTGATAGGGAAGGGAAGTGTTTAACAAATAATATACAAAGAAGATAAGAAATACAAAAAGAGCGAAAAGAGAGTACTAGAGTATCATTTGGTATAGAGTGTACTATATAAAAGAACATGTTATATCATATAAATAGTGGCTGGGCAAAGATAGCATTTTAATTGATAGCGAGTGTGCAAGGGAATTAGATTGAAGCATAGGAATAACTTGAATTTATGCTAGATAAAAATCCTTATGTAGTGTAAATGCCCTTCATGTAGACTCAATATACACAAATGTAAACCAATATCTATTTTCTGAAAGAAAACTTACATTTAAGCATACTAATAGTTTAAATATGCATATATGCACATTCTATTAGGCGATTTTAAATAAAGAATCCTGGAAAAATTACCACACCTTCAGAAATTTCTTATGATGACAAAGAGTTTAAAAATAAAATTATATCGAAGGAAAGATCATTGCTATCTCAAAATCAGACCATAAGAATAAACACAAATACAATTCTGTAAGAAAGAAAATGAGAGAGAAGAAAAAAAGACAATCAAGGCAGATCCAGAAACCACAATCAAAGTGACACGCGCAGGTCATGAATATAAGTTCTTCTTTAAACAGCAGCAACCAAGTATGAAGAAAACTATAACATTGAGTACAGATACCAAGAGATAATCAGCAGCTGATTTGGCAGATCAGACCAGAACACCGGCTATGGATTCCTACTCAAGATACCTCAAGTAACACCAGATGTTGAAAGAAAAATCAGAGTGTGGAGAAGGGACGTACAAAAGATGATTAACATGGAAGTATTAGATAAAAATCTTACCCAACTTATCATGTACTTAGTACCATCAGAAGTGGAAAGCACTCTACAAGGACACACCACGCTAGATGCCTTACTGGATGCAGTGTGCAATTTCTATGAGAAGAAACATCACACACCTACCTACACTTTACCGAAGCAAGCAGATTTTTTATTTATTCGAGACTACTATGAAGCACCCCAAAAGATGATTTCAGGAGTACAAGGGGCGCCTATACCCGAGGAAAAATTCCAGGAATTAGTGGAGACAGTATTTAAGAATGGACTCACTCTTAAAACATTCACATACTATATCTCTACATCTTACAAAACACAGAAAGAGTCTGTGAAAGTACTTGAAACCTTTGAGACCGGACTACTGGAGGAACTCAGACAGAAGTATTAGGAAAAGGAACATTTATAAAAAGCAACGACGCCATACACTATAACACAGCCAACCTGCCATAAGAGAAAACCCTATTGTTCTCTACGTAAGTGCTATGGAGGGCACAGTATGGAAGAGTGTTCTTTACGACAGAAGCATCATCAAGAAAAATTATCCAAGCAGGCCTATCCAGCAAAAAGCGAAGCAAAGGATGGCAAGCTAAAAAAAATAAATAGCTCACTTCACCATGAGCTACAGGTCAATGGCCTAGTTTAACAAGAATATTTTCCAAATGTATATGCCAGAATGCAGAGAATAGAAGTTGAAATCTTACTAAAGACATGCTCTAACATTAGCGTTCTAAATACAGAAATCATCTAAAAATTGAGCCTACCAATAACTAAAGAGGGCACTGTTGGCTTTCCTTGCCTCAAGGGCATTGAAACCTCTCTCCGGATCAGCAATGTAGATTGATGTTGGTTATTGCCTTCCGGGCTTTGGCTAGGCCAACACGCTACAAAGGAGCATTGTTTGTTTTATTGCGCCTACGGTCAAATGATTATAATATCATATATACATTGCTATTTGCCTTTTCTGGAAATATGGCATCATTATGATATTGGCGAGGTCTATACATAGACGATGAGAAATAAATTACATCCAGTTTATTATGAGTGAGCCTAATATTTCGAAAAGGTAAAACCAGCTTTGATGAGAATGTATAAACAACTGATGAATTGAAAATAAATTCAGCTCGCCACCTATATTTACCTGATCTATATATTAAAAATGATTTATTTTATTTAATAAAAATGTGGTTTTCTACCATTTGGGTTAAAGTAGTTGTCTTAATTAGTGTTCTACTAATAGCACTATCCAGAGCAGATATATCGCTAAGCGAAATAGAATTGACTCTGCAATTTGAAGTTGCAACGAATGCATTGCCAGTAAAGATCAATCCGGATGGGCCTCTCAACTTTTTACGTGGGATAATCTACCAGAAAATGGAGTGCATGTACAACAAACGATTTTTTTCCCCACAGATTGACACAGAGTACAAATTAGAGAAAAATTCAGATAGTATTAATATCTACAGCACATATACATACATCCGAGATAGACAAATGGACAAAGCATACAAAGCCCTAACAGCCAATAAAATGGACGTGTATGCCGAAAAGTACCATAACCATCTGATTGACTTGTTTCCATCTCCCAATGGTGATATAACCATTGAGACGCGAGGAAACCAGTCCTTCATTCAGTTCCTTCGTGCAGAAACCACAGAAAAGCATGCCTTGCAGATTCTTGCTATGCTGCTTCTTTTCTCAGAGGGGGTAAACATTCCCATTAAAGTCAATAATACTGTACTGAAGGTCTATGAACCAAGCAAAAAAGACGAAGTATACTTCGAAGTGCCCATGGAAATTCCATGGTTAAATATTAAAGAAAACAAGGTGGAAACATTCCAACAGAAGAAAGTTAAGCAGCTAATCAACTTTTTCAAGGAAAATGCAACCAATTCTGAGGTACTTAGAATGATGGAGGACATGTGCTCATACGATGAGGTTTCTACGGGAATATTCCTAGACAGTCCTAAGTTCCTGATACAGTCGTACATATTCGGGTTCATAGACACAGCAGAGCGTGCAATCGAATTTATCCAGACAGTGCACACTATGACAGAGAAGTATGCACCAAAGACAGAAACACCAAACAAAGGTGACTGTGTGTATGACAGACTTTTTAGGCCTTCTAGTACAGCAATAGAACATATAGAAGACCCAGGCTATATGGCTCTAATGAAGAGTACTCAAGACATTTTAAATACATATCAAGTATTTCCATTTACAAACAGCACGCAGCTTCCTTCATACACATCTGTTCCTATGCGCGACCCAACCACCAAAGAGTTTTCTACTGATCGGTTGGAAGACTACAGTAACTGCGTAGAGTGCATGATTCTCTCTCTTTTCTGCTGCCTAGCATATGACCCGTCTGACTTTACATATAAAACTGACCACATGGGAAATGTCTCTAAAGAGCTTAAAGAATTCTTCGCCCCAGAAGAGAACAAGTCATTTGACACAACAAATGCAGAGTTCCAGATAAGGTGGTGCAATGTTGTTGCATGCCTAGACGAACCTAGCATTGCATACTGTAGAGATAGAAACGAGCTAGACTGTGGTCTTATAAATATGCTCATGGTCATTGCTGAAATAGTAAATGTCTCTAAAGAGGAAAAAGACAAAATACTTGGTTTTTCAGAGACTTTGAAGGAGCAAAATGAAGAATTGCATTATAAACTATCTAATGATATTGAAGAGTACACAAAGGCGCTGCTTAAACGCCTATCAAAGACGAAAAATGTAGAAATATCATTTTCAGATATTAAAAGCAAAAATTATCCTAATGGAAGATACGATCTGTCTGGGAAAATTACTATGTCATTTGAGCATAGCAATATTAAAAACGAGATAGTTTTAGGCATATCTAACGGGCATAGTAATATTGAGATGAAGCCGGTTGTCATGTATTTCAAGGACAATCGAATAGAGAAAATGATGGCAATAGCAGGCAGCTGCAAAAATGGAATTACATTTATTGAAAATTTGCTAGCGGTCTATTTTAACCATGAAATACGAAAAATGAATACTTTTGAGAAGAATAATAGCTTTGTTAAGGCTCAAGTGCGTAAAGTCATAGAAAACAACTTTGCAGACATCAATAGGCTTCTACTTATTAAGAAGATCAATGACTTAGACTATAAAACGAGGCTGCTTACATATTCTATCGTATATACTCTGGATCAAAAGATGTTCCCAAAGCATCCGGTTGTTCGCTTTACCTCCAACATATTAGGAAGCACTGAATTAGATAACTATAATATTCAACGAAATATACTACCGCCAACTGTTTTTTTGGTGGATTATAAGGATAGTAGTAATCTTAATTATCCCAAAATACAATTGCGTGAAGAAACCTATAAAAACCTTCGGGCATATACAAGGTACGATGATTTTGTTGAAAATGTGCTAGAGTGTGATATGTCTATTTTCATTGTATGGCTTAAGCACTGCATATACTGCTTTAACTCTTCCAATCGATTGAAAATTTACAGATTACTAGACTTTACAATGACTAATTCCGTTTATAAGTATATATTTAGAGACCAAAACATGAAGCTTGCTAATGAGCTTAATGAGGCTATAGAAAAAGAATATCCGAACGAGAAAGATGATATAATAAACTATCTTCACAATATATGGTTCGCGCATTTGACTATAGAGGAAAATCCAAATATAGGGTTGATTACGATAAACTTCCATCTTATTGGCATCCCCAGCTATATTTCGTCTATGTTCATAAATGACAAAGTACACCAGATGATTCAAACTCTAAAAATGTTAAAGGACCATCTATGCAGTGATAAAAATTCTGCTGCCAAGTTTACTAAGCTTATGAGCCTATATATGCGATAAGTGCCATCATTTCATAAGATGCATTGGCTTAGGTACGCTAGAAGCTAGAAGATTTTTTTATAAATTGCAATAAAAGTATGGTAAAGTTGCTACTTCTTGGAAAACTTCTTGCTATTTTGTAGAGTTCTAAAATAAAATGACCATAATGAAGAGGTTATCAGGATCTAGAAATTATTTTATGAAAATAAGGCTAGATTCGCTTTACAAAGAAGATAAAGTGGAATTTCTAAATGAAAGTAGTAGCTAAAGACGTCTTTACTACATAAATAAAATCTCTCTATTTAGCAAGACATTATTCTTACTAAGCTACTATTTTCAGACTATGATACTTACAGCTCTATATAATGATACTTACAAATTAGAAACTTCTTTGGCATGCCTGAAAGGGGTAATATTTCAGCCAGAAAGCATTAGTCTAAAATCAACAGGGTAGTTGCCAAGTGAGTTTTATTTTTATATTTTTGCGAATATTTTTGGTGACTGTGGCCTTTTGTATTTTTATTGGATATATTTCTTACTATTAGCATGTACCGCTTTTTTAAAAATATTTTAATACAATTTTGTAGTAGGCCTCTGATATAGGAAGAATATACCACACGTATATTTTTCTGAAATTATTCCATTTTATACTAGAGATCTCATTATCTGAAACAAAGAAGTAGGCAATTTACCACAAGAATACACGCTAAATGGTATTTTTAGGCTAGGTTACTTACTTCACATACAAAATTCATTGGCTTTAAATATTGTAAACTCTAAGACCGCACGATTAGAGAATAATCTTTTTGACATCTTCTATAATCTAACTCATGGGTTGTGCATAAAAATGAACTATTTTTTTAAAAAACAATGAATATTTACACTATGAATACAAAGATAAGCGCAGATCTACTAAAAAGCACGGATGGCACTTCTGAAGTGCCAGATAGAAGCAATGAAGCAGCAGATGCTCCAGAGAGGCCACAGACAAAAGGAAAAATCCTTCATGATCGGGCTTATACGGCTAGCCTTAATATTATTATAATTGTCCTAGAGATAATACTTTTTTGTGCTCTAACATCTATAATATTTTTATTTCGATTATTAATTAACTCTATAGAGGAACACACCTGCAGTGTAAGTGCAAATTTCTTTTCTGCAGTGCTTATTTTAGTTGAAGTAATAGGTACATTTATTTCTTCATATTTTATAGACACATATACTCCTGGTGTTAAGAATATCTGGATTATACGTAATTTGAAGTTGAAATATTTATTTCTTTTTATAATACCCATACCCGCGATTTTAGCTATATCCATAGTCCCATTCCTTGAACTATCTACTGTTGACTCGATTCTGGAATTCTATAGCTATTTTTTATATCCAATTGGCCTTGGATTTCTTTATTGGGAATTTATAAGATTGGGCATTATAACATTTTCTTTCCCTTTTATATACAAGAAAGAAATTAGAGAGAAAGAAGATGGTCTATTTCATTTTTGCAAAACAATGATTGTAGTTTGGATATTCATAATCTTAGTGTCTTTTTGTCTATTAGTGCTATGGAAGGCATATGGTCAATATTGCTTGAATCTTGACCTTAAATATTTTCTAATCCCCACTACATATGACCCCAGTGCAAACTCCACCTTGTGCAATCGTGAGATATACTATAATACAACCCGAAGTAACTCTGGAATATAACGCTAGCTAATCACATGAGAATATTAAAACGGCAACATTGCTCAGGAATGAAAAACATCCTAGGTTCAAAGTCAGCCAGCCACAATACATCCATATATCCGTAACGATATACGAATAAAATTCTCTTGGCAATAACTTTATATATTCTAGGCTACTATCTCCTAGCTAAAATACTGCTTCTTTTTGAGCACACCAATACCTTTCACTTATTTTATAGAAAGAAGCTGATTTTTCCTCCTCAAAATATTAGGCTTGGTTATACAAAACTTTATTATAATTTATTTCTTTTCGCCTACTTATAGTTCTATATCCAGCTAGTTAATCATAGTATTTTTATACTCACAAACAAATGTACTATGGAAGTTGATGAGAACAACGCATAGTGTTAACAGATTACTTTGTAGCGCCGTGTTGACATACAGAGAACGTTTGAAAAGAAATAACCAACACAAATATGCATTTCTGATTATGGGAAAAAGACTTAGCCCACTTAAGGCAAAGAAATTAACAATTGCTTTGCTGTATGGTTATTTACACTTAAGCGCGCCAATAGTTTGAACATACATGTATACGCATTATATTGGGCAATTTTTGCTAAAGTCTATTGATCAACATTTAAGTACCACCAATAAGAAAACAACTTACAAATAACCCTACATTTATCCGTTACTATATATTGAAAAATGATTTATTTTATTTAATGAAAATACGCTCTTCCTTTATTTGGATCAAGGCAGCTACCTTAATTAGTGTTCTACTAATGAATACGCATAGAGCAGACATAGAATTATATGAAATAGAATCGACTCTGCAATTTGAAGTTGCAACAAATGAATCATCGGTGAAGATCAATCCTGACGGGCCTCTAAACTTTCTGCGTGGTCTCATCTACCAGAAAATGGAGTGCATGCATAACAAAAGGTTTTTTGCACCGCAGATTGATATAGAGTACAAGTTAGAGGGAAATTCGAAAACAACTAATAACCATAACATGTATATATACAGTCGAAACCAACAAATGGACAAAGCATACAAAGCACAGTCCACTAATAAAATGGATATGTACGCTGAGCAGTATCACAGCCATCTTATTGAGCTGTTTCCATCCCCAATTGGAGATATAACAATAGAGACACGAGAAAACCAGTCCTTTTTTCAGTTCCTTCAGGCTAAGACAACAGAGAAGCATGCCTTGCAGGTTCTTGCCATGCTGCTCCTTTGTTCAGAGGGAGTGGATATTCCTATTGACGTCAGCAGCACAGCACTGAGGGTATATGAAACAGACAAAAAAGACAAAGTATACTTCGAAGTGCCCATGGAAATCCCATGTTTAGATCCTACCGTAGATAAAGCAGAACCAATCGGCCAAGAGAAAGTTAAACAAATAATCAGCTTCTTCAAGGAGAATGCGACCAACTCTGAAGTATTGAGTCTAATGATGGACAAGTGCTCAAAAGAAGAGGTTATGTCCGGAAAGTTCCTGGACAGCCCTAAGTTCCTGATCCAGTCGTACATATTCGGGTTCATAATTACTGCAGACCGTGCAAAAGAGCTTATTAAGACTGTGCACACTATGACAGAAAAATATGCACCAAAGACAGAAGCACCAAGCAAGGATGTCTCTGTATATGACAGACTGTTTAGCCCTGCTAGTACTACAGTGGACACAGACTCTATTACTCTTCTAAACAAAATTCAAGAGGTTTTAAATACATATCGAGTCTTTCCATTCGCAGACAGCACCCAGCTTCCTGCATTCACGTTTGTTCCTCGATACACCAGAAGGACTAACACTTTCTCTACTGATCGGTCGGAGGACTACAGCAACTCTATAGAGTGCATGATTCTCTCTCTTTTCTGCTGCCTTACATATGATCCAAGTTATGGGTCCTATTTTACCTACAATATAGAGAATATCTCTGAAAATCTTGAAGAGTTCTTTTCAATGGACAACCAGCCATTTGACACAACAAAAGTTGAATTTCAGAAGAAGTGGTGTAAAGTTGTTGCTGACCTAGAAGAGCCTAGCATTGCATACTGCAAGGAAAGAAACCAGCTAGATGGAGGTCTTATAAACATGCTTATGGTTATTGCTGAAATAGTGAACGCCCCTAAAGAAGAAAAGGACAAACTGCTTGAATTTTCAAAAGATTTAAACAGTGGGTCTGAATTATTAAGATCTACATTAAATAATGCAAAAGCGTACGCAAAGAAACTGCTTAAACGTCTATCTAATACAGAATATATGGAAATAGAGTTTTCTAATGACGATGTCTACCGGTATAATAACGGAAGAGTGGATATATCTGGAAAGATTACTATCACATTTGAGCATGGCGTTGTTAAGAATACGTTGGTCTTAGAACTATCTAAAGACATCTCTACTGTTAGTATGAAGCCAGTTGTTATAAACTCTACTGACGATCGAATGGAGAAAATGAATCAAATAGCAGAATTCTGCAAAAACAAGACTACATTTGTTGAAAATCTTTTTTCTGCATATGTTGACTCTGAAATAAGAAAGATTGATACTCCTGAAAATACTGATGAGTTTATTAAGGCACAGGTACACAAGACCATAGAAAGCGACCTTGCAAGCGTGAATAGAGTACTGCTGCTAACGAAAAAAAACAATAATCTTGAATACAAGAAGAACTTGGTGACATCGTTGGTTGTTTACAACATGGGCCAAAATCTATCTCCAGAGCATCCTGTTATTCGTTTTGCTTCCAACATATTAGGAGACATGAGACTAGATAGCTTTAGCAATCAGCTAGAAATGTTCCCTGCAGTTGTTTTTTCTGGCGCGTATGATGGAAATAACAAGAGTCTTAACTACCCAAATCTAAAACTGGTGAAAAGATCCCTTATGATTGCTACGGGTCGCATAGTATTCGCCTGGTTTGCTGCTTACGTACTAGAGTCTGATATATCTGCCTTTATAGTGTGGATTAAATACTGCATAGACAACCATAGACTGGGCAAGGTAAACACTATTAGAGATTTATTCGGTGAACAAGTAGCTACATCTATTTGTAAATATATACTTAAAGATGGAGATATGAAGCGCGCAACTAAACTTGATTTGGCCATAGCAAAAGACTATCCTGACTTGAGAGATAATATACTAAATGATCTTCACAATGAATTGTTTGGTTATCTAGTTTTAGAGGAAAATCTAAATATGGAATTGATTAAGATAAACTTTAGTCTAATTAGAACCCCAACCCGAAGTGTATCTCTTGTTAGAAATGACACTGACAAAGAGAAGGCAGACAAAAATCTTGAAGAGTTAGTGGCCCATCTATGCAAGGATCAAGACTCCACTACTAAGTTTAGAAAACTTGTCAAATAAACATATAGGATAAACCACATTGCTTCTTGAGATGCGTTCACTTAGACAACTCTTTAACTAGAGTTTTTTATAAGTTGCAATAAAAGCTCTTTCTAAGTTATTTCCATTTTAGTACTAAATCAGCTATTTTCGGATTGGCTTTAATATATACATACTCTGCAATTTTGCAGTGTTTAAACTGGACACTACTTTGAAGTCTAGGATCCTGTCTTTATTTGTCTAATCATGAATAATTGTCTATTACTGCAGGAGTGTTCATAGTAAAATGGTCTTAGCAGAATCACTCAAAATCCATGGCGATGGCTTAGACATATGCTCAAATAGTTATCTGCAACAAGTAGAAGATTGTAGAGGCCACTACTTCTGTCCTATTTTTATGCTTATTTTTCCTTTTCTTTACTTTTCTATATTGGCAAAAAATATCTCTTCCATACTCTATATATAAATATAAAAAGAGAATGTATATTACTTGTAAAAAAAGGAGAAAGCACAGGAAAATCAGAAAAGCAGCACATTCTAGAGAACCATGCATACACTGATAGGGAAGAGAGGGGTTTAACAGATATACTAGATAGGAAAGAAGGAATATAAAAAGAACAAAAAGAGAGTGCTAGATTGGTCTTTGACAGAAAGAACAATTAAGAACTATGCATATATTGCAGTATTTATAAAAAAGAAATGTAGCTTAACTAGTAGAACAACAAACGGAATATTTTAATTGCAAATGTTATATTAGCATCTGTTTTGGATAAACTTCTATTCAGTATGCTTAGCAACCAATGTTATTTTGAATTATAGTATACTATTTACACAAAGCAATAAAACAAGCTAGATTGTGCGCACGTTTGAATGATGTGTTTTCATTGAATAACTAGCATGCATGGAAAAGCCTAGTTTAAAAAGGGGAACTTCAATATAAGTAAGAAAAATTTACTAAGCTCTTGAGGAGAATCTTTTTGTGAAATGCCTTTGAGAACACAAAACCCTGTTGCTTTATCATAATATGTATTTAAAGAAATAAATAAGCCATTGCTAAGTGGCTAATAAGAATTTGTAAGAGTTAATTAAAGATTAAGAATTACTATCAACACATGCAGAATGTCAATACTTATCAAGCATGTCTAATAAGGCAAGACAGTAAATAAACATAGGGGTATGGCCTGCTGTGTATTCTCTAGCAATAGATATTAAGGTCAGCTTGTTAATAAACCTAGCTATAGCTTATTGCACATTGCATATAAAAAAGTAATAAATTTTTTATGTATGAATGAGTGGTCGTATAAAGTAGATAAAGTAGCAGCGAATAGTAAGACAAAAGTATCAGCAGATATAGATAAGAAGGTAGTAAATATATCCTGCCAGCCGGACCAGCAAGAAATACCAAATAAAACCTTAGAGACAGAGTACCCAGAGCTCTTTAAGAGGCTAGAGTATTCAGACCAGCAGGCTGAGCCAGTCTTAGTGCCTCTTCATTCTGCCTGGTTTTCAACAGAAGAAGTCCATCCAATTGAGAGAAGATTCTTCTCTTCCCTTCTAACAGGCCAAGAAGAAGTGCAAAAGTACATTTCAACAAGAAACACCATATTTAAGCTGTACCAAAAGAACACTTCGGTGTACCTAAGCATAACCCAGTGCAGAAAGTGCATTTCAGAGGATATTTCTACACTCATCCGAATATATTCGTTCTTGGAGCACTGGGGGCTAATTAATTATAAAATAGGCGTGAAAAGAGACATAAACCGCATGCTTGAGAAGATGAAAGAGAAAGACCTCTTTGATATAAAGAAAGGAAGCGCAGCACAGGCGAGTCAGACTGAACACACCACAGAATCCTCAAAAGACCTACCAGAAAGCGAAAATCCATCTGATGCGCGCAAAACATCAGATAGTCCCAGCTATTCTGTTGTGGGGGAGTCAACCATTCCACAAATATCAGGCACAGCTAGTCTGCAGAAAGGCCCAACAGACATGCTGAGAGACCCATCCAAGCACTTTAGTCTGCAGACCAGCGGAGTGACGCCTGCACAGATACCAGTTGAGATGATGTGCACATCGTGCAGCAAAAATATGCACATTTTATCAGAAGAAGAGAAGATTTACTTCTCGGAGACAGACCGCCTAGTATTATGTACAGACTGCTTTAACCAGGGAAAGTATGCAGTAAACCAGACATATTCCAACTTCCATATCTTGGAGGCAGGACTAATCAGGCAGGTCTGGTCAGAGAAGGAAGAAATGCTTCTAGTTGAAGGCATTGAGATGTATAAAGATGATTGGAAGGCAGTCTCTGATTATGTAAAGACAAAAACTCTGGAGCAATGCGTTCTGCACTTCTTAAAGATGGGGATACAAGATCCTTTCCTAGAAATGGAAGCAATCTCCTTTGCAGAGAATAGAATGCCGTTTAATTACACGCTAAATCCTGTCATGGCAACAGTGGCATTTCTAGCAAGTGCAGTCCACCCAGGGGTTGCGTCGGTGGCTGCCAAAGCAGCAGCAGGTGAGATACAAAGGCTGTCCAAGCTAAACAAAGATGAAAATCATTCTTGGCTGAATGATAGACTAAATGAAATAGCAGCAGTTTCTTTAAGCTCGTCAATTGGAAGAGCAACGGAGCAGAAAGCCTTAGAAGAAGGAAAGAAAGAAAGGCTTCTAGAGCTGCTTGTAGAAAGCGAAATGAAAAGAATTGACTTGAAAGTGAATGAGTTTACAGATCTCACACGAACACTTAGAAAGGAAAGAGAAGACCTGGAGAAGATGAGAGAAACCTACAGAAAAGCACACATTGAAATAAGAAAAGAGATTTCTGAGATAGTGACCAAGGTTAAGAAAATATGCGAGGAGACAGGAAGGAACTTTGAAGAAATATTCTTCAACGAATCGTCAATTTAGGTTAAATAAAGCAGAGTTTATGTGATGTCTTGTCTGATCTTCTTAGCGGGCGCCGCGTGCTGCACGGTTATTATGTGGCATATAGCAGAAAGCTGTGCAGAAAGAGAAGTATCCCAATCGAGATAGCTTCTTTTAGAAAAAGAAGGATCATTGATCCTTTTCCTCTTCACAAATTGCATTTTGTTTTACATTTCCAGTATACAGCTATAATTCTACTGTGGGTGCTTCTTCTGCAGAAGATCGCCAATTAGACAGCGGCTTTATCATTCAATGGCAAACATAAATAGCAGTGCATGCCAAAATAAAAATATCTTAATATAACAAGCCTGCATGTAAGAAATAGACAAATGAATTTATTCAATCTCCTCAATCTGAGCCATTAGCTCATATGCAGAGAGTATTTCTGTGCTCCCGTATGTCACATCTATCTTATTTGCCCGTCCAAAGTCTAATACAGATTTATATTCATCATACGTGCCTCCTCCTATGATAAATACATTAACAGAAGAGTACTCCTCTGTCTGCCTAGAAAACACTTCATGCACCCTTCTGATAATTCCATCCTTCTGCACTCCAATCATTTTCTTTAAATTATGAAGTATTTTCCCTTTTGTGCTCTGCTGCACGGTGCGGTTCTTCACATAGTTTACTATTTTATCGTTTTTAAGGTGCTTCTCTGACAACTTTGACACTTCGTTAAACTGCCTGCTGAATTTGCTAAAAACAACTATATTCAATCGTATCACATCATTCCTGTCAATCTTATCTATTATCTCTTCTATTTCTGGCAGGTCCAATGCATTTCCTTCTTCTATTAGGAATAGCTCGTCCAAGTGCTTCTTTTGTATTACCTTTATTGCATTCAGTACAATGTTCATATGGTTATACAGCAGCTTGTTGTTATTTAGGAGGCCTGGCAGCTTTACCAAGGACCTTATCATCTTATCATTATCTGAGCTCATATTTATCGATGCAGTGTGCGAAGAGTCTTTGTAGTTCTGCAGCTCGCCATTTACTATATCCAGGACAGAGAGAAATGGTTCATTTATGTTTTTATTATAGAAGCTGTCATGCTTGTTCAGATTGTATGATGCGTTGTCTATTAAGTCCTGCTTGTTTATAGGATCTGAAATCACAAGCTTATTCATGGAAAATTCAAATACTTCGTTAAGAACTGACCCATACAGATTTGTGTGGTACATTGGACCAACTAGATCTTCATCTCTGGATAGAACTATAAGAAGTGGCTTTTTTCTTCTCTTTGTCTTGCTGGTTGTTTGCCTCTGGTGAACCTCTGAGATATCAGACAGCTTATCCACTAGCTCTGTTGAGACTCTCTGGGCAACTGGGTCATTGTAGTATATTGCAGGAATTTCTGTGTCTTTAAAGACAGAACAGAGCCCCATAACAATATGTTCGTAGTAGAGTGAGTCATTCTCTGCTGAGTCATCTGCGCTAGGCTTCTTTTCCTTTGCAAGGGCCTGGTTATGCTCTTCCATTGTCCTTTCTACCACAGCTTGGTCCTTCAATATCTCCTGCGATATTCTAGTCGTTCTTACATAGGACTTGTCCATATTCAATGAGTAGATGTCCTCGTGCAACAGGGAAATAGTTGTAATTGCATCAGTTATTCGGGTTATCCTGTTTGCTTGTTTTAGTGCAGCCACCTTCAAGGAGAAGTCCTTTAAAAGGGAGGTGCTTATTATTCCAGTAAAGATTATTTCTATTCTTTCATATAAGTCATCCTCTATATCCTGCAGTATGCTGCCTGTGTTCTGCTCTGTTGCTTCTACAAAGTATACCACGCGTATTCCAGGAAGTTCCACACGCTTATCTTCCATTTTCAAGCACTGCACTATTCCCATTTCCATCAAGTCAGACATAACAAATAAAGGGGATATTATGTCCTGCCCCTCCTTGTCCAGCACCAAGGCAGACCACTCAAAAGAGTCACCCTGCAAAAGGGCCGTGAGTCCTTGCACCTGTCTCTCGCGCAGCATTATTAAATTTAAAATATTTAGAAATATAAGTACACTGTGTTCTATACACTCGCAATAAATACGGTACGAATAGATTGCAAAGTCACATCACTTCACTTTAATGAGGCCGGTAATAGAATATCCATTTACTGCTTACTGTTTAGTATGCGGTATACCCTAGGCGTAGTCCGAGTTATATCTGAATTGTTTAATTAGGGCTCCTCATATTGCACAGGCGTGTATACAACATGAATTATATTATAATTTCAGATAATTTATCTGGGATGTACACGGGAGTATTTCTTGTAGTAATATATGCTGTGCTGTTTAATAACAAGATAGCCTGAATATACAGCCTGATATAACCTTATAATTACAGGAGTATGATATTTTTCTTTATTTTTCTTTTCTTTTTTATTTGCATGCATGAACTTAAAGAGTGTTCTCATTGGAAAGTATAAAATCCTGGGCAAAATAGGATCCGGTGCCTTTGGAGATATCTACGAAGGAGAGTGCCAAGAGACCGGGAAAAAAGTGGCAATAAAAATAGAAAAGAAGCCAGGATCCTCCCAATTGTCATATGAGAAGTGTATCTATAAGATGCTCAAGACGGACAGTAATTATATTCCTGCAATTTACCAGTCAGGCACTCTGAACATGTCAGACACAAAGAGGTCCTTCTTAGTGATGGATCTGCTAGGGCCTTCTCTCGAGTCTCTTTTTAACTACTGCGAAAGAAAGTTCTCCCTGAAAACAGTTCTTATGCTCGCAGAGATGCTCATAACCCGAATAGAATTCCTGCATTATAAGCACATAGTGCATAGAGATATAAAGCCAGATAACTTTCTGTTTGGGATATCCGGGGACAGCAAGGAATTAGGCGAGTCCCTGTCCAAGAACGCCTTCTTTATAGTGGACTTTGGCTTGGCGTATGTATACCGTACGTCAAATTACACGCACAAGCCAATGACCACGAAAAACAAGCTGCTGGGAACTGTAAGGTATGTCTCGCTGCACACGCACAATGGAATAAACCAAAGCAGGCGGGACGACTTGGAGTCTTTGGCATACATGCTGATATACTTCATGAAGGGAAAGCTTCCCTGGCAGAGCGTCAAGTCAGAAACAAAGGAGATGCGGTACGGAATAATAGGAATGATAAAGCAAACAATAGGAATAGATAAATTGTGCAGCGGAATAGACCCTGCATTCCATGAATTTTTAGAATACACCAGGCGGTTAGACTATGATGAAATGCCAGATTATTTGTACATTAAGCGCATATTCAGCAATGCCATGATCCAAAACAACTTCGTGTACGACTTTAATTTTGATTGGTACTTGAGATATAAAGAGACAAATGAGCCCATAAAGAGATGCATGAAGGGACCAAAGGCCTGTCCGTAAAATAGTGAAATAAAGAAATAGATCATGCTAGGTTTACAGACTTATTCAGGAATACCATTTGTTTCAAATACCCAAGAGTATACGCTAAACTGCAAGTGCAAAAATCAACCAGAATATAAATAAAACAGAAAAGTATTTTATTTTTTAGCGTATGTGCGATAGACCAGTTACATCTGAAAGTATCACTCTGACAGACTGTCTTTCATGTGCTGGCTGCGTATCGATCACAGATGAGTCAGAGTCAGAGTACAAAGCAGCAATTGAAATGATTAAAAATGGAGGCGTAAATATAATTATAACACCACAGGCCAAAATGTCACTATTTGTCACACACAGCGCAAAGAAGAATAAAACATTTAGGGAGTTTGAATATGCATTGGTTAAGTACTTGGCTAAGTATAAGAATATAGTGATAGACAGTACTGTAGGAAGCAAACTATTATTGCAGAAGGAAATAGACCTAGTATCAAGAAGTGCTCTGGAGGGCGACAAAAGTGCCCCAATTATAAGTACAATATGCCCAGGAACTGTTTTATATCTAGTGAATACGCTGGGCGCAGATATAAAACTCAGTAATAATCTGTCTCCAGTGGAATTATCAAGTAAATACGTTAATGCGATCTACAATGACAACCCGAATGTATCTATAGTTATGTGTAAAGATAAGAGAATCGAAGCAAAGAAGAATTCTTGCATAAAATATGCAATTACCACTAAAGAGTTCTACGATCACTTTCTGAAGGAAGCCTGGGAGGATAAAAATGATTTAGAAGCTCAGAATGAATTCAAGCAAAATAATGAAGAATATTCAGAATTTGAGCGTAAATATAGTGTAGCAAGGATATTAGATGGATCAACTTCTGGTGGGGTTTTTGAAGGAGTACTTGCATATTTGCTAAAAGCAGAAAATACTTCTGACTCACTGGAAGTAATAAAAAAGATTCCAAAGCACATTGAATTCCTCCTCCCAAAAGAGAATAAAAAAGTTCTGCAGCTATTCGGGAGCAGCAGAATTATTTCTTTCATCTCAAAAGTCAAAAAGAACCCATCTGTTCTCTTAGAGTATTTGTACATAGAGATGAATATGTGCATAGGAGGATGCTTATTTGGGCCATCCCAAAGCTCTGTTGTAAATAGTCAATTATACATGGAAATAATGCAAGATTCTTTGTCACAGGAAGCAGTGCAAGTTGATCCTTCCATGATCAAAGAGACCAGAGCATTCGGGTGCTACAAAAAGTCAAAGGAAAAAAGAAATTATTTAGTAGAGTGGTAAAGAGGCTACCCAACCAAAAAAAGCTTAGACCAGCTTAACCCAAATAAATTCCATGAAAATAAACCCAAATTTATTTCTAGCCATAAAATGTCCTGTAGATGATGCATACGCCATGCATTCAAGTTATTCAGCACGTTTAGGATAAAAAATATTCCTTGGATGTTAGAAACCGATGCAAATTCATGATTTCCAACTTAGTGTAAACCTGGATTATTTTACACTCGTCTTTATGCTGTAAATCCGTTAAGTATTTGTCTTCTAAGAAGAGCATACTAAATCGTAGTATTTGATATGAAAAAAGTCTAGGAGTCTCCTTAATACTGACTCTGGATGTATTATTCATCACGCTTATCTGTATTGCTACATTTAAATCCCCAAGCCTATAGTATATTCCTATATTCCCTGTTATTTGTAAAATGCAGCCATCCTTTAGCACCACTGAAATATCTGAAAGTTTCACCTCCATGTGCATATAGTCTTTCAGGCTATACTTATTCGAATTAAGCGAAAAGTTAGCAAGAATAGAAGAAAAAATATCAACCAAGAGACTCTCTAGTCTAAGATAATACTCAGCACAGTCTCTTTTGTCCTTTGATGTTCTTTCTATTTCACAGAAAATCGCACTGAATTGATTCTTCACAGATGCAGGCTGTCCCGTTACATCCATAATAACCAAAATAATCGATAAAATATCCGACTTAATCTGATTCTTCTTCTCTCCCACATATGCAGACCCAGGGATATTTAAGCCTGCAACAACCATATTCCAGTCCTTATGCACTTCATTAGATATTTTTGTAGTTGTATACGAATTTTCACTATTCATGTGCTCATAATTACTATTTTCCTCAGGTAAATTCCTCTCAGAACTGCTTGGCATAGTCTCATTACATGCATATGATTCTATCCCATCATCTGCGCCTATCTCCATGGTAACAGGAATAAATTCACCCTCAGACGAATAGTCACTGTATATACTAGAAGTTTCACTCTCTAGGCTAGAATGTTCACATAAAATACTACTGTGCAGAAAGTATACACTAAAGAATTTTTTAAATTCGTATGACGCATTGGGCATATGCTCTATAGTATATCTCTTTTCCGCCAGATTATACAGCAGGCACAAGAATATATTCATTATAGTGGTTTCTGTGGTATTACTAAAGAAAGAATTCGAATTATTTGCGTGCTTGCCCTGGGCCTTGTCATAAAGCGGGATATAGCCCGGAGCAGGGAAAGATTCATCAAAGTAAATTGGCAGCATCTGGTGCTTTGCCAGATTAAGCCCCATATACAGTGTGTGCACATATTCTGTGTATGTGGTTTTTATGGATGCGTTTTTCTCGCATACACAAAACAGATTGTCATAAATATTCTTTAATTTTGATGATTGTGTGATTTTAATCTGTTCAGATAGTATTTTGTGCACTCTCTGAATGAAAGCTTTTATTTCACTCAAACTATTCATTGTTTGATAGATATATTGCTGCATGTACCATATCGTACTTTTATGGAAATCCCCATACCTTACTCTGTGCTCAGTATAATCCGCACCCATATCCACACTATTTTCAGTCTCTTGGTCTACCGTATGCAAGAAGAACTTATTAAGAATATATTTCACATGGTTATAACAAGTAGGCATATTAATATACGTATGTTCCTGTGGTGCATGCGTATTAAGATTAACAGAGAATGCATATGTCTTTGTATGCAGTGTATTACATTCTAGTGAAGGTAGCTGCAATATAAGTGTCTTTTCGTCTAATTTTAAAGATAGATCAGCACCTTGTGCGATTAAAAATAACGATGCCAGAAGGGTATGGTAATATATATGCGTATTCTTATGGTATTCCAGGAATACTTTAAATCCATCATTAGAGGATGTCCCATATCTATTAGTATTTTCAACCAGAAAGAAGTTTTCCTTGAATTTAATATGGTCTGGCTCTGTGGGATATAATTGGGGTATGCTTATCTTGGTGTCAACCACTAGCTTTGCCAGAATTATTTCTTCTGATTTTTTTAGGTCTAAGAGTGGTCTGTGCATGAGTGTTTTGTTTAAACTGTAGCATGCATTGCTTAAATATGCCCACAGTGGGTTTAGTGGACCCTCTTCATTCAGTTTCACAATGCTGTCACTTGTCTCATGAATGATTTCTTCACATAAGAACTTAATATTCTTAAAGGGCAGTGCGAAAAGTACATGGCAGTGTGTCATAATTGCAAGAATCATTGAAAACTTCATTTTATGTGGATATTTGGTCTTAATTGATTCTTTTCTTCTTGAGTATTTCATTATTTCATACTCTTCTCTTATCTTTGCATTATTATTCATTTTTAAAATAAAAGCTTTCAAAATAAATATTTTTACAGATCAAATCGGCCATAAGTCATGAATATTTTTGCAAGACTTAGTACACTATATGTAAAAAGTTTTGTCAGCTTCGGGATAAAGTGGATTAAGTCTTGTCATTTTCGGAATAGAGTGGAAATAGTCTTGTCATAAGTATATCCAGAATTTAATCCACATATAAAACATTCAAGACTTTTTACACCCACATCATAAGTCCTGTCAATCCTATCAAGACTTATTCCACTAGTACCATAAGTCCTGCATATCCTTACTAACTCTAACACATATCCATTACTTATTCCACTAGTGCCATAAGTCCTGCCTAAATATCCAAGACTTAATCCACCTGCGTAATAAGTCTTGCCATATATTTTTTTATTATTCCACATGAATAAATGGCTTCCCCCTAAGAGACTTCTCCCTTCAGTATCTTATAACCAGAATATTCCTACAGCATATACTAATAATATACATAATAACACATGTAATACTACATATACTATAAGCTTAATAGGCAATAGATCAAATTATATACCAAATATAAACTATTCTGCTTTATTATGCGATATTACAGTTGCAGAAATAACAGAGTTAATAAATACACTAGAGACATAACTTATGGCACCAGTGGATTAAGCCTTGGTGAATATAACAGGACTTTTTATATGTGGTATAAAAAGTAATGGATTTGTAGTGTATTTAGTCGTATATTGCAGAATATATGGCACTAGTGGATTAAGTAATGATAGAAGTGGCAGGACTTACAGTACTAGTGGAATAAATTGTGTAATATATGACAAGACTTAATCCACATTATATAAATTGGACAAGACTTAATCCACTTTGACAAGACTTATGGCACAATAATAAATGTATTACAACTTTATGCAGGACTTTTTCCTCTTTAACTTAAAAATGACAAGACTTAATCCACATTCTATAAAATTGACAAGACTTAATCCGCTAATAATAATCTAATAATAACAAAATATAACCAATAATACCCATTATATATCCTGTATATACACTATATATACACATTATATACACTAATACCCACTAATATTATAGTGCCATAAGTCTTGTCATAAAATACGACTAATTACAACATAAACATTACCAAGACTTAATGCATAAATAATAAAATATAAAATATTTTATGGACAGAACAAAAGAATTCAGAGACACCATAAATACAACAGGAATTCCCCAACAGAATAATTCAATACAAGACTCCCCCCTTACATCCTTACTAAATATATCCAGGGACCTAAGAATTACCTTAAATTCTGCATATACAGAATTAAAAACAAAAAGAATAATAAATTATTCTGAATTCGAACCCACCATAAAATCGGGTATCCAGGAGTGCATCAAAACCATCCACCTTCTAGAACAAAATAATATTACATATTACAAAAACATAATAACAAACCTACTAGCCCTAATAAAACGCACAGAAATCAAGCTAGAAGAAGTCAAAGCAAAAAGAACAAGGGTCTCCCTTAATATTGCCCTAGAACCAGAAAGATCCTCCGTGGTAAAGCCAAAACCCATTTTATTGCAGACCTTGCAAGAAGAAAATGACAGAATTTTAGAGCGAGCCAGACTATCAGACAGAGAATTGCTTAAGATCAACAGGAAAGTATCTGAGATAGACGTATTACAACGCCTTATAACAGAAGAATTATTCCTGCAGGATGAGCGCATTGATGTCATAATTAATAAGACAAAGACTGCATCTGTGGATGTCAAGATCAGTCGGGGGTACCTTAGAAAGGGAACAGAGAGCAAAAGTAGAATGAAAGGGTTTATTTCATTATTTATTATGATACTTTCTATTGTATTAATAATATTACATCTTGGAAATAAATAAAAATAGTTAAATGTAGGCAAGACTTATTACACATTGTATAGGACTTAATCCACATTGTACAGAATATATGGCGTAAGTGACAGGACTTAATCCACTTTATCCTGAAACTGACAAGACTTAATCTACTTATGAAATATTCAAGACTTTTTATACCCTGTCCATAAGTCCTGTCATATTATCCATTACTTATTCCACACTATCCATAAGTCTTGTCATATATGACTAAATACAACACATATTCATTACCTATTACACCCACATATTAAGTCCTGTCAATTCTATCAAGACTTAATCCACTAGTACCATATATTCTGCATAACCAACCATATCACATGCGATAAAGTCTCTCACTTAACTTACGCCCTAATAACCCTGTTACACCCATGGATACACCCGTTAGACCCCCTTTAATACCCCTAATCACCAACTTATCCGATTTTTCACCAAAAAAATACCCAGAATACATTCCTGCCTTGAAATATCCCATTCCCCCCTGTATATAATACGTAAATAACCCATTCCACAGTGTAGATGACTTATTTAGTCGTAAATTACAACAGGATAATATTTCATTCATAAGAAATACGCGGCCCACTTCTTCCACGCCCTTCATAACACGAAACATAAAATATTAAAATATTCCCACTGTATTTAGTCTAACCCCACTGTAATATAGACTAACTTATATTCCTGTTGTATTTAGTCTATTTCCTGTTATATTCCAACTGTATTTATGACTAACTCATATATTCTTGTTGTATTTAGTCTATTTCCTGTTATATTTAGTATATTCCCAGTGTATTTAGTCTATTCTGTGTAATTCTATTATATTTAGTATATTTATTCTATCCTGTTGTAAAATAGACTAATTTCCCGTTGTAATTAGTCATATCCCATATATACCCCTTATATATCCATAATTACTCTATCCTGTTGTATTTGTGACTAACTTATATTCTGTTGTAATATAGACTAACTATTATATTCTGTTGTATTTATGACTAACTCCTATTCCCTGTTGTAATATATACTATTTATATTCTGTTGTAATATAGACTAACTCACTCTCCCACTGTATTTAGTCTATTCCCACTGTATTTATGACTAACTAGTAATGAATTAGTCTACCCCTGTTGTATTTATAAATATTTTATATTTTTTTATTACCATGGGGGCAGATGCACTAATTACCACGGACATAAGTAATGTTGATCTATCTGGCTTATATAATATGGCAAATACGCTAGGAATATGCAGGATAATTAATAAATTAAGGACCACCCCTAATTACAACAGGTTCATACTTTATTATATTAATAATATAAATAGTAACAGTATAACATACAGGGCGTGTAATATATTGCAGGGGAAGGAGTGCAAATGCGAAATAAAAAGTAGAGAGGGAGGGGGAGTTGAACCTGGCTGTGATAATTTAATTGTAGAGTCTAATCTATTACACCTTCTTACACTTAATTTACATAATAAGGTAATATTGTATAAACTTATTGATATAATAAGTATATGTAATATTAGTAATATTATTAAGTATATATGTGATGTGGATGTATTAATGGAGTATGTGCATGTATTGTATGTGTATGGTTATTATTATGAGTCGTATCGCATGATATTGAATATTTCTGGTAAATTTGGGGATTTGGTGAAAATTAGTCCAGAAATTAATATAATAAGGTTTGCATTATTTTTGAAATATTTTCAAAATAATTATAGGATGTATGGTAATATAATAAGGTTATTATTACCATATATGGAAATATTACCGGATAAGGAAATATTGAAATATCAAAAATATCAAAAAGTAATAACGGATTATGATAAATACATAAATACAAAAAATATTGGGGGAGTTGAACCTGGTCATAAAACTAAAAATAGTTCACAAGAAGGGGGAGTTGAACCTGTGCCCAGCAGCAATATATCTTGCAGTATGGATAAGATGGAGGTGAATAATTGGCAGTGGTATACTAGTGTGATTAATAGTTCTGTGAGTATACAGGACGTAGATGAATTAATTGATAGAATTTCATTCTTGAAAATGCACAGGTTAAGCTATACGTATAAAAATGGGATACTATCTGTGGGTGAGGGAAATACATCCAGCACATACATAGATTACATAAGCGAGTTAGACAAAGATTATGGCGCAGCTGCTAAAATAGACCGTGTTAAGGGATATGCTGAGATAGATACAGTTAAGAAGAGTACTGCAATGGGAAACCCAGGGGTATCTCAGGTTAAGCAGAGTATAGTGAAGGGTGACCTGAAGAAGTTTAAGAGCAAAATAATGGTGCTTTTTGAAAGGAGAGAATATTTATTAAGGAATACGTTAAAGAATTCATTAAAGAATAATCAAAATTTTATTAATGAAAATAACCAATTAGACAGAGTTAGAGTGGCTGAATTGGCAGTTATAAATGACAGGTTTAAAATTGCAAAGAAAAAGCAATTATTAGCCCTGGAAATTATTGTAGAATCAAATCCTGTTGTAACGGAATTAATGGAAAAATTAATGAAATTATTGCCAGAATCAAAATTATCCGAATCAAAACAAATACCTGAAAGAATAACGGAAAAACAACCAGAGAAATTCACAGAGAAGTTCCCACAAGAAGAAGAAAAAGTCCACTGGAAAGTAAAGAAGACAGAATTTATTGCACAAGCACCAGAAGATGACCAGTCGGGGGTGTATAGACCACCAACCCGTGAATCAAATTTCCTTCAGTTCAATAATTTCAAGAAAAATGAAAGTGAAGGGGTTCCTGTTTGGAATAAAAGAGAAAAAGAAGAGCCAGAAGAGGCCCCTAAAGCAAACAAATTCGTATGGAAGAAATAAAGTAAAGTTAAATTTATTCATATTCATATTAGTCTATATTACAACAGGGAGTATACTAAGTATAACGGGAATATATGTGTTAGTCTATATTATAACAGGATATGACTAAATACAACAGAGAGTATACTAAGTATAACAGGAAGGATGAGTTAGTCTATATTACAGTGGGAGTATACTAAGTATAATAGAGAGTATTAGTTAGTCTATATTCAGCGTATATTTTGATTATTGGGGTGGATTAAGTCCTGCACCAAGTGGATTAAGTCTTGTCTACCACGGATTAAGTTCTGTCTAACTAGCCATAAATCCTGTCATAGGTGGAAATAGTCCTATACAATGTGGAAATAGTCTTGTATTATTCTCAAACCCAAACCAGGATGCCCCAAAAAGGAAGTAGCCCGCGCAAATTCCAAATAAGGAAATTACTCAATTTAGTATTACCATATAGAGTATTACCACATAGGGTATTACTGTTTTAGGAAAGGCCCTAAAAGGAATTTCCTTTTTAGGATATTTCCCAAAACAGAACAAAATTGTGCCGCATAATAGCCCGCCTAAATATTCTTCTCTGACCTGGAAAGGGCTTTTATTCCACTTTGTGCCTTGGGCGGGCATTTCCCTCCGTCCCAAAATGGAAATAATTACCGGGAAATAATCAGAAAAAGACAAAAAAGGGCGGGAAAAAGGGCGGGAAAAAGGGCGGGAAAAATCAGAAAAAGGCGGGAAATTCAGGTTCTGCGAATTGATGCAAGCCCATTTCCACATATTATAGGACTATTTCCACCTAGTGCAGAACTTAATCCACATTGACAAGACTTATGGCTAACTAGACAGAACTTAATCCACTTTGTCATAACTTAATCCACTTGGTGCACAATATATGCCCGAAATAATATATGCCTCATAGAATATCTTTTTTATGTATACGCAGTGGCTATACGAAGCAATAGACATGCACATAACAGTAGAATTAAAGAAGGGCACAAGAATCAATGGGACACTCAGGGGAATAGACAGAAGAGAGAATATACACTTAGAAACAGACAAGTCATCAGTCATTATATCTAGCACAGCCATATCCTTACTTATTTTACCAAAAGAAATAAGACTAATTATGGGACACTGACAAGACTTATTCCACATTATACAGAACTTATTGCACATTATACAGAACTTATTCCACATTATACAAAACTTATTCCACTCCTTCCCAAAAATAACAAGACTTAATCCACATTACTAAAATATATTCCCAAAATGACAAGACTTAATCCACTTAGTCCAAAATATATTCCCCATATAATATAATAAATATAACCTGACTTTATTTCAAGTATTTCTTAATTGGGTCTATGAGTCTACTAGTATGCAGTACTGTATATGTGCATGATAAGAATATAATGCACAATATTGTGAATGATATCCCTATCAGCAGGAATGGCCTCCTACCAACCTTTTTCTTATCTTTAAACAAGAAATTAATGCTAAGGGAGTCAAAGGGATCATTTCTATTGAATATTTTAGACCTAAAACTAGTTGATTCCAAGAAATCCTTCTGATTTCCAATGTATTTCCCATCTAAACCATCTTTACTTCTAACGGGTATCTCATAGAATAAAATATCCTTGATTATTTTATCATTAATTGGGTCATTTACGCGCTTAAGCCGGACAGTGCGTCCTTCCTGTGAGATTATCAGCTCAAATAGGTACTTGCACAGTATTCTGGCATCATAAATAACGGGTTTTTGTTCATTTTTTAAAAATACTTTTGCAATCACATGCGATAAATTGTTTTTAAACGATTCATTTATAATTTCTGTGAAAGATTTTTGAGTGAAGGGTTCTATTTCTAAATTTAAGAAATTAATTGGTAATTTATCTTGCATTCTTGTTGTATCTGGTTATATTCTGTTATATTTATATTATGACTGAGACATTGTTAAGAAATGTTTTAAAATTTTATTCATGCAAGCAGAAGGGTTACTAATTCTGCAGAGGATTGTGGATACATTATTACAACGGGACAGGAAGAATTCCATTGAAAGGGAGTGTTATTTAGTCAGTTTAATTGGGAGGTTGGAAGGGATAGTGGGCGGGGGCGACGAGCGCAGGAAAGTGGAAGTAGTGAAGCGTCTAATTGAAGTTATATTACGGGGTGGTGAACAAGACAAGATTAATATATTATTATGTATGATAAGTAATATGTTTTAGATGGTGGATTAAGTCTTGTCATTTGTGACATTATTTATGGCACTAGGAGAATAAGTTTTGGATGTGATTGTGTTGTATTTAGTCTTATTTTGTGACATTATTTATGGCATGTGTGGAATAAGTCTTGGTGAAAGTGACAGAATATAATGTGGTATGTATAAAAAGTCTTGTCATTTTTGGGAAGGAGTGGATTAAGTCTTGTCCAATTTATAAAAAGTATATTAAGTCTTGTCTAGCACGGAAATAGTCTTGTCCCCTGAGTAATAAGTCCTGCGCTAAGTGTAAATAGTCTTGTCTCCTGCGTAATAAGTCCTGTAATAGGTGGAAATAGTCTTGTCCCCTGCGTAATATATTCTGCCCTAAGTGGAAATAGTCTTGTCCCCTGCGTAATAAGTCTTGCCCTAAGTAGAAATAGTCTTGTCACAATAGTCCCATCCATTTTTATTCCCCTGCTCAAGACTTTTTCCACCTGTCATAAGTCTTGTCCAAATAATCACAACTTGTTACACTATGTGTCATAAGTCTTGTCACCTAATAAAAATAATTTGTTCAAATATGTCACTATTCCCTGTATGACAGCAAGCAATCACTTCCATTCAATGGGGGCATCTCCGGCCAACTACATCCAAAATACCTCCATAACTTATTACACATAGTGTATTATATTATGAATAATTAGTCATTACTTTTTCCTTAATATCCATAAGTCTTGTCAATTTATTCATTACTTCTTACACATAGTGTATTATATTATGCATACCCTGACTAATTACACCATAATTTACATTATTTATTACACATAGTGTATTATATTCTGTCATATATTACATTACTTATTGCACCACATATAAATAGTCTTGTCAATTTATTAATTACTTCTTATACCACATATAAAAAGTCCTACTCATTTATTAATTACTTTTTCCTTAATATCCATAATTTCTGCAATATATAACTAAATACACCACATATTCATTATTTATTACACCACATATAAAAAGTCCTGCCATTTTCACCAAGAGTTATTCCACTCTATCCATAAGTCTTGTCAATTTATTCATTATTTATTCCATCCCCACCATATATTCTGTAATATATTACATTACTTATTACACATAGTACCATAAGTCCTGGATATCCCCACTAATCCAAACACAAATCCATCACTTTTTCCCCTCCTTCCATAAGTCCCACCCTATATTCCATCACTTTTCCCCCTCCTACCATAAGTCCCACCCAATATTCCATTACTTTTTACACAACATGTAAAAAGTCCTGTCCATATTTTCAAAATTAACCCCTGTAATATTTTCAAATAATTTCAAATTCCCAAGATATAAATAGACTAATCCACCATAAATTAACCTAATAGGTCCAAATTAAGTAATATACCCAATTAAGGAAATACTCAAATAGGAATCTCAACACATATAAATACAAATTAATTAACAACAAAATATGACTACAAGCCCTGACTCATATTTCGATAGTTTCCATAAGACACCACAAGGAGAATTCAAAAATACATATTATAACCCATTCCACGTTAAACCCAGGAAGAGAACAAGCAAAGAACAATTAGAATTATTAGAGAAGACATTTGAGACAAATATAAAGCCAGATGCCACCTTAAGGAAGGCCCTTGCGACTAAACTCAGGATGACCCCCAGGAGTGTACAAGTTTGGTTCCAAAATAAAAGAGCAAAGGTGAAAAACACGAAGGCACAAGAGAAGAAAGAAGAAGGAATCGAATTGGAGTCATTATTTATAAAGAAAGAAACAAAGAAGGATGACTATGAATGCTTCCTGTCTAATTACAGTGGATACACTGGGGATGGACATTTTATGCAGGATACGCATGAGTTTAAAGAAGAAGATTTGGAGACTTTGGATAAATTAGTGCTTGGGGAGGAGAATGTGGAGAAAAACAAGAAGAAGAACAAAAAAGATGATTATTGTTCATTCTATTCTATGTCTAATACTTTGCACTTTGATCCTAGCAATTATCTGAATTAAGAATAAAAGTATATTAGGTTTATTATGTATTATGGGTTATTGTGGATTAAGTCTTGGTGAGAATGACATTATATATGGTAGTATATGTAAAAAATAATGGAAGTATTTGTGTTGTAATTAGTCTTATTTTGTGACATTATATATGGTAGTATGTGTAATAAGTCTTGGTGGAAATGACATTATTTATAGTACTATGTGTAAAAAGTAATGAGCATGAATGTGGTGTAATTTATTAATTGGTTAGGTCATTATTTATAGTAGTATGTGTAATAAGTAATGTAATATATGACATTATATATAGTGCTATGTATAATAAGTCTTGATGATAATTGTGTTGTAATTTATTAATTAATGTGGGCAGGACTTAATATACTATGTGTAATAAGTCTTAGTAGAAATGACAGGACTTTTTGTATGTGGTGTAAAAAGTAATGGTAATATTTGTGACATTATATATAGTAGTATTTGTAATAAGTAATGCAATATATGGTAGAATATAATATACTATGTGTAATAAGTCTTTGTGTAAATTGTGTTATAATTTATTAATTAATTGTGACAAAATATAGTACACTATGTGCAAGAAGTAATAGTGAGAATGACAAAATATAATACACTATGTGTAATAAGTAATGAGCATAAATGTGTTATATTTAGTCGCAATATGTGATATAAGTTAATAGACTATGTGTAATAAGTGATGACTAATTGCTCACAATATAATACACTATGTGTAATTAATTACACACTTAATTACAACACTAATTAATCATAAATTAGTGCATTATTTATTACATATAGTGTAAGAAGTAATGACAATATAGACAGAACATAATGCACTATGTGTAATATGCCTTGTTTGTGATATATTAATTAATATATCTTAATTTGGAAATATTAAAAATAGAATGAGACTAAGACTAGTACGGTACAAGAAAAAGACTATTTCCAAATTGAGCAAAACTATTTCCAAATGGACAAGATCTATTGCTAAGGGGGCAAGACATATTGCTCAGGTGGAAAAACTTGCTGCTCAGAGGGCAGGATTATTTTCATCCATGACAAGATTTAATCCGCATATGCCAGGACTATTTCCATCTATGACAAGACCTAATCCAGTAGAGTTATTACTTAATCCACTTAGTGCAGAAAATAATCCATTTGGTGCAAGACTATTTCCACTTTGACAAGACTTAATCCACCTTAGTCTAAAAATGACAAAACTTAATCCACTTCATTCATTACTTAATATACTTCATTCATTACTTAATTCGCATTACCACAATTTATGCCACTCTTACAAGACTTAATCCACTTTTATAAAATATGACAAGACTTAATCCACTCAGTGCACAATATATTCCACTATGCACAATATAAACCCCCATATAAATAATCCGTATATATCACTATATAAATATCCTACGAACATAAATATCCTACAAACATAAATATCCCACTGTAATTCACTCCCTTTTCTTCTTTTTTTTTCTTCTTTTTTTAGCACATATGAAGTATCATAGCTTAACCATTAGACCAAACAATATTTACGTCCAGGAGAGCATGGAGAATGACACAATTATAAAGTCAGTCTCACTTACACCGTGCGTAGAAAAGGACAGTATTAGATCTAGTCTAATTGCCACAATAGATGGACAGCAGACAACCATCTGCAACTTACTCACAAACAAGATGGAAAGCAAAATACTTAATATTCCTGTTAAGCAAGGCGTAAGGATAGAACTAAGAACAGAAGGCGTAAATGAAATGGATATTTTATTCTTGGAGATGGACCCACATGAAGTAAACACAAATGAAGAAGAGACAGTATACAGAACTATACAGGTCCCTGGTAATGCATCACACACAGTAGATGAAATATCTGCAAGGATACTTAACGTGTCAATTGCATACACAGAAGAAGTAGTAGATGGAACGAGCAAAGTATTCATGAAGTCTAATGGAGAGACAACCTTGCTTGCAGAGTTGGAGATTGGCAGGAAGGAGTGCGAAGTAGTAGACGTACTTGCAGACGCACAGATGGAATTGGTCGTAGAGGGACCACATGCAATTGACTTCTTAATTGTAGAGGGCTCTAAGGGGGGACTCTTGGAAGATGCATCCTGTGAGGTAGAAGACGAACAGGACACAGAGGACGCACAGGAAAGCACCCCACAGGAAGAGAAGAACGAAGAAATGATCGGAGGGATAGTACCAGAGACCTGCCAGAAGGGTGAAAGAAAAAGGAAGTGCCCAGAAGAGACAGAAGAGCCAGAAGAGACACAGCCACAGGAAGAGAAGAAGGTGAAACTGTCGGAGGCAAAGAAGAAAGAAAGTGAAGAGAAGGTGGAGGAGACAGAAATAGAGACACAAAGCATGAATATCCCACAGGAAAATGCAGTTGTATCCGATATAAAGACTATCTCTGATGGAATTGGTAAGATTGTCGGTAAAAAGAGCTTTATAACCGCAGAGTACACTGTATCCTCTGGTGAGAATAAAAAAGAGTCTTTCAGCGAGGTAGTTTTAGTCAGAAGAATGGCAGATCACGCACACCTCAGATACTTCTCTGATGTGGTGAAGGGAGCCAGAGAGGGCGCTGTATTTAAGGCGGAAATTAAGGCAGCAGATGCCCATACGGAAGTGGTTTTGAATGTGGGGAAAATAAGAACAGGACAATAAATATTATCTTACGATGTGGTTTACAGTTCGATCAAAATTGATGGATACGTCAAATATGCAGGAGACATGAGATCTATTTGATCTTTGGATAAAATATAGAATATGAAATAATCCGAAAAATGGATGGAGACACAATGGGCTAAGACACTGCAGAAGCAGAGGCAAGAACTTACGCCTGTATTTGCCTTGTATGAAGGCAAGATGGAAGCCTCCTTTGAGGATACTCATGTGAAGGAAAGCGTATCTGACCTAATTTCCCTGTGGAATAACTACCTGAGATTGTGGGATGAGATGCAAAGGGAACAAAATGAGAATAAAGACATATCTGCACGGCTTCAGACATATTTTGAACAAATCACATGCAAGCTGTCTGAGCTGGGGGAAGTCTTGTTTACACTTCTGGACGAACTGGAATTAGTCCAGTTTATGCAGAAGTATAATGACTTTGAGAAGGTGCAGGAGAAAATATGCATAAGTGCATGCTCAATTATGGCACTTAACAGGAAGGCACTTACAAGTGACTTGCTTGTTTCCCTGGGGCAGGTGGAATATACCTTATACAAGTGTCTTACAGAGGGACAAAAAATAGCTGGTCTTAAGGGGATCCATGAACAAGGGTGGATAGACCCTAAGCAGTACGGGATACTTAAGTATCTGTACAGATACTGCAAGTACAGCCTGAAAGACTACTTATATATGTATAAGCTTGTTACGGTTACCATACACCAGCAAAAGAATGTAATATTCAATATGGAGACAGTGCAGCAAATGTACTCATCCTTTGTACGGGAGACAATATCCCACTTTATGCCTGGAAATTTAATGGACACGCATTATAACATATACAATGAATTGGTTATAGAAGAGAAGATACAGCACCATGAGTTCTCTATTTCCCAAAGAAGGACAGGAATTGATATGATTATAGAATATCTTAAGAGAATTATACATGAAGTAGATATAATAAACTGGAGTGTAGGGAAGGAGGCAAAGAATATTATTAACATGGAAAAGTCCGTTCATGGAAAGTCAGACCTCTCCATGAAAAAACTATTTTCACTCTTTGAAGGCGCGTGCACAAAGTTGAAGGAGTATGAGGCGATGCTCTTTAAGTATTCTAAGCTAACTGTTGCATCAAAGAAGTCCAGCTCGTTTCCTAATAGGCTTGTCCAAATAAAGGCATTAGACTTTAATTACTTGGTCATTGAGGGCCACTTGAAAGAGCTGAAAAATGATGTGCATCTTTTGTATACTGCATCAAAGGAGATATACAGCAGAAGAAATCATATTTACAGCAAGACATCTTCTGATGACCCTTAATTATTAAAATAAAGCATAGTTAAGTTATTCTTTGTGCGCACAAAAATGCGCACATGCTTTCTATTAAGTATTTAAGTGAAATATTAGCCAAAAGTGGCTGTAATTTGGTCTTGAATGGAATCTCATTATTTATTCTTTATTCTCTGGGAATTTTACATGCACCAGAGCTACTGGATGGGCTTCTTGCTTGGTGTATGATGGTTCTTGAAATATTGCAGTTTTTTCAATTTTCCAGATCTCTCTCTATTATTTGTGTTTATTCCCCATATAGAAGAAAAGTCTTCACAGAACAGAAGACTTGAAGGATTTTATATTATTATAAAAGAGATAAAATGCAGATTAAAACAATCAAACACCATAAAAAACACTAAAGAGTGTCTGTTTCGCATCTCTTACGGGATGAGCACACAAATAGCTTCTGATTGGTGCTTTCAAGGACCAGTCTTCTTCGGAGTACAGTCCAAACGAAAGAAAGTGAAGGATACACTTTACACTAGTAGAATTATATCTGGTTATAACACACCATAAAGACTAATATACACTGGCATTCGAAGACACAGAAGTGTTATAGCTCAGTAAGGGAGAATATGAATGTTTTTGTTTTGTTCTCTGTGGTCGGTAGAGTTTTATAGGTATCCTCTCTGACAGAATCTTATTCAAACATACCCTTCATTAAAAAAACGTTAGGAGTAATATACTGCATGCGCAAACCATCTGTAAATTAATTTGCTGGTGCAGGATTGCTTCCTCCTAAGATGTTTCTGACACTTTGCTCAATTGATCCAGCTGTTGTCTCTGCAGGTGCCTGTCCCCCGCCAGAAGTACTTCCATCTGTGCCGGATGAAGCACCAGAATGCGCTGCTTTGTAGTTTAAAATAGCCATAAGCACAAAAATAACAAACCCACCGAATAAAACCAAAACTACAACTACCACCAAGAAGATAATAATCGAATAAAAAGTCATTTTCCCAAGTCTAGCCCACTTCTGATACTTTTCTGCCGATTTTAAGTCTTGGTCTGCTTTCTTTGCCTTTGCTTCTGCGTGCGTTGTGTGAATTGCAATTTTGTCGACATCTCTGTCTTTTTCGTGCACTAGTAGGTTAAGATCCTGCGTCATTTTCATGACATTTTGGATTCCTGCAGAAATATGCTTCACGCTTTTCTTTCTTTCATCTGCATCTCCTTTCCCTCCATTTAGGAAGGGTATTTTTGGTGACTCGCTGTACTCTACTGCTTCTAATTCTTCTTTTGTTGCTGTTGGCTTAGCTATAATATACTGCGATTTAAGCCTTTCTCTTTCCTCTGCACTAAATTCGCTTTGTGTTGTGCTGAATTCCTCAATGACTTTTTTTGTTCTTTCCACCAGAGACTTCACTTGCTGCTGCTTTGTGTGCAGTTCGTGCTGCGTCTTTCCTCTGAGTTTTCGCTTTATCTCGGTTATTCCATCCTTTACCTCCGAGATATTCTCAATGAAGTCATTACGAAGACCTGCTAAGTCGTCTCTGAGCTTTTTAGACTCTTTTTCCTCTGAGACTCCGCTTACACGCCGCGTGAGGTAGTTCATTTTATCGAGTGACTCCTTGCACGCTTCAATCTTCATGCTTGCACTGTCCACTTTATCCAGGAACTTTTGCATTGTTTGTTTACAGTGTCACCCAGAAATTCACTCTATGCTTTGATTGGGCCTTTCATTTACTCTAAAACACTTTTTCAATATATGTGTAGCCAGAAAGGACACGTACACCGAGCACTGACTAAATCACACGACACGTTGTATTATGACTAAAACCCATGTAAATATCCTGATTTGCACTGCATCTTGCCATGGAAACCGAGTAGATCAAAAATAACCCGAAACTAAACCCGAATAATTTTATTCTTATTAATACGCTGTGCTTCAGAAGCACGGCCTTCTAGTGGAATAATTTAATCCTCTTAAATTTTCCATTAAATAGGTGAAGACTAAAACTTCAATAAATGAACATACTAGCATGGCAAAAATGATTATACAGCTTAAATGGCCATGCTATGTATATTCCTTATAGTAAGTTACGCCAAGTATACATATTTATGTACTAAATATCTATAATAATTTCTGCACAAAGTTCCCAAAAATTCAAGAAACCCCTTTAGAACCCCTAAAACCACAGGATAATTAGAGCCATGCCCTAGCATGCAAGTATTTATCTGGAAAAGCACACAAGAAATCAATCCTATACAGACTTCATGGATTCTTACTATTTTTCCAGCCTAAAATACCCTAAATACACGCCAAGCACTCCTTCCACATGTAATTTTATGCATTATTTGAGAACTTCCAAAATATAATCCAAACCCAATATAATGCGAATGACCAGGTCTAGCGAACTTCAAGGACATTTCTTCATTTCTAGCACTTCGGAATTGGCCCCACTCTCTCCTGCCTTAGTAGCAGGACTGTCTGAGCCCTCTTCAATTAATTTCTTCTCTTTTCCTTTTAAAGTTATGTGCGTAATGTAAGGTATAGTTATGCCTATTAAGTACCCCACTAATACATCGACTTCATCATGTCTATTATCCCATATCCTGCTGATGCACACAAAACATCCTACAACTATAGGCACAAATATCCCAATGTACAGTAAAACACTGCGCACCAATGGCTTAGGCGTGTCTTTCACTGCCATCCATGCATGGTGCACTAAATAAAACACCAAAGCCATGGAAATTGAACTGTGCCCAGAGGGAAATGACCTCCTCCCCTCCAAAATAGCATGGGCCTTGAGATTCTGCAGTATTCTATCGTTATAATCCGGTCTCTCCTTGCCAACTGCCCACTTTGCAGCAGCCGTAATAATAAAAGTCGCATTTATCCCAATGTAAGCATCCAGCAAAATATCCAGACTCCTCATCTTCTTATTATGCATGTTCACGGTCACAATCTGCAACAGAGGCAGCAATAAAACAGTAGCAAGCACGACATACTTGAATTTCACTGTTTCGTTCCAAGAATACAGCATGTTTGGGCGTACACTCTTAAAATTCATAAGAGTAAGAGGTACTAACCGCGTAAATATATACCCGGCCCCAAACAGCACTAAAATAACTGCCATTTTAACGAAAATCATTCTTCCACTACTTCCCCGCATTTTTCTGAAAAAATGAAACAATTTACCGCCAATTTATCTCAAGTATATAACCAAGCAAAGAATTTAAAGCATGCTAAAAAGAGTTCTAGAAGACATAACAAACATAAACCATACGAATATCAGGGTGACCATAAAAAAGGAAGAGAAGCCAATTCGCAGGGAAATACTCAAGCCATACATAGAATACGTAGACACATACTACAGTCACCTAAATAGGGTTCTTGCAACCATAAAAGAAATAAATAAGAAATATGAAGAAGTAAAAGAAATAAAACTCCATGAAGAAGTGCAGAAAGCAGAGACCGAGAAGACACTGACTAAAAACAAGAAGATATCCAGTATATTCGCAGTAAGCCCAGAAGTATCACAGAATATGACAAATCTCTTCAATGGAAGCACAAATTCACTCTTCACAAAGGACACTGCACTGCAGAATGCATCAATCCTAGAGGGCTCCATACAGGATCTTCTGAAAGCAAATTCAATTCGCATGAGAGAAGAAGGAGAAGAAAATATAAAAAGAAAATTTACTGAGAAAGAGCAAGAGGAAGATCCTGTTGTAAAGAAGACTAAGGAGAATCAAGAAGCAGAGCAAGAAGATACTCCTGTTGTAGAAAGGACTAACGAGACAATCTCAGCAACAAAAAGTGCTAAGGCAGCAGATGCATCCTCAGATGAAATTGACCTAGAGATAGCATCCCAGGAAGAACAGAATGAAATACAGGTGGGTGCAGGGAGTAAGTCTAAAATAACCATGCAAATGAGACAGACCCTTCTGGAGTGGATGTATGATGTAAAGGTAGACTATAAATTGAACAGCACAATATACCAGACAGCAGTCAGGATAGTCGACAAATACTTCCTTCTCTCTGGGCCTTCCAAAGAAAAGTACCAATTAATTGGGGCAGTGAGCCTTTTTATTGCAAACAAGCTAGTAGCATGCAAGTCAAGAACCCTCAAGGCATATGTAGATGTGTGCGATGGTGCTTATACACAGGATGAATTCCTGTCCTGTGAGAGGGATATTCTGATGCGCCTTGCAGGTTTCCTTAACTTCTTGCTTCCTTTGCACATAATCAAAGAGGACAGGCAGCTAGTCGGAAATTCACTCTGCGAATATGCCAGTGAGGCAGTTCTACTGGACGCATCATACGCATGCATACGGCCCATGGAGATATCGCAGTTTATTGAGTCAAATGTATCCATGGCCCTGGAAGGAAGCACGCCCTCCTGTATATTCACTGACCTATTAAAGAAATCTCCCGTCCTTTTGGCACAGCAGATAAAACAAGTCAGGGAATTAGTCGCACAACTGTAAGAGAATAAATGTAACTGAATTATAGCCTGGTATAGCCCGTTTATAGCGTATTTTTAGTTTGTCTTTTGTAAAGGATTTTCAGAAATTCCCCAGCACAAGAATACTCTAATTATTTAGTAGTAGTAGAACAGAAATATTCTTTAACCCCAATACACCCCAATATACCCTAATATACTCCATATAATCCGCTTCACATTTAGATAGTCCGTTTCACAATAATATTCCTTCTAAAGTGTTTTATCCCCCATAAAAGCAAAAGACAAAAAGTGTTTCATGAAAATCCCCAGGAAAGTACTCTCCAAAAGGATTCAGTTCTTTGTGCTTTCTTCCCTAGCACTTTTCTTTTTCTTTTTCGCATACGACAGTCCTTCACCCATGTTCACCGGGCTAGAGGCCACTTTTGGCCCAGGATATGCCAGATACCACAGTCTCCTGTACTCCGCATACGCCCTCCCAAATCTTCTTCTCCCGTTGCTTTTTAACCTCTCCGCAGAATCTGACCATAATAAGCTATTTTACACATACGGCCTAATTGTCCTAGGACAAACCATAACATCAATTGGTGCCTGCCTCCAGATATTCGAGTGCATCCTGGCAGGCCGCTTCATTATTGGCCTAGGCGGAGAGAGTTTCACAATCATCCAGAATAAGATGCTTTCTTCCCTCTTTTACTCCCACGAGCACGGCAGAATATTCGGGCTTAGTCTAGCCATAGGCAGGCTAGGCTCAATATTAGCCTATCTCTTGCTGGGCACCCTAATTGAAAAGGGCCTAATCTACTGCTCCCTACTGACTACCTGTCTAATTTGGCTTGGGGGTGCACTAATTATGTGCATCTGCAGGAAGGAATATATTAGCACATCACAAGAACCAGAAATAATTGAAGAACAAAACACGCACCATCTATTGCCATTTTTCATTGGAATGGGTGTGCTGCTTGCCTGTTCCATCTCCATATTCTCCAGTAATAATTCTGCCATCTTGCAGCGCAGGCTTAATTTAACCTCAAAGCAAGCTAGTAGGGCTCTTGCCTTGCAGGAAGTGGTTGCCTTAGGGTGCACTGTTGTAATTAGTATTATAACAGATAAATATGGGCACAGACTTAGCTGTATATGCTTAGGCAGTATATTCCTGATATTCGGACACAGTATGATATTTTATTCTATTTCTATCTCTTATTTGCCCTCTTTCCTGCTGGGTCTTGCTTCTGGCATGCAGACGTGCAATTGGCCTTGCTATCCCTTGCTGCTTTCCCCAGATAAATTAGGCATAGGACTGTCTCTTTTGTCTTGCTCTATTAATCTTGCGTATTCCGTGTGTCCCCCAATTATCAGCAGAATAACGGACAGTGCATTTAAGGCATCTGAATATTACAGTATACTATTTGCGACTACGTCTGCTGCCATATCCGGCTACATTATACTTGCGAATACATGGCGTGGCTACGGGTTAAATGGCACCTCGCATTATAAGGTGGTGAAGACTGAGTTAGACGTAATTACATCAAGTGCAGCCACTCCCGTATTAATAAGGGTGGGGGCATAGTGGGGGTTTAGTATATTTAGTGGGTATTTAGAGTGAGTATTTATAATAATAGTGGGTTGTTAGTGTGTTTATAATGGTATTTAGTATATTCTGGTTATTAGTACATTTAGTCTAATTGATCTAGTTACAACAGTTATTAGTGTAATTTAGTGGATTATTAGTGAGTTTAATCTGATTATAACGGTATTTAATGGGCTTATTAGTCGGTTTATAATGGGTATTAGTGTGATTTAGTGAATTTAGTACAATTACAACAGGTTTAGTCTATACACTACTATTCACACAATTACTAGTAGAACTACAACGGGTTTAGTCTATAAACCAATTATCACACAAGTTAGTCTATTATCCAATAATCCCTCTATAAACCGTAAGACGCAAGAAATAAATTTACAAGAAATGGACAAAAAGAAAGAGTACGAAGAAGAAATTGGAAGTATACTAAGAAAGGTAATGGAAACAAGTTATCAAAGGAAAAGGAACTCAGAGAAGATCTTGTCTTTATTGAAAAGTATCCGGGAAGAGACAGAACCAGAAGAAGTTAGTCAGTCACTTATAACCGAGTATATGTCACTTAGGGAAAGAGTCTTAAAGAATCTGGGCGTAAATGAGAAGTAATTTTCAGTGAAGTTGGTTTATTTTTTGAATGTATTTAAAAGTGTATTCTTCCCTTTCTCCAGGCTATTCTTAAGGCGGTCTGTCACAGTTTCCTTTGGTGCATCTGCACTCCCAATAAAGTTCTTTCCTTTAACTATTTCTTGTTTTGTTTCATTCTGTGGGTCATCTGTTATGACGCGTGAATTATTTCTTCCTGTTTGCTTTGCTAGGGTAGATTCTTCTGTCTGTTTTGTCATGTCCTTTACGTTCTTGAACATGCCTAATCTGGAGATGGCACTTGCATCATCTGTTTGTATCCTGCCTGGTACTCTTCTGATTGTCTTTTTCTTTAAGATTTCTTCTTGTCTTTCTTCTTGTTTTTCTTCTCTTTCTTCTGGTTCTTCATCACTGCCTGCGTCATTTTCTGTGAGGAATTTGAGTTTTGACTTCCTTTGGGTCTTTTTAGTCTGGTCTAGTGGGGTATTCTTGAGGGTGGGTGCGCTTGTGATGGTTTTCTCTTTTATTTTCCCTTCTTTCAGGTCTTTTGCGTATTCTTTTGCGAGTGCTGTCTTAAAGAAGGCTGGCTTTAGGTCTTCCTTTGACTTCTTTGCGTACCAGTCCAGGAAGAGGGAATTGCTGCCTGTTATGAAGGGGTGCAAGAAGTCGTCGTCAACTTCATCGAGAAGGAGTGACTTTACGGAGCATACGCTTGTTCCTAGTTCTCTTATGCCGCCTGCGCACTTTGTGCATGCTAGTATGGCGAAAGGCAGGCAGCCCCAGCTTGGGTTTTTATTTCCGCAGAGGATGCAGTTCTTATTTCCGCTTTTATTTATTATCCTTTCATTCATGGAAAATTAATATTTGAAATATAAATAGCACGGTGATAGACTTAATATGCCAGGATATTTGAAGGAGATAATTCCAGGTAAAATTCATTTTGGAGGAATCTTGCCGAGTTCTATCGTGTGAGATTGAATATTTAGGAGGCTTGAGTGAATTTTAGGTAAAATATAAGCCACCCTAAGACATGCAATAGTACAACAAGAAGCAAACCCACCTGGATATTTATGCATGGCAAGCACACTCTGCATAATATATGGGGTTTAATCCGGTGGGAATGTGGTTATAGCTGAAATTTTTAAAAGATAATTATGAAGACCCCTAATAAACCAATAAAAATGCGCATCCTCCAACATACTGTCTTCCCACAGCACATCCCCGCCCTCTGTGCACTCCCCTATACTCAATCCAGTCCATCAGCAGGTAATGCATTTTATTAATTTTTCATCTCACAAAAACTCACAAGTAAAGAGAGTTAGCAAAGACAATATCCCTCTTAACCAAAGAGATTGCAGCAGAGAACTTATTCTCCATCTCCACGTTCCCAATGACCTTTGAGGCCCGCGACATTTCCTTAAGAACTTCCTCCAGGCGCCTAAAGCACCGTATTATGCTCCCTTCAAATACTTCCGTTGTCTCGCATATTTCCGAGAAACTGTACCCTTCTGTCCACCTGTACACCACATCCATCAAATTACAGCAGAACTTCTCCGTGTACTCCTTTGCCTTAAAGTTCATGTCGAGCCTTTCAAACTCAGAGACCAGTCTATCCACTGTCTGCGTAAGAATCTTCAGTGCACTCTCAGACTCTGGCGTAAGACTAATTTTATCTGACTTGTCATCAAATACCACACAACTAAGCAACGAGCATATGCGCCCAGGTGACAGCTTGCTGAATTCGTTGTTGAAAAGCATTTCCGTCAGAAGCAGTTCATCACCACTGCTTATTTCACTTGCCACCTTCCCTTTAATAAGCACTTCCTTCTGGGAGAGATAAGAAAGACCCTGCAGTATGCGTCTCTTATTATTATACTCATCTATCATGACAAGACGTGTCTGCTCTTTCTTCTTCCCCAGGGCATCAATTTCCTGCTGTACAGCGTGCATGTAAAATAGGTCATCAATGGCCTTGAATACAGCAGTCTTATCCTGTGAGTTTAATGGGTATATGTATGTGGTGTATATTCTGTCTGCAGCTGTCTCCAGCCTAACTGCCATTTCTGCAAGTTCACTGGATATGCCTAGTTCATTACTCGCATAGAATGAGAGTGCATTTATGTCAGCACTTTTTGAAGAGAAGAACTCCCTGAACACTTTTGTCTTTGACTTTTTAGACTTAATTTCAACGGATGATTTTGATATTTGCCGTATGCAAGATACGTCTATTTCCAAGACACTTTCTTCTTCTGTCATAATAATAAGTGCACTCTCAGAGTATTCCACAAGAATTGCAAGTGTTCTACGGGGACCAGTGACTGCATCTACGTACTCCACTGTTATATCTGGCTGCATATTACGTGTCTTGGTCCGGGGTATTTCCACCTCAAGTATTCTACCTGGAACAAGCAGTCTTCTTAGGGCACTCTGACTGGGTGTGCACTCCTTCCTGGCCTGTCCTTCCTGCTGTTTTATTTCGCAGTACTTCTTAATCTGTGCTATTTCCTGTATATTTGCAGTTTCTGCTGTGTATTCTGCGTGTGCAGCAGACAGTCCATCTATATACTTAGTCATACGCATATACAGTGCCTTTCCCTGCATCTCATGCCTAAACTGCAGGAATGAGTGCTTTATGACGTGGTCTTCCTGCATGCCGTCCAGCCTGAGTATATTCAGGATGGTGTTGTACGACAGTTTGAATGCACTGTCCAGTGTATTAGATGGGCCGTGCAGAACCTTCCTTATTTCCTTCTCAGTGAGGGTCATTGTAGATTCTAGTGCGAGTATTACATTCCCTATTCTGTCTGTACCCCTACGGCCTGCCCTGCCACTCATCTGTATATATTCCCCACTAGTGATGAATCTTGTCTGCACTCCGTCAAACTTCTTTATACTTGTGAATATGACTGACTTAGCAGGCATATTTAGTCCAATGGAGAATGTCTCTGTGGCAAAGAGCACTTTAAGAAGGTTCTCTTGGAAGAGTATTTCAATGATCTCCTTTACAATGGGCATGAGACCAGAGTGGTGTACGCCTATGCCCCGTAGTAATAGTGCCTTTAGTCCTACTATCTGCGGGAGTGTTCTGTCTTCTTCTCTCAGTGTATTCAGTGCATTACTGAATATAGTGCTGATCATATCTTTCTCTTTGTCTGTGTTAAAGTCAAATTCCTTCTCAGTGAGCATTGCGTATGACTCGCACTCCTTCCTTCTGAATGAGAATATGATTGTGGGCAGGTTATTAGTCTGTCTTAGTATACGCAGTATATCTACCACATTAATTGTCTCTCTTCTTCTGTTGTAGCCCTGACTAATCTCTGGTCTTCTTTGTATGCGTGGTATATTCTTAGTCTGGAAAGTACCTTCTTTATCGACTATTACGAATAATTGGTCACTGACTGTCTTAAGTTGGTCTGTATTTCTGTGGGTTATTTTGTTCCCTGGCGTATTTACGTATATATAGTGCTCTAGTGGTGTAGGTCTTTTCTCTGTATATATTACGTGGCAGGGCTGCTTGTGTATGGAGACTATCCACCTGGCAAATTCCTCTGCATTAGGGATAGTTGCACTTAAGAATATAAATCTAATGGAAGGCGGCAGTAATATGATTGTTTCCTCCCATATGACACCTCTCTCTCTGTCTCTCATATAATGCACTTCATCAAATACAACAAAGTGCGTCTCTCTGAGTATTTCTGTTCCCCTGTATATCATATTCCTTAATATTTCTGTTGTCATGACTATGCATGTGCTATCTGGGTTTAGTGTGACATCTCCTGTCATCAGTCCTACATCACCAAATTTCTCGTTTAGTTCTCTGTACTTCTGGTTAGAGAGTGCTTTAATGGGTGAAGTATATATGACCCTTTGTTTCCTTTGTATAGACAAGTGTATGGAGTACTCTGCTACTAGTGTCTTACCTGCACTAGTATGTGCACTGACTAATAGACTTTCATCTCTCTCCAGGCACTGCAGTGCTATCTCTTGGAATTTGTCTAATTTGAAGGGATATTCACACTGTATAGGTATATTAGAGTCTTTTATAGATTCATATGGGAATGTATCTGGGATTATTGCAGTGTGCCTGACTGTATTATATCCATCATTTGATTCTACGAAGGAATCTACTTCTATTGCTGTATCCAAGAAGGTCTCTTCCACATTTCTGTGCACTTTTGTTTGTGCTATGTCCAGGAGGGTCTGTGATGTCTTCATGGGAGACAAAAAAATAATAAATTTATAGTCACTGAAGAGGCATAGAAGGAGAGGGTCTTAGTCTATATTATATCTGGGCGGTTATCACTGCATATATATGTATATACTAAGAGTATTTAGTAGGGGGGTATATTAGCCTATATTATATCTGGGTGTATATTATATTAAGAGTATTTATTAAGTATATTAAGTATAAGGTGGGTTAGTCTATATTATATCTGGGTGTATATCAAGTGTACTAAGAGAATATATTAAGAGTCTTAGTCTATATTATATATGGGTATTTATTACTTAGTATATTTCTACTGTTGTCTCTCTTGTATTTTTATTAGACATGTTTATTACTGTTAGTCTACGCTTATTTATAATATTATAGTATTATAGTGGATAGTAGTAGACTAGTAGTATAGTAGACTAGTGCGTAGTAGAATATTTCAATATTTTCATGCTATTGTATATAGTAGTCTACTAGTCTACATGAAATATTTATAGTATTATATAGTAGTATACTAGTAATATACGAGATATTTCAATATTATAGTGGGCAGTAGACTAGTAATATACGAAATATTTATAGTATTATATCTAGTAGACTAGTCTTCTAGTACAACCAAGAACCTTTCAATATTTCGGGTTATGTCTAGTCTACAGTCTTCTAGTATATAAGAATATTTTTATGCAATTTTAGTAGTAGACTAGTGCGTAGTAGACTAGTATACAAGAATATTTATAATATTGTATAGTGGTATACAATGGAATATTCAATGAGGATGGAATATAATTAGTGTACTATAGACACATATACACTACTGTAGTACTACTACGTGGGGGTGGGGAGTATAAAAATATGATCAGAGCGGGATTCGAACCCGCGCCTCCGAAGAGACTAGAGCCTTAATCTAGCGCCTTAGACCACTCGGCCATCTGATCCTACGCCTATTAAAAGGGAGTACATCCACAGTACTATAATATAAATAAATATATATAGGAATATTTCTGTTTATTTATGACTGAAGAGAGTGCATTAAAGGAGCTCCAGGAGACACATCCAGAAATATTCGCAGATAACCCGGATGAGATAAGGAATAAAACGAGAATGATTGAAAATGAAATAAGAATGCTCAGGAGCCACATAAATGCAATAACATACGATTTTGAAGCAAAACGAGAGAAGATACAAGAGAACGTGCAAAAGATAGAACTAAACAAGCAACTACCCTTCCTAGTAGGGAATGTAGTAGAAATATTAGACCTAGAAGAGAATAAACAAGAAGAAGGCTCTAATATAGACGAAACAATAAACAAAAAAGGACTGTGTGCTGTAGTTAAGACATCAAACAGAGTCACCACATTCCTGCCCTTTGTAGGCCTAGTGCCAGCAGAAGAATTAAAACCAGGTGACTTAGTGGCCCTGCACAAAGAGACCAATATAGTATTTGAGAGACTGGAAGATGACTTTGATATTCGTGTTAAGGCAATGGAACTTGATGAGAAACCAACAGACTCCTATGAGGACATAGGTGGACTAGAGAGACAGATGGAAGAATTATACGAAGGAATTATTCTGTCCATCACGCACCCAGAGAAATTCAAGAAACTAAATATAACACCCCCCAAGGGCATACTAATGTACGGCCCACCAGGCACTGGTAAGACACTCATGGCCAGGGCGTGTGCTGCTAAGACGGGTGCCACTTTCCTTAAACTGGCAGGCCCACAGTTAGTGCAGATGTATATAGGGGATGGTGCTAAGTTAGTCAGAGACGCATTTGCACTTGCCAGGTCAAAGGCACCTGCCATTATATTCATTGATGAAATAGATGCAATAGGCACTAAAAGAAGTGACTCAGACAGCACGGGTGACAGGGAGGTGCAAAGGACCATGTTGGAACTGCTTAATCAGTTAGACGGGTTCTCTGGCACGCCCAATATAAAGGTAATTGCAGCCACTAATAGGATAGACATATTAGACCCTGCACTACTGCGGTCTGGTAGGTTTGATAGGAAGATAGAATTCCCACTGCCAAATAAAGAGGGCAGGAAGAGGATACTGCAGATACATTCCAGGAAGATGGCAATGGACCCGAATGTAAACCATGAAGAATTAGCACGGTCCACAGAGGGATTTAATGGGGCACAGTGCAAGGCAGTCTGTGTTGAGGCCGGGATGATTGCACTCCGGGCAGGCAGGAATATGATCACGCAGAATGACCTGATTGATGGGGTGCAGGAGATCCTTGCCACAAAGAAGGCAAGTCTGCACTACTTCTCATAATCTTCACTTTGTATGGGAGGTTGTGGGTGTGAAGGGATTTTATGGAGAAGGGGAAAGTGCTTCTTATGCTTCTAACAGGGAAATTTATGAAGGCTCTTGTGAATTGTACTTTACCTTGTAAGAGGAAGAATTCTTTGTGCTTCTTTGTGAATCTTAGCAATCTTAATATTCTTGTGAATAATCTCATGGAATAAATTGAATATGTTCATTTATACACTTTATATACATTTTATACATGGTTATACTTATTATAATTATATATTTATATACAGATATTATGGGGACAAGACTTAATCCACTCCTTCTCGAAACTGACAGAACTTTTTCCACTTTGCCAAGACTTTTTCCGCTTTGCCATAACTTAATCCACTCCTTCCCGAAAGTGGCAAGACTTAATCCACTTCTTCCCGAAACTGGCAAGACTTAATCCACATATACTCCCAATACTCCCCCCTACTACAATATACTACAATATACTTCATATATACTCACATTATAAGAATCTCTCTAATTTATTGTCTGTTCGATGCTTGGTGTCTTCTGCTCTTCCCAAGTCTTTGCTTCTTCGCTAGCTTCTGTGCTGCTCTTTCCTTCTTTTTATGTCTTGGCTTCCCTTCTCTTGTGTCTTCTGCTGCAGAAAGTGCATTCTTTATTTTCTCTTCAACTTGCGCCTTCTTTCTTCGCTCTGTCTTTGATGGCCTCTTTTGTGCTGACACTTTCTGTGGCTTCCTGGTTTCCGTTAAATTCTCTTCAATCTGCCGCATTTCCCTCTTAGACTTCACTCTCTTCCCAGGATGAATTATCAAGGGAATATGACTCTGTTGTAATCCTGCAATTAAATTAATATATTCCATGGTTGCATGACTAAATACTCCCTCTCTCCTTATGTCTTCTTCAACGGGCACTTGTTCAATGCGTGTTATTCCGTAGTACGCCATAAAAAATTTACAAAAAATGGACAAAAGAACACTCGGAGGAAAAAAGAAGCTAGTATTTGAGCCAAAGATGCCAAGTACCCCACTAGAGGCACAGGAAGCACCCTCTACTGCAGTACCAGTTAAGCCAGAAGTAAGAAGAAGGGAGACCATTTCAAAACCCGTAAGACAGAATATTCAGCAGCCTGTGGTTCTCATGGGAGAGAAAGAGACGCAGTCATTTGTGTTCACAGGGAAGAGTACAGAAGAAATAACAAATGAAGACTTAGAAATAATTGAAGATGCGCCTATGACAGTAAATAAAGTACTAGAGACAGTAAGAAGTAAAGATATAACTGAAATAGAAGATATTTTAGTGCCTGGGCAGAATATTCTACTGCAGGTACCTAATATACTGCCTATGAATAACTGTAGATACATTAGGGGCAGACTAAGAATAGATGGGAGTGAAGTATATTTGAGTTTAATTGGGAGAATATCACAGGATGATGCACCCAAGGAGTATTTATTCAGGGTGAAGCCAGTGCGCACTGGGATGCCACAGGAATCATACTATGTGGAGAATGATAATAGTATATGTAAGATGGGGCCAGTTGAAAGTAAGTTTATAACGACTGTTGTAAGGGATAGTATATAGAGTAGACATATACTAAGTTTAGTGGGAATATATGGAGATAGACTAAGTGTAGTGGGAGTATACTAAGTGTAACAGTAGTATACTAATTATAACGGAAGTATATAGATTGGTCTATATTGTAATGGAAGTATACGAAGTATACTAATTATAGTGTGAATATATAGATTAGTCTATATTGTAACGGAAGTATATGGAGATAGACTAAGTGCAATAGAAGTAGTCTATATTGTAACAGAGAATATACTAATATAATGGGAATATACTAAGTATAACAGTAATATAAGTTAGTCTATATTATAACATGGATATACGGTTAAGTATGCCTATATACGGCTAAATACAGATATATCTACTGCTCTTCTATATATACACTCTCCCTCTGTCTTCCTTCATACCCTCCATGTACATTCTAATTGGTGCATTTAGTTGGCGTATTGTATGGGGTTTCATCGTAATAAAATATGTTTTCTTTCTGTAAAATAAATCTGTTCATATTTAGATTAATTTATCTGAAGAGTTTTATAAATATAAGGTGGCGTACAGGAAAATAACTTAAATTGACATTTTTAGTTTCCTTGTGTATTGAGACAATTGGAGTGTGTGGTTTTAATTGGTTCTTTAATGCATGGTGTGCTTCAAATCCAGATAAACACCGGGGTATGGCATATGGTAAATAGCATGTCTTGCAGAACTGAATATATTTTAGACTAAAATTAACATGAACTAAACAACTATAAGTGTAGCAAGATGATTACTCCTGTGTATATACGCTATAATATCACTGGTACACTAAGATCTACCAGATATAACGGAGATATATCAATAAAAAGAAATTATAAATTTCCATAAAAATACAACCACATAAAACAAAAGACAGTTTATTTACCCATGCTATTTCTGTTAGTAAAGTGAATAATTGCACTTTTCTAGCAAAAACTGTTAAAAGTTATTTAAAATCACTAAAAACCCTTTGAAACACTAATAAAATACGATTAGAATGACAATGTAACACTAATATAACCCAAATCCATCAATTTACTATTAATTCACACAAACAATTCGTTATAACAATAAAACCCGAATAAAACCGTTAAAATTACTAACAACCACCAAATGGTTATACCCACAATATACTCACAATAAACCACCAATAACCCGTTAAATCACAATAAACCACCCAATATTATATAAATAATTGATGAAAATGCATGATAATTGGGCATCTATGATAATACTGTAATGATTGGTGGTAAATATGATTGGTCTGCCAGAATAACAGATATATGGTGAAAATAACGGACAAAGCAAACTAATGGCTATAATTGCAGAACAAAGGAGACAAACCCCTTAAGAAACAACTATAAATAGAAATTCATCAGAAGAAATCCATGAAGAGCGCACATACATTTGTACTACTACTTTGTTATGGGTACTTGGCCTCATTTTCCTGCAAGGCAGCAACAGAAAACCAATCTGCTGCCCCACAGATAAATTCAAGCCTACAGACCAAAGCAAGCTCAATTTACAACGAGAATGTGAACCTAAGAGAAAAATACAAAAAAGAAAGAGAGAGTAGCCTTGTCATTAGTGACGGTCTAGTCTCAGAAGCAGAAAAGATAATTGCAAGCACATGCTCCTTTGCAGATGCAAATATGCAGTTGATCAAAAAAGGCTCTGCAGCAGAAGCCAGCAGACAGCGTCTTTCCGGCTTTAAGTCTAAACTCACAAAATCCAGCAGTAATAAAAAGCCCTACGACGAATTCATGAAGACAGCAGCCTCAAAGGTAGCTGAAATCGGGAAGAAGCAAAAGACACAATGGGAAGAAATTAAAAAGGTCTTTGATGAAGAGGACAACAAAGGCTTCATAACCAGATTAAAGAGCGGCAAAGAAAACTACACTTCAAATACAGTCTCAGACGAAGAGAAAAAAGTTGCAGAAGAATACACTAAATTCATTGAGACAATCAAGCAAGGATTAGTCACAAAGGAATTACGCGTAGAAGAAGCAGGTGACATAAATGCATATTTATCTAAGTTCGAGAAATACACAAAGGACTCAACAGAAGAACACTCTAAAAAGAAAGAATCCTTCAAGGAAATGATCAATTTCTCATTGCTCCGGGAAAAGATAAAGGCAATCCTATCACACATCAACATAAATTCAACCACAGGCATAAATACAACAGGATTCGCACACTCTACACTCTTCACAGAGTCAGCCCTCATGAAAAAAGCACTAGACATGGATGAAGCATCCTTGAAAAATGAATCTTCCCTATACGATATATACACAATTATCAGCTACATGAAAACCCACATCACCATAAGAGACTTCTCTTCAAATAAAATCCTTCTCAAGGATTCTTCACTAGAAGAAATTTCTTCCCTCGTAGAAAAAAAGTTCTCTGCACTCCAAGAAGAAATTGAAGACCTAAAGAACTCAGAGGCAATCCAGAAGGATAAAATCCCAGAAGGATTCTCTGATAATTTAGATTTATTAAAGGAGTACATTGTAAAGGTACTAGATGCACTAAATAGAACCATCTCTGAGAAGACACTTTCTTCACCTGTAACTGAAAATAACACCCTCCTAAAGGAATTATCTAACAGTCAGCAGACTAAATTAGACATGCACATTGAAGAGCAGTTAGACACAGATATAGCAAAGTGGTTTGGTTTCCAGGAAGAAGAAGGTTCTGTAATAGGATACGTAGCAGGCACAATATTCAGTGGTCTAAAAGGCATTGCATATTCACCTGTTACAATTGCAAAGGGTGCCAGTAAGATGATTTTCAACACAGAATGGATGAATGTCATGGGACTAAAGGTAGAGTCAGCTGAGACTGAAAGAAAGACTAATCTAGCAGAATTAGAGAAGGCTGTAAGAAGTATCAAGAAAATGACTATTTCAATCCCATCTTTATTACTGTCTGACCCAGAGAAGATTAAGTCCTTAATGGAGTCTGCTGTCTCTGTGTCAAATTTAGTCACTTCTGCTGCATACAGCATAAAAATGCACAATTTAATGAAGGACCAGGCAGTCAAAGAGAAGGCAGAGGTATTTTCATCATACGTGGCAGAGTGCCTGGAGAAGATCCAAATGGACAAGTCAGAGTGCAGCATATTAAACCCATCTAAATCAAAGAATCTAGCAGGAATTACACAAATTAGTTTCATAACAAGTGAGAAGAAGGCAAAGACAGTCATAAATCACTTAAAAGAACTATCCCAGGAATTCTTTAAGGCAGCAAAGGGTGTGATATTTTTGTTCTCAGAGGAAGAGAAAAAAGTCCTTGAGAAGAGTGAACAGGAAATGGAGACCATAAAGACAGAAGAACTTAAGCCAGCCAGGTCACTGGATCTGGAGATGCAGACACATAAGTCAATTAGGTCATCAATTGATGGGTTAGTAGCAGAGATTGAAAGTATCTCAGAGATAAAGACAGCCAGGCAGACACTGAAGATCCATAAGAATCTATTAGCAGTCTCCCATGCAATAAATCTACTGCACTTCTACACCTCAAAGGATGCAAAGAAATTCACTGAGGCCTTGGAGGCATATAGTTCATCTGATGTGGTGAAGGAAATTGAAGAATTAAAGAAGAAGGAAGAGTCTGTTAAGGCTGCTAGGTCTGCTTCTGTAATGTGCGAGCACATTATTATTAGTTTAGGTCAGGAGATTCCTTCTGTTTTGTCTGCAATCACTGGGAAGACTTATGCAAAGGCAGAGGTACTTTCAGCTGGTGACAGTTCTGATAGTACGCCTGTTATGAGTACTACTAAGTCTGGTATTTCTGGTAGAAAAGGCAAGTTTATCATAGGATTCCTTTTGCTTGCGGTTATTGCTGCAGCTGTAGGGGCCTTCTTTTTCGTTAAGAAAGGGAAGCAGAGCAGATTGTTAGAATAAAATAAGTTTCTGTTGTAATTGTATTATTTAGTATTGGGAATATATTTTGTATTATTGGGAATATATTTTGTATAGAGTGGATTAAATTGTGGTAAAGTGGAATATATTGTGCATAGAGTGGATTAAGTCTTGTTACTTTCGGGATAGGATGGATTAAATTGTGTATTGTTGGGAATAAGTCTAGGCAAAGTGGATTAAGTTATGTAAGTGTGTCATAAGTCTTGTCAGTTTTGGGTTAGGGTGGATTAAGTTATGTAACTTTCGGGATGGGTGTATTAAGTCTTGGAATAAGTGTAAATAGTCTTGTCACCCATGTAATATATTCTGTCACCTGCGTAATATATTTTATCACCTGCATAATATATTCTGTCCCCTGCGCAATAAGTTCTGCCCTCTGCGTAATAAGTAATGCATAATAACCTAAATAACCATTTATTCATTTGTCTTGAACTGTGAGACGCGCAGAAGCATCTCTGTTCTCTTCCTGACTAAGTCATCCTCCTGCCGTGCACTCACCACAGACCCAGAATTATCAGATGCACATTCAACGGAAAGTGACCCTTTTACCGTTATTTCATTAAATATTACCTTATCTGGTAATACAATATTTGAAATATTTTTATTCACATCAGAAATAACCTTCCACTTCTCCACTAATACGCTTGCATCAATCTCATTAGGATACGTCTTCCCTCTAACTGCCATTTCCGTTAGATATTTACATTCGAAATATTTTGAATTAATATTTTGATAACGCCTTTTCACTAGGTCATTAAGTGTATTCATGCATGTATCGTATTCGTATTGCAGTTTCATCTTTGTCTTTGTTATTTCCTGTTCAAATTGTGTAATTTCTTGTTCAATTTCCGTTATTAATGAATTTGTTCTTTTTAAAACTATTTCCATTTCGGGATCTTGAGAAATTTTTGTTTTTAAATCATCACATGCCTGAATATACGTTATTAAGTTGTGATTTTGGTGCAAATTATCGTTAATCCTGCAATTAGTACACAAAGGCACACTGCAATCCGTGCAAAAATAGTCAATGACCGTTGAACTGTGGTATTTGCAATTAATAAACCGTTTTTTCCCAATTTCATTAAAATAAAACCTAGAATGCCGTTGTGTAAAATTGTTATTATGGAATAATTTGTCACAATCACTGCAGAATGCCGCCCTTTCTGCAAGACAAAAAGTAACGGAATTGGAAGTATTACAATTTTCACAGAGTTCGTTATTTTTATAATGATTTTCCAACTGAATATCATATGTAAAGTCAACTTCCCCTAATATTAACACTCTATTAATATCAGGTACAACATAACTGTAAGAAGATAACGTGTTTGTTGTTTTTGATAATTTTTTAAAATTTTTTATAACAGTTTCAATTGGTTCTTGTGAGCTGCTAATTAAAAAAGAATCATAACCGTGAGGAGTCTTACAGTTCATTGCGTATTCTGAAGAAGAAAATAACGGTGTTCCAACGGCTATTTGACAAAATAATAATTTGTGCTTTGTTTCATTTTGGTTTATGGGCAGACCCATTAAGGGTGTTATAATTGGCAGTTGAGAATCCTTAATGAAACAATGGATAATTTTTTGATTTTTGAATTTCTTAATGAATTCCAACTGATTTTTTGCAGATTCTGCGTACTTCACTGAGTTAACGGTCAGGGTCATTGAGTTCATTAGGAACCTTAGCTTGTACTCTATGTCTTCCATAAAAATAAAAATAAAATAAAATATATATTAATTAAAGTGTAATAAGTAATGCAATTTATAGCATTATTTATGACACTAGTGGATTAAGTCTTGTTATTTTGGACATAATTTATGGCACTAGGGAAATAAGTAATGGAGGAGATTGTGTTGTAAATATACATGTAATATGGACAGAAGTTTTTACACTGGTGGAATAAGTAATGTAATTTGTGAAATTATTTATGGTATGTGTGGATTAAGTTTTAGTGAGAATTGTGTTGTAATTTATTAATTAATCTGTGCACAACTTATGGTAGTGAAGGAAAAAGTAATGTCAGAATAGACATAACTTATGGCAGTAGTGGAATAAGTAATGTAATATTTGTCAGGACTTAATATACTATGTGTACTAAGTCTTGGTGTAAATTGTGTTGTAATTAGCCATATATTAGAATATTAATTAATACACTATGTGTAATAAGTAATGACAAAATGAACAGGACTTATGATACATGGTATAATAAGTTCTGGTGAATATGACAAGACTTATTACACTTTATACAAAGAGTGACAAGACTTATTCCATTTTGCCAAAACTTATTGCCCAATAGTGCAATACTTATTACATCATATATCATAAGTCCTGTCCACTTTACCAAGACTTTATCCACTAATTCCCAAAACAGACAAGACTTAATCCGTTTATAAATAATAAAATGTTTTATTTTTTTAATTATTATGTCCCAAAGAGGAAGTAAATATATTTTTAATCCTGCAAAAATTAACCGTATTTCCGAGGATTTCTTTGCACTTTTGTTGTTAAATCAGTATTCTAACGTATTTAACAAATTAAACCTAGTTTGTTTTGATTTTAATGGGAATTTTAATGATTTTCCATTTAACAAAATTTACCTGACACAAGAAATAACGGACGATTCAATTAATTCCTTAAAGAATGAAGCAGTAGTCAGTCAAGACTTGTTACACATAGTGTCATATATTCTGCATGGCTTAAAAAAGAATCAAAAATTAATTAAACTAATTAATGAAAATGTAACGGAAAAGTATACCACAGAAAGAATAAGACAGTTAGAATTAATTAAGAAAGAATTGTTAAGTACATTTAAAGAAGAAGTTTTTAAATTATTTAATGAAATTGATTTTGATTCTGAAGAAAATTTGGAAGAATTAGTTAAAAAAGTAATAAATAACGACACTAGGGGCGAACTTACCTCTAATATGGATATTACTGCAGGATATGCAGTTCATAATAGGGCAGAACTATCTCCACCCAGGGCAGGACTTAATACGCAGAGAGCAGGACTTAATATACCCACTATAAGACTTAATACGCCAAGTGCAAGACTTAATCCACCCAGTGCAGGACTTAATACGCAGAGAACAAGACTTAATCAATCTAGTGCAGGACTTAATCCAAGGAGGACAAGATTTAATCCAAGGAGGGCAAGACTTAATCCACCCACTACAATACTTAATCCACATTCACCAGAGCTTATTCCACTTATGACAGAATATATTCCCAGTACTGCAGGACTTAATCCACCACTAGATTATTATGACCAATTTATATTATATGATAGACCAATTACAACAAGATATAAGCCAGATATAAAAGTATACAGTATACAGCCTAATGAGTATGACATAGCCCAAGATAACCCGATTATAACCCAAGATAACCCGAAGACAATAATATACCATATTATTACAGATATAATTATACTATTAATTATACTTACAGTTATATACTACTGCAATTATAAATATAACGTATACTGGGCATAATAAAATATTTATACTGGTGACAAGACTTAATCCACTTGGTGCAGAATATATTACGCGGAGAACAGGACTTAATCCACTTTAGTCTAAAAATGACAAGACTATTTCCACTGTGACAAAACTTAATACGTGGAGGACAAGACTTAGTCCACCTTAGTCTAAAAATGACAAGACTTATGACACAATGACAGAACTTAATCCACTCTAACACAAAACTGGCAGAACTTAATCCACTTTACCAAAACTTAATCCACTAATAGCCCGAATAAACCCTATATCCCACAAATACCCACTATTACCCCTGCGTATTTCGTATTTCCCAATAAGGAAATATTAATTGGTTTCCCAATTAGGAAATTTTAATTAATTGCCCAAAAAGGAAATCTTAATTAGTATATATATTCCACATATATAAATTATAATATGGAAATATTTCAGGAAGACGCAAATAAAACTATAACCAGAAATGACTTGAAGCTGGAATATACAATTAATGCAGCAAGACTAGATGACTTATGCTTTGAGATTTTGGAAATATTATTTCAAGAAAAAGAAAACCTTCAGTTAAAGAATAGATTGCTGGACAGGTTTAGACAGATTAATTTTTTTATTTTAGAAATAATTGATCCTGTATACCGCAGTGTATTTGGTCTAGATAGAAAACCCGATATAACCCGAGATATACCATTAAACCATTCTCAGGAGGAATTATTGAAGATAAGGAAGGCGTCCATTGATCTAATCGTACTGATTGAAGCAATTAAGGTGAGGTTGTCGAATGAGCTTGTAATTCCGGAAAACCCGATCATCCGAGAGGTGCAAAAATATATCTCGCAAGATTCAATAAAAGGTGGTGATTTTGAGCTTGTAAGTGAGCTTAAAAGGATGATTATCCAGGCATTTGCAGGGTGCTACACGGAAAATGCATCTTCCATGCCCCATATAAGACTTCCAAATGAGCTTGAGCAAGAAATCCTGATAAACCAGAAATTGCACAAAGAGGAAGATTTCTTGGTCCCAGCAGGCCCCAAAGAAAGTATGCAATTCAGAATGCCCAGTGCAATACAAATACCGTCTTCACACACCCTGAGAGACCATATTTCAATGGTTTCCAGTGAAAATATTCATGAAGCTGAAATAAAACATAGCCCTTATATACCCAGAACCAGCTGTATATACAGAAATCTAGACTCATTCTCAGAAGATTCATCAGCAGATGAATACGAATGCACTTCCATAAAAATCAAAGAAGTCCCAGTTAAACCCACATACAGTGACGTAATTCAAAATATACGCAGAAAGGCAATGGAAATTGAATACGAAACAAAAGCACGCCCCAGGAATATCCAAAAGACAGGAAGTGGGTCAGAGGTGTCAGATAGCCCGTTAGATGAACAGACTAATAGCCCATTGAGTGAACATACTAATAGCCCGTCGAGTGAGGAGACTAATAGCCCGCTGAGTGAGGAGACTAATAGCCCGCTGAGTGAGGAGACTAATAGCCCGTTGAGTGAGGTGTCAGATAGCCCGTTAAGTGAGGGAACTAACTCTCCTGTATACAACCAGACTAACTCTCCTGTATATGAAAGGACTAACTCCCCTGTATACAATGTGACTAGTACTCCACTTACTACCCCCGTGTATGAGGTGACTAATTCAAGTGATTCCAACAGGAATGTGTCACCAGTATATATTCCTGTATATGAGGAGACTAAGACCCCCGTATACGAACAGACTAATCCAATAATTAGTCCAGATTATATACAGGATACTATTAAGTGCCCTGGTCCCTTTATGAATGAATATAAAAATACATTATTCTATGGGAATACTTTAGTAGCACCCAGAAAGGGTAAACCGTCAGAATACTCCATCTTAGTAAAGAAGAAGAAAGAGATGACCCGTCAGGGAAAATGCTATAAAAATATATTATTTGTACTGATTATATTATGTATAATTAGTGTGTTATGTATAGGTTATATTTATAAGGATATCTTATTTGAATATACAGAATATATTAGGGTATACAACTAAAGTATACAGGAATAAATTATATTTAATTTGAATATATTATTAGTCTATATTATAACAGAGTATACTAATTATAACAGAGTATACTACTGCCCACTAAGAAAACTAAAGATAAAAATTTATTTAAAATTGCTACTATATAGACACTGTCAGTATAGACTAATTATAACAGTAACATATATATAGTATAAGCTAGTCACAAACACAACAGTATACACTAAATACAACCCGTAATATTGCTAATTACAACAGTATGCACTAAATACAACAGTATACACTAAATATAACACACTAATACTAATAATAGTCTAATTACAACACACTACTACTAATAATAAATACCTTTATTAATTCTATCCTCTTATACGTTATACTCTGCTAAAACACTGCCCCTTCTTTTATAATATACTTAGGGTATGCCTTCTCGACTAATTCTGTGTCTGCGTGCTGTATAAAGTACACTGCAATTAGTATACCACGTACCATGGGCACAGTCATCAGTGACCCACCTAATGCCACTGCATATATTCCCCATACTAGACCAAGACCATTGTAATTCTGTGCATGCAGGCTATATACACTAAATAATCTGGTTATATAATGCATATTATATACCATAGCCGAAGACGCAAATACCATCATGGGTATAATGCATATACTAGCCATATTTAAATAGCAACTTACAACGTACTTTTTAAACTCATGGAATGCATGCTTCATGGAGTGACTAAATTTAGTACCAAATAAGGCATTGTACACTAAGCAGTAACTATTTAACTCTTCAACCAGTAATTCCAACAGGCTTATAACTAAAAGTACAATAAATAGAATGAAGGAAACAAATAAGCCACCACCAGCTCTCCTGTTATTATTATAAGACCGCTTTGTTAGATATCTGGTCAAGGATATGACAAACTTCAACAGGGATGCAATAAAAATAGTACCAGTTGACAAAATAACCCTAGTTACGCCTGCTACTAAGGTATTTCTAGTGTACTCTTTTGGGTTTGCCAGGTTTAGCATGTGCTGGTGCGCTACTTTAGCATAAAATACAACGATGCAATTACCAACGTATATTACCATTAGTACACAAGACATAATAGCATACAACACCTTAATAAGTATCATTTCATTGGATCCTTGTGGTGTAAAACAATATGAAAGTAGTAGTGTAGCTGTGTATACACATATTGCTGTTGTAAGTATGCATGATATACATGCTGCAGTGTACGCTTGTATGTTTAGTAGTATTATGTTCGTTGCAATTTTAATTAATTTCCTGACAATCCTACGGGCCTTAATGATTCTGTATACAAAGAATACCATTGCCATGAAGAGCAGTAGGGCTGAAAAGGCGCTACCCAGGTTATTTACTGAAATTGACAACATAACGGAAGCTGCGGCCATAATTAGGGAAATTGCGCAATTAATATAGATCATTGCAGTGGGAAATATATTATATAAGACAATTACGAATAAGGGTATAATATATACCCCTAATAAAATTAATGCTAGCCCGAACATTTCTAGTTTAAAGTTATCTGTGTCTAATTTGTATATATTTTTAATGGGGCCTGGGATTGGACTAATTAGACAGAATGTAATAAATATTAGTGCGGATGCTATGGCTAGCATAGCCATCTTTGTGTCTGTGAATCTGTTGCTGCTGACTATCTTTGAGTTGTGTATTTGCAACATGAAAATATTTGAAAAATATTTTATTGCTTATATGCGGAATATTATTGATTTTTGAGGAATTTTATATGACACTTTTAGAACATATATTTGAGTGAAGTTTGTAGGAGTTATTTGAGTGAAATTTGTAGGGGATATTGTGAATATGGTTGAATTTAGTGGTGTTTTGTAGGGGATATTTGGTGAATATTGTTGGATTTGGTGTGTTTTGGGAATATTGTTGAAATTCGTGTATTTTTTTGAGTGTTTTGGGGATTAGGAGGTATATAATGGACTAATTAGGATTGTTTGAGTGTTTAAGGAGTAAATGCTGTAAAACACAAGTAAAACCAATTAAACCACTAAAACACTATAAAAACTCACCAAATAACTGTTGAAATACTGTAAACCCTCACCTAACACAAAACTACTACCAAACACCACTAAAAACCACTGTAAATTCTAATATATCCCGATGTAAACTAGCCCGAATAATATATTCTGCATACCATGTAATTAGTCTATTTGTAATTCGGGTTATTCTTGTTAAGTTTGGTATGTAATAATTTTTGTGCATAAATATATTTGAAGAATTCATGTGGATGGATATTTATGAAAGAGTAATAAGTTTTGGATGGAAACTTGAATTTTTTGGAATTCTTTGGAATTTTTGGAAAGATCCTTTAGAAGAGACATAACTTTTTCCACTTTGAAAAATTCCATTGGGAGAAATTTCTTATGAGACTATAAATAACTCTAATTATATATATGGTAGAAATAGTATGGGGTTATTGAGAGGGTTGGGCTATTCGGGTTGGATGAAATTCATTGAGGGTCATTTTATTATGGAATTTGTGCAGTGAAAAGTGAGTATTTAGTAGACTACATATAACATAAGAGAAATATGGCTTTTTTCTTATGGTTTATAACGAGTTATATGAAAATACGTTATAATTTACATGTGGAAATGTGTTCTTGTGGGAATAAAGGAGCATTTAGCTGAATCTATGCGTAATTAACTGAATATATGCGTCTTGTCCTGTTACACTCTGTGCTTGTTCTGTAAAGAGCCCAATAACTGGACAATATTCAATGCTACGTCATAAATCAATGTAGAACAGCCTAATAGCCACAGGATACACAGGAATAAAGAGAAAAGGATGTATACTCTTATTTGGTAGAGGGTAGAGTCACTGAAAAATTCAGTTGTTCTGTAATAAACTCCATCCCATCTACTGACAAATTTAAACATGCTCTGGGCACAGTGCACACACATGAATAAGTATACAAATAGAATCATTGCGTATTCTAGGTCTACTAGATACCCTGATATAAAGCCAATTTTAAATCCTGTGCAGAGCCCAATTAAAACATAGCTCATTCTAAGCATAGAAATATTCAAGAAGAATATAACTAGGCTCATTCCCACTGACATATTCACAGTAAGATGAAGCTTGCTTGAAAATGCCTTTAAATAACTGAATCTCCCAAAAAGGAAATAAACAATTGACTTAATAATTTGGAAGCACACGATTAATGTACCGTACGAAAGTGCAATGTATTTATCCTCTGACTCCAAGCCATTTGGGAACCCAATACTCCCTCCAATAAGCACCTTTGCAATGTGGTCAAATAGTCCAGAATAAATAAATGGTCCAATAACGTACAGCGGTAGATTGTATATTACCAAGACAAAGATAGCAGACAGGTCAAAATATTCATGCCCATTGAATATAACTGAATTCTTGTCCATGTCTCCATCGTATCCATAGTCCGTGTCAAAACGAAAACTATTTGGGGTATTTCTGGGTGCATTAGGGTTTGGATTAAACTGATTTTCCATTGCGCCAACGAGTGTAGGCCTAGTATTAATATATCCTGCAATTACTTCGTGATAATTTGGAGGCGGCAGATAATAAGCATATACAACAGGATTCATTGTAACAGCATCATTATATGAAGGTGGCGGCATATTATAATAATCAATTGTACTTGGTTCTGCTGTATCCATGAAATAACTCTGGTTATTTGGTTTATAAATATTCCAGCTAATTGGTTTATGAATATTTCTAAAAGGGAAAATTAATTTCCAAAAATCCAAATTTTAAGCAAGTTAATGGGCCTTAGAGGGAGTTACTTCAGGTTATATGGGCTTAATAATATTTAAAAGGAGGCCAAACAGATCAAACTCATCCTTCATGAAAAAACAAGTGCATATAGAAGGAAAACAAGTGAATTTTATAAAAGCGCATTGTACTTTAAAAAAACCTATTCTATTTTAAAAAAATAAAATACACTTAGACAAAATTCAATGCACTCTGACAGAAATTAATACACTTTAAAAAAGCGCAATACACTTCAGAAAAATAAAATAAAATCACTCATGCACACAAGAGAATATTCAATCGATTTAAATAGAAGTGAAATGCGCTGTAGTTTAGCAGAAGTCAATGGACTTAAATAGATGCAACATTCCTTAGTAAGAAGTTAATAAACATATCCTTGCCTTGACATAACCCGAATATAGCCCGTCATAAGACCAGTTAACCTATAAACTTAACTAACTCTTTCATATATACCACTCTAAAATTAACAAAACCCTCTTAAACCACCATATACCCACCCGATATAAACCATCATAGATCTACTTAAACTTAACCAAATCCTACTTTAAATCCCCAAAATCCAATAATATGTTTATTCCATTTGATTCCATTATTCTTTAAATTAAACTATCTCTATTAAATATAAATATTCATGCACCACTAATAACCCTTCACAAAAGAATGAAAGAATAAAACCTTCGTGAGACAAAAAATAAAAGACTCTTCCTCTTAGAAGAGAATAAAAGACAAAGAGTCTTCATGAGACACTTCTAACCATAAACAGCCTAAATCATTTCATCTCGCAGTCGAATAAGATCTTGAATGATCCTGTGCCTATGGGAATCCTTTGCCCACTGATTATGCACTCACTCACTCCATTTATCATATCCTCATAGCCAGAATATCCTGCCGTGAAGAGATGCTCTCCTGTTTGCTCAAAACTAGCAAGTGTAAGCACACTGGACCCTCCCATTTTCTGCAGCCCAAATCTAGTCATTCCGCATACTTCCCCAGTAAAGCACATTACATCTGCAAGTAGTCCTATGTGACGGGCATCCACGGATATCCCGTGCCTCCCAATTGTATACTGAATTTCCTTCACAATTGACTCCCTGGCTGCCTCTATCCCTAGTGTCTTGTACGTCTCGTATATATTATTAGTTGAAGTCTCTGAAGAATTCACGCCTTCTGTGCCAAGAATCTCTAAAAGACCCGTTCCTTCTGCAATTATTTCTGAGTCTGTGGTGATCACACGGGAAATACTTCCCACCCCCTTTACTTTCGTCTTCAATAATTTATCAATCTCAGAAGGAACTGATTTCTCCAAAGGTGCCTCCCAATAATATACCCCATCCTTCTTGTACGCTCCAATTCCCTTAATTTCCTTTTCAATTTTATGTCTTGCCACTTGTCCCTCCGGTATCCTAAATACAGCGGATATTTTATTCACAGAGACAGATTCAGCTAGGTCACCGATTACAACAGGCTGCACACGCCCAGGAATTTCACTAAAATGACCTGGCTCTGCGGATATTTTTATAAGCGGCGTACTAATGGACGTACTTGCATTTATGATTTCCTTAAGGCGCGGCACTCCGAGTGTAATACTTGCGCCTGACGTACCTGCCAAGTGGAATGTCTTTAAGGTCATTTGCGTACCTGGCTCACCAATGCTTTGTGCAGCCAGGGCACCCACTGCCGTGCCGTATTCAATCTGTGACTTAAGTGCTTGAAAGAGCATCTTGCAAATGAATAGTTGTTTAACTGAAATATTCATCTGGTGGTCCTTTGTGTATGCGTTAATCAATTCAATCAGATGCATATTTTCATGACGGAACAATAAATACCCCACTGAACCATTCAGCAATTCCCATATATCAGGCATAATTGTATCTGTGTGCGGGTTATAGACTGATTTCCATATGGATTTAATTGCGTCGTATATAAGCACAACAGAAGGATGAACATTTTCTGCAAATATATTTACGCCTGAATTATTCGACACTTTCAATGCCCAATAATGTGCAGACGGCATGTCTGTTGTGAGTGTGCCTTTCTGCAGTAGAACTGGGTCTAAGCCATCATCACCAAATTGCATTTGAATTATTTGCTGTCCCCTGCGGACTGTTCCGTCATATGCCACGTATACGCCTTCTAGTACTTTCATTAACCTTCTTTGCATATAACCTGTTTCTGCTGTTTTGACTGCCGTGTCCACAAGACCTTCTCTTCCACTGACTGCATGGAAGAAGAATTCCGTTGGCAACAAGCCAGCGCAGAAGGACGACCTGACAAAACCCCTTGATGCATTTGTGTCCCCCATGAAGTGGGGAAGTGTTCTGTCACCGAAATCCCTGGATATTCTTTGACCCCCAACTACTTGCTGCCCTACACATGCGACCATTTGTGACACATTTATAAGACTGCCCTTGCTACCGCATGCCTGCATGATTACGGGCGAGTTATGCTGGGAGAGGTGCTGGATGCAGTGCTTTCCTGCGTCCTCTCTGGCCCTGGAGAGAACTGCAATTGTACTCTCAGCAGGCTTACTGGCTGCTTCAATCTCACACCCATCCACAGCCTGTGTGATCAGCTTCTGTAATTTTGGTTTTGCAAATACGTCATCCAGTCCTATAGAGAACCCTGCCTCTCCAAGGTATCTGGAGCATAATCTGGCAATTGCGTCAAGAGCACTAACTACAACAGACGGCCCTCCTTCTCTTAATTCATAGTGGAATATAGTGCCCTCTTCTGCTCCGACTATCCTTTTATCTGCGCGGCCAAAAAGTATCTCACCATCTCGCATGACAAATAGGCCTTCATTCACTGAGGAGAAAGTTGTGCCTGGGGTGAAATTTCTAGTGCGAATTTCCATGGAGACAGACAGGTTTAAGGCCTGACTGAAAAGGGTCTTTCCTGTGTACAGAACAGAAGGTCTGAGTATAGTGGGCTTAGCTGTCATCCTTCCCGTGTGCTTTGGTAGGGCGTATACAATTAGCTGACCGAACTGTTTTTTTGTGAAAAAAGTGGATTTCTTTGTTATAAGGTAGCTGCCTGTGATGAAGTCCTGTGTGGCTGCGACTAATGGCTGGCCATTCCTGGGGACTGCCAGATTATTCTTTACGCCCATTAGCTCCAGTGCTTCCACTCTTGCCTCCACTGTCTGTGGCAGGTGAATATTCATTTCGTCCCCATCGAAGTCTGCGTTGTACGGAGAGCATACGCACTCGTTAAATCTAAGGGTGCGCCCTGGGAGCACTTTCACTTTGTGCGCCATTATGCTTAGTCTATGGAGGGACGGCTGTCTGTTAAATAAGACGACATCTGAGTCTTGCATATGTCTCTCCAGGATATCTCCTTCCTCCAGGTTAATTGTGTTGTTTTCTCGGAGGAATATCCTTCTGTCTTGTTTTAGCAGATAGTTTGCGCCTGGATAGAGCGTGCACCCATTTTGTGCTAATTTCCGGAGGGCTTTCATATTGCCTTCTGTTACGGGCACTGGGACGGTGAGTGTTTTTGCCATTTCTTCTGGGATCCCAACTTGCTCTACGCTTAGATTTGGGTCTGGCGAGATAACTGTACGCCCAGAGAACTCAACTCTTTTTCCAGAGAGATTTCCCCTAAACCTTCCATGCTTCCCTTTTAGTCTCTGCACTAAACTTCTTATTTTCGCTGCATCTGGCCGTGAGTCTGAGCTAATTAACTGCGCACACTGTGACTGCAGTAAGTCCCAGTTCTCTGATAGTCCATGCATATACGCACCTTTTGCGATTTCATCACGAATTAGCTGCGACGTATACGATATTTCACTGAGCTTTATCGTTAGGTCATCTTCATTTGAAGAGGAGTCTAAGGCCATGACACTCGGGCGTATTGTCCCAGGGGGCACAGGCAGGCACGTAAGCATCAAAGAAGCAGGGTCACAGGAAAGCCCTAGAAGACTCCTTGTAATATCATTCGGAATATTCCTTAGTATGCTTTGCGCTGTAACTGGTGATATATATTCATCTGGTGCATTATTTATCCAATTTGTTATCTCTGGGTTATCCTTTACTGATGCACTATAAAGGGATCTTTCTATTTCCTTCTGTGCATCGTGCTTTTTCAGTCTGTGCACTCTATGGAAGAATTTAAAGCCTGTCTTCCTGACGGCCCCGTTTATGCTGCTGCACTGGAAGCACTCCACTGCCTTTTTTGCTTCATCAAAGACCTTTTTAATGACTCTTTGCTCAAGTGTTCTGTTTCCCTTTCTGGCCTTCAGTTTAATTAGAAGCTGTGCTTGTGTCTCATCTGGCAGTAGTAGTGCAGAGCACTGCTTGCACACACTTTGCAGTATTTTGTGCGTATTCTTTAATAGTCCCGGGTGATAAACAGGCAGCGCCAAGTCAATGTGCCCAAAGTGTCCTACGCACTCTGCCATTTTCTCACCGCACGTACTGCAGGTGGCGTCTTTTGTGCTTGGGCCTAGTCTTAAGTCAAGCGGGCCTGTGGTGGCAGGTGCCTTGTTCTCGCTTGAATATAAGTCCCTGGAGGTCACTGCCAATACAGACATATTCCTTATCTCTCTTTCCGTTAATATTTCAAATTTAATTCTGGATATTTCTCTGGGGATATATTCTTTCTGCATGGTAAATAAATTTTATGCAAGTCTTGTACAGATTCCGGTCGGAGAGGGAGTTTGGCAAGATAGAGACAGATAGGTCTTCTATGCCCCTGTGGGAATTAAAGGCAGAAATAGCAGCCAAAAGGTACCTTACATTCCATGATTATCACTTGGTATTTTACATGGAGAATGAAGAGACGCCCATTACTAATAACTATGCAGTTATATACAGTAATATGAACATAATAATAGAGAGAGTCCCAAATCACATAAACTCTGGGTATAAAGAGGCCTTGGAGAGGGCCAAGCAGCCGGAAGAACAGATAAAAGTGAAGGAAGAGGCAGGCAGTATTACCATGCACAATATACACGGGATAAAGACACCTCCCGATTCCTATATTTGCTTCAGATGTGGGCAGAAAGGGCACTTTATACAGATGTGCCCAACAAATAGTAATAAACAATATGATGCGATGCGAATAAAGAAGGCAACTGGAATACCAAAGACATTTTTAGTTCCTGTGGAGGAGACTTCCCCTACTTCTGTGCTTTTGAATGAAGAAGGGAAGTTTGTCAGGGCGCAGCCACAGACGATGGAGTTTTCCAGGAGATTTAGGTCTTCTGAGGAAAGATCTATTCCGCCTGAGTTTATGTGCCCGCAGTGTAATAGCTTAATTGTGGAGGCAGTTAAAATGAAGTGCAAGCACACAGTTTGCGAGTACTGCGTGTCCGGAAGGTGTCCTGTCTGCAAGAAGAAGTCGTCCAGTGTATCAATAGACACAAAAATGAGAAAGAAAATAGAGAGTTTCCTGGAGAATAGCAAGGCATAGGCGGGTTAGTTATATCGGGGTTATTAGTACTAAACCAGTGTAGTATGTGACTAATCAGTATGTAATTGATGAATATACGACTAATTGGTTATTTGTAAGTAGTTGTTGTATACCTGTGCACTTGCATATATACATAAGTGTATGACTAATTGTTGAATATGTGAAAATATGACCAAACAATGTGTAATTAGTGAATATACGACTAATTATTACTAAATACATAAGTGTGTGACTAATTGGTTGCAAATACAGGACTAACTGCTGCTAAATATATGTGAGTATATGACTAATTGGAGTGTATGCGTATACATATAACCCGAGTAACTTAAAGTATGTACTCTTCTACTGGTTATTGCCGTTATAAAATATACTAACACAAGGATATTCTTATTCTTACATTTATTTCTGTATCTTATGGACTTCTATGCCATTTCTCTCAAATAAACTCTGAACCTCTGCGTCACCCACATATTCATCCATGTAGTAGACCCTCTTTATTTTCACTTGGACTATTTTACGCGCACACAGGCGGCATGGATATAGTGTAGTGTACAAATCTGAATCGAACAACTCTGCACGGGACCTCTCCAAGAAGACACTTTCCTCTGCATGGATGCAGAAGCAGTCGGATAGTTCTGTTCCCTTTTTTGCATTTCCGTTGCATCTGTTGCATCCTCCATCTAGACAGTTTGTTGTGCTTGTGGATGTCCCATTGTATCCTGTGCACAGCACCCGGTTGTGCTTCACTACGACTGCCCCCACCTTTCTCTTCATGCAATTGGACCTGGTGGATGCAGTTTGTGCTAGCAGCATAAAGTACTTCTCCCAATTAGGCCGTATACTGTACGATTTAATTGTATCTATTTCTGTGTCACTTATTTCAATTAAGTTTGTTGTGTTTAAGAAGTCCCTTCTGACTTGCAGTAAAGATGCATGGTAATTGGTGCTTTCTTCGATTTCACTCTCTGTGGCACTCTTTTGGTCTGTTGGGTATACGACTATGAGGGCAGCTAGCGGCTTTGTGTTAAATTCCTTCCAGTCTTGTGGTTTTCGCAGGTGAATTACAATATCCTCTGACCATTTCCCTGTGCTCATAATTTCCGTTATAACTCCTGGGTAATATTCTATCTCTGTTGCTCCATTTTGCACAAGATTCTTAACAGCTAGTCTTGCGCATATGTTTGCAGCAGAAGTAACACAGCGCAGCATGGAAAAATTTTAAATGGGGTATGCTCTCTTTGTTATTGGGCCAGCGGGCTCTGGGAAGACGACTTTAACGCATATGCTGAAGGAGCACTATACCTCGCAGAAGAGAAGCGTTACTTTGGTTAATTTAGATCCTGCACAGGCACTTACTGACTTGGAATTTGTGTTTGACATTCGGGACCACATTGAAATATCTGAAATAATGGAGGCAGCTGATTTTGGGCCAAATGGCGGGCTTATGGCAGGGCTGGAGGCTATTTCAGATAATTTGGATATAATGGAACTCCCGGAGGATGATGAAGTGTTCTTGATTTTTGACTGTCCTGGGCAGATTGAGCTGTATTTGCACTCTGACTCTATTTCGAAAATTATTACAGAGATGCAGAAGAATCACTTCCCTTTGGTGCTTTATGCATTGGATGCGATGCATCTTCTGGATAACTCCAGGTTCCTGGCTGCTGCAATTTCTGCAACAATTGCGATGTCTAAATTTGAAGTACCGCATCTGAACATATTTACAAAGTGCGACTTAGTGGATAAGGCACAGCTGGATGAATTACTTGAGTCTTTGGATACTGAGACCCTGTGCGATAACCTTCCTGCTCGAACGGCAGATGAAAAGAAATTCAACCAGGCACTTACAACAATCATAAAGGATGAAGGACTTTTAGGGTTTATTCCTTTGAATTATAAGGAGAAGGAGTCAATCGATGAATTAGCGTATCATATTGACACTTCCCTTCAATACTTCGACAATCACATGCCGGATGAATAGTTTTTTCTTGTGCGAAAATATAGATGTCTAACTATAAATCAGAAACCCTTCATGGAATATTTGATTTTTCTTCTGATATGAAGGGTTTTTGATCAAAGACCAGAAAAATAAGCAAAATGAATATTATTAAAGAACCACGATCTAGAAAGTATTACTAGTAGGGATTGCAGTATATAATGCAAGGCGCATAGCTGGAATAGAATCGAACGAAGCCAGGCTACCCCATACTATATTTTGGCACTTTTTTATTTTATTTAACACATTCGGGTTATATCTTGGGCAAATTTAGAGGGAAAATAGGTACAGAAGGTGTATATGGCATCGTGCCATATATATTCACTGTAAATATGGATATAAATTTAATAATATAAATTATTATTTCTACATATGCATATATTTTATATTTAAATAATTTTATATTTTAGCCAAGCAAGACCAGATATTATTGAAGCGTATTTAAATTTGCATAATTTTCATGAAATATTCGTATACACAGAGGCATATTCTAAAAGAAAAGACAAGCAGAACATACTCTAAGTTAATTTTCTAGAAGATGATAGGTTAACTTTCTAGAAGGTTATAAAATGCGTTATTTATTTAACTCTGAAACCATTTAAATAGCCTCAAGTGAAGTATTTTCTTCTTGGGCTTTTAATGAAAAGTATATCTATTTAATAAGATCCTGTTAGAGAGGATACCTATAAAACTCTACTGTTCAAGGAAAGCAGACTAAGCAACATCCATGTTCTTTCTTGCAGAGGCCTCCTTCTTGAGTTTTTTAAACCAATCAGATTATGGGCCCTCTAGTTCTTAATAAGGAACAATCCAGTCATATATAACCCGCTCTATAAAGATACAGACAAATATTACCCAATGCACCAATAATTAGTCTGAGCATATAACACTCTAAAATTTCACCCCTTTGAAAATGCACAGGATATGCAAGATGCTATTTATATTTGTATTCTACTTTATTCTACCTGTGACTTAGAAGTATCCGGGTATGCAGACGCATGATCATATTATTTGCACTCTACCCCGATCTCCTTCCTCAGAACTTCAATAATCCTGGAGGAGTCACTCTCCTCATTTTCCTCCTCTAGTTTTATGTACTCTTCAATTATGCGATTCTTCTCGTGGGACAAAACCCGCAGTGATCTTTGAAGAAGAATCCTGGATCCTTCAACCTCCCCTATGGACCTAAGAGCGAATGCGCACCTCAGCCAAACCTCCAGGCTTCCCGTGCACTTCTTCGGGATGGAAAGAGATATTTCCTTTATCTTCTCCTTGTTATTTACAGAGAGGAAATACTCCAAGTGCGAGATAAACAGTTCTTCCACACCAAGGCATGAGAATTGCGCTCTGCAGTAGAGAGAGTCTATTCTCTTTGTGATATAATTCCTTTTGTTTTTTACGTCTTTTGCTCTTTTTAAATATATACGCTCTAATAGGACTTCATACTCAATATACAGAAGAAATATGCTAAGACGAGGCCGCACTGAAAGAATCTGCTCAAAGTTCTTTCTCTTTTTGATAATTGCCTCAATTTCAGCTGGACTGAAGATATTCTTGTCCTTGTAGTATGACAATTCGGGCACCATGTGCTCCATCTCACTAATAACTGAAGAACTCATTAAAATTTTAGCAGCAGAAATGTATAATAAAACTTTTTAAATTCACGTGTTTACAATGAAAGATACTTCTGCGCTTCTAAAAGAGTTTAACATAGAGGCAGAAATATGCGACAAAGAGCAGCCAGATTCAACAGAAAAGAAAGCCAAGGAAGTTGACCCATACGATATAGTAGAGGCCCTTTTAGACCAAATTGACATAAATGACATAGAAACAAGCAGAATTGTGCTTGTAAACCAAATAAACGAGTCTTTACTGGAGAGGGATCATCTGGTGAGAAATAATTTCACAACGTACATAAAGTGCAGAAAGGCACTAGAGTCCATGGAGGCATCGAATTTGTGCAAAAGTACATTGAAGAACCTGGACATGCAAAGCATAAACTCAATTGAAGTCCTCTTAGAGCCGATTATTCTGGAGAACAAAGAGATTCACTTGAGGGAGCAGCAGAATAAATTCATGCTAAGCAATAGTCTTCTGTTCAATGCAGAGTTCATTCTCTTGGAGTACTTGAAAATCAATGACTTTGACTCATTCCTGACAGACTACAAGATGATCAAGGCAGAAGTGGAGAAATTCAAGGACTCTAGGTTTGTGTCATATCTTTTCTCAAAGGTTGTGCCAATTCTGGCACGCTTCAAGATTGAAGTGATCAGAAGAATTGAAACCTGCAAAAGCATCTCTGAGTCACTGCATTACTTCAGGATATATACGCAAGTAGATTCAGAAAGCTACCACAAGGCATTTGCCACGCTCCTTACAATTGCCAAGACAGAAATTGGCGAAAGACAAATTCACCCAGGAGGAACACTCTTTTCAAAGCTAAGAAACATAAAGGGCTTTGTCGCAGACCAAACAGAAAGCATACTCTACATGATAGATGCCATGAAGGCAGTGGACATGGTTACGTGGCAGGCCAAGGAAATGTCTGATTTTGTGGTAAGTGCAGCAGACGCATATGCAGCAAGCATAAAAAGAGGTCTCCTGGACTTCTTAAAGGAAGACACAAGTGAAGCAGAAAAAGCATCCCTGGAATTAAAAGAAAAGCTGTCAATTATACATGAAATATCCCAATTAATAGAGGCAGTTACAACAAAAATGGCTGCAGAAGGCATAGAAGATGCAGCTGCCATGCCAAGTATAAATGAAATATTCTCTCTTCTAATAAAAATACTTTGGAGAGGCGCAGAGAAAGAGTCGGTCCAAAGTATTTCAGGACTAATCCGAGACACACAGAAAATATTCGGATTAAAAGAGCATATCTCAAAGGAAATCAAGGAGTTCCTGATTAAACCTCTTTCCAGGTCAGGGAATATCACATTCCAGGAATGGATTGAGGCACTTGCAAAGGTGACCGTGGAAATATTCCCAAAAGTGGAGAATTTCCTGTCAGAAGCAGAAAAGCAAGAAATACTTGATAAAGTATCTGGAATAGAAGAGAAAATAAGGGAAATAGGTGCATCACATCTGGAGTCCCAGCTAGAAGAAGCTGCATCTGATGAAGAACTCCTTATGGCTCTTGTAAAAGTGAAAGTATTATTCTCAAAGAATGGCTTGCACAATAACCCAAATGAATATGAAATAATAAGTGAAGCAGTTAATAGAATAGACCTAACAACAGACCTAACAAAATACGTCTTAAGGAAGTACATTAAAGATGAATCTGTGCAAAGGTTCATTAAAAACTCAATCCCAACCCACGCAAGGTGCAAGAAGCAGTTCTTAATCCTAATGGAGTGACCAGTAAATACCTGGATTATTAATGGGAAATACCGGTAGTTAGCCGAAAATTAAAAAAAACCCAGTAATTAACCAGTAAATAACAAAAAACAACCAGTAATTATCCGGTAAATAACGAAAAAAAACAGTAAATAATAAAAACACTTTCATATATGCATTAATCATCCAATTACTATACCCACTGCATTTTATGCTTATCATATAGTCCAGACTACATACTATTAACAAACAATAATATAACCCTGTCTCCTTAAGAATAAATTCACCCTAATTAAAATAACCAGACAGAATGCGCATTAAAAATAAAAAAAATATCCATAGAAATATAACCATGCACAAAGAAGACCCACTCTCCGTAAAGTACCCAGATGAATATATTCACCTACTGAAGCAGCACGCTGTAAATATGCAAGAGGAGAATTATTCCACACAGGCCCTAGATATAATAACCTCAATAATATATTACTGCCCGACTAATTACACTGTGTGGGTCGATAGAAGAAAAGTTCTTGGTAAAATCCCCAGGGACACGTACAATTACAACAAGGAGCTGACTTGGATTAAAAAAAGAGCACATGAGAATCAGAAGAATTATCAAGTATGGCACCATTTTAAGCATGTTTTAACAGAAATGAACCATGAAATATCAGAAGACCTGGATATTTTAGAAATAGTCAGGAAAGACCCAAAGAATATCCACTTCTGGGGGGTATTCCTGGCATGCGCAAAGAATGTGGAAAGTGCACTTGAATATACGAAGTACTTCATAGAGGAAGATGTAAGAAATAATTCAGCATATTCCATACGGTACACATTAATTAGTCCAATACTCAAGCAGGATCCTGCGAGATTCCAGAAGGAGAAAGAGTTCCTTTTAAGTCTCCCTGTGCTGAAGTATAATCTGGCGTACTGGAACTATCTGGCAGGTTTAAATAGAATGTTCCCAGAGAGTGATCTGCTTGTGAGGTGTGAGGGTATTTTAGAGTCAAAGGAAGTGCCAAAATATTATGAGGATTAGATTATTATAATACACTGCAATAAACCACTCCATCCTCTTCTTATAATTATGTACACGAATATATCTGGATACTTGTAAGACCATTAGTATATATGGTTATGCAAAATATAATTAAATATACATGGGTATACGGATATAATATGCATATATATATAGTATCACCGTGTAAGACATAATTATACAATACCTCCGTATATAATATATTACTTAAATATAATATGTATATATATGCGTATAATGCGTGTATTACAGTGGTATATTATGCATATATATGGAATATAACCAGAATTAGATCTGTTTATAATAAATCACCATGCGGATTTATTACAAAATATCCACAGAACCCCATGGAGGAGAAGGAGAATATAGATAAAATTATAAGACTATTCAATAATAACCCAGATATACACTATACCCCGCATTTCATAAGAAGACTGCTTCCTTCTCGGGAAGAAGAAAAGATAAAGAGCCGGCCCATCTTGAAATTAGCCCTCTCAGATCTCCCACAAGAACAGATAGATTTCATCAAAGGCACCATCACCCGGATATCAGAGATACTGGAGTATAATATATTTGTGGACTCAAATAATATCAAGGATTCAACACACTTAATTGTAGGCACAGATTCAACAGGCCTTTGTAAGAGGACGTATAACTACCTGGCATCAATTATCCTGAAGAAATCCATTGTAGGATTCACGTGGTACATTGAACTGTTTGACAGATCTAAGAAGAAAAATGATGATGAATATTACAGCCAGACATTCAAGCAGTACATTGAAAGTATAACTAGGAATAACCTAGTGAAAGGAGATGTAATTGAAGGGCCCTCTAGTGCACCCCGTATGGCGCACATGAGCTGCCGTCTAGTACCTGCCTTAGACGGGGTTATAGTGGCAGACCCAGATGGTCATGTGAGCAAAATAGAAGAAAGGCTAATTTCAATGGGAAATGGCTGTCTTACTGCAGATAAAGAGAAGGGCAAAATTATTGTAAAGAAATTTGGTGAAATAACTGAGATGATTGCGTCTGGTGCAATCTTAACATATCAGAAGATGGAGGATGAGCTATCAGATGATTCTTTCATATATGCACAAGACACATAAATCGCTATTTATTAGTCCTTTGAGGTGTAGAACTTCTTTAAAAAAAAGATGGCTTCATCTGAGAGCATTGTATTTGTGCTTGAGAACTCTTTACAGATGGATTTTGCATCTTCTGCCGATATGTACTCGTATGATACTACGTCCATAACGGCAGCCACGTCCTTTGAATTTATTGCTTGCATAAAATATTTTATATTTTCATTTTTATTCCCTTCACAGAAAATACATTCTGGCATGTGGATTAAGTCTTGTCAGTTTTGGGATAGAGTGGATTAAGTCTTGTTTAATATTTGGACAAAACTTATGGCGGGTGGATTAAGTCCTGCATAAAGTTGTAATACATAAATATAAGTGCCATAAGTCTTGTCATTTTCCTAATAAGGTGGATTAAGTCTTGTCAATTTCAAGATAAGGTGGATTAAGTCCTGTACTATGCGTAATATATTCTGCACTAAGTGGAAATAGTCTTGTCCTATATGTAATAAAGTGTAATATTCCCGTTGTAATCCAGTCTAATCCAAAATAATTATAATATCTCCTTATCTTCTGCATTACCTAGGCGTTTAGTAATTATTTTAAGTATATTCTTCTCTAATATGCCCCCGTGCCTTCTGCTCTTCTCTCCTGCTATTTCCTCTAAATTTTCTTTTTTCTGACCTCCTTCTACCCCATCTCTTAAATTTTTCACAATTTCCTCCAAATTTTCTATTTTTTTTTGTTTTATTTTAAGCTGAGATTGCGTTATATCCAGCATAATTGACATTTCTTTTATTTTTTCATTTAATCCCCGTATCAACACATTTTCTTTTTGTTTTTTATTTGAGACACTCATTCCCTGCGCAGATGCCCTCCGACTACTTATAATTCTATCAAATATCTTCTGAATATTATTTACAGTGAGATCAAGCTGCAGGAATTCCTTATTAGCAGATACTTTAAGCTGATCTATCTGGTTACTTGGTATTCCTATAAGACTTTCATGACTAATTTGTCTATTTCCTTGACATATTTCATCTATTTCTTCTGAGGCCGTTAAATCTGTGCATTTTTTATTACACCATGTGTCATAAGTCTTGCCCTCTTCTTCCTTTTCTCTGTCCATTAAATTATTAAAAATTTATATTTTCATTACTTATTACACCTAGAGCAGAATATATTACACCTAGGACATAACTTAATCCACCTAGGGCATAATATATTACGTACGTGACAAGATTATTTCCATTATGAGCAGGACTTATTATGTAGGTGACAAGATTATTTCCACTATGAGCAGGACTTAATCCACCCTATAAATAATTTATTCTTATTTCTACCTGGTGCATAACTTAATTCACTATAAGCAGGACTTATTCCACTTTGACAAGACTTATGCCCAATAGCCATTACTTAATCCACCTCACCAAGACTTAATCCACCCCTTTCCAAAAATACCAAGACTTAATCCACTTAGTACACAATATATTCCCAAAGTAACAAGACTTAATCCACCCCTCCCCAAAAATGACAAGACTTAATCCACTTAGTCCACAATATATTCCCTAAATAACATTACCATTTATTACCCTAAATATCTCCCAAAATGTAATTATAAGGTCCCTATACGGAGTCTCTCATAGAATTCTTCTGGGGATTTGCATGAAAGCACTTTCTCACTGAATTTATAGAGTTCAATGTGCTTCATGGATATATTATTGACTAACTGCAAGGCATATTCCTTCAGGCGGAATAGAAGATTCTTCTTTTCTGCCGTTGGGAATTCCAATGGGTCCACTGGTCCTTCAATTTCAACAGGATTATTTAGTGATTTCCTGTAAGACTCTGCAATTAGTCTTAAATTAGGCTGAAACTTCGTTGGAATTGCTAATTGCATGGTATTTTGTGGTAGGTGCATTATAAAGCCCATGTGTCCTGTCTTTATCCCTGCAATTGAGCACCATGTCTTTCTTATGTTTGGTAGTGGTATTGTTTTAACGGTTTCTGGGAGACCTTTTATTCTGTAGAAATGGAAAATGTGCTTTGAGGCTGGAAGACCCTTTCTTCCTGGAATGCCATTGGATTTCCTTTTATCTTCTGGGTCCGGGTGCATTTTCGTGTCTAACTCTGGGTTTATTTCAGTTTTCATCTTGTATTCCTTCACTTTCTCTGGGAATATCTTGTCTTTTTCATCTTTTTCGTCTATCTGGAATTTCCTTGTGATTTCATCAATTTCTTCTTTTAATAATTTTATTGTTCCCTTCAGTTCATCAATTTGTGATAAATCTGTGAGTGAAGGGTTTTTTATTTTTATTTTTAAATTTGATAATTCCCGGGTGAGATGGATAATTTTTGCATCTTTTTCTTGAATTTCTGTGAAATTTCTTGAGATTTTTGCATCTTTTTCCTTCAAATCTGACTCCATTTTGATCGACCTCTGGATCCACCTGCATTCTTGCTCTTGGAATAACTTAACCCTTTGATTTAGCTCTTTCTGGTATCCCTCCGACTTCTCCTGGATCTCCTTGAGCTTTTTGTTCATTCTGTGATTAATTTCTGACTCTTTTGAAACTTCTTCTAATTCTATCTTAAAAGATGCCTGAAGTGAGAGTATTTTCATGTTAAGGTGATCTATCTCATCCTTATACATGGTTACTGTGGCTTCATGCGAGTTTGTAAGGTCATTTCTGACCTTTTTTTCAATTAATTTTAAAATTTCAAAATTTAATTCTTCAATTTTCATATCAATTGAATTTCCGTTATTTTGGATTTCAAACGGATTTTTATCATGGATGTCCTGGAATAAGACGCAATTCATTCTTCTGGTTGCGTCTTCCCTGGCTAGTCCCATGCAAACCTCGTCATTAAATCTCGTTGAAATTAGACCATTAGTCCCAGACTCATTAATTATTGCAGTGTGCGGAATATCCGGGAATCTTGTAATATCCATTTCCTGTTCACTTTCTATTTTTGAATATTTTAAAAGTGAAGGGTTTCTGGTATTTAATTTCCCTGGGTAGTTCGCCCCCGACGACTCTTGAATTTCTTTATGAATTTTTTCTTCGTTCTTAAATGGGCGCACAAAGTCTTGTATGAATCTGAGTTCTTGGAAATCCTTCATGAGCTGACTGCTTGATCCTCTGGTATCCATCAAATCTGAATGCACTTTTTCTATTATTTCCTTATTGGGTAATTTCCCTTTAAGGACACTCTTTTGCCGATCTCTTTCCTGTATATCTTCTGGAAACATTTTATTTGCGAGTAGAAATAATTTTGACTTTAAAAATAAATACCAAGACTTAATACACTATGTGTAATATATTATGGTAATTTTAATTAGTAAATACAACATAAAATATGATAAGACTTAATATATTATGTGTAATATATTATGGCAATTTTAATTAGTAAATACAACATAAAATAATTCATAACTTAATACACTATGTGTAATATGACTATCCCATGGCAGAATTAAATATTTTTAATAAAAATATAAGGGGGTTATAGTGCAGAGGACAAGACTATTTCCACCTAGTGCAGAATATATGGCGCAAGTGACAAGACTATTTCCACCTAGTGCAGAATATATTACACAGGTGACAAGACTTAATCCACTACTCCCAAAACTGCCACAATTTATTCCACCTAGTGTAAGACTTAATCCACTTTACCATAATTTAATCCACTTAGTACACAATATATTCCCAATAGTCCACAATATATTCCACTTAGTGCACAATATATTCCACTTACTAAAAAATAATTTATTCATTCCAGACCAAATCCATTGAGTTTTTTCTGTTTTGGGTCAAAATCTTCAAATGTCAAATCTTCCTTCTCTTTTTCTATGATACCAATTGTGTTTAACATATTATTCTTACGGCGCAATAATGGCCACATATATTTATCCACGTACGATGCGATAAGATAATAGATACGTACAGTCTCTAATTGTCCAATTCTGTAAATTCTGTCTTCTGCTTGGTGGAGGTCACCTGGGGTCCAGGGTAACTCAGCAAATACCACTGTAGTAGCACATACTAAGGTTAGACCCGTTGAACACGCCTTAAGACTAAGTACTGCCAGATTTATATTTAAATCTTCCTTAAATTTCGTGCAAATGGTCTCTCTTTTTGCTTTTGGTGTGGATCCTGTGATTATAACGGCATTCTTAATGAATTCCTGGTATATGCTTGTTAAAATCTCCGTGTGATGCGCAAATACAATGACTTTCCCTTTTACTCGCATTTTTAATTCTTTTATGAATAAAATTAAATCTGAAACCTTATCTTTTGCAGATTGATTATATTCTGATAATAATTCATTCTGAAGGGTTTTAGAATTTATTTTCAAATTTGAATTTAATTCCTTTTTTACTAATTCCGTTGAAAATGTGACTAAAATACGTTTCTTTTCGCCTAACGACAAACATTCCTTCTTAACCCTTCGTATCATGACTAATTCCTTCAGGATAACCTTTAATTCATCCAGATTCTTACTGCCCCTGTATTTAACTAATTGTTTTAGTCTGGGATTAAGTGCGTTATAATGATTATCTGCAAGGCGGCAGTATCTCTCGTGATATTCTAGATATGAAAAAAGTGAAGGGTTTATAATTTTTATCTGCGTATATAATTCATTTGGGTTTGAAAGTGCAGGTGTACCGGATAATAATAAGACGTGCTTTAATTTCGACAAGAAAGGCACTAGGATCGATGCCCTCTTGCTCTCTGGGTTTTTCAAGTTCTGAGATTCATCTGCGATCCCTAAAATAACGTCATTTAAGTCGATTTTTGTTATTTTTGTAAGGGCCCCAGCGTAACTTGAGACTAAGACAATCGGGTTTTGTGCCTGATTTTGATACGTCGGGGGTGACGGGGTAAAATTTTTTATATCATAAGACTCTTCACTTATGAACTTTTTTGCCTCGTTTATCCACATTTGCACGTTAGAAGCAGGCGCAAATATAACAATATAGACTAATTTAGTCTGATTACAACGGTCATAATTGAATTTATGGGTTTCCAAAAGGGTTCTTGCAATGGAAATTGCTTGCAGGGTCTTTCCTAGGCCCATTTCATCTGCAATTAGCACTCTGTAATTCCTTTTCACTGCAATTTTTATTCCTTCTATTTGGTGCGGTTTTAAGAAGATGGTTTCCTTTGAGTTTATTGCTTGCATCTGGGTCATGACTGGGTTATGACGATTTTCATCTTGTTTTGTCGTTGTATTTGCTGCTAGTTGCTTTATCACTGATAAAGGTGTGCCTTTTATTTTTGATTTAGAAAAAAACCCTTCACTTATTAGCTGAGCGCACATGTCCATTGGTATCTGCCACGCGTTGTTTTGTATTATGTAATTACAGCCTGGTTTATTGCATACGTATGCGGCTATTTCCTTTGTGCTTGGGTGAATCCTTACTTCTTTGGAGTTAATGAGGCATAAGTCATGCACGGTCTCTTTTTTTGCGTCTGTTCCAGTTATTGGTCTTACAAGGCGTATGGAACTGTCTTCTGCTTGCATCCTTTGCTTAAAAATAAAATATTCATGGGTTTTATTTAATATTTAATATTCACATGGGAATAACGATATATTCTTGTGTAGCGCCAGGACTTTTTACACTATATGTATTAAGTTATGTCTGTTTATTTGCCAGAACTTATTCCGCCCTGCAAGAAGTAGAAAAAGTCTTGTCGATTTTCTAAAAAAAGGAAAAAGTCTTGCACCTCTATGGGGAGTGAGGAAAAAGTCTTGGCTAGTTTATAAAAAAAGTAAAAAGTCTTAATATCTGCATAATAAAGTGAAGTAAAATCAAAAATAATAATAATAACCTGATTTTAATTAATAATCTGGGTAGCTTTTAATTAATAATCTGGATAGTTCAGAAGAACGACCTCGCACACCTTCTCACTAAAACATGATATTACCATATAAGGCAATTTCCTTATAAATAAGCAAATTTCCCAAAATAGAATAAATATAGTGCTTACCAAATAAGGAAACATAACAATTATTAGCTTGCCAAATAAGGAAATATCCGTTATTTTCGCCTTAATATAAATATATCCCAAGTTATAGTAAACTAACATTAAAATAACCCGAACCATCCAAAACAGAACAGATGCGTAACCATATCCCAGCATAACCATGCTCCCCATTATAATTGACATGCTCCAAACAATATTCTCAAAGCTTACGTTACAAAGGGCCATAAGTTCTGGCATGCATGAATTAATTAAAGCATATATTACAACAGATATAAATGGGACTAAGCACATATAAATAATCCAAAATAGACCAGTCATAAGACGCCTACCCTTCCCCATCAACAATACCCCAGTTCCCGTTGTAATTATGACTAAGGGCCAGATCAAAACCTGATTTAACCCGAAATAACCTGATTTCAGCCCGATATAACCTGACATAACCCGATTTAACCCGTTATAACCCGATGTAACCCTAAATAATCCGAATAAAAATAGACTAACTCCCAGTGTAATCCCGTATATAATTAGTGATAGCCCTAGGGATAGACTAAAAATGAATATTACAACGCGAAATAACCAGAATTTAGGCACAGAATATAATGAATACATTGGATTATACAATAACTCTGCCTTTCTGTGTGTAATAATATTGTTATCCCATTGAATTTCAGAATATTCAAATTTGCTGAGGGTTAACTTCCTTATCTCTCCATTTCCATCAAAATAAATATTTTTTTCGTCATCTGTGACAGGAATTATGGCTCTTTTTTTTATCTCTTCGTGGCTGTATGGAATATTTTTTGATGGAAAATATTTTAAGTTAGTCGGGTTTGTATCTGGGAGGATTTTTTCGTTGAAAATAAAGGAATTTATTTCCAAAATTTTTGATAAAAATATAGGAATATTTTTCAAAAAGTTGTGGACTAATTGGGAAGTCTTCCTAATCGGGAAATATTCAAAAAACAAGTTTAAAAACAGGAGGAAAATGTAAATATCTTGCAGATAAGGAGATTGCCACTCGGATATTTTTGGAAAATTAAATAACTCCTGGAAATATATGCTAGAATACCAGAACAGCAAGTGGGTGCATGCTAACCCTGCGGCAAACCCAATGAACATGGTTAGAACCCGTGTGTACCCGCATATTACAGTGATTACCCTGTCTTTTATAATATTCTCTAAGGTTAATTCAGTGGGGCACAAGGAATTCACTAATCCCGGCCTAATAACATGACTAAATCCTTCAGTAATCAATGACTCCGTTGTAATTATGACTAAATTCCCAAAAATAACGTGAATATATGCAGGATATACACCTAGTACCATAAATCTGTCTAAAACTGCCATTTTTTCAAGAATTAGTATAATTTCAACGGCAAAACCCGTTATAACCCGAGATATTCCATAAGGAAGGGCCACGTACCGTAACCAAAGCATAATGCATATCTTGCTGTATATGTGCAATATATGAAATATCACAGCATATCGTCTATGGTTTAAGACGCCTCGGGTTTTCATTATTCCAAGAATTATTACATATAGTGTAAAAAGTAATGGAACTATTCCTGTTGTAATTGTGACTAATATATTTTCCTGTAAGAAAATAGACCAATTTATCAATGGATTATTAATTCTTGTTGTATTTGGTGTATCTTCGTATATAATTACATTGAAGATATTCTGCAGACTAACTGGGCTTTTGGCGCTTTCTGCAATAATTCTTGTATGATTAATGAATGCGTCGTTGTATTCTTGGAGTATTATTAGCTTGTTAATTTTATCGTACAGAATATTTAAGTGATCCACTCTTATGGTGCGCATGATGGTGTACCTGATGTGGGTTGATATTTTATGGAAAATCATTCTCCAAGGGGGGACCATTGGAGCCCTTCTGTGCCTGAAAATATTTTTAATATATTTTATGGTATTTTTTAGTATGGCATAAGTCTTGTTGCAATAAAGTTTTTTTAGTTTCATGGGGTGGGCACAGTTGGGACAGGTCTCCTGGCGTGTTTTATGAATTATTGCCAGCATGCAGGAGGAATGTACTTTTATTGTGCACTTGCATGGGGTGATTAGTGCTTTGTTTTTTTCTTCTGGGGTGTGGCATATCTTGCAGTTTTCTGGTGCATGGTCTTCTTGCAATCTCATCCTTATCTAATAAAAATAAAATATTTTATTTATATAGGGCAGACAAGACTTATTCCACTTTGTACAAAAATTAATACATTATGTGTAATAAGTTCTGTCATAGTGTGCATAATTTAATCCACTCTGTGCAAGACTTAATACATTATGTGTAATAATTTCTGTCATAAATTGCAGGACTTAATCCGCATTGTACAGAGAATGCCAGGACTTAATCCACTTTGACAAAACTTAATTCACAAATAAAAAAAATATGCAGGACTTAATCCACATTGTGCAGGACTTAATCCACAGATTTTAGATAAATAAAAAAATTAAAAATATTTTTTCAGATATGAAAAGAAGACAAAGTGCATGGATAAAGGTGTTTTTAATGTTATCAAACCTTCTGGACATAAGAACCAGCAACGAACCAACAAACAATAATCCCGCTAGATTCCCAATGAATCAGAACAATATCCACATACAGAGACCTAATATAACAGACTCTTCACATACAACTATGATTAATAATCCCCCGTATACAACTATGACTAATATCCCAGATACACTTAGTGACTTAAACCTATTCGGTAAAACCATAATTATATCTGGGCCTTACAAGGTCATGACAAGTAGCGTAGTAATTATAACAGGAGACAGTACAATTATAACGGGATATAATACAATTATACACGGTAATAATAGGATTGTAGATGGAAATACAGTTATAACAGGGAATAGTACAATTATGTACGATAATATAACGGTGACAGGTAATAGTACAGTTATAACAGGGAATAAGACTATTCTAACAGGAGATACGATAATTATACCGCGTACACTGCAGGATACAGCAGAGATGTCATATAATAGGATAATACGTGGGTCAGGCTTAGTTATAGACTTAAATCATACTGTTACAACGGGGAATACATCTGTAACACAGGAAAATACGTTATATAGTGAAAGAAATATGTTATATGCTGGTGAAAATACGTTGTATAATCAAAATACGTCTAGTGCAATTAATAATAGTGAAAATACATTATATAGCGAAAATACGTTGTATAATGAAAGAAATCCATTATACGATGAAAATATGCTATATGATGGAAATGATGTTAGTGAAAATACACTATATGGTGAAAATATGTCTAGTGCAATTAATAATGGAGAAAATGTGTTGTATGGTGAGAATACGTTATATGGTGAAAATACTAATAATTTAGATAATCAGGATACCGTTATACCAGGCGATAACAATTTGCAAGATGAAAACATTCCATCTGTTATACTAAATACACCTGTAAGTAATATAACCCGTAAGAGTACTAATTACAATGGGACTGGTAACCCAAATGATTTATATACTAACGTATTTACTGAAGATGAGAATATGGCGGGTAGATCTGATAAAGATGCATCTATATACTCATGGATATATAATTTGCATAATGAAAAACGAGTACCTGAAGATATCCCAAAATCGTCAGAATCAACTTCACCAAATAATACTAGCCTGAACACAGCAGAACATAGTAGTCATTTTGAGTATACTCCTGATTTAGTGATGAATTCTATTGAAGATTCAAGTGAAACTTCTAGTTCTGCTGATATATATTCATCTTTCATAAAATCAATGACACCTGAACAGAGAAAGGTATTTCACGAAGCAATTGATAGATTAGTGAGTGATATAGACTCTGATGTGCCTATGTCCCAGACAGATGATGTAATTAATGAAGTCTTTGAAATTAATGAAAATAGTGATATAATTGATCAGGATGAACAGAAAACAAGTGATAATGAGCATATAATTGTCATAAGTGAAGATGGTTCTGTTATTACTGATAATACAGAAGTCGGTGAAGTTGAAGGTCATACGCCTGAATACAAGAGTAGTGAAGAAAGTATTGAAATAATAGAGGCCATGGCAGTCCCTAGCATAGAGAATAATAGGAAGAAGATTGAGGTTAACCTTTTTAATTACAGGAGTATAGGATATCCAGATGAAAATAAGTTTACAAATGCACATTATCATCACTTACGAAAGAGCTCGGGCTTTCATTCTAGGAAAGATAAAAAGGACATTATATCTAGCCTAATGAAGGAGCGTGCTAATATTTGGGGTTTATTGTTTCATGTTCCCACTGCTTGCAAAGTAAGCCGATTTATGGTTCTTTATAGGCTATCTCACCCTAGTAATGCGGATGCAGTCAATAGCTATCTTAAATCGTATGATTTAACGGCCTATAATGGTGTATTTGTGGATCTACATCAATATATAGCACAAACCATAAGCACAAACCATCTGCACCGAGGATGGAACTGCAGACTGCAAGAAATAAGAGTGAAGAGTGTGCAGGATGCAGAAATGTCAACAGAAGACACGGAGGATGCGGGAATATTGACAGGTGATGTGGATATGGAAAGTATTGATGGTGCAAAGGCGAAGCTGATAAATACATGGAAAATTATAAAGAAAAGACAGAAGTGTGCAAAGAACTTTAGAGAGCCTATTAGAACAAGAAGATCCATTAAGAACTCAGAAGATGAGAGTGCGGTAGAAGAAACAATTAAGAAAAGACAAAAACGTACTAAGAGTCTGGAAGAGCCTATTAAGAAAAGAAGGTCCATTAAGAGCTCAGAAGAATTAGAAGTATCCTTCCCTACAAAACTGAATAATTCACAGAAAACTGAAAGAAATAATTCTGCGTGTTCGAAAAATACAAAAGACAATATATCAAGTGGGACAGAGACTGAAATTGAAACACTATATGATATATACATGAGAAGATCCCTTAATGCCTTCTGGTATGCCAATTCCCTGGAGATAATGAATTCGAGCAAAAAATGCTTGGAAAGAAGTAAGTGCGTGGATATAATACTCCAAGAAAATATTAGCTTGATTCTGGCACTTCCTGAGATATACCAAGACCTCTACAATATAAGTAAGGATGCAATTGATGCTGCAAAGGAACAGTTTGCCAAGAAAAATATTAAAGCAGAAAGTAATTTGGTAATTGTTGAATATCTAATGCATAAAGTGCAGACAAACACAATTGGCATGGAAGCGACATATGAGAAAGTGAAAAAGATACATATTCATGGAGTATCAATTATGAAACTTAATAGGCAGCTTATATACAATGTGGTATATAATGCCTTTATGCTTTTCTATGCTAATTCTGGATATTTGCAAAGGCTTCGGGTTGAGCGCTTTGAAAAAGAATTAGAAGGGATAGATGAACAGAAGAAACAAAAATTCTTTTCCTCCAATTGCTACAATTTTAGATCACCTGATAAGAAAAAGGTTTCTATTCTGCTGGGGGCTCTTGGAGATAGAAAGCTTGAAAACTCGGGTAACTCCTACTATAGCCTTACATATAAACTGCTGGGTAAGAATGCCATTGTGAGCCAAAAGTATCTTATATGCGAGTACTGGTTTAGACTACAGAGTGCTGCTAAAAACAAGTGCAGCACAAAGCCAAAAATAGATCGGGTTAAGGTTGTATACAAGGATCATGTCTTAAGTAGGGCTGAAATAACCCACGCCAAGCACTATCACGTTCAAATAGTGGATAACTTCTTGCATAGGGTAGAAACAATACATCTTCCATTTTATGTGCATAAATCAGGAGAAACTACAGAGCTAATTCCAGTCCATACAGTTGCCTGCATAATAGCACACTTGAAAAAAGTGTTCAAAATAACAAACGAAAAAGTGCATGGGGGTATTTATCCTTTCAAGTATAACAGAAAGAAGGAAACCTGGTCAATGGTTACTGGCACAACTGTGCCAAATACTAATCCAGCCAGTGACATGCTGAAGACAGTTGAAGAGCTTAACCAGGAAGGATTTGATATAATATTCTATCATATACAAAATATACACGCAGAAAATCTTACTTTTGCAGTGTTCTTGGGCCCTGGTGAAAAGTCGGGTAGAGACAGCCTTAAAACACGAATCCCCTTGTTTCTTCCGCAACTAATGGTTTCTGCTGCTCCGCTGGGTCCATACAGCGCGAACTTCGATCTCTCTAGAAGGAATTTTGTCTCTGGCTTCTCTAACTTAAAACCCGTTGAATTTATCCACATCAACGATCGCTTTGCTGAGTACACGCATAGCTCGTGCTCACTCATGAAGAATTACTACAGTGACTTTATGGTTCAGAATATACATGGACCATTTGAGGACAACGAGTGCTTTGCAATGGGTATTAGGCAGTATGAGGTTAATGAGAAAAAATTCATTAGATGGGAGACAAAACAGCAAAACAGTTCAGAAGAATATTCAAGCTACATGTTTTCTTTCAAAGCAAATGCATCCCAGGCAGATAATTCGAAGAGAGAGACTGTTGAGAGGTTTTTGAAGGTTATCCAAGGAAAGCATGCTCTGCTAGACATGGTTTACTATGGCGTCTCTGTGCAAATGCTTTCTGAAAAAGAAAGCAAAGAGTCAGGACTAATTATGTGTAAAACTTTGAGGGACTTCCTTAAAGACAGAATTAAAGTTGTTTTTAGCCCATACCCATCAGAAATCATTAAATTATTAAACAACAGTCCAGTGTTGCATTGCCCAGATGCGAATAGTGGTGTAATAACGATCAAAACAGTCAACCACACCATGTCTAAGCTAGGCTTGCATCTTGGGATCTGGAACATATTCCTACAGAACTGCCGAGCCATGCCAAGCCAAAACATGGAATAAATTCTGGGTTATGCCGATTATACGGGTGTATTTATGCGCGTGGTTTTGTTAAATCGCGTTATATCTATGCACCCTACATGTGCTATGCTATTCCTATGGCCATGCACCTAATAACCATGACTGTAGTGCACTTGTTCTACAGAAATAGAGTCTACACTAATAAAAGTGACAGACTAGAAAATAAATTTTAAACTAAACATAGCTACACTACTTTTTATTTGTGGTAAAATCTTTCATCTTTGTTGCCAGTGGCTCTATATATAGTAGTAATTTTAAATAAATTTTTTATCTTTAGTTTTCTTAGTTGGCAACAATCTTTATTATAAGACTCCAAAAGTCCATCAATGATATTTTTACTTTCCGGTCAATTCTTTGTATATCAGAAAGACACTATATAATTGTGTGAAAATATTAAAACAGGCCGTATATGTCAAAAACAGGAAATAATACTGCCTCTTGGCTGGAATTTTGTTCTCTTCTGGGCACATCACTATTATTTAATTCTTTGTAAACACTTATAGAGCCTATATAATAAAAACTAGAAATATGTTAATGTACATGAATTCATGAAATAAAGTGTGCTTTATAGGATATTCCTATACAGTATATTGAAGTGGGTCAGATTCCATGCAAAATAAATGATGATACCTGCGCAGAAGATCCATCAGAAGAGAGAAATACATGCATTTACAAGGCCCAGAAGCGCACAAATGCAGAATATCTGGATGTGCAATGGATTCACTAGCAGAATAATTTTGTATGACAGTGCGCACTAATAAATAATGAATATAGAAGTATGCAGGCTCTCTTGAGAGTCTTAAGCTAAAAGGTGTGCTGTGTATTTTTAGAACAGACTAGTAGTAAAACTTTATTTTTATTTAAAATTCAGCTCTTTACTTTGCTTTGGGTGCTTTATAACCAAAAGTTGGGACTAACCTATTGCCCTTTGAAATTAAGTCAATTTCACTACAAAGGACCAAGCTTGTTTGTTATGCGGAAATGCCATATATAGACATATATGCATGCAAAGATGTGCTATGATATGTAATTCACTTCTTTTGCTCTGGGGTTCATGTTACTTTGGTGTATAAAGCATAGTGTGTTTGGTGCAAGTTATACCTTGAATAAAGGATTGTACCTCTCTTGTCTTAGCACACTTGAATAGAATATTGCTTTTTTCCTGAGATCTCTGTTATTTTGAGATATATTGACTATATAGTTGTCTACAGGCCTCACAATACGATCTAGCATGCGATTTATCATGGATGCTTCAAGAGAAAGCATGCCTTTACTTTTTGCATTATTTACTGCCAATTCAATTTTTAGTATTGATAAGATCTGCTCTAAAAGGACTCCAAGATAAGGATCATCCATTTTATCTCGATTAAACTGTAATTTTCCGTTGGTGTTTGCATAATTCGGGGATCTTACTGCTTTTTTAACGAGATAAGAGAGATTTTTTATATTATTGTCCAGAATAGCTTCTAGCATTTTGGATACCTTTATATATCCCTTAATTGCACTATAAAAAGTCCTCTCTGCTACACGAAGTAGACTGCTGTCAAATCCATAGGGGCTGATTAAGGCTGTCTGCCTGATTGCATCAATAATATTCTCTCCGGTTCTATAAAGATCTTTTACTATATTCTCCTTCAGAGTGGAAGAGGGGTCCAGAAGGTCAACCTCTTTTCGAGCAATTTCAACAAACCAAAAAAGCTGCTCTAATGCAGTTGACATAACAACTCTTTTATACCTTACGTCGTAAACGCAAGGCAAAAATACTTCTGGCAATTTCTTTATATGGTTAAACAAATCCTGTGGCTTAATGTGCAGTTTACTAAATACGCCTTGATTTGCATCTGTTGATACTGTTCCATTGCCTTTTAGACTTTCTCTATATTCAGCAATATTATTAATTGCCTCTTCTGTGAACATAAGACTCTTTTGCAGCTTTTCTACATTGATTAGCCGAATAGCACGCCCGTGTGAAATTCCTTTCAAAATACTTTTTGCCAGATTTATACTTTCTAAGTACTTAAAATGTTCCACTGGTTCTTTGTATACTTTTGACACCATATGAATTGTATAACTAAGCCCCTTTGTAAAGAACTCCACCTCTTTTTGTTCCTCTCTTAGAGCTTTAAGAATATCTGCTGACTGTATATTTTTTTCAATATAATTGTATCTGTCTGACGTCTTTTCTCCTCTTATTGGTTTTAGCTCGTCTGTAATGAATCTGTCTAGGTGCGGAGAGAATTGCGCTATACCTATAAATCCGGATAGTTTTGCCTCTTTTACACTTTTCGTGCTTCTACCTACTTCATCAGAAAGTTCTAAGTTCTGGCTTATTAGTGCGTCTTTTATATGGTATAGTTTGTCATATATTTTTATATCGGGGGCATTTCTTATGGAAGGAAAGTAGTTTACAAATAGATCCCTATTATCCTCAATTCTTTCTGGAACCATTGGCATTTCTGGGTCTTTTAGCATATATGACATTCCCTCTGTTATATTCGGCATAGGCATGCCTGCCATTTGTATAGATGTTTTTGGCTGCATTAAATTTTCCATAGGGCGTGCCAATTGGGCCTCTACTTTTGACCCGCCTGTATATGTATTTAGCATATCATATGAGTCTGCACTTTGTGGCATTAAGTTAAAACTTCCTAGGAATGCAAGGAGAGTAGCCAGATTAAATGAAATCCACATGTATACGCCAACATCTAGGTCTTAAATGCAGCTGAAATCATGCCTCAATCAAGCTGATTTGTAAAAATTAGTAAAATCACTATTGTTCCGGTTCTCTACCTTGAGAGCATGGAATTCTTCCCCTAAAACTGCGATCTAAATGGATGATAGTTCTTGCTTTTTTGGTTTTCATATAGGGCAATACACTATGAGAGGCTCTGCTTGTTTACGCGAAGTTATATTTCTATTTTGACTCTTGACATTTTCTCTGTCAATGCTGAATAATTAATTATCTATCAATATGACAGAGAATAAGTTCTGGAAGCTTTTCTAGATCTATGTGATAAGAGTCAAGATCATAAATAGAGGATAGACATGAATAAAGTCAAGATTAGTATGTTCAAGTAGAATATTTCAGAAGGGAAGACCAGCTGCTGTATACTATAGAAAAAGACAAAATGGCTGAAAAAGAATATTTTTACTATGAGGACAGCTACTCGACTTAAATAGAGTTTTAACTGCTGCACTGAATATTAGCTTATTTTTACTATTAGTTGTTCTATTGTCTTCGATCTGTGCCAAAGCACTATTTTGTCTGGTGCTCTTGGTATGCTACCCTCCTTTTATAGATTCTATTGGTTAAACCTTTCTTCGTGAAATCAATGGATGCATGGTTCTCTAGAATGTGCTACTTTTCTGATTTTCCTGTGCTTCGTCTTTTTTTTACAAATAATAACCCATTCTTTTTTATATTTACATACTGAGTACAGAAGAGATATTTTTTGCAAATATAAAAAAGTAACATAAAGTAGACACATACAGCTCTAGAAGAACAAGAGATAATTAAGCATAAAACAAAACATCTATAAAATTATAATATATAAGAGTGAATAAATTAAATGCCTTAGTAAAAAGGCACGTTTATTTTCAAATAATATAGAGTTTAATTACTCTCTCTTATAAAACCTATTAAAATATTTATTGCAAGAACAAAATGATCTAGAAACCCTAAATATATGAAACAGCAGCTAATAATAGGCTATTATAACACTTAATAATATTATAGACACCGATCAAATATATCTCAGGTTTAAGGTATTTAACCTGAATAAATTTGAATATTAAAAGACCAAGGTATGAATTCCAAAGCAGGAAACACCAAGCAAGGATATTTATATGTGAAAAACAAAGTGCAAGGCCATAGAGCAGGCAAAAGTATTAAAAGGATTTATATTTGGTCACTAGGAAAAGTGTTTCTTATATGTATACTTCTGTCTATGCAAAATGTCTCTGGGTTGCTAAAAATAGAAGAAGTAGCAGGAGTGCAAGAAGCAGAGGTATGCACAGTTCAAGGGGTGACATACGTAGCTCGAACAGATGGGCCTCTTAGCCCGATTATGCTATATTTAGGTGGAAAGGTATGGGAGATTTATGACAACAGGCTGTATTCTTCAAAGATACACATACATTTTACTGTGTCTGACAAGAAAAGTAACAATAATTTTACAAGAGACCCAGCGAAAGACAGAGTCTTTAAGGGATATGCAGAAGGAAAAGAAGTACCAAAAAACATTATAGACCACTATAACGCACTGATTACCATGTTTCCTTCCCCAGAGGGAGAGATAAGTATCTGGCCCAAGGCGGATTGCAAAGATTCATTTACTCTATTCTTAAAGAGTGATACTGGAAAAGCGCATGCGCATACGATTCTTGCTGCGCTGCTACTAAAGGCAGAGGGAATAAATGTGCCGCTGCTGCTTGAAGAAGTTGAAAGCGCATGCCCAAAACTTGTATGGAAGAGCATCGCTCAGAGCAATAAATCTTTCTCTATTGACATAGCAGTTGTTGCCTACCAAGGGATGGACAGCAGTAGTTCTAAGAAAAAGAAATACAGCGAGTACTTTAAAGAAAAAATAGTACAGACTATTCAGTATTTCATTAGTACAGCCAGCAGCCCAAAAGACAAGGCTACACCAGTAGGAGCAGGATTAAAGAAAAAAGAAGACCCATGGGAGCACAAGTTTATTAATACCTCAGCATGGCTTATTCAGTCGTACATATACTACTATTTGGAAACTGTAGAAGATGCAAACAGCTTCAATTCAGAAGTATCTAGTATGTTGTGTGAGTACATAATATCATGTAGAGTAGAACATAAATTAGAGCAAGAGAAAATTGCAAAAGAATTCCTTAGAAAGTGCTTTATGCCTAAGGGCACACAGTCAGAAACACTCAAATGCTGGGAGAAAGTAAAGAATCTGGAGAATATTATTATAACGCAAGAGAAAATGAGATTGCTTCCCTTTACAAACCCTGCACACTTTCCTACTAAAACAACATGTAAGATACATATTCAAGGGGAAAAGTATTTAAAGACAAAGGTGTTCTCAACCAATGTAGAATCCGTGCTACTTGGTCTATTCTGCTGCTTTGCATATGATCCAAAGACTAATGAGTATAACTTTGACCACGTTCCTGGTATAATGAAAGAGGTGAAAGATATTTTTTCTACGCAAGCTAGAAATAGGGGTAGTTCTTCTTGTAAGTCTCGCAAAATGCAAAGAAAAGCAGCCAATAGAAAAAAGCTATGTAAGAATACAGCTGCTATAAGAGTAGGCCAGGACGTACCCAAAGGGATTTGCCAAAAGTGGAGAGAAATAATTTGGAGGCTAGTGAAGGATGATGAAAGCATAAGTTGCGTAACTCTGGAGGATGGCAATAAGATTATTAGGTCGGATATTTGTAATATTCTCATCCTAATCTTAAAAGTGGTGGGGATATGCAGTGCGGAGGAAAGGGAAATAGTAGAGGGCTTTAGGAAAGACCTAGAAAGTGCGCATGCAAATAATTGCCGAGAGATAGATGCATATCTTATGGAAAGGATGGAAGAGTACATATCAGCACTGTTTGCTTTTCTGTCAAGAAACTGCACTCCATGCCAAAACTTAGAAAGCTGGTACCAAATCACTTCTGTAGATGAAGAAAATAGACAAGTGTTTATAGAAGTTGTACCTCAGGAGGTGCTGGAAGAGGATGCTGGGTATTATTTTCCTAGCAACATAGACATCTACTATGCATATGAAAACACCGCACATTGCATGGTTCTTCAGTTAGTAGACTCAAAAACAGCTCGTCTAGAGCTTGGTAAACCAGTTGTAAAGCTGGATGAATATGAAGAGCTAGAAGAATTAGACATGCTGAAAGAAAAAGCATCAAGAATAGAAAAGAACACCTTTCCCCAATCTACTATTTCTAAGTATGTCAAAAATGTATGTATATACAACCCAAAGAATATAATAATTGACCTGTATATTTTATATATGGGCGAAGATGCCGACATAATGCTAAATTACAAAGACATTCAGCCGCACCAATTTAACACCAGAATTACAAACAATCTACTGTTTAGGATGAAGTACGAGACATACAGGGACTTAAAATCAAATCAGAATATCTGCTCTAGTCTGCACAATTTAAACAACTTCATAGCAAATGAGTTGATATTAAATGAAAGGAGTCTGGCGATTTTGATTATTTACATAGGGATCAGAATAGATAAGATAAAGGACCAATTAACCGAACGCCTAGGGTCTATTATTACAGCCAAATACCATAACCCGCAGATAAATATAACCAGCGATCTCATGGTGATGATAATTGAAAATCTGCTAGAGATAGAGGCAGGTCTTGATATTGCGAATATAATTGCAGCATATGCTCAAATCAGCGGGTATTATACAAGAAACTGTCTAACTACTCTATTTGAAAGGCTAGCATCTAAAGGCATAGACACAGATAAAATAGTTCAGTATATGGATGTATACAGTACTATTGAAGAGGGGAAACTTCAAACAGAAAAAAGCTTAGAAAAACTAAGCTCCAGCCTCAATTCTATGAAAATTTAATTACAGCCTTGTTTCCTTGAGACTGGCTTGGCCTCTTAAAAGACATTATTCGGGTTATATTCGAAATCTCAGCTCTCCAAGTAGCTTGGCTTTAATTTAATTCGGGTGTATTTATCAAAATAAATAAACAAATGAGTATCTTGTTGTGCTAATCAAAACCATCCTTTTTGTTGTTAATATCATCCATGCCATAAGATTTTACACAAAGCATACCGCAGACTGCATAACCCATTCTCCTAGAACAGAAGAATATGAGGGCGTTTGCGCAGTCTGCATTTTTGAACGATATTTGCAATGGTGCGCATATTGCTTAAAAATAAAAATACGTCTTAGAATTACATGCCACAAATAGCAGAACATTTCAGACCACAAATAAACTATTATAATTAATAAACACCCAGCGTATATTATTCTCTACTTAATGGGGGCTTAAACTGGTAGAGGGCTTTAGTATAGGAAGTACACTGAGCTGTATAAAAGTAGAGCCAAGTATACTTCAGTTTATATCAGTGGACACACGGGCTTAAATATGTCCAAAATGCTGCATAGTACATATTTCACTCAAGAAATGAGCAGAATAAAATAAAACAAGACAAAACTTAATAGAAGCTGCTTTTTTCATACTTCGGGTTATATCTTCCATTAGATTTTTTGCTTGACACCTTCATGCTCTTTGCTGTAGTTGGATACAGATAGCACATTCTTATATCTGTATTAAAAAGTAGTCGTGACTGCATGGAATATAACAATATAATTAGAACAATACTATAAAGAGAGAGGGCAGGGCCTGCAAATTTTTATTTAATGGAGTGCAATACTACCACGTGGAGAATACACAATATAAAAAAACAGACGAAAAGAGAAGCACTTCTGAAGGTAATTAAAGAGAGCCTGGGGCACGAGAACTTTACTCTTTCCTTTCGAGACTATAAAAGACTGGCTATTTTAATTACACCCGAAGAGACCCTGCCTGATATCATATTTAGGAACAAAGCACTTGACATTAGAAAGCTGAAGAGGGAAGAAAAAGCGCTTAAAGACATAGTCACTCCGCTGAACACAATGTCATATGAAGAGCAGCTGGAGAAGAAGGCAAAGGAGGTTTCTGACTACTACTCATTCCTGCAGTGCACAGAAGGGCAGATTCAGATGATACAGTCGCCTGTTCAGATGGGATACAGGAACAAATGCGAGTTCACTTTTGGATTTTCAAACGAGGGCAAAGAAATGCTTGGATTTAGACCCACCAAGTTCACATCAGCCCCAAACTTGGTTGCAGACCCAAGAGAGTGCGTGTTTAACACCTCTGAGGAAATGCTGGCTGTGGTTGAAAAGATCAATGGGTATTTGTCAGATCGGTCAGGATACGTTTTTAACAGATTGACAAAAGGTGGGTTTCTGCGGCTTCTTGTTCTCCGAAGAATAGGAGAGCATTTTATAAACATTCTGCAGGTGAACTGTGAGACAATGAAGGAGGCGCTAGAGAATCCTCTTATTATGGAATTTGCACAGACGCTTCCAGAGGACGTGTTTATCTCCTGCTCTACAGGCGTATTCGATGGGATTCTCAGAACTGCAGATGTGCACCAGGTTAAGGGAGCACAAAAAGAGTACAAAGTGCACTTAAATGGGTGTGTGTTCCAGGTGTTCCCACTTGGGTTTTTCCAGGTAAATTCGTCTGTTGCAGAAATACTCACTAAAACTCTCCAGGATAGTATACAGACAGATACGCTGCTGGATATCTGCTGTGGGTCGGGGCTTCTTGGCATATGCATAGCCAAGAATACAGAGAAAAAGGTGATTGGCTTGGAAATATCAGAGGAATCAATCAACGACGCAAAAAGAAATGCAAAAGAAAACGGCGTGAACGCACAATACTGCTGTGGGTCAGTTGAGAAGACCCTTCCGCAGGTTCTGAGCGAAATCAAAGGAGGCGCGTCTGCAGTTATTGATCCGCCCAGATCAGGAATATCAGATAAACTTGTTAAAGCCATTACATCTAACCCAGAAATATCCGAAATATTCTATGTAAGCTGCTCTTATACATCGGTTTTTAGTAACATCAAGAATATAGCAGTGCACTATGCGCTGCAGAAGATTTACATTCTGGACATGTTCCCATATACAAAGGACGTAGAGTGTCTCTTCCACTTTGTAAGAAAAGAGACTTCTTCTGAAAAAGCACCAGAGACTGCAGAAATGGAAAGAGTAGAAGAAACTGCAGAAATAGAAAAAGCAGAAGAAGCAGCACCATAGATGGAAAGATAAATCTGCAGAGAGACAGAGAAAGGCATGTACTAAAAATTAATATAGAAAGGGGCATGAACTGCAAAAGAGTAAAGGCCCCCAAACATGAATAAACTTTCCAAGATAGTTGTTGTTTAGTGAAATAGCATCGAAAAATAGACCGAGGCCGGTGAGAATATAGTTTCTATTTATTGAATACATACACCCCTTACGCGCTTGTTGAAAATGGGTTTAAGCATCCGAATAGCTTTCTAAAGAACCCTTGCTTCTTCTCTACTGCCTTTGGCTCTGACTTAACCCATAGACCGCCTTTAATTGGAACGTATATAAAATCCTCCTTAAGTATCTCTCTCTTTGGAACCCACTGGTCTCTTGCAGCTTGTGTCTGCCGAGAGATCTCCATCTCCATTCTAATGATGTTCTGCTGGACAAGGGAAAGAGAGCTCATGTACTCCTCAGTAATCTGCAGCGCGCTTTTCTGCGAAGCCATGTTTTCTAGGCGGAATGGCTGAGCTTTCTCTTCCTTCTTTGGCTGCTCCACAGGGCACTCATAGAGTGGCTCTTTTTCGCCCTCTATAAGACTCTCGTCCTCGCAGATTTCTTCGTTTATGGTGTAGCATTCGTCCTCTTCAACCTGCTCTGTCTCCTGCTCATCTATGTACTGTGTTTCCAAGTTGTTCTCATTTGCATACTTGATGTTATCCAAAGAAGTAATGGACATTTCTGTCGGCTGCGCAAACATTTTAGTTTCTTTTGTCTCTGCAGACTCGCATATACTTTCATTATCTGGCTGCAGTAACATAATAGAATTATCCACATCGTTGTTAATCATCATTTCTTGTTTCTCCATCATGGGTTCTCCTTAGTGTTTTAGTTTAATAGTTGCGAAATATTTACCCCGTTTAAGTGACCAATCGCGCATCCATGCAATCTAGATCCGCGTCTAACTGAAAATCACTGGCTAAATAATTTTCCAAGTGAAAAATTTACAATTTCAAATGAAGTTCAGACTTATTGAAGATGCAGTAGAAACAGATGCACAGGAGCATGCAGAGAGCGCATCAGAGGAAAACGAAATAGACTCAGAAGAGTTTTTCCAGTTAAACGCAAAGAACGACGAATCATCTGAGGAGGAGAACATGTGGAGTGACTCAGAAGAAGGAGACGAGAATAATCACTGGACAGTTGAAAAAATAGAAAAGAGACCAGGGCAGGTCCGAAAAACAAAGGCTCTCACTAAGAACATACTAAAGTACACAACAAAGCACATTCTTACAATTAGAAGGGGAATAGTGAAGGTGGTGACTGTGAATGAGCGCATTTACCTACTGGACAGAACTGGCCACATATATCTACTAGACCAGTCAGAGGAGGAGCAGAAGCCATTGCAAAGAATTGAAGTCAAAAAAGGCTTGAAGGAAAGACTTTTCAAGGACTTTATAGTCTGCGAAAATGGCAATATATTGGCACTAACAAAGTTATTCCATGCATTCAGCATAATAAACCCAGAGACAGGCGCAATAAACGAAGTGAATCTGTACCAGTACAAGGACAAGGCATATAGTAAAATAATAAGAATAGAAAGTGGCTGTGTGCTTGTTTCTGGTAGGTCACTGCTCGTATATAATCATAATGCCTTACTGGTTGACAGAATAGAGATGGAAGAAAAGGTAGAGGATCTTGTAGAGGACGGGGAGTACTTTATGGTGCTTCTAAGAAGTAAGCTAGTAAGATATTCCAGAAAAATGAAAGAGTCCGTTGCTGAGTCAGAAGTTCTTGTTGGCCCGCATGCACTCTGCATTTTCAATGACTCCGTGGCAGTTGGTGGAAAGGGAGGACTTTCCATCTTCCAGAAAAGCACGCTTGAAGTAAAGAAAGAGCTAAGTAACTTGGAGAATGTCACTTCTGTCAGCTACATTGAAGAGATGGGCATTCTTGTCTTTGGTGACAGGGAAAAGAGCAATGGCATTCGAATGTACAACGCAAAAGAAGAAAAAGTAATCACCACCTTCCCACCAAGCAAGGGCCTAAGCTACATTGGTGGGTTCACATGCAGTGCACGCAGTTTGTACTTTGGGGTCAAGGAGCGTCTTTATCTTCTCTCTATTCCAAACTAGAAAGTCAAGTATTTTCTGCATGCTTAGATACATAGAAGAGCATTTTCTGTGTAAATATAGTAGAATGCGAATTAAACGACAAAATATACAACCTAACTCTAGCCCATATATTTATATAATGACTAAACAGGCTAGCCCAAATATCTATAAATATGAGTATTATTAGACTATTCCTTTCTATTATTTCCATTCTGTAGACAAATCTGCTTAGCCTCTTGAATAGCAAGAAGTGCTTATTCCACACAGACTTTGAATATTTTCACATTTATGTGCCATATTACTAGTGCATTCAGCATTTATCTGGCAGTATATGTAGCCTTATATTCCACTCTTCTTGCTAAGTAATTAATAGACCAGAAACTCTGCAGAAATACCAGAAAAAGAGCCTTTAATGGCAGCCACAGCATAATTCACATATAAAGTTAGTATTAGGCTGTATCTGGTGCTTTCGCATGAAAAATAATTCTGTTGGATTTCCCATGAAATAACCGCAGCACAGACAATGAATAGACAAGAAATCACATTTGATTTATTTTAGTGTAGGGCCACCTTCAAGAGACTGTATATAGCAGGCATCCATATCTCAATCTCTGTGCCATATGGCCTAGTTGCACAAATAGCATCGCCTTCTTTACGGATGGCATCCAGCTGCTCTGCTGACACAGGCACTGATGATCCCTCAGATATTCCCATTTCGGATATTTTATGCAGGAATCCATCCATTCGTGTGAGGAAATTAGATGACCACTTTTTCTCCGAAAGATGCTTTCTCAGAATAACAATCTTTGGGTCAATTGACTTAAGAAGCCATCCCTTTAATGCACCCTTCTTATTATGAATCATTCCCAACAGGAAGTCAATTAGCTTAGACAGGTCTGCATACGTCTTCTCCATTTCTGGTGTTACAACAAGCTCTGGCTGTTTCTGCTGCTGTGCTCGCGCAGAGTGACCCATTCCTGGGAATGGATTATGGTGGTTCATTCCAGGGCGTGCATATTCCTGCGGTGCATCTGGGTAGGGTGTGCCCACTCTGTCACTCATTGGTGTAAATGCAGGCTTCATTGGTGTACCCATTCCTCCCTGCATTCCAGGAGTATTTACTGCACTGCTAGGCATATATGGCATTCTAGGGACTTCACCACTTCCATGCGAGGGAGTTTGACTGCCGCCTGCACCAAATTGAAACTCAGGCTGCCTTAATGGAGCAGTGCGCATGGGCACATTCTGACCACTCATTGGCTGTTGCATTGGCATATTTGGCATATTTGGTCTGGATGGCATATTCTGCATACTCTGTCCACTCATTGGCTGTTGCATTGGCATATTTGGCATACTTGGTCTGGCTGGCATATTTGGCATAGGCGTAGATTGACTGCTTGTAGGCATATTTTGCATTGGCTGCTGCATGGGCATACTTGGTCTGGCTGGCATATTCGGTCTGTTTGGTATGCTTTGACTGCCCATTGGCATATTTGGCATTGCTGGCCCATTTGCTGGTGTATTATGATAGGCTGGCCCTGGCATGTTATGATAGGACTGTGCTGCCACTCGATTTAAGGGTGACTCTGGCATTTGTGGCTTTGCAAAGGATACTTTTGGTCCTGTTCTGCCTCCAATGTTTGGGGCGGGCACTGCAGAGACTGTGTTCTGCTGGTGGTTTGCCGGGTTTGCAGTATATCCTGGGGTCATTCCTGGCATGGCCATGCGTGGCTGTGAGAAGAAGCTTTGCGGCTGCTCATGCTGCGGTGCACTTTGCTTTTGTGCCTGTGGTGGGAAGGGTGCTGCGCCTGCATCTCTGCTATATAAATTGCTTGTTGCTGGGCCTGCAGCAAACGGAGAGGCTGAAGGCATTGTGTTTGGCTTCTGTGGCATTGGTGCATGCGGTGTGTATGGGTTTGGTTTTGGCTGTCCCTGCCCTGCGAATGGCTGCGGTGTTCTTTGGTGTATGTTCATGCTGTTTACTTGCTGGTGCACATTTGCATTCTGTGTTCTACCGGGTGCAGATGTACTTGGAAGGTTTAGCTCTTCTTCTGCTGCTTGTGCTGACTTTGGGTTAAGTGACTTTATGAAGGAAAGGACTCTCTTCTTTTCTCCTCTGTCCATGAGGTGCTTCAGATACTCGATTGTATTTTCATCTATAGAGATCTTTTGGTTCATTAGAAGTGCGCCTCTTTCCACAACAGCAAATACTTTGTCAAAGTTCTTGAAGAACTGGACTGCCTCAAAGATGGTCTTTGGCTTTTCTGTCTTTCTCTCTTCTATTTCCTGGTACTTCTGGACATCCCGTGCAATTAGGTAGCATATCTTTGCAGAGTCTGGGTCTTTCTTCTCGAGGCACTCAGCTACTGCACGCACCTTAGGAATAAACTCTTCGTCTGCACAGTGGCTTCCAAGTATTTTCACAATAACCGTCCAATCCACATTATTCTTTATAAGTCCGCTGTAGTCACCTGACAAAATTGAAAGAACCAGCAAGAAGCTTGAGGATGCGCCTGGTGCCTTAAGAATCCTTTCCTTTTCTCTTTTAAGAACATTGGGTCCGTCGCACAGTGCAATGAGAGCAGCCAAGTGTGCATTTTCTGCAAGAGCCAGTGAGAAAGCAGAAGAAAAGTTTCCTTGAATGAGCTTCTCCGTGATTGGGTCTTCTTCATCGATCTTCAGAGAGCTCTCATCACTCTTTTTCTCATCTTCACCTTCCTCTTCCTCTTTAGCCTGCTCAAGGATTGGGCTTTTCTCCCCAGTGGAGTTGAGAATCTTCATGATTTCCCTTCTTGGGTGCTCTTTCTCGTATGCATCAAGCACCTTCCACTCGTACGAGTTCTTGTTCACATCGCTAACCCACTTTCTGAGACGAGGGCCTTTCTCTTCTGAGACAAAAATCCCCTGGCTGGTAAAGCACATTCCTGCGCCCTGCTTCTGCCACTCTGGAATTTTATCCAAGAAAGGCGACCTGGCATTCAAGGAGGTGAGCGTATCCATGACCACATACCCGTTGTATGAGGAGTATGCAATCATATCTGGGTTCTCAGGGCTGAATGCAAAGTCAAAGACGGAATCTTCAACCATCACACCCCTTTTCTTATACGTATTCGCATCCCATGCTATAACTGAGTTGTCTCTTCCACACGTAACAATCAGCGATGGATCGTGCCTGGACCACTTGCAGTTGAGAATTCCCTCAGAGTGTCCTTCTAGCCTGGGAGTGCCCCTGGATATTCTCAGGTCGTAAAGAATGACTGAGCTGTGTGCAGATGATGAAACAGCCAGCTGTGCACTATTTGGGTTTGGGTCCCACTGCAGGGAGGTTATCTCAGACTTGGAGAAGTATGCATCTCCAATTCGTGTCACTTCGCTCTTTCCTCTTAGGTCAAGAATGCTTACCATTCCGTCTGTTGTTCCTACAGCCAGAATCTGTGGCATATTCTTGTTCCACTGCAGGCAGCTAATTCCTTCAAACTTTGTGGTTATTCCTGGGGCCATTGGCTTATCAAGGGTTCTTAGGTTCCAGAGCATTATCTTCCCAGAGTACGATCCAGTTGTCAGCACCGGCATTGCACCTGCAAAGTCAATTCCCAGAATGTCGTCATCTGTCTTTACATGATTCTTGAACACAAGCTCTCTTGGCTCTGCTTTTTCGTCACTAAGCAGGCATGTTGCATCGAGTATTGTAACATTCCCTGCATCTAGCCCTCCAGCCACAAACACTTTATCCCCATACATTCCCCACTCCAGCCTGTTAAACCTGGAAGGCACAACCTTAGTGAAAATTGTCTCATCTGTCTCTGTATTCCGTATGTGAAGCACAGAATCCGAGGAGAAGTCGCTATTCAATATTTTTGCTTTTGTTCCCAGCGCAGCTAATGATCCGACTGGACTGAATGAGACTAAACTTGTTGTTTCTATCTTCATTATAAACAAAATGTTCGAAAATAAAATATATTTATATTGTAGTGCAAAACATAATATTAATTGGTTTTTCATTTTTGCACGCGCATGGAATCTGTGAAGACCCGGAGTAGCCCTTTGCTCTCTGATTTATTATTTGCTTTGGCAGGAATTGACTGCAAGGCGATTAAAATCAGGCAGTCAAATGAGTGTGAAGTGGATACTTTTGTGAATTCGTCCGTATCCAAGAACAGTCTGCAAATAGTGCGTGAACTGCTTGTAATTATTGCAGGCATAAAGAAGTGCCGATATTACGTTGAAACTGCATATTTCTCAAGCGGTTTCATAAGAAAGCACTTGTTTCAGGCAGTAGAAGAGGAAATTCAAGTGTATCTGTGCAAGGTTGACCAGATAAAAAGAGAGGCAGACCAAGCACCTGTCCAGATTGAAGCCCTTCCTTTTATTTTCCAGAAGGAGATTGAGCTGTTCTCTGCGCTGACTGAGGTACTTGAAGAGTCCAGAAAAGTCGGTGATTTATTTCTGCTGGATGCCGTGCTTAGGAGCAGACTGCAGTCCCCAAGGATAATATGCTCCCTGAGTGCCCCAATGAACAGAATACTTGTCCGTTTGGTTGAGGGTCTTGACACTTCTGGGTACTTTGAGGAAAGGCATACATACGATTATGCAGAGTGCTTTTGGAGCAGTCACTACAGGATAAGAGAAGATATTCCGCAGTACCTGGCTGGGTACATACTTAAGCTAGTTGAGCTAGGGAAGATCTCAAAGATAAGAAGATCTGCAGGAGAGACAGAAATACATTACACAAAGAATATTCTTTCCGTGTGCTTAGACAGAAGATCCACCATAATAAACGAAGCAGAGCTTCATGCGTACTACGCACAGATCAGTGAGTGTCCTTCTGTGAAAAGGTGCTGGAAGGAGGGTGTCTCTGAATTATTCAGCAGAATTGGCTTGGATGTCAGCCGGTACGCAGAACTCTTCCAGGAAATGGGTTCTCGCATGATTTGCACTCCAGGGAAGAAGGATATTTCCCTTGTGAACTACCTAATGAGAAAGGGAAGTGCTGGGTACTCTGCATATGAGGAGCATGTAGACTCTCCGTCTATGTCCTTTTTAGGAGACTGCACATTCCTTCTGGAAAACATTGAAGGCGTAAGGGCCTCTCCTGTTACTTTTGTGCATAATGAAGTCTCTTTGGCAAAAACCCTTTTGGAGATAAATGATGCCCGGCGTATGCGAAATATTGAAGATCTGTCACTGCTGCAGGGCCTTGATATTACGCTTTCCTTGAAAGAGCCTCTTTCAATGTTCTTCTCAGCAAAGACCATCTCTGAGATTCGAATTGTCTTTAGGCTTGTGTACTCTTTGTATGCAGTGGAGTACTTCTTGTGCTCGCAGTACAGTGAATGGCGCATTAAGCAGATTCTACTTAGCTTTGTCACAGGCGTACGTATGTTTATCACTGAAAAGATAGACAGCGAATTTCAAAGTGTAATTAATGAAGAGAATGTCTCGCAGTATACAGAGTCCTTGGAAAGTGCCATGTCCAATATAATGAAGGCATCCCTTCTGACCAGCCCATTTCTTATACAGTTCTACAGCAAAGTATTCTCCATTGCCTTTATGTACATTGAACTCCCGCATAGAGAGCAACTTACCACGGAGGAAGAGAATGAAATACTTGTCTCACTGAAGGCGTGCTTTAAGGCTGCAATTCCCTATGTAAAGTCTCCACTACTAATCCTATTATTTGAGTCATTGGCATAGTTTAAATCCACAGTGTAAACACCCATGATCACCAGAATACAAAATAAAGAGCATTTAGAGACGGTTATTTTTCAATATTCTTGGATATTTTGTGCAGTCACATTCCGTTGCACTTATTTAACTGTATTATTTTTAGCAAATTTATGAGTCTAGTTCAGCTATACAAAAGAGCAAAAGAACTCTTTCCATTTACGCACACAACTGCACCACTTGTGCACTTCCTGACACGCCGTGCAACAATTGATGAAGTTGAATATAAGACTGAGCCTGTCATAGCCATAAGAAAATCCAGGCGACTACAAAACGAAGAAGACGAGGATCTATTAATTAAAAAAAAATCCAAGAAGAAAATTCATTAATGGACAACGTAGTTTTAGCGTGCAACAAGCTGTCAGTCAGCACACTGCCAAGTGTCTTCAAGGAAATAGAGAAATTATACGAGAAAAACAGCAAGACAACAGCATCTGCAATAATTAGAATCTTGTCGCAGACAGAAATAGAAAGTAATTTACTTGCAATTTCATCACTTCTGAAGCTAATATACTCTGCCTTGGACAAGTCAATTGTTGAAGAAATAATAGCAAAGGTAGATGACCTAAGCTTATACTGCTACATATTCAACTACGGCATGGTGGATGATGCATTCATAAACACGAAAGTGCAGGGCCTTTTAAAGCGCAACGACATGCTCTCTGTTCTGCGAATATTGCAGATGTGTAGTAGTGGGTTGGATGCATCCACTCTCTCTTTGATTGATGCTGGCACTGCCTCTGTGATATCTAAGCTAGAGAAGGAAGAAGAATCTGAGCCTAGTGTTCTTTTGAGATTTATTAAAGAGTCTGTTAAGATGATTAAAAATGGTCGTAACCCATATAGAAACTATCTCCAGGAAGAAATGAACAGTGTAAAATCGACCATAGCAGGGATTCTCTCTAGGTACACGCACACAAACACAGATGTCATTAGCACAGCCACAGACGCAGATGAAGTGGTTGCTGTAAAGTACGGCATGAATACATCACTAAAGAAAAAGATATTTAGCATAATCACCACAAGCACAGACTACTACGAGGCACAAAGAGCACTCTACAAGCAAATAATAAGAAAAGTATGGCACATTGAAGAAATCTTCAAAGTGGCAATTCGCCTGTGCATTGCAGAGAACACATTTAATGTCTACTACCCTACATTAGTACAGTCTATCTATAACAGCTGCACAGGAAGCCACAAAGGAGCTGCAATGGACTATTTATACCACGCAATTGAAGAACACGTGAACACACTTTCCAAAAAAACCATCAAAGAAATATACAATCTGGGCATGGCAATAGGATACTTCTATGGGCATGAAATGAATGTGGTAAAACCATTGGTTATCCTTACTGTTATAGGGAAGAAAGAGAGTGTCTTAATTAAGGTCACTATGAAAAATATTTTGGGACTGTACAGGCAGAAAAAGATCAAAAAGGCAAGAAGATTGAAAGAGACAGAGACTTTTAGAACATTCTTCATGAAAAGCCTGATAGACGGGTCCTTTCTGAAGGAATCAGATCAGCAGGACTTGGAGTTGCTGTATGGCCTTATGTTTATATAATTATAAAAATTTGTTGCCACCATAGCGAAAGTAATGAGAGAGGACTGCTTCTACTTCATGACTTCTAACTGCGCCCGTGGCATGAATTGCGCGTACAGGCACAGCCAGGAGGCAAAGCACAGCCAAGCAGTGTGCAATAATTGGAAAAACGGGCTTGACTGCGATGAGTCCTGCCCAAACAAACACTCGGACTATCAAGTAAAAGAAAAGCCCGCTGTGGAGTGCTACTGGGAGACGCACGGTGGATGCAGAAAGGCAGACTGCCCGTATGTTCATAAGCAGAAACAGAAAGTACCCATGACGAATAAGCCTCCTTGCCTGTTAGATATTCAAAAGCTCAACTACGATTTGGAGAAACTGAACATAAAGGAGTGCCACGAAAATAAGCCAATTGTAGTAAAGAACATAGGAGAACTAATGAAAGAGCTGAAAAATATTGAAGAAATCTTTCATATTTAAGTAAATACCATGTGATATTTTCTCTTTCTTCTCCTTAATGGAAATTTGATTGGCAGATGCTAGAATATATTTGGACTATTTCACGGGGCTATGACAAGCGATGATCACCCGTATGAGGTCCCAGAAAATTCATCGATTCCAAATGAAGACCCTCTATTTCCTGCAGGAAATCCACCAGAAAGAAGAAACACAATATATGGGAGTATTGTACTAACTGCCATTCTGCTGTGCTTAATTGCCATTTTCATATTTATATATTTGGTGCTCCCGAAATTAAATGTTCAGAATTGATTAGGGCCATATTAGGCGGAAGTGCCTTGGCTTGCAAGTCTTATTCAATATAGATGTGCCTTGTTATGTGAATGGGTTTTAGCATTTCAATTGAAATATCTTTGGGTATTATTTCTTCTGTGAGATTGTCTTCAATTTCTTGGTATTTCGTATTCTTGCAGATTTTCATGTGGTTTTATATTCTGGCCATACTCTTTCTGGGTGCATGCCTGGTGCAATCCCTATTAAGCTTGTTTTATTTTGAATTATCCTGCAGTAGCAAGAGTGCTTCAAAGAAGTGATAATTTTAGAGCAAGAATCTTATGTAAAACGTAAATATAAAGTGCATTTCATGTAGATGTATCTGCAAAAGCATTCCTTATATGTATATATTGCTGGAATAATTAGATATTTTTATATATTTAAGAATTCTTGCATGGTTGTAGACTATTTCTGAATCTGCTTTGCATATTTGTTTCTCACAGCCATGCACTCAGCGTACTACTAAACTAGCATGATTATTCAATGATATTCGGGTTAGAATTAAATTATGGTAAAATTTCCTCTTTTCTTAATTTTCCTTAGAGCAACAGAAATATACAGAATAGAATGCCTCTAGTGAATTGTCTAAACCATTCACTACAGCTTAAAATACACTCCATATATAACCCGAATATAAAATATTAGAACCATAGAGACGAATTTACAGTAAGAATCACAGATAAGAATATTTTAATGAAGATAATAAAGATTCTCTACTACCCACTACTACTCCCAAGCCATTTTAGTGCGTATGCCTCTATTTCGCACTATAAATTAACTATTACCAATGGACTTTAAATCAAAATATTCATGCATACTTGTTAGTCTGCATTTATTGTGTATGCTATTTCTTTAAGCTTCTTTGTTTACTCTGGTGTAAGATTCTATTTAAATATTCTTTTGTGAATTTTGAAATAATTTAAACCAGTTCATAAACTACTAAAAGAATACACTTTACTTTTAGAAAATTAAAGCACTTTAATCAGCCAGAAAATACAGAAATAAAGACTCTTTCAATATACAAATAGAATATGTGAAATAAATGCATATACATGTGAAACACGCATATATACACCGAATTTATCTTTGATCCTGCAAAGTAGTACTTTCCAAGACTGTTAAGTAAGCTACAGAATTAAATATATTTCTGTAGGAAAGATTTTATACTTCAATTTATGCCGAGCAGTCTTACTAATAGAATGCTCTAAATATAATGCAGTTAAATTTTAAGTGCCCTGCTTAATTTAACCATTCCTATTATATTTCTTCACAAATTCATTTATACAAGCCTAAAATAATAATTTCTTTTAAAGGTTATTTACTGAATACATTTCTTTATATTTTCTCATGAAGCAGCTACTGTCTGCGTAGTACAAAAATCATTATCAATGGCAATAGAGAGTAGCAGGATACATTTAGTCTCAGACACATAGAGTAATGAAAAGTCTATTGTTTTACTTCTTTGTAATTATCTTTTGAAAAGGTGCATTTCTATTATTTTACGCAAATTATCATCTAAAATCCCAGCATTAGGGTCAGTAGCCTTATTAGCATCAGTACTAGAGGTTGTTCCTTCGGTGCTAAAAATTACTTCTGAAATATTTGAATTTATGGGCTCTTTTTTCTCTAGAATTATTTCATCAGACACAGTCTCTGTTCCAACAATGCTAATAGCTAAAGCATCGTCAGTTTCTAGATTGTCAGTATCAATTCCATTGGTTTTTGCGCTTTCTGACTTTGGACTCTCTAATTCTTCTTCTGGCTCTTTTGACAGTATCTTTGGGGAACTTGCCTTCCTTCTGAAAAGTTCGTTTAATTCTGCCTTTTGCCCTTCACCCTGCATCTTTGAGTTATTTGTGAGTCTTCTGAAAAGTTCTAGACGAGTGCATATCTGAAGGTTTGTCCTTAGGTGTGCAACCAATTGCTTCCATATTTTGTCTTTTTCCAGAAGACGAACACACCCAAGTATTATAACTGTGTACTTTGCCCTAGTAAGTGCTACATTCATTCTCCTATAATCATTTAAAAACCCAATTCCATTAGTACGCACAGTTGAGACAATAATGCAATCCTTCTCCTGGCCCTGAAATCCATCGACTGTTGAGACTGTGATCTGTCTGTTAATGATTCTCCTATTTTCGCTTAGTCTAATGGACTGTTCTTTATATGGTGTGATAATTGCAATTGACTTGTACTTATCCATAATATAAGGAAGCAAGTCTTCTATAAAATCTATTTCACGTGGGTTATACAAACTTGTTCTGTTTCTTTTCTGTTCTCCGCCTGTATCCACTAGGGCCATGGGAACATTTGACTCAAGCACGACCCCATCTATTAGTCTTCCTGCGTAGAATGTCTTATTTGGGAAGCAAGATATGTCACTATGCATTCTGTACTGAGTGTCCAGAATCAGTGGAGTGATGTTTTCTGCCAGTCTTTCAAAGAGAGAAACAGAAAGATCATTTGACTCGGAGAAAATAGTTGGGGGCAGTTGTTTCGGGTCTCCAACCAAAACCAGCCGGCGTACAGAGTTTTGCAACGGAATAATGCTTGATGGCTCTATAGACTGGCACACTTCATCAACAATTACAACATGAAATTCTTTTTTGCTAACTGCCGTAGAGGCTGCCATGGAAAGAGTACAGAAAACAAGAGAAGCCCCTGCCATGGCATCATCAATGAGTGCAGCTGATTTAGTGTAATCAGTTTCATCAATTATCAAGTCTTTTTGTATTCCAAGTAAATTTCCTGTGATAATTCTTTTTTTTGGTCTGATTTTTCTGTTAGATTCATCTTTTCTTTTACGAGCACTTTCTTCACCGTCTGATTTTTCAGGTTTCTTGCTATGAATGTGCACCCATTTCTTTTTATTTTTGAAAAAGTGCTCCCACATATGTCTGTTTTCAACAAGCTTAAATACAGCCATATTACTTGGTGCACACACAAGAACCTGCATGCCTCTTTGAATAAATTGAGAAATCATGCAGGAAATTGTCTGGGTTTTTCCTGTTCCTGGTGGACCCTGTATTAAAGTAAGTGGTTGATTCAGGGACATAATAACTGCATTTCTTTGTGCTTCATTTAACCTTTTGTATCCCTCGTCTATGTGGAATTCTTTGACTGCCTGGAGTACTTTCTTTTTTTCTGTTTCTACTGGTGGGGTTGGGTTCATCAGTTGCTTTGCCAATGGGGAGTCACTAAACTTAAGAAGTGCCATGTACTCTCTTTTGCTGCTTATTATGTTTGATACGTAAACAAGTACATATTCCCCTTCTACATTTTTTTTGCTGAGAGCCATGCAGCTACTGTTGCTAGTAATGAGTGTGTACTTGAACTTTTTCTTACCCGTAATAATTCCACTGACAATGTAATTCTTGCACAGATCATGGGTCTGTCCTTTCCTTATAACCATTACAATATCACCTGGCATAAAATCTCCTTCTACAGACTTATCTTTTGAGCTTCCTAAGGTAACTAGTGATTTTGTTGTAATCCCTATAGCATTTGCGCCTTCTTTTTTCTCATAGATGAATGAAATAATTGGCTCAATTACTACATTCTGTGGCATTATGTCTTTAGTGTCTTTTATAATGGATGCCACAGTTTCATTTATAATTAGTGGATAGTATGTGATGAAATATTCTCGTATTGATCTGTATAAGTTCTTCACACCTCTCTTCACTTTTGTTGAATTTTCATAGATTGCTCTTAGTTCCATAGACATGACCCCATTGATCGGAGCTTGACCATACAGCTGTATGTAGTAATCCTGCACTAGCTTAAAAGTTTGCTGCTGGTATAACTGTTTTTTACTAAGTTCTTCAAAGCTTAACTGCATGGATATAAAAATATTTATTTGTTATATATGTGTAATTATTTGTATCTTTACTAAAAATCATGTTGATTAGCCTCTATATTGGTTATATTTTGCATGGCTGGGATGGAAAATGTTATTCGTTTGGTTTGCAAAAATAAAAGATGTCCAAAAAATAGTCGGTACTTTTGGCATGCAAAGTATTTGAAGAATAGAACCATTCTACTTGCACTACAGATGCATTCTTTGTGTGTTTGGGCATGTGTTTTGGTCTTTTTTTTAATTTAAGCATCTAAAATAAAGCTAATTAATGAGCATAGATTAGCCCAGATCACCCGCCCAGAAGGCTTAATAAAGACAAAGACCCAATTATTATAGCATGCAGCTTCTAATTAAAATATATACAAGCACTTTGCATTAAAAGGCCCTATAGTTTAGGTTATTTATATTTATATTATAGCCATATAATTGTACTTTTTAGTGCTCACATAGAGACAACAAGAATATTACAGCATGAATATTCCATACATACTATTTGCGACTTTTTCACACAAGAAATTTAATTTAGACTCTCCAGAAAATTAAAGAACAAAGTTATTCAGGCTGTATCTAGAACATGCCTGGCTGCTAATAGTAGCCTCCTTCCAAATATAGATCTCTCTGATTATAAATATATAAATAATTTATATTTAAGACTAAAGAAGATAATTCAACAAATATTACAACTACAACAGCAAAATAGATCTAGATAGGCTATGTATGATTCAGTAGATTTATATTAATCAATAAACCAATTTAAAAACAGAAAATATAAATAGAGTATGGACAAAATAAAAAAGTATGCGTGGTACGTGGATACTTTTCAGGACTCTGAAACTCTCCTTGTTTTTTGTGTTTTGCATTGCCAAAACAATAAATATAAAAACATGCACGAAAATTGAAAAATATTCAATGGAAACAGAGGTGCAAAATGGCCAGTACATGTGCAATGACCCATTTAGAATAGAAGGACGGCCTGTCTTTGGGGGACAAATATTCTCGCATGTTATAGGGTGCGCACTTAAAGAGATAGAAGGATACGATGTTGTCACAGCACAGTGCATCTTCCAAGACAAAACAGATCCAGACCTTCCAATTATATACAGAAGCACAGACGAGTCATTAGGAAAGACCGTTAAAATGGTGAAAGTTGAGGTTTTGCAGGAAAAGGATGGTGTAGAAGCAGTGCGCGCAGTAGGCACAGTTCTCATGCAGAAGAATAAATCTGTTATAATGCAGGAGAAGAAGAAATACATTGAGACAATTGTAAAGACCCAGATAAATCCACTTTCAGAGTACTTTTCCCCAGGGACAACAGACCCACAGAAGATCAAAAAGATGCAGACTGTTGAAAAGTATATGGAAAGCATCCTGAAGAGCAAGGATGACTTTGAAGCATACATGCAGACAGCACATAAAATATATTCAGGTGCAGATGTGTTTATGCTAAGAAACAAGAAATGTCCATTTTCCAGGTGTGTTGGGTACAAATTGCGCCTTCCAAAGGGAGAGGCAGTGAGTCTTCCAAAAAAGGACGAACTAAACAGAGTGTACACATACCTTTCATTTATATCAGACGAGTATCTCCTGGAGAGTTCACTAATAGGCAAGGGCATGTGCATTGTTAATACTCAGTACAATATCCTGACACTGTCGCATTCAATTAGCTTTAATAACTGTGAAGACTTTAAGATAAACAGACCCTTCTTCTATACAATGTGGGTGGACAGCATACAGAATAATATGGCAAATTGTTCTGGGATGATTGTGCAGGGACAAAAGGTATATGCAAATATAAAGCAGACAGGAAAGATAATAGCCTTATCCAGGGGATAGACTATTTCAGGCAGTTTAGAGATGGATATGTATATGCATGCATTTTAGAAATGAAGAATAAATATTCAAGTGGGCTAGGCTTAGATTCACACAGGGAAGTTCTTGGTGCATCTGGAAGGTCTGAATATTTTCTATATTTCTACAAGCATGCTATCTTTAGACAGTCACAAGACAACAGAAATGAATAAAAATAGCATATAACAGTACTATATTATATGGTAGTATACTTGCTATATGCATGGATAGAAGGCAAGTAATAAAAGCATATATTTGTTCATATTCTTCTTAAGACAGTTCTATGGAAAGTGCTTTCCCATTAGAATATTTTATGCTCAGCAGAGTGCACTAAATAACCCAGTATATAATCGAGTATGTAGTAGGAGTTAAGCTTTAAAATTAAATAGATATATTTTCATTTAACCCAGTATATAGCCCAGTATATAGCCAGAAATAATCCAGTATATAACCAAGAAATAACCCGAATCTAGTATATAATCAGTATATAACCAGATATAACCAGATGCAACCCAGTATATAACCCGATATAACCCGAAATATTCACAGGCCTTTAAGATGTGCTAGTGTAAGGTCTCTACAGTCCATATTTCACCAGTGTATTCCAAATGAAATTCAGGTTGTTTCTATATCTAAATAATATTTACAGTCCTGCATATTCGGTTATATGAAAATGAACTTATACTGCACTAAAGTATTTACGTATTTGCGTATTCGTGTGTTCCTTTGAATACTTCTGCTAAATATTTTCTTGCTTTATTTTGCATGGAATTTAGTTGCAATTTTTCATGGTCCGAGAAAAGTTCAGATACATTGTGTTCACCACAAAATACAACAAAGAGCTTGTGCCTGCAGATATATATAAGGGAATTGCAAACTCAGCAAATGAAATTCTAAGTGACTGGGACTATGCAATGACCATGCCAAAGCTAAAAATCGTTGAATATTATTCGCACTTAGGAATGGGAATAGTAAAGGTCTTCCTTAGTGGTGTAGAAAGCATTCATAAAATATTCAGTCAAGTCATTGAAGTAAATGGCCTCATTACGCAGCTCCGCATTGTAAAAGTCTCTGGAATAATCAAGAAAGCAAAGAAATGGATCATAAACAATCAGAAAACAGAAGAGAGAAGGGAAGTGCGTATATAATACACATATCTATTATATTTAGTATATATCTGATAAAATCACTTAAAAATCAACAATAAACCGTTATTTTAATACACACAGTAAGATATTTTATCTACTGGAATATATTTTAGTGCAGAAATTACTTTAAAAATAACCCCGATATAACCCTAATCAGTTACTCTGAAATATTCACAGAATATATTCAGTTATCTGGGTCTTTCACTGAGTTATGCTTTACTGTATGTGGTATACAGTTCTAGTATATTTATTTCGGATATTCTGGGGTGCAAGTATCTGCCAATTAATTTTTGCACAATGAGTGTCATAAGCCTTCTCTGCAGCATACTGCAAGCAGTCAAGCCAAATAGTCTTCTTTTAACAGGAAAAGAGAGTGAATTGCGGATATTTGGGACAAGCACTGTGGATATGCATATATCCATTAGTAAGTCAGGTATTACAAGTAGATTAGCGCACACGGTGGAAGTAAGAATGACTGAATTTTACAGACTCTTAAAGGAGTGCAAAGTATTCTCAGATATTCGATTTACAAATGAAGGAATGGCCACTTTAAGCATAGAGCAGGAGGGATATACGCTGCAACTAGAGTGCATAGCCAAGGAAACAGATGAAATTGCACCTCCTGGCTTGAATGCAGATATAATTGCAGACATAGACGGGGTTTTACTACGAAAAATCCCCATAAAAGACAGTCACTCAATTCAAATTTCATTTAACCGAAATAATCTGGAAATAAAAGTAAATGGTCCAGTTAAATCATGTGCCCTTCAGAAGACAGTTAATTACATTAAAAAGAAGGAAAAGACATATGCATTTATTATTCCAGCAGATGGATTTACGGTTATCTCCAAAATATGCAAATTAGAGCCAAACAGAATAATTGTAGGAGTACTCAGCAATGTCACAGTATTCTACATATACTTCACAGATATAACACTTATCTGCCACTTAGCTGGAACACTTCTTCAGTTAAGCGAATTTTAATAAAGAAGACATTTTCCTTGAAATTCCAGTAGGGGCAGTTATTTACGGGGTATGAAAACGTCAAATATTGGAGGAATTATTAACACGGAGTAATATGGAGTACACAGTAGAAATATGTTTGTGCGCAATTATATGTGCTGTAGTGTTGTTTATTGCATATATTTTGGTAAATTCCAGGACTAAAAGGCTTCAGATAGTACTAGATGACTTAGCGCAAAAAGAAGTAATAGACGTGTCCATTGAAAGAGCAAATAAAGAGCTGCAGAAGGCAGCACTCAAAGGGAACTGGGTAATTGCCACAGTGAAAAACTGCGAAGATATTAAAGAAGAGGATTTAGTCAGAATCCTTCAGTCTCTTGGGGAAATGAATATTGAAGAATTGCAGCTGGAGGGAATAAATAAAGAGCTGAAGCATGAATGGATATCTGCAATAAAAACAGTAAGAAGTATTTCATTACATAATGCAGTTATTTCTTCAGCTATAATTAGTGAAGTTGGAAAAGTGTCTCATATTGAGTCATTTAAAATATCTGGGGAAGCATCCAGATGGAATAGAAGTAAGGATGAAGTCGTTGTAAATGATACAATCCGGGCAATTTCCATTAAAAATACCCAGAGAGATATTCTGTGCAAATTATTCGATCAAGTGCACTTTCAGTCCCTAAGGAGCATAGTTTTAAATAACACGAGAATAGATTCATTTAAGGCATTTATGAATATTAACATGAAAGAGATAAGAAGGCTTGAAGTATTCCATGAAAGACTAAATTACAGTGACAGACTAATACTTCAACAGTTTACAAATCTGGAGACCCTTACTATCACACAGAGCGAGATACGGGCACACAAATACGTTGAGAGCAAAGACCCAGAGATATTTCAATTTGATCGTCTGTGGAGGCTTAAGCTGGATATAGGCATCTACCAAGATCTCTTCCAAAATGGATTTCTTGTGACATCCCAGCATAACACGCACATGCTCATAAATCATCCAGGACAAAACTATTCCGTGGAGTATCTTCCAATTGTAAACAAGACATCCAGCATATTTCAAAGATTTAAGGCAAATAACGTTCTTCAAATACGCATCGCAGGATTGCAATGCAGCCAGAAGAATTCTATCACAGCACAAGGAGTCAATGCATGCCCAGATATGTCAATGTCCTTCCTGAAGAACTTGCAAATAGAGCATCTCTTAATTACTTTTACAACAGAATTGCAGCAGAACCAGGCAGAGCGCATACTAGAGGCAATTCTGCAGCAGTCCTTTGGGCTGTACAGACTGGAGAAGATCTCCGTGTATTTTAAATTCACGTGCCGCCTTGGCAGAAAGCAGATTGAATCAATGACTCACTGTGACAGACACCATGCCCTGAAGGCTATAATTCTAAGCAACATAATTATCACAGGCAATGACTTGCCCATTGAAGGAAAACCCTTCTCAGGGAATATTCCAGCGAATGAAGCCATTTCTTTGCAGATGAAATATGCAGCAGAGCATGAAAACAGCCAAACTTGGAGAATTTCCACTGAGTCAAGTCTTATTTCTGCATAGCCACCTATAAATATCACAATAAACAAAAACAAGTTGACCTCTAATTTACTAATCTCTCCATGTATGCTACTGTTGTTCCATTCAGAATCGATTTTCCAATTTTCTCCTTGGTATTCCAGCAAGACAAATCCTCAAAGAGAATGTTTACATTTGAGTCGTAGCTGATAAAAGTCCCAGAATATACTCTCCCTGTTCTTAAAACCACTCTAACCCTTTCTCCTTTATTTTTCTCAATCCACTCAATTGGCTGCATAAAAAAAAGCAAGAAATCGAAATATTTAAAACAAAAATGCTTTGGGAAGGCATCTGTCACAAAGGTGCTTAAGTAAAAATTGTTAGAAGAACATTGGACCTATTAAATAATTAACAAGCGGTTTTAGTACCTTCTGTTGTATGTTGCAATTTATAGCACATCTGGCTATAAAGGAAATGTGACTCTAATTGCAAGGGCTAAAAATAAATGCAAATTTATAATTATTTTTACCAAGTACTGCACAGTAGTCACCTGGAAGAAAGTGAGTTATTCAAATATTAATTGTCCAAATGTGAATTGTCTTGCTAGAATACTTTGTGTACTAAAATTCATTATGTACTAGAATATTTTGTATACTAAAATACTCTTCATTATATACTAGAATCTATTATGTACTAGAATACTTTGTATGCTAGAATCTACTATGTACTGGGATATTTATATAAATTTAACCTAAGTACAATACCGGTACAAAATCACATATACTTTATATACTTTCCGTTATATTTTAGTGCAACATAATTAAGCCAAAATATACTAAATATGATTGGTCTACCTGAATTCACACGATAAATGATGGAACTGTCTTTAATTCGTAAGTGCCAATGACTGGCCAGTCCTCTATGTGCAGATGAAAATATGAAGAACCCAATGAAATACGCATAATACCGTATACAATTTATTCTAGAAGAAAAAACACCATAATAAAAAATAGAAGGAAGATCATATAAAGAATCTTCGTGAGAAGGCAATGTTTTCCATAGATACTTCTTCTGTACTCCATGCCCTGCAAGTGAAAGATTCTTAGTTCTTCCGAGTACCCAAAATTAACTAAATTTGAACTCTTCTTCCATGTGCTTTGCACATCCTGCGGCTTTGGGAAGAATCCCTTACTGTGCTGTTTTCCCTTTGAGTATATTGGTATCACTGTGGATAGGCTGCAAAGTGTCTTGCAAACTGGACATATGCTGGATTTATTTCCCCATCCGCTTATGCACCCCCAGCAGAACAGATGCCCGCATCTGGTTACCACAGGAATTTCCACCTCGCACATGCATATACTGCAATCAAAATCAACCTTTCTTGAAACCTGCTCTATTACAACTTCATTTTCCATCCTCCTTAAGTCATTCTCTCCTATAAATTCATTTTAGCCAATCATTACTCTTTGTTGTAGCACACACTAAGTGCCTCCATAGCGTGAAATCGAACATCCTCACTGGTCTTTGCAGCAAGTATTTCAAAGAGCACCAGGTGAACACCCATCTGCCTAATCAACCCTATAGACTCCGGATACACTTCAATTATTCTATATATGTCATTTGCTGCAATCCAGATATTATTGTGATTCTCTGACTTTAAGAACCGTTTCAGAGACTTAATTATGTCTACCCTCTTAAGCACAAGAGTATCTAAATTTGTCTTCCAGAATTCTGTGTTAAAGTGATATGGGTGTGCTTGAAGGCTGCCACTCTGCAATTCCTCCAAGTACGAGTCAAAGGTAGAGATATTTTGTGAGAGTTTTATGTATCTCTCCCTGCAGAACTTCAAGTCATTCTGTTCCTCCGGGTCATCTTTGTTCCCTTTATTTGAGAGCACAGAAAGAAGTGACTCTATTTTTTGGAATGTTTCGTAGTTGTACTTCTGCGTGTACTTCAGATAGTTTTTAATAATCCCCAAAGCCACCCGAAGTTCTTTCTCTTTGCTGTCCTTTGAGATAAAAGAAAGCATGTAAAACATTGGGGTTTGACTGAGAATAGTCAGTGCACTGCTGGAGAAAGTGAGCATCCACAGGAGTATAAGGCCCTGGTACTTACACGTGCGCTTAGTGCAGACTGTTAGTATGGCAGTTATTAGTCCAGTATTATTTGCAATTTCCTCTTTTATTGGGTCTTCATCAAAGAGGTTTATTGGGATGCGTTTTGCTTGGTAGTCCAAGGTACTTAACCGTTGCAGAAATATCAGAATCTGCTCTGTCTTCTTGCTGTCTGGCTCCTCTTTGATGATATCCGCTGCTATTTTGTAGTATTTTTCACTTCCTTTATTTCTGTATCGGTACACCCGGGTGAGAAGCTGAAGTGCCTTCAAGGAAATTAGCAAGTCGCTTGACTGGCTTAGCTCTAAAAGCTCATTAAGAATTTCTTCATTGTTTAGCTCGCATGTGGCAAATCCTCCTAGCTCTAATAGAGTACTGCGCAGTTTATCACTGTTCCCTTTCTCTTTCAGCTCACTTATATACTTCTGAAGACTCATTGCTCTTTCTTTTAAACAAAATTGATTTTCTTTTATTTGCCATTCATTCCCCTATGAAAGTCAAAAGTAGCACAGAAAGGATGGAAACCAAGAAGATAAAGAGGAAGGCATTGGCAGAGATCCATAATAAAACAGTTAGAGAGATTAAGAATACGCCTGCACCAGAACCTGGTGATGTCAGGGATGTAAAACCTTATGTCAGGGAAATTCTCCTGCACTACATGAGGGAAGAGAATAAATCAATGCCCTCCCCGGATTACATGGCATCGCAGGAGGAGATTAAATGGGCAATGCGCACTGTTCTGATCGATTGGATTATTGATGTTCACTATAAGCTGAATCTCCTCCCAGAGACTCTCTATCTTTCTGTGAATTTGATTGATAGATTCCTGACGCACCGCATTGTGAGCATAGGAAAGCTGCAGCTAGTGGGTGTGGCAGGACTACTCATAGCCTCAAAGTTTGAAGAGGTTGCCTCTCCTTCTGTTGAGACATTTGTTGTTCTGACAGACAGAAGCTTCACTGAGAATGAAATACTCCGGGCAGAGAAGTACATGCTGCACTGCCTAGACTACAAGATAAGCTATCCCTCGCCTCTTAATTGGCTAAGACAGTGCGCACAACAGAAAGATGTTGAGAATTTGGCTGTTGTTATTTTGGATTCTGTACTCCCAGAAGAGTCTTTTTTAAAGTACTCGCCTTCCATGTTAGGCTGCTCCATTGCATACACAGCCCGTGAGATTCTCTATGGAGAAAGTGATGATTTTGATGCATTCCATGAGTTTACAGAGCACACCCTCAGGGATCTACTTATATGTATATGCGAGGTGAAAAAGTATCTGGAAAAGCCCATCCTCCACAGCTCCATCTTTAAAAAGCACAGTATTTCAGTTACAAAGTACTTAGGCTTCCTTCATAGTAAATAACTAGAGTTTTGCACAAGAGAAAATTACATGGTTCTAAGCACAAATATACTCGTGTGCTGCGTACAGGGCATCTATTAGCAGATACCCCTATGGCTTTTGTGTTCTTTCGCTATTCCATAAAAATAGAATATTATTTGTCTCTTTGCTTTTCTCTCTGCCTTCTTCTTTCTTGCCGCATACTTACACTCGGGTCTTTCTATGGAACACATTTTCATTACATTTTCATAAGTATCTGGGTGGGCTACAGCTGAAATAGTATGAATTCACAGGAACCCAGTGGCTGTCTTATGTATAAAGCCACAGATAAGATAGCACCAGTCACAGAAAGATACTATATCAAAGGATTTCCGTAGATGAGAAATGCGTAGTTATAAAATTATGCATAATCTGCAGAGATGTGAGAAAGAAGAGATATAATTCTTTGGTTCAAAGAAGAACTATTCTTCTATGGATCTATTAGTAATGCATATTAATTTAATTATGCAGTAATCCTGTCACATGATATTCAATAAAAATGTAGTAACTCTGTGCATGTATATGCTTCTGTTTTTTTGATTTCATGACTGCCTTATAAGACAAATATACAGAATATCGATGAATTTAAAGAGTTCTGGCTCTGAGGATTATTATATTCGGGTTATATCTATGCATTTATTCTATGTCCTTTATCCTGGACTATATTAGTGTGCTTTTGTAGCAGCAGAGACATAAATATGAAAAGCAATTAATATGCACATATTCTTGTGTAAGTGAGAATTAGTAGCAATAATAAGCGAATTATACAGAACTCTTATGCGTATACTTATAATCCATCTGGGAATTATTTATGACTCCATATGTGCGCTAAGCTATTTTAAACCGCGGAATACTCATATAATACTTTATAATAATTTACTTCATAATGTCTTAGTCTCTATCTTTTTGTTTTGAAGACTCTTTCAAGACCTTTCTTTAAATAGTGCTTCTTTGTGTATAAAAGATCTTTCTTTAGCTTCTCAGTTGCCTCTTCCTTTATCTGCTCTTGTTTTTTGTCCTTGTACCAGGAGTGGTCTAGTGCTGAATTTATGACATAACTGTCAGGTACTCTGTGATTATTTTCATTAAATGAAAATGGGTCCATTCCTGGGACTGGGTGGACATAACGAATGGTCCCCTTTATATACTCCTTTATAACCATCTTTATGAGTTTTCCTTCCTCTGCGCATCCTGTTGCTTTTTTGAGGTAGTGCAAATAGTTCTCTTCAATTGTTCTTCTTGAGTCATTCACAAATTCAATGACCTTTGTCAGGTAGCATAGCCTTCTTATCCCTATTCTCTCAACTATTAGCTGCAAACAGTCTCTTATGTCTCTTGTGTGATCAAGCGATAGAATTCCGTTTAAAAGCAGATCTTGCTTCTGCGCTACAAAAGTAGGGAACACAAGCCCTGGGCAGTCACAAATGACCATGTTCTCCAGCTGCAAGGTCTGCACATTTTTTGTCTTTCCTGGTACAATGCTTGTCTTTACCACTTGCTTCTTGAATAGCGAGTTAATTGTAGAACTTTTACCTACATTCGGGTACCCAATCATTCCTATGGTCTTCACTCCGTCCTTTATCATTGCATCCCATGCCTTAAGCAGCTCGTCTGAATTATCTTCCACTGCTGAATAAAAGAAGTGCTCCATCCTTCTGTCTGTAAAGTATGCACTCCATTCGCTTTTCTGCTTCTCTGTTAGAAGATCAGATTTGTTGAGAAGCAGGAAGTGCCTCTTGGTTGGCGCAATTTTAAGAATGTCTTCTGTGTAAAATAGCAAAGGATTCCTTGCATCAACAATTTGCACAATCAGATCATTCTGCTCTACTGTGAACCAAAGCTGTCTCCATACATTAATATTTCTCTCGTACGGTGTGATCGATCCTTTTGTGTTCAGCAGTGCATTCATGTTTAGTTTCCACTCATTAAATGCCTTTCTTTCTTCATTTTTGTACTCTTCTCTGTCTAGTGTCTCTTTTGGCTTCTGCGGTATTTTAATTCCTTCCTTTCCTTCTATTTGTGTGAGTGCTTTTATTGATGTATTCTGCGAAAAGTCATACTCAATTATCTCTGCTGCTTCAACTAGTGAATCTACTTCTGTAGTTTCCAAAACACTTTTCAAGGATTTGTTCTCTTTCTGTGGCTTGTTCATTCGTTTGTCTTTAATTACCATTCGGCCCCATTCGTATTTGGTCTTCATGAAAAATGGAAAACTTGGAAAAACTTTTAAACCAAAATAACGTGTAAATCTAAGCACACCATGAGAACTCAAAGTACCCTGCCTGCCATGAGAATAAATCGACAGCCTGGATCTTCGCTGTTTCTGAAGAATCTGTGGTGCAAATCCTACGACTAGAACTCTTTACTTTCTGCTGTTTTACAGTAGTCTCTTAAAGCTTTTGTGTCTGTACAGTAGAAAGTTCTAGCTAAATATAATCAGAACACTAATTGAAGAAGCTTTATTATTGTAGTAAAATATTCTTTGCTGCTGTTTCTTGCTGTGTATTGGTCCTTTCTTCTGCTACTTTTATATTCTTGCAGCATTCCATCTGGTTCTATTCTCTAGTAATAATTGCGAGTTTTATACGCATTATTTATTAAACATATTCTATTTGAGGCCTTCTGCTGTAGCAAGAATTCTTCTCAAAGGAATAGTAATTTTGTCCTACAAAAATACGAAATATTTATACGGAAGAACCAGAAGAAGAGTAAAATATTTACTATCCAACTACACCCAAAAAGAGACTTTCCGTTGCTCAATAAGCAAGATGTATTTATCAAACTAAACACTAGAATAATATATTATTTAAGTCATCGCAAGATATAGTAATTGAACTATCTTTAGATGTGATGGGGTTCATAAAGCATTCAATACCAAGATCAAGGAAATATTGACCATATCCATCGAATAACCCGAACACTATAAGAGATCCCGGAATTAAGAAGAGCCAAATAGTGAGCATTGCAAGAATATACGAACTTAGACCATCTTCCTTTTCTCTAATTTCTTTCTTATATATATACGGGAATATAAGTGTTAGAATAGTTATTTTTACGAGTTCAGAGAAAAGTAATATTAAGCCAATTGCATATAAAGCATAACCATAGGATTCCATAATAAAAGTAGCAGTAGACATGTCAACAGCTGAGAGTATGAATAGCATCAGAAATACAGGAGCAGCCAGCATATACCAATACACACGTTTTATATTAAAATCTAAAAGCTGTTCGTTCTTAACTCTAGGACTAAATTTGTCTATAAAATGCCAAATAACCCATGCACCCCCTAATTCAGCTAAAGTAAGCAGTGAACCCAACACTATTATGAGTCTAACGCAAATGTTTTCCTCCATGGAACTAATAAATGTTCGAAGTAAAAATACTGCTTCTGACATAATAGAAGAAACAACTATCTGAATAGCAAGTAGATAAATAACCCAGGTGACCATAATAATTCGATTATGGAAGATTTCTCCTTTTGTTCTTGGCTTCTCTGGAGTATCTAGTACTTCTGAAGCAGTATTTTCACTTTTTAGTAGATCTATGTTTATCTTTGTATTCGTAGTATAGATAGCCATTGGTTTTTTAAAAAATAGTTCATTTTTATTTAAATCCTGTAAGATTAGTTATGAAGGACATCAGAGAGATTATTCTCGAACTTGTGTGATCTTAGAGTTTAAAATTGATGTGCCCAAAGGGGGCTACATTATAGCAAGTAAATAGTGGTCTAGACTAGATAAAGTTAATTTCAAGATAATTTTATTTTGTTATTGTTGCAGACTCTGGATGTATTATGGCTGTTTTCTTTTGACTTGGTCTACTCTTGGTAGTTAGCATATACTGCTGTTTTACTATTCTTACACTATTATCTAGTATTTTTTTGATTAGTAGATTTTCCAGAACTATTTTCTTCATATCAGTGATTTTTTGGTCTTAAATTTAAGAAGTGATAATTTTCCGAAATTTTAATCACTGAAGATTGTGTAATTTGAATTAGTATCATATGTGGTGGGAATTAGAAAGTATTTAAGATCAATATTCAAGTAATATTGACAATATTTAAGCCATAGTAATAATAGAATATAAACTGCTAAGAGTGTGAATGACCAAAATATAAACATTTTTCGGCAATACAGGAATAGACCATTTTCCTTCCCCCGAATTTCTTTCTTGTATATAAAAGGGAATATAAGTGTTAGAATACCAGCTTTTATGATTTCAGAATAAAGAAGCCCCAAGCCAATTGGACAAAAAATATATGCGGTTAGCTGTATAATATAAACTGCAGTAGACATGTCAATAATTGCAAATGTTAACATCATCAAAGCTATGGGAGTGGCCAGCAGGTAAAAAAACCTTTCTTTCATATTAAAATCCCCATGCGAGTCATTCTTAATTTTAGGACTAAATTCATCTATAAAATACCAAAGAATTTTTGCAGCCTTTAATTCACACGCAGTAAAAGACAAAGGTAAACAAGCTAGGCCTAACTCTATATTATATAAAATTGTAGAATACTTAATATAGAATCTAATTAAAAATACTATCTGTTGCGCATAAAATAAACTAGTTATATAACCCGAAAATATATAAATAGCCCTAAATACCATAACAATTCGATTATGAAAGATTTCTCCTTTTGTTCTTGGCTTCTCTAGAGTATTTACTGCTACATTGCTTTTATCTGGTACTTCTGGAGTGCTATCTGTAGTTTTTAGTAGATCTGCGCTTATCTTTGTATTCGCAGTATAGATGCCCATTGGTTTTTTTAAAAATAGTTCATTTTTATGAATAAACCATAAGATTAGATATGAAGGATATCAGAGAGATTATTCTTTAATTCATGCGATCTTAGAATTTACAATTTAAAGTCAATGAATTTGGCATGTAGTGTAAGTAGACTAGTCTAAACATACTATCTAGCATATATTCTTATGGTAAATTATGTACTTCTTTATTTCAGACAATAAAGTCTCTGGTATAAAATGGAATAATTTCAGAAAAATATACGAATTAGAGAAAAGCCATAAAACCAAAAGAAAGTATTACAAAGGTGCGATATTTCAATAATAAAAGCATATAATATACAAAGACTACAGGTTAAAGTGCCCCATATATACATCTACAATAAAAAAACACTTTTAGAACTCTCTATCCTATTGTATACTACTATATACACTCTGAAATATTTCTTTTTTTGTGTGCCTGCCTTAAATATTAATTGAATAAGTTCTATTTTCATAGTAAAACTATCTTTGGCTACTGTTTTTGCTGTAGTTTGTCTTGAATGGTCTATGATTTTCTTTCAATATTTGCATCTTCTTGGTTATATTCAGATCTATACTACGGAGTAAGAATGCCCCAATTAAATGTATTTTAGTTTGGAATTTCTTCTTGTTGTAAAAAGAATGTTCTGAGCAAATTGTAGTTTTACTGTATTTTTGAATATTCTCTGTCTATGAGACTTCATTCTCTCGAATGTTTCTGTCCTGTTGCAAACTAGTGGTAATTATTATGCATTCAGATGGCTTCAAAGGGATTTATATAAATTAAGATGAAAGCCTTGCTATGGAATTGCAAGGAAGTAATATAATCATGCACTAACTCAAAACACATGAACAAAAACTAATTATAAATACAGCTCATTAAAGTACTACAACTACCTTGCAAACCCGTAAGAATAAAATACATTCTGAATGTTCTCTAATTTAGACTATATCCAGAGGAAAATGACATATGTCTTTACTGCGGACTTAAATATTCTTCCTAGCTAGATACTTCTGCAGGGTTCTGCTTAGATTTGTGCATTTCTGGAATTCACAAAAAACTGGAAATTATTTTCTGAGTTCACTTATAATACTCTGTACAGAAAGCTTTAAAATTGTAGACTGAACCAAGCGAATATTTTAAACATCTCCCACCGACTCTTTATTCATCATCCTCTGGCTGATTCTTTCCTCTACTCTATTTGGCTCAAATAGTTTAGTGCTTCATGCGCAGTGATCCTTTTCTCTGGCACTTCCTTCAAGCATTCAAATATAAGGCCTGCATACATTGGGTCGTGAGCGGAGTGAAGCTTCAGCAAGTACTCCATCTGGGCGGTTGCCTGCATATCAAGATACCGGGATATTCTGACAATCTGATCTGGCTTGTCGCTTCCTGAGAAAAGTGCTACTCCTGTTAGTATTTCACTTATGATGCAGCCTACACTCCAAATATCAATCGAGTACCCGTACACTTTCGAACCCTTGAGCAGCTCGGGGGACCTGTACCACAGAGTCACCACCTCAGATGAATACGATGGCATTTTTATTTCAAGACTCCTGGCAAGCCCGAAATCTGCTATCTTCAAGCACTCATCCTTGTCTACCAAGATATTCTGCGGCTTCAAGTCCCGATGGATGATTTGTTGACTGTGCAGGTATGCAACACCTTCTACTAACTGTTTCACAAGATACTTTGCATTTATTGCCTGCCCTGAGAGCAGCAGCTTTTTTAGATCAGTCTCTATGTATGACAGAACTATTATTAGCTCTGTCTCACTATGCAGTATGCTGTGTATTGAAAGAATATTTCTGTGGGATAGTCCTTTCATTATGGATATTTCCCTTAGTGCAGTGTTTGGCATTCCTTCTTCCTCTGATAGTTTGATTATTTTTAATGCAACTTTAGTGTTCTCAATTGTATCATATCCTTCATATACCTTATGTTAGACGCTTTAACTTACCATTGAATATGTTCCGTATCCTAAAAGTTCCTTTCTAAGAAATCTCTCCATAAAACTTTTAAAACACCAGACAGTATATTAAATATCCCTCTCTGCCAAACACTGCACTTGACTTTTATTAAGAAGTTGATACTCTGCAGTCAATGCGCCTTCTTCTGAAAATTATAGCCTGCACTCTACTACCACAGCACAACAGTCTCTTATGCGCACTAATCATCCCTGCATATACTTACTATGTTACTGCACCGAATAAGGACTTTATTACAGACTGCGTCTAAAATACACTTCTTTAGAAGGACATTCATTCTATCGTCATATCCTGCAAGTATCCCTTTGTATACGTATCCAGTAGATATTCGGACAGCTACTCTTTTTCCTGCTAGACTAGGCAGGAAGGAGCCTAGAATGCTTATATTCATAGTAAAAATATTTTATCCTTCTTCATATGAAATATAAATACTCCAGCTAGACTTATTGTCTCTAAGAAGTTTTTGAAGTTATGAATATTTATTATATGCGAAATTATCTTATTTTCTGGTATACTAAGTGTTTTCTTCTTGTCTTAGGCATGTATGGCGCAAGTAGAGATTATCCATGCTACCAGACAATTTCCGCAGTTGCATGCTTTGAATGCCTCTATATAAATAAAACCACTGAATATAACGTACAAATTTATGGATAGGGGTCTATTTGAGGAATATTGCTTTTGGCTTAGAAATTTAGTTATTTGAGCTGTAGTATGGTTTAAACAAAATTTAGAAACCAAATATACAGTTGTGAGAGATTAACAAAAGAACCTCTATAAATTATACAGAAGAGGCATAGAAGCAGCATAAATTCATATTTGAAAAGTAAATAACTCTACATTTGTGCAGAATGAGCTTTTTGAACATTTGAATACTTGAACATGTGAGAATCCTACTTATAATATGAAGGCCTGTTAAGAATACACTTAAGCGTATCTATAAGTCAATAAGGCCTGGTGAAATCCCTACTTCTCTTCTCTGTGTTTATTGTCTCTTTTTATTTTTCTGTGCTTTTTTATGAAATTGAAAGCCTTTAGTATAGAAAATATATGCTAGTGTACATATACTTTATATTTTCGTGTGAACTACAAAAAATTTAAAAAAATGCTGGATGAGAATAATGCATGCTACTATAGAATGTATAATAATCTTGAGGGCAGGCACAGTAAAAATACTAATTTCATAAGAAGAAACATTTATTGAATGCATAAAGATAATTTTAGCTACTGTTCTTACAGTATGCTTATCTTAACTCTCTGCAAATTAAAATCTCATAATGCCTTATATTCAAATTATGAATATACTGGCTTTATTGTAGCTATTTTATCTCGAATATTTTGCACTTATGGGAGTTACTGATGAGTTTGTTTTTTACGCAATTACGCGCACATAAGCCAAGGATCAGTACAGACAGAAAAGTGAAAAGTATAAAGAAACAAATATAGACACAAACTAAATGACTAAGCTAAAGAAACAAGCCTTGCAAGCAAACATGATAGAAGGAATGAATCATACAAAATGTCATAAGAATCCGCACGTATAAGTAAACTTGAATCTATGAGAGTACTCTCGTTTTCTGTAGTATCTTCCTTGCCATCAGTAGTAGGGTTTTCAGTGGGCCTAGAAGAAAATAAAGACTGATAGATATAACCTTCATCATTTTCTGATTTCTTAACTAACGAAAGGGAACAATTAGTATATTTCCGGCTATAAGAGATAGAGCCAAATGGAGTATAGACACTAGAGTTTCTATATGAAAACGTATTTAAAACACTTCCATTAAGACTGAAGTAAAAATTAGCATATTTATCCCGAATAGGCACTGTAAAAAAAAATAAATTTCGAGTATCCAAATTCTTAGGATCATTACTGATAGCACTTGTGTTATAGACAAATACATGATCAAGATCCATAGTTGATGGAATCTCTAGCTCTACATCTGTGTTGATTTTGAATGATAGTCCCTTATATACCCTTCTTGAATCTAAATCGGGATTTTTAACTTTAAATTCAAAATTGCATGGAGCCACATCTTTAAAGTTTAATCCGGTAACAATGTGATCATTAGTAAATGTTGGCAAATCATCGAGCTCTTCTTCTAAAATATCTTGGTAAAGACGATTTAGGAATAAGGGAAGTGCAATTACAGAATCGTCAGTCTGATCTTTATCTTCCTTAGTTATCATTAAGAGTGAGCATTTATCTAAATCTACACCATTAGGGATTTCTATATAGTAGAACACTGGAACATATCCATTATGGGTACTATTATCTGTAGTATAAACATGTTCATAAGATGACCATGTTTTATTAGCTATGGAATAGAAGAATATGTGAATGTTTTCTATATCTAGATTATATACCCTTGATATACACGCTTTAGTGTTTTCTAGGTTATAGAAAATTTCACTATATGGGAGATAAAGAGGTTTACGGCGGTGCTCTCTATTATCTACAAAAATAACAGAGAAGTATGGTAGGGAAACAGTGGTAATATCACGATCAGTCAATTCTAAATTAAATTCATCGGGATTAAAATTATTGGGAGTACGACTAATAGAAATATAACTAGACGCACCACGTAGCTCGAAATTTTCTAATTTGTACTTTTCAGTATCATTAGTCTTTTCTACTTTAATATTAGCAATAGAAAGACTACACGATGGTAGTCTGAATATTTGTTTTCCGCGCATTTTAACACCAAAAATATAGTGAGGAATTATTGTATAGACAACTCTCATCACGAAAACCAAATGTTCATATGCCAGGCAAGCATTTTTGATAGATATAGTGTTTTCTATTCTGCTTAAAATAGCAGGGAGATTATTCGCAACATCATTTTCACTCGAATACTCTGCTCCTACTATACATGCTAACGACATGAATATGTCCAAGAAACTAGATACATTGACTTCAAAAGATCTCGGTCCTATCATCTGTTTTAATTTTTCATTCAGATCCGTTTGATTTATATTTTGAAAAATTGTTTTGTTTACGGCTTTGAAAAATACATTTACAAATGTAAGATCACTCCTAATTTCTGGAATACTAAAAATTAACATAATAGCAGCAATTAATGAATCTTTGCCGTTTGCATTAGTTTCTAGTATTTTAAACAAGTTATCATTATTCATTTCTGAGTCAAGTTCAAAATATTGCATATTATCTATAAAAACATCTCCCACTGTATATTCTATATATGAACAATCATTTTTAAACTCTTCCGAATCTTTATAACTCTCATATGTCTTTGGAAAATACACTTCCGATTTTCTTAGAAGCTCACTTAACATAGTTATATTATTTATATTTTTAGAACTACCAAATACTTTACGCTCTTCAGCAGAGAAATCCTTAGAATCTGTCACTTCGAGCATTTTAGCTAAATAGTCAATATTGCTTTTTCTCTCTACGAAATTACTACCAAAAGACATAATAGCATTTAAAACTTTATATCCATTTTGGCTAGAATTCATGTCAAAATCAGGCAATTTACATAGTATATCTATAATTTTGGTTTTATCATTAGTAGATAATGGCATTGTACGATATGGTAAGGCATTACCAATTTTTATACCCTTACTCAGATTATCATTCAGGCTACATCCAGATGCACTATTCCGATGTAGAATAGTTGGATACCATTTATCAATTGCTTTTTTAAGATAATTATTATTTTGGTTATATTTTTCTGCATTATCCAGATAAGTAAATAAATCTGTAATCTTCAATTTATGTGGAGGACCGCGTTGTGTACTGTGGCAAGAAGTATATTCTTCCGTAGTATTACTGGGTGAGTGTCTAGTATCATGGGGTGGGTGTCTAGTATCACTGGATGATTCCTTAGTAGCATGGGGTGGTTTTGATGAAGACTCATCAACCATCTGTCTAGTAGGATCTATCTTATGGGGAGGAGTACTTATTTGTGAGATATTGCTACTTTCAGAAGCAGCGTCTGTACTGTATACTGAGTCATCATTATTTCCTTTTTGTCCAACAAAGGTTTCCTTCTTATAATCACCATTTTGCGCACTTAAGTACACATGGTTAGAACTACTGCTCTGGTCAGTTACTTTTCTTTCATCGCCTTGAGGCAATTCTTGTTCATTCTTTAATTTTGAGCTTCTAGTAGTATAGTCTAATTCATTGTATTCAATACTAGAGCCGTTTTGTTCAAAAGTTTTCAAAGTGGATCTGACGTGCTTTGACGCATAAAAACCCTTTAGACCACTACTTCCTTGCCTTTCCGCATGAGGTTGGTGTATGCTTTCATCCTCTTTTGAAGAGAATAAATACATTCCCATTACAGTCATGCAGGCTATTCCTATAATTCCAGCTATTCCTATCAATATTACTCTTAGTGAGCCATTTGAAATTCCTATCATATTGTGTACGAGTTCTTTCTGTATTTATACTTTATTTCCGATCATTTTTTTGTCCACATTTAAATTAAATCAGAAACAAACAATGCTTTATTTGTTTTTAGTTCTACTTTTAGAATAATTAAATTTACTTAAATTTACAGTTAATTAAATTCGAGCAAATTTTGGTGTTTTCAAAATTATTACAGGGGTAGTTAAGAGAAAAAGCCTAGACTAGAATTTCATGAGTGAAAATATGGTTTGAAGTGACCTATAAGAAAGTGTTCTCGTGCATATTTGTGTAAAGACCATGTACTATACACCAGGAGAATAGCATTATGTGCATACTTAGAAGTCTTCCATAAAAAGTGAACTTAAATTTAAATTATAATTGGAGTATTCCCAACTAGAAAACTCAGCTTAGATTAAAGAACTTTCTGTTTGTTTTGTTTGTTTTGGCATATGTTATTTGTGATTTATGATATGTGCTATGTTTACAGTATGCGTATATTTATATAACTTGAATTATCATTCACAAACAAAAGAAAATTCAATAAACAAGATTATTAAATTGAATACTCTTAGAAATTTAACATAATCATAGAGCACAATAGCTGTATACCATAAAATAGATAAAGCATAGAAGTAACTGACTTTTACACTGTGTAAGAATTACTACTTCTGAGAAACTTTATTGCTCTCTATGGGCTTCAAACTAAAATAATTTCAATTGGTCTGTCCTAAGCGCATAATTAAATTATAGCAAGAAATAAAGGATGCTGCAGAATAGAAAGGCCAAGTCCAATAGCTCACAGAAAACTTAGACAAATAGATCTACCAACAATGGGTTTTTGTAAAATAAAAGCTAATAGAATACACAGCCAACCAAATATAACCCGAACCTCCATTTTTAGCATATTTTCAGAAGAAGTATGCTAGAAGCAATTATCTCTCTTTGGGAGGCTAGCCGTATTAAATACAATTAACTTGTTAATACTATGTATTTATTCTTACAAGATAACACACCAACAGATATACATGCATTGCTATATAATTAAATAAATTACTTCTTCCTTTAATTAAAAGAATATCTTTACATTCTGCAAATACAACAGACAGATTTCATATGTGGCTATAAAATAAGTTATAGCCATTGCGTGACTATAAAAAACTGATACTAGCACTGAAATAAATACCATTTATTATTGCATTAGTGTCTATGTGCATTGTTATTTTAGTCTGTTCTTTTTTCTCTCTTGGTAGAGTGCAAGTTATTTCACAAAAATAGAAGAGTACCCAGGAGGTTCTATAGAGGCAACAGCATGAGGTTAAATTAAAATAATAAAGAAATCTCACTAGACATGTGAATATTATGTACTTCTTTATGCATTAGAGCCATTTATGCCTTTTCTTCTGGTTGCTGCAGAAGATAAATTCTTTGTAGTATTTCAACTTATTAGGATAGGAGTGGCAGCCACTGAAATCCCTCTCTAATCTACACGTATAAATAGGCATTCATTAAATCTTCATTGCTCTCCATGGGGTACATGCAGATTTATAGCCCAAAATCATCTGAATATGTTTTCTTCAATTTATGTCACTATACTAATTATCACTTTAAACAATAGTAGTCCTCCTGTGTTTATTTTTACTATTAAAGAATTATTTTTTATTATTTTTATGGTCCCTGTGTTGAAATGCCTTTTCTTCTCCCTGATCCTATATGGCAATTATCTCTTGTTCCATGACTACTTTCTGACTATTTTTTATTCAATGTGCTATTCCATTATTTTAAAGCAAATTAATGAAAATACGCCATTTTTGCTGCTGCCAATTGTGCACGCGTCGGTTATAGTATCTATAGTGTACACATTCCTGCCCTTTTTGCTGGTTGGCTATGGGCTAAGCTACAATATTCTATTGTATATTCTATATGAAAACTATAACCAGGTGATTGTGCACTCCATATTCTTTGCGCTCTCTTTATACTACTTCTACAAGATTGGAAATAGCTCGTTATACCTGATGTTTAAAAATATTAATTGTGTTTTTATTTTCGACATTTTTAGATCGTTGGTTGTTGCAGAGACTGCTGTAAGCTTTGAGTACATTTTAATATCGCTTATCATTTGGATATTTGAAAAAGAGTCATTAGTCAACAAGCTGTGCATAATAAGCATCGCCAGCAGAATATTCCCATTTACAGCTCTGTTCATTCTTTATGCAGCAAAGATGGTTTACTATGGAAGTGAAAATATTCTGAAGTCTGCCTCCATGATGCTTATAATACTTTTAGTGCATCTCACTATAAGCAGTATATTAATGGATAAAAAGAAGAAGAATCTTCTAATAGACTATAAAATATTCATTAATGTAAGCAGTGTTCTAGGATGGAAAATATTTGGAAGTGCAGGGGTTCTGCTAGGGCCTCTATTGCTGCTGTCACTTTTAAATTTACTAAAGAAGGAGCAGGATGTCCAAGGGATATTGCAAGAAGTAGAGACTAAAATGCCAGCTAAGACTTGCAAGAAAGTGAACAAAGCGTACGATGTAATGCGAAAGAGTAAATAAATTCAGGGAATACAAGAATAATAAAGAGACTGTTATGTTTGTCACAGGCATGTTATACACATATAGTAGAGTGTGTTCAGTTAAAAGCATGCGCAGATTAAACTAGAATGCTTTGTTCTATGTCATGAAGGCATATCTGAAGCACTTTTCACTAGTTGCTGGCTATACTAATACTCTGCTCAATGCACTCTGAATAAAGTGTTGCCATGGGGTTAGTTTAAATAAGTATGAAAGTTACTGTGAATAGCAGGAGATGCATCTTTTTGAAGAATGTAGCATACTGGCCCTATTACAGCTTATCTGTGGAATGGAATAGCACCATGCACCTGTAGACTCATTTTCCGTATAAGCTCATTCTAGAGAAAACACATTCTAGCCTTATTACTGTGCCATAGCAGAGAATAAACTAAGTATGTAAATAGACTAGGATTAAATGTTCTTACAGAGCCATCTGTAGAAAATGAATTCTGGTTACTTTCGGATGCAATAATGTGATATTAAGGCTTCCAATGTCTTAGTAATATATGTCTGCATTTCAATTTCTGCCTTCTATAAATTCTGCTAATTAAAGACTCAGGGGTACATATATTCATTTGAATATTCTATACAATATACTAGAAGACTCCTTTATAGGTAGCCATGCACATAACAAAATAAGACTTCGTCTGTCACATGCCCTTCACAGTATTCTGAGAGTATGCGAGTATTTCTTATTCAGTCATTTTTCTATCTGCCTATATCCGAATGAAAGAGTGCTTATTCCCGTGCTCCTGTAATCATCTGATAAATATTGCAAAGCTTGAATTTAGAAAAGTAGACTAAGCTAGTACCAACTATAGTAAACCTGTATAAGGAGACAGATTAGTCTACAAATACACTAGAAGAGCCTTATACGTATCCTGAGTTCATTTGCATGGACTTCCACTCACAAGAGTACACACCCCATGATATCCATATTTTATTGCAAAACACCAAGAATTACCTTGCTTCTCTTAATTACTGCTATGCAGATTCATGTAATATGTAAATGGAACATGGAGTGTGATCTGGATTAATTGAAAAATCAATCTTACATTCAGGCAAGAGCCAAATGAACTTCATGCACCCATTGCAGGTGCAGTTTAAAGGTATTCTGCCGTGTGGTCCTTTGTTTTAGTCGAAAAAAGGCCATTCTTCTGTGCTGTGCATTTTGGAGGGAAAGTACCCGCCAAAACAAAAGTATAAATATAAATTTATTTGCACAAATAATGAAGATGGACGCAAAGACAGGAGACAAAAAAATAGTACCAGCAGGAAAGGCACCAGCAAAGGGTGTAGGCGCATCTGAAAAGAAGAAGAAGAAGGCAAACCACATGTCTAAAAGCCAATACAATTTCAGATCATCCATTAAGAGAATGCTTAAGAACACCTACCAGGCTGCACCCCCTCAGGTCAGCGGGCCAGTAGTAGAAAGTCTTTGCAACATTGTCTGTGACATAATTGACAAGCTGTCCCACGACTGCGAGATTCTTGCACGCAAGGTAGGCAAGCAGACAATCAACCTTGAGGAAGTAATGGCTGCAGTGCAGGTCAATCTCTCAGGTGAGCTCAGAACCCATGCTCTTAAGGAAATAAAGGAGGCTGTCGCTAAGGTACCATCCAGATCCAGTAAGTGATTTAATAGTGCAGAATGGATGGAGTGGACGAAAGGCCCTCTGTGCTTGGCATCTAACCCAAATGATAATACGTACACTATAGTGCATAAATATTGCATATTCACATCGTAAGAGAGCCGAGACTGCCTTGCATACAGTCCTTATCGGATTTGTTGAACCATGAATAAATACGCACTTGCAATTTTCATTTTCTTTTATGCAGGTGTTTCATGCGTACGTGCTCTACATTGTTCTGTACTCCTTGTTTAACTCCTCAGAAGAGGCAGTCATTTTTGGCTATGTAAACACAGCACGCCTCTATGCCTGGGAGATATTCATTGTGAATAAGTGCGGTTTTATTCTTCCCTACATTGTATCGCACCTGCACGGGCATAAGGTGCACATTCGGGGCATATTCCATACAATAACAGAGATACTCATGTACTTTGTGTTCACATCCATCATAGGATGGATCAAGGACGCACGCATATTCCTGGGCGACAACAAGCTGCCCATCAACCCGTCTGGGCACACCTTCATTCTTCTCAATGGAATGCACATTCTTTTAAATGTTAATAGAAGCATACCCATTGTCATATTAATATATGAATACCACCGAGTTCTAATACACACAGTAGAGTACTACCACACGTTCATAGATATATTTATAGGCGTAGCAATGCACTATGCATACAGATACATTCTCAGTTGCATATAAAATAATAGACTGCACACTGTGGCAGTTCATCCAATCTGGAGGTGCACTGTGTGAAATATCTGGTCTACTCGTATACATCTCATTCTGGCAAGCAGAGCTTGCTGCAGAACCACATGCTTTATCTGGGTACATGCAGGCACATATACCTAGACAAACACTCTTGCCTGGCTGCATAGTAGATATGCCAGCTGCATTTTAATTCTTTCCATTCCGTTGGACCATACGTACAAGAATTACTTATACTGTTTTAGCTATATTTTAATAAAAATTCAAGTTTACTTAATTCTCTTTGGAAGGGCTGCAGTTCCGTGAATTGCAATTCTTTCTTGGTCTGTATGCCTCCAGTGCATTGAAATTAAAAATTACTGGTAATTAGCATACTAGAATGAAACACAAATCTTAAAATTAATCTCTTTCAGTTGTAGCTTTAACTCTCTCTTCAATGTCCTTTGCTGCTTATTATGCAGCAACTAGTTCTTTCAACAGGAGAACTCCTTGTTTCTGGCATCTGCATTAAGTAAAAATGAATATCTAACCAAGTATCCTTTAGAAGTGTCTTATTTGCATCTGATGTATTCTATTTCTGTCTGAAGTTCTCTTATTAATAGGTGTCTAAGACATTTTAGCTTCTGTAGGCTTTCTATGCTTACTATTTAGAACCCGGCTTATTGCCAGATCATTTCTCTCTGAATAAAATTCTACCACTCCAGCACAGCAGATTTAGAATATCATTGCATTCTGCAGGCTATTTGCTTCATTGCAGTGCTTATTATTTTCCCATGAATGTACATGTAGACTGCTATATGTCTTTATTATTCTTGCAAAATATTTTCAATGGGGAATAGAGGATGCACTGTCTTTGTGGGCAATATTGACTTTACAGTTCCAGAAGAAACCATTGTAGAAGAGCTTTCATCTGTTGGCAGAGTTATATCCTTTAGGATGGTAACCGATAGAGCCACAGGTAAATCAAAGGGGTACGGTTTCTGTACGTACGAGTCCCCAATAGTTGCAGATATAGCAGTAAACAGACTGAAGATAATGCTGAATAATAGGCCTGTGAAGATAAACTATGCTGATAATAATTCAGCGCAGCAGCCGCAGGCTGAGCAGGTGAAGTTAGACATAGACGGCATTGTCAGCACTCTCGATAAGCTAACACCAGACGAAACAAAGGACATTTTGCGGCACATGAAGCAGCTTGCCGTGAATAGACCCGAGGAGATTAGAATGCTGCTGTCTGAGAACCCAGCACTACTCTCTTCATTATTGCACATTATATTTACGCTTGGCTTGGCACAGAAGGATGCGCTAGAGAGTATCTTGAACAAGTCATTTTCAGTTAAAGCACAGCAGACACAAATAATGACACGAATTCTGCAGTACCACGAATACGAGGTCGAAGAGATACCCGAGCCAGCCAGAGACAAAATTAGAAGGATTCGGGAACGGCTGCTGAGAAAGCAGTAAAATAAGCAGGAAAATGCAAAAATGGAGAAGTATCTAATCAGCCACAGCCATGTACCGCAGTATGCTTAATAAGACATGGCCAACTGTATAATAAAGTATCCAAAAATATCACAAATCGCAATGCAAATATATTATAAATAGCGCATATTTATTCTTGTCTTTCTTTCTTTAGAGCATCTCCAGCAATGCGTGCCTCTTTCTTTTTCTGCAGAAGTGCGTCTCTGTTCTTGTCAAGGGCGAACTTGGTGATAACCAGGGAGGATGGGTAGATTCCAAAGGAGGCAGTCTGTCCATTCTTCTTCTCTCTGTATGATATGTCTAATACTACCTTGAATGTAGCTCTGTTTACTTTGACAATTTTACCGGTCTTTCCCTTTAAGTCTCCCTTTAGGACAAGCACTTCATCTCCCTTTACTACAGGAAATGACTTGAAGATGTACTCGGATCTTAGCTCTTTGCTCAGACCTGCGGACATAATCATTCGTCTCTTGGCATCATTTGCGTTAAAGTGGGCCTTTCGGCACTTTCTTCTGGAGCTGCTTATTTTTGTGTTGTATTTCATGCAGGGTGAAAAAAAAGAAAAAATATAAGTAGATTCTACCGGTGGGCGTAGAAAGAGCTCTAAGAACGCAGTGCACTGCAGTGCAGCCGCCAATATACTACGCAATGCGTGGTGTACATTTCTGGAGCTGAGATAATGTGCATGTCACCGAGCAGCATGCCCATCTTCTCCGCATACGCGGGCAGAAAACAGTGCGGACGGCATATTGCAGCCGGAAAATTTAAACCATAATGCAAATAGAGCACAGACGCAGGAAGAAGCAAAACACCGCAAATAAGTTTGAATAAGCATGTAAACCATAGTATTTCCTTTTATTTCAGGGGTACGAACTTGGATGAGGAAGTGGCACCAATTCCAGGCTTTCCGTGGGAAACCATCTTCTGTGGGGAACTGAAGTCTGCTAGTCTAAATCCAATCATTTCTGGCTTTACCTCAAATGTAACGTGCTCCTTTCCATTGTATACACCCAATACACACCCAACTAGCTGTGGGAAAATAATCATGGATCTGCAGTGAGTTGTAACGCACTCTGGCTTGTCTCTAGAGTTCTCTGCTGCTGCCTTTGACTTTTCGCAGTCAAGAAGGAACTGAATCTCCTTTTGGCTGAATCCTCTTCTAACTCTTCTTCTGGCTCCTGATTTTAACAGGGCTGAGAACTCTTCAATTGGCATCTTTACCAAGTCATCGAAGTCAATTCCACGGTATTCAAACTTCCTGAATGTCTTTCTCTTCTGTGCTTGGGTATTTTCCATCTGGGGATATAAAAAAATAATTTGTAAAATATTCCTACTGAATAACAGAAAATAACAGAATCCATCCAGCACGCTGCCGTGCAGATCACCACTATTTAGTTGCATGCAGAGCAGCATAGTACTGGCACCTCTGCAGTAAGGGCAGCTGCCATAAGAAATAGATACACATAAGACAAAATGCATGAAAATGCGGCTATAGCGCCCTCAATTATTTACTTACTCTTCACTGCATAAGATGCAGATAACTTGGCTCCATCTATAGATATGTCTTTAAAGACTATCTAGTGGTTGAGCACTGTGCAGTCTCCTTCAATTACTGTGGCCATTGAAATGAACGCACGATCAACCTGCGCCCCGCCCTCACTCTCTGCGTGGTGGACGGACTCAACCTCAAGCGGAGAGAGCGTTTCTTTCTCCTCAACAGTATAGCACACGTGGAATGGGAAGAGCGAGTCCGTGTCATCACAGAGGCCTGAAAACTCAACTGACTTCGATTCGTCCCGGGTTATATCTTCTATTTCGCCAACTATGTAATCGCCTGCAACCTTTCCATTCACTATCTCCATGTCAGACACTCTTTTAATGGGGACCTTTACAACCACTTTCTTTACATCAGTATTTGCGGTTATTTCAATAAAAAACTTGTACCGCTCCTCTGATATCTCAGTCTGCCAGAATGACACCTCAATTGGCATCTTTACCTCCTCAAGAGGCCACTTCATCAGAGTAAGAGTAATGCCTTTTGGCAGGTCTGTCTTTGGGACTATTCTGTCTCCTAAAAAAGCCTTTTTATCTACAGAGGGGTGCGCCCGTGCATTGCTTGGCTTGGATTTGTTCAGATGGATCGAAATATTTGCATGCTCTTCGTCTGTTATTCTGATCAGCATTTCCCCCACGCCCTCTGCCTTGACTATTTCTGTTTCTGAATTTATGGTTGCTGTGTGCTTCTGATGGGTTACAATGTTTATTTTATTCTCCATTGTCTCTATAAATGGCTTTGTCTTCTTTATCTCAAATCTTGCCTTTGGCTCTTCCTTTCTATGTACTGCCACTGGAATCTCCTTTAGGTCTTTCCTCAGGATTCGTATCTCCTCCATTTCTTTGGTAATCTCATCGATTGCAGGATGCATCTTTCTCATTTTTGCAGCCTTCTCCATTTCCTTCTCTTTTCCTTTCATGATCATCTCGTGCAGTATTTCATCATTGCTCTGCATCCCCACTATCCGCGTTATCTCTTCAACTGTTCTGTTTACAACCCCTTCTTTTGTGAATATCTCGTCAATTATGGAAAGCAGAAGAAAAATCTCGCTGCTCTCCAAACTTATGTCCTTTATAAGCGACTTGCTAAGAACCTCTACCTTTTTGAGCGACTCTGAGATGCGCCTGTCTTCTTTATCCGCCAGAACAACCACTGTCAGACTATCTACCTCTTGATAGAAGAACGTGCCTATTGGGCTAGGCAGCGCGCATGCATACTTTCTTTTTCCCTTTACATCCAGAAACACCTCAATCATTTGGGATATTTTATCCTTGTTCATCTCCACAAGCGGCCTGGCAATGTGCGACCCTGTTTCGCTTAGTAATAGTACAGCTGCCAGCATAAACAAATTATTAATTTGCAAAAAATACAAAAATATAAGAATGATACAGGTCTTCCTTTCTGTATTACTTGTGAGAATTATTACAGTGCACATTCTGCACATCATGAACTTTTATAAGTTAGATAGGTCTCTGCGGTATTTACTGGTTATAGCCCACCCCGATGATGAAAGCATGTTTTTTGGTCCTTTTCTAACGAAAATCCTAGCAAACAAAGGAAGCATATCTATCGTTGTTTGCACTGGCGGTGACAAAGGCGGAGATAAAGAGGTGCGTAGTAAGGAGATGGAGCGTTTGTGTGCATCCCATAAAGTGCCTCTTTTTATGCTTGAGTATCCTGATTCAGAGCTAGCTGTCACAAACAAACTTATGAGCAGCCTGGAGGAAATTTACAGAAAAACGCAGAGCACTGCGCTTGTTACATTTGATGCAAGCGGCGTAAGTCGCCACTGTGACCACATAACGTGCTGTGAACTAGGAGATGCACTAGCGAAAAAAGTAAACACAGAACATCTGTACAATCTAGTGTCTCTCACCCTGATCGAAAAGTATATCTTTCCCCTCCTTGCAGTCTTCCGGCTGGGCAGCAGCCCAGATACTGATATCTTGATCACAAGTTCTGCTACTGAATCTATAAAAAATAGAAAAAGAATGCGGTATCACACAAGCCAACTTCTCTGGTATAGGTATTTGTACATTGTATTTTCCTGCTATATGGACTTTATTATTCTTCGAAAAAAGATTCACAAATAAAAGAGATAAATTTCGTTTATTTTCTTGCTTTCCAAAGTGCTTTTATAGGACAGCAGTGCTCTCTTTATGAGCTGCTGCTGCCTTTGCTTGGTAGACAGATTTCAGGTCTTCTTCTTGATGCGCTTCTTGATGCACTTCTTGATTTACCAGATCTTCTTCTGTTGCATGGCTTTGAAGGGGCTTTACTACTGTTATAGGCTGTTTTGCTATGGCCTTTGGCTTGGGTTTTGGCAGAGCAATTGTCTGTGCAGCTTTCTTGCTGCTTATCTTTTCTGCAGCAGATGGCTCAAACTGCATGTCATCCTCCTCTTCTTCCTCTTCCTCAAAAGATTCTGTTTTCTCTTTTACAAACGCACTCTTTTTTTCTATAGCAGCTGGCTTTATTTCTTTTTTGAGGCTTTCTACAGGGCTTTCTACAATAAGCCCGTGTGTTGAAATCTCGCTGTTTAGAATTGCTTGATTAATGCCTTTTTCTGTTGCATTTAGTACTTGTCTGAGCATGCTGAGCTCGAGAGCCTTTTTCTCTGCGGGTACTTTTGTTTTTGGAACTGCACTGTTTTTCTCGGCTTTTTGATTTTTCTCTTGTGGCTTCATACTATGTTCTTCAACTTCTTGCACTTCCTCTTCCTTCATGGCAAGTGCCTTCAATGCTGGATGCATTGTTTCCTGCTTTTCCTGATGGCTCTGTTTGGCAAGGTTGCTCACAATGTATCTTGTGCTTGGCGGAATTCCTCTCTCCTCATTTTGGTGACTGTGCATTCTGCTAGTCATGTGGGTAGATCCTTCTGTCTGCCTGATAATTGGCTTGAGCATGTGTGCTATATTAGCCTGAGGTGCCTCTGGTGGTGGCAACCTAATAAGCACCTTTTTGCTGGGTCTGGAAAGCTGTTTCATTGGAATGGATCTATGAATGGCCTCTTCCTCCATTTCATTTTCAAATCTGCTCTGCAGGCTGTTGCGCATTTCGCTGTCACTTATGTACGGCTGCATTTTAGGTATGCTTGGGTATATAATGGGCTGTGCCTGCTCTTCAATTATGTTTTTCATTAGTGTTGTGGGTATCTCCGATGCGCGAATGTTGTTGCTCAGCGGAAGCTGGTTTAGCCCCAGCAGCTTTGGTGTAAATGCAAGCAGCTCTGGCCTCTCCATTATTGCCTTTGTAATTGTCTCCATAGGAAGGGATCCCTTGAGATAGCTGTCTATGATCTGATCAACTATTTTGTTTGAAAGGAGATTTGTGCTCTCTATGGCATTTGGCCCTGTCTTTTGCTTCATGCTTTCCATTGAAGAAGCTCTCTCCACTTTAGACGCACTCTTCTCTGGGAGAAGCACCTGGTCCTTTATTTTTTCCATCTTTCTTTCAATATTTTCTAAGTCACCTGCCAGTGCCTTCTCCACCTTTTCTCCTGTTTTTTTCTTTTTAAGAAGTTCCCCTATCCTTAACTTTGCTTTGTTTAGATCGCTAATGACTTCAAGTAACACTCTTCCTGTCTGTGCTTTGTGGGTCATAGATATGTACCCAACTGTCAAGACCACTGCCATTGTGCAAACTATAATGGTTCCTTTCATGGCTAACCACTATTCTTTTTCTTTTATAGTATATATGAAACACTCTTCATACACAAATAAACATTTGTTTCTAGGAACAACACATACCACTTAGACTATATTAGGCTATTACCATAGTGCAATGAGTGATTTCCAAAACTATCATTCTTAGAAAGACCAAACCCTGTGCATCCACTAGAAATGAACCATGCAGTTTTCACTCTAAATTATCTTATAAGCTCTTCTAAGCGACGCTGTATAGAAAGACATTCTGTGAATTGATAGAACATGTACATAAACCTCTTCTATGCCAGGTCCTTAGTCTTTCTTAATTCACACTATATTCTAGAAGAAAGCAGCTTGCGGCAGGGCAGGCGCATTATATTTTTCCTATTAATGGGCTTTCCTCTTTTGCTGTGTGTAGTGCTTGTATTTAGTCGCATCTTTTTTTGCAAACCCAAACGATGTCTTCTGTTTTTCAATACCTAATACAAGGCTGTGTTCAACTTCTTTTTCACAAGCGTTTGTGCACAAAGGCCATCTATAATTATAATATTCATTCAAGAAGCTCAACATTATCTAAATAGAAATCCAATATATCGCAAATCTTTTGTTATAATACGCAGTGAAACTTATATCTAGCCCAAACACTGTCGGTCCATGTTAATGCATCCATATATATTCTGAAGTATGCTAAAATATTTTAAACATGTGAGCACACAGACGAATGCCTCTCTATTTAGAGTAAAAATCTTTCTACTGTATCCAGCTCCAGCGTATTTTCTGCTGCCCTTAGAAGTAGAAATGACTGGCACTGCATATAAATAAAAAAGCACATTAATTCTGCTGAAAGCCATTGCATGCATAGCATACCGCACCTAATAAAAATATACATATTTCCCCCTTGGCCCAGAGCACAGCCCTTACGAAGAAGCTAGTAATTTAATGGGCATACTTTTCACTTCTATGAGGGCGTGTGCATATTTTATAAACATTTTTATTCTCTAGTATTTCTTGGACAAAACATCGGCAGGAATACAGCACAAACTGCTAGACTAATGAGAGAGTAAATAAAATAATCAAAACATCAACAGCAGGAGATGAAATCCTTAATTCAGGTTACATCATTCTTTTTGTTATTTTTTGAGAGACTCATCTTCTGCAATCCTGCACATAGTATATGCATGATTATGATGAAATATTTTCATCATATTTGCCCTTCCATTATCTATAATTAATTTTCTATTTTTATTTAAATTCATGCCGCTCCCAAGCACGAACAAGAAACCTTTCCTTTCAAAAGTCTTCTGGTCACCAACACAAGATGTAATCGACTCGCCCTGCACAAAATCCATAAAGAACAGACAGAATAACATCCGGGCCAGGGCATTACTAGACAAATTTATTGAAATAAAGCTAAGAGAGGAGAGCAAGGAACAGAAATAAATAAACATTTTACTAGCTAGATTACCACTCCAAGTCGCCATTGGCCACATTGAAGGTATAGTCGGTGCGCCCAATTGTAAGAAACCCATGTTTTAATGTACATCGCCTTTTATCTTTTACTCGAGTGACCTTATCAAAAAGACATAGCATAACGTTCTTGGTGGGCTCTTCGCTCTCTATATCGCAGTCACTCTCTGAGAGATCATTTGAGTCTAGCTCCTCCTCGTTTCCCTCTGGAAGCCCGTCATACTGGTCCTCCGAGTCGTCTTTTTCTTCTTTATCCTGGTAATAGTATGAGTACTCTTTGTTGTACCCATAGTCTGAATATGGGTATCCGCCTGAGTAGTATCCCTCCATGTTCATTCTATTGTCATAGCTTAGTATTTTATACTCTCCTATATCTGTATACTCACATATCTTTGCAATCCAGGTACTTTTTATTTCCTCCAGCACATTTTTATCTATTCCAATTCTGTAGTTGTTCTCCGTAGTATTTCGAATCACCTCTTCTATTATCTCTCTGTACACGCGGGGCACTTCACTGCTCATATCCACAAAAAAGAAAATAAAGAAAATGAATGCTACATGCAAGAATTGCAGAGGATTAATTAACGGGAACAAACTGGAGGAGCACCCCCAGTGCGGTAGCATAGTGCTTGAAGAAATCCCAAATGGTGCTAAAATTGAGGAAAGGAAGGAAGGCCGGATACACTGCAGCAAGTGCAACAAAGTATTAGGACGGTTTAAGTGGTATGGAGCAAAGTGCATGTGCGGCCGATGGGTTTTTCCATACATCGCCATACACAAAAGCAATGTTGACATGCTATAGAAAAGAGAGCCCTCCCAGGAGCAGCTGGACTCTACGCACCAAAGCACAATGGCCTGGCATTCTTTTTTTAGAAAGCCTCTTGCTCTATTTATAAAAACAAGCTAAGAACAACTGCACATGCCAAGAGAACAAGGGTGTTTGCAAAAAACTAAAGCTGCAAGAAAGATGTCAAGAGCTATGTATCTCTATCACCTAGGTGATAATAAATAATAGAGTTTGAATTCCCATGGTTTATACCCTTCTATGATGTATTAAGCTTCTTTATGCATTGCAGTGTGCATACATGAAGCTTTATTGCAGTACTGCTCTGTGTAGGCTAAGAAATACACCTATCCGTATGCATGCAAATTGTTTATCCTGCACCAAATGCGCTGTAACTACTGCCTTTGTTTCTTGAATACACGTTACATCTAGAGCCAAACCACTTAACCTACACCTGTGCATACTATTATGTACATTTCTGGTTGTTTTCCGTATATGTATTTACATTTATAGGAATATAATTTAAATAGAGTTGAAAAACCATGCAATAAGTGAATTAGAGCCTCTAATAGTTCAAATAGCATGGTCCACTATAATATGTAAAATAAACTACATATTTCTCTAAAAAGATATAAAGCAGTGCAGAGACCAGACCTAGTCTGTAAATCATTTGGGCTATATCATACCTGCACCATGAGTCTATTGAACTTGCCTAATTCTTTAGCCTGTCTGGCTGTGTAGTACATTCGGATTATTTTAATGGCAAGCCACCATATGGCACTCTGATCAAATAAAGCTCATCTGGAATGCAAAGACAAGCTCTTATGGAAAATATGTGATGTGTGGCAAATATATGCACTTATTTTCATGATATTTAAATACAGTCTATGTGAAGTAGGCCAAATAATAAAGCCAAGTCTTTTGTATAGTGTAATTTTTTATTGCATTTTTATTTTTCTACTAAACTACTCCATGTAGCAATACTATGATGCATTTTTGCCCAGTATAGTCTATTATTCATCTTTTCTGCAAATAATCTTTCTAAATATACAGCTTCTAAATGTTTTACTATAAGTACTCAGATTTCTCTATTGAGAATCTTCTAAATTTGAAAGAATCTACATTTGGGCGCTAGTTTAGGCCTGTTTTGTTTTTAATTGACTTCTTCTATGGCACCAGCAGCACCTGTATCTTTGTTCTCCCAAGGGCTGTGCTCATTCATGGTTCTTCAATTTCTTGCATCTTTTGGATTTTCCCGGTCTCTTCGCATTAAAATGATTATTAAACCTTCCAGTGAAAAAATGTCCATATCAATTCTGTAGACTTTGAATATTTATATAAAGAAAGACAGAATGAAACCAGAGGCCTAAAAGGCAAATAAATACTGCAAGTGCAGCATAAAAGATCCAAAATTCAACAGAAACAGCAGAAAGATTCAAATTTAAAGGAAACAGAATTATTGAAAGAGCAACTGCATTTTTCTATTTTTCTGCATTTATTCATCTACTGTAGCAAATAGTCGTTACATCTCTGGTGCCTTTTGATTAGACTCTTAGCACAATATAATGGCATAGGCTAAATAGAAATAACAAACCGTATAAATATTAATTCTCCAGCCACAACATATATTCTGTGGAAAACCACGCATTCACCAGGGCAGGGCCATGCACTCTGGGTATGCATTAAATATATTAGGACGCAGTAATATTTATAAATTACAGACACATATTCCAGAAAGAAAATGCAATATTCTTAGGATGCGCATATATATGAATACTTTGCAAGAAAAAGCATGAACTACAAAAGATTCAAGAAAAAGGAAACCCAGACAGAACAACCAGCAGAGGATAAAGAGCATCACGCATGCCACATCGCAGACACCTGCAAAGACATAATAGAACCCACCCCACCAGCAGAGAAGATAAAAAATGCTCTCTCCAGCGCACAGTTCCTGCACAAAAACTCTTTCTGCACAAAACCACCCAGAAAAGACTCAATTCCCAGCAGTGCATCTTCCACCTCCTCACAGCACAGCACCCCGTCCTCTTTGGACGAATGCATGCACAGTGCAGACCCGAATCTTAAGACAGAATTCACTTCAGAGATATTTAAAAGGCTGTCTTTGTCTTTTGATTTATAATTAGCTTTATTCATCGTCGTCGTCCTTAGCTACACACTGGTAAATATTAAAGAAGAAGATCTTTACCTGTGTCTTCGGGAAGTTAATGGTTCTCTGTAAGTAGTCTGGGAGGTCTTTTATGTTTCTGCTTTCTTGGTATATGTAAGTGTAGATCATTTCATGCTCCTCTAATAAAAAAGAAAGTGAGCAGACGACGCCGTCCTTCTCTATGGTTTGCTTGCAGTATAGCGTGTCCTCCACTCTGGATATTGTCATTCCAGTGAAAACCGACTGGTCTGGCACTACAAGACTGTTTCTTAAGTGAGTGTTCTCTGCCTTCAGTGCATTTATATACTCCTCTCTTATTTCCTCCTTCTCTTTGTAGTACTTGATGAGATCAATCAAGTTTGAATTCGGGAGAGTGTTTTCTTGCTCGGGCACCTCCTGTGTTCTCTGTTTGTAGGGAGTCCTCTTGTGCGCTGCGCGCCTAGGAGTTCGTACTACCATAAAACAAAAATTAAGAAATGTAAAAAATGACATCTGTGGGATTCGAACCCACGCCCTGTAAAGGATAGCATCTTGAGTGCCACGTCTTAGACCTCTCGACCAAGATGCCTTGTGAATCTGAGGGACAGGAGCCTCTCGGAATGTGCAGGGTGTTTTTGCATTAAATATTTTGTTGCTGTGCGAGAAAAATCATATATGCAAGGATACAAAATATTAATGATTGGGCCTCCTTTGGCAGGGAAAGGGACTCAGTGCAAGATACTTTCGAGTCGCATGGGGATTCCGCACATCTCATCTGGTGATATACTGCGAAGCGAAATGGAAAAGGACACTGAGCTGGCACGGTACATTAAAAAACAATTGAATGCAGGGAAGTTTGTAAGTGACTCTGTAATTAGAGACCTAATCAATGCGCACATAAACAGTGTGGAGGGCGGATTTATTCTTGACGGATATCCTAGGACAGAAGAGCAGCTTGACTCGATTGACTTCCACTATGATAGGATACTGTTCCTTGACACACCCATGGATTATATTATGGAGAGAGTAGAGGGCCGCCTCTGCCATCTTTCATCAGGCAGGATTTATCACAAAAAGTACAACCCACCAAAAGTTCCCGGGTTGGACGACGTCACAGGGGAAAAGCTTGTAAAACGAGAAGACGACCGGGTGGAGCTAATTAAAGGGCGCATCCTGGACTTTATTGAGAAAACAGGAAAGGTAATTGAAAAGGGAATTAAGACAAACAAGCTTGCGCGAATTGATGGAAGCCAGCCGAAAGACATGATATCTCAGATGATATTGGAGGAAGTTCGCAAAATAGAACCAGAGCAGCACAGGCCAAACACGACCCAGACCAAGTAAATATTTGGGTTCTGTGCGCCAGCCAGGCTCTATTTTTATTTATAGAGAGCACACAGGAGCAAGCAAATAATAGCTCCTGGCACTGTCAAAATGTTCTATCTGTTCTTGATTTGTGTGCAGTTCCTTTATCTTCTTTCTGCTTTTCTTAGAAGGCTGTATGCTGCGTTTTGTAAATTGGGCTACTTCGCGTCTAAACTGTAATTGTTTTTCTTGCACGCCATTTGTTTCCTACCCACTATTATACAATATGCTGAAATACGCAATGGCGTGCCTTGAATAAGAAGAATCTGCAGGACAGCCGGCTTAAAATATGCAGCTGCTTTATGCTCTGTCTAGTAGCACTCTATCCCTTTAGTGCAGAGCACACAGAAAGAACAGAGGCTCCTAATACTTACGAGGTAGAAAGGGGTAAAATAGCAAAGGATATGCCAAGTGGTCTGTAGGCTAATATTATTTACATTAAAGCAATTAAATAACTGCCTCTTTCTTTTTCTTCTGAAATATGCCTTTATATGTTAATAGTTTTACACTTCTGCACTAGAAATACTTTTCTTAATTTTCTTGGTTACTATGCTATAGCAGACTGCTTAGAGTAGAAGTTTTGTGGGAAAAGCAAAAAATGAGTATTAGCACTGCAGTGTTGTAAATATGAATTTGTGCTGTATCTAGTGTATAGATAATATGTGAGTGCATATTGTTAATGCAAGAGAGTTTTCTTCGTTCTATATGCATTGTATGCAGGAAACTTGAATACTGCAATAATAATTTCTTGCTTTACAGTAAATTATAAGCATCAATGAAAAGACCACAGGTAGACAAAACACATCTGCCACTCTGTTCTTTCATATTACTGCTTTTTGAAGGAGCAGCAGACTCTGTACCATTATACCTTGGATACAATAATTTTATTTTAAGTTTTCTTTCTATAATATTTAAAAGTATACCTTTCATTCAGTTCACATGCACACATTATATAAAATGAATGGGATTTCTTTTAGAAAATAAAACATATTTTACAACTAAAAGAATACAAATTATGCCCTAAACACTTGTCTTTATAAATAAAAGTGCATTTATCATATAGATTTCCAATATATATGACTACATCTTCGGGTCGAGTACACAGTAGTATTATGTAAAGTACTAAGACTAACAATGAAATCCATTGCACATCATAGTAGATAAAATAGAACAGGATAAACACTAGATTCAAATACTTTCTATATGTTTTATTGTTATTTGTCAATTATGCTAGAAGAAACTAAACATTTTCCATTGTAAATTCATATGAATTTCCATCAAAGTCAATAATCTTGACAAATTCTACAGGCTCGTCTAATAAAAGAACTATCTCGCTCGTCTGAACTGCTCTCAAAATTAAATTATTTAGAACGTACCCCTTTAAGACTTCATTATGCATGTAAAATGCACACACAGCAGTCTGTCTATTTCTTAAGTTGTTATTATATGCGGAAATAACATACTGGACATTTGCCTGCTCGCTCTCTGCAAAGTAAAACACGTGCTGTTCTTCGCTATTTTGGAAATTCACGTAGTCCCGGGTGCTGACTATATTTGGTCCAAGCTGCTGCAGATCTGTGATTTGAGTGTCCATATCAATATCTGTAAAGAATTGGATATTATCATTCGAAGAGTCTATATCGTCCAGTGTTTGGATGATTGAAAAGTCCATAAGCACATCATACCAAATTTTATATGTGACTGTGCTGTTTGAGAAATATTCAGCAAGCTCATTTCTGGGGACAGGGGTATTGACTTTTTGCATGGAGTAATCTATTGATCTAGGGGACGATACAATGAATAGCGTGGTGAATGTCCCAGTGAAAATGAGTGCGATCATTCCAACAACCATGAACAACTGATTCTGCAGATTCATTTTTTTTTGCAATACAAGAATTTAATTATAAATACCAATTAATTTTCGATCTAATTTTCGACGGATTTCAATTTATAGAATCACTAGTAAAAGACAAAGATAGGCACAAATAATTAAGAAATATTAATTGCATGCACACTTTGCGCATATATTAGCGAGAGTTAAAACTATAAAGTAAATGTAAGTGCAAATTATTTTTATGGTAAAAATAGAAATAGAAGAGGTCACTGAGGATAACATTAAATTCACACTAGAGGACTGCACACTCGGCATGGCAAATGCACTGAGGCGTGTGATAATGACAGAAATCCCTACTCTAGCCATAGACATTGTGCAGTTTGACAAAAATTATACGGTTATTCCAGAAGAAATGACGACAGACAGACTTGGACTAATTCCCATAGAAAGCAGCACGGTAGAAAAGTATCTGTATCCAAAAGACTGCAGCTGCAAAAGTTTCTGCAAAAACTGTTCTATCTCTATTGTACTCGATGTGAAGAATGACGGACCAACGACTTTGACAGTAACATCGAAGAGTCTGTTCATGGAAGGGGGCGTGTCTCTAAATATTGGTGACCCAAAGCACCCTTCCATTATAACCCGACTGGGCCACAAGCAGTCAATAAAGTGCAAATGCATTGCTGTAAAGGGGGTTGGAAAGAAGCATGCTAAGTGGTCTCCCGTGGCCACAGTTGCCTTTGGATACGATGAAGACAACTCCTTAAGACACACTAAATTCTGGCACGAAAAAGATATTAATAGTGAGTGGCCCAAGCCGTGGTTTGCTGGCGAGTCAGCCTCTGCGCAGTCAGAAACATACAAGCACAGCACAGAGCCAAAAAAGTTCCATTTTAATGTTGAAGTAATAAAAGGATCCTTGAAGCCAATGGAGGTGTTATCGCAGGCAGTGAAGGTGCTTAAGGACAAATTAAAACATGTAAGGGATGCGTTAGAAGAGATATAATAAATACTAATTATGCACAAAGCCAAATGCCATTAAGTTTACCATAAAGAGCCAAGGAAGCTTGTCTTCATTACGTAAGAATTAATTCATGCATCTGTATAGCTTGAATACAATAAAATTCAGCAAGAATGCAGAATATGACAGAAGCAATAATTTAGATAGAAAGGCCCAAAAATAAGATATACCAGAACACAGCCAGAATTATATGCATGTGTATAGATGCATGAGTGCCATGTGCCTTTCTATTTTTCCATTTTCGCCTTAAGAGGATTTTTTAATTGCAGCTTGTGTATGCAATAAGTCTCTCATTGGGTATTACATAGATCCTTTTAGGGGATTCTAGATTTCTTTAGCTCTACCCAAGATATTACTAAAACAAAGAGACTTTCTATACAGATAAAATCATCCATCTTTGATATAGATAAGTAGTAGATATTCCTTACACTATGATCATAGGTGTGTTTCCACTGAAATATTAGACTTACTCCTGAATTTATCACATGGCTTATTTCTTGCGGTATATTTATAACTATTTAAGCAGCTGCCGATGGACATGCTACTAAAATGTACATAGTAAAATAAAGAATGCAAGTATGCCACAGAGTGATAATAAAGACCAGCCACTCAATTACTGAGATATACATTGCTAATTCAGAGGAAGAATTTAACGTCCTTAAGGCCTTATATGTATGATACTTCTGTGCAGCATGCAAGGATGAGGTTTATCTTATAGATCAAATAGAGAAATTAGAGGACTTCTTGGTCTTCAATAAAAAGATTGCTGAGTTTTTTGGATTGCTGGATTGCTGGATGCACACTCTCCAAGGCATTTATGGAAAACTTTTCCAGTTTCTCCTTAAACTCAGAAGATTCTCAAGTGCACGCATGCAAGCATAAGATAAATATGCAGAGGCACCCAGGCCGCATAGCATAATAAGCTGCCCTGAGTGCACACTCAGTTTCTAGGAAAAGAGATCTCTGCAACGTAGAATATACAAGAGTATTTTTAAGTTACCGTCATGGGGGTTCACATAGAAAGACATATTTATTTGTCTAATTTGGCAACGTAATCCTTTGCCATCTCCAATACCTTCTCTTCTCTCTCTTTTGTTCCGTACTCTTTCTCGAATTTGAGGTACATCTTAAAGAGACTCTTAATGGCCTCCTCTGCTAGGTCTGTTGAGTGCACTGATTTATGAAGAACATTTCTAGTGTACGCGATATCTGCGCTCTTCTCAATGCTTCCCATTTCAAGCGTGATATACTTAATAACCCACTCTTCCTTGCTCTTGTTCTGAATTCCAGCTATCTGCTTCTCAATTGCAGACCGCCCTTCAACCTTTGAGAGACGGTAGAGTGTCTCAATGTAGCAAACATCCACAGACTTTCTATCTGCTTGCTTCATCTCTGCATGGGCAAGTATTTCTGGTATGCTTCTGATCTGGTCAAGGCTCTTCTCCATATTAGCATAATTAATCAGCTCTTTGTATCCGAATGGAGACTCGCTTCTTTCCTTTATGTACCGCAGGCAGAGGTGCTTGTATAAATCTCTGTTCTTTCCGGATCTTACTGTGTCTATTGATTGCTTGAGGAAAACACTTCCATCTCTTCGCACGCCTTCCTCCAACGGCTCTAAGTACTCTGGCTTAATGGGGGCATTAACCTCTCCAAGGAGTGCTACGTATACAAGACAGATCTGCTTCTTGGAGTTAAGTGACTGCAGGTAGTTGATTGCCTTGTTGTATATCCTGAGAAGGCCTTCTGGCTGCATGTTCTGCATGCGCTTTTTCCATGGCTCAATTCCATCCTTGCTGTTGAATAGCTCCATCTTAAGATCTTCATCTTCTTCTGAGCTTTCCTCTTCAGTCTCTTCGTCTTCTTCTTCGTTGTACACTAGTGGCCCATCTTCTGCAGTGCAGTCCAGAACGTGCTGTGTTTCTTCTGCAGGAGCAGCTTCAATTGTATTCAGTACTTCGTACTTCTTGATGGAGCCCTCTACTTTCCCAGCCTCATAGTCAATGTCAAAGAGAACAATTCGCACTCTCTGGCCGACGTGCACAAGGGTTGCCCAGTCCTGGACAAATCTGCTGCTGATTTCACCTATCTGGATACGTGCTGACAGATGTGGTGCAATCGTGGCGAATGCTCCGTATTTGTATATGTGTGTTATAACACCTGTTGCAACATCTCCATTTTTGAACTTTTGAATATTTTTCATCTTTATGGCTTCTTCTTTTACGCGCAGTGCTTCAAGCTCTTCTGGTGTCCTTGGCTTCTTCTTCTCCTTGGTCTTCTTGATATTTTCTTTCTCGGAGTTTTCTTTGTTTTCTTTATTCTCCTTGCGCTTCTTTGGGTTTAAGAACTCTTCCTTAGTAATTGCAGATCCTCTAAGGTTCATGCCCTCCTCCTTTGGAAGCTTTCTTACCTTAATATACTTAATTGCGCCTATATCAGAGTCTTCATCTCCGCTCATGCGCCCAACAGAAATGCAGGCACCTCCAAATGTTTCGCACACCAAAAACACAGGCGTAACTCGCTTGACAATGCCTACAACACAGGAGCCCACCTTCAGTGGAAGTTCTGGCTTAGGGGCCTTTATAAGTGCGTTCTTTGCTGAAACCACAACAGAATACCCATTTACCATGTACACGCACACCTGGATCCTTTCCCCAATCTCAAAAGATGGCTTTGACCCTTTCCTGGCGATGTCAGAGTAGTGCTCTTCGTACATAACAGCAAGCAAACCTGTCTCCAGACGAATTGTTGAAAGACCGGATGGCCTAATGTCTTCTGCCTCTCCCATAAATACCTGCCCAACTAAATCTGGGGAGGGAAGGCTCTTATGTATCTCCTGGGCGTACTCTTCAATTGGCACTGCGTGTATCAGGGTTTTATCCTCTGAGACAAAGACAATAATTGACGTCTGCTCGTCATCCTCAGATAATTCTTCCTTGCTTTCAACTATCATGCTGCCTATGGACATTCCATCTGCAGTGTACGAGTAGTGCATGCTTGTGTATTTTGGCCGAATATCCCCAAGAACATATTTTGGTCTACCCGTAATATTAGTCCGCACTATAATACCAGGCGATATAGTAGCCCTCTCTCCAACGTATATCTCTCTGTCTAGCTCGTCAGTAAGCATATACGTAGAAGGCGTGACTGCAGTGACTTGGAACGTACCCAGTTCACCCTCTGAGTATTTCTTGCTTGTCTTTAATAAGGCTGTCTTTCCAGGCATACCCAGTGAGACTGTGTATCCTACTTCTTCTTCTCCTTCAATTATACCAGTGACAATTGAGCTGGCCTTGAGTGTCTTCTGTGTGAATATTGTGCACTCGTATCCTGAGTCAGTTGCCCCTTGGACAAGTAGCTCAACATAAATATCTTTCTTAAATTCTTTAACCATTTTCTTTGGGAGTGTTTGGTTGCTGCCTTCAATGTCATTCTCAAGTCCTCTTTTTAAGACAACCCCCAGACGGCCATTTGGTAGCTTGAACCTAATTGAGTCTTCTCTCTCCATGTAGAATGCCCCTAAGACATGTGTCCCATGGGGGTACACTACATCCTGAGTCTCTTTCTTCTCTTTTTTAACTGCTCTCTGTCCGAATAGTATTTTTGCCATGTAAATTTTTTAACATTCAGTTATTTAAATAGTTCCCAGAAAATTCTAAATTTTTTAATATGTCGTGTTCCCCAAAGGATAATGGCCACTGTGTCCCTTTGTATGACGAGTTTCAAAAAGGCGATGATATTTGGGTGTTTTTTCTTGCCAATAATCCAATTGCATGCAGTGTTCTCATTGTATGTGGATTTTTATCATCTCTATATATGATTTTCTGCATAATTGAGTCATGCGCAATGGGCCATAAATTCAAAGAAAGCACAAGTAAAGATAGTTTGAAGAGCAAGCTAATTAGGTGCCTAGCACAGCAGAAGAAGAAAAAGAAGGAGGAAGCTAAAAAACCTGTTAGACTCATTAATTATACAGGCCTAAAGAGTATAGCCAAACCAGAAGAAGTGCAGCCATTATTACAGGAAGAAGTACAGCCACTGTTACAAGAAGAAGTACAGCCATCATTACAAGAAGAAACACAGTCACCATTACAGGAAGAAGATATTCAAAGAAATAGGGCGGCAACAACACCCCCTCTCTCTCCTATAGAGGAAAATGCATACCTTGAAGAAGTAGACTCAAAAAATATAGAAAGACGCAGATCTATGACAGTCCCTGTAGTAAGGATATCTGCACCCCCTCAAAGTGACCTGTTTAATAGTGATAGAATAATTGAGGATACTTCATCAGAACAAAGTAATGCATCAGAGCATGATGATACACCAAATGAAATAAGCCCGGTGATAGATAGATCGAATGAAGTAAATCTAAGAGTGCAAAGAGAGGATTCAACATCTGTTGCATTGGAATTCAACTCAAATCAAGAAATTGAAATGATAGAACTGCCAAGAAAACCAGTAATCCCAAATTATGACTTCAATGAGGTTGAAATACAAGCTATTGCAGATGAGCACCAGAAGCTGCAGGAAGTGGATATCTTGATATACAGAATAATATATAAGATAAGTCCTTTCTGGAATCTAGTCATACACAGGGTAGGCATGAATTGCATACTTATTGTATTCTTCATATGGTCATACTATATTCTACCAGTATGGCTAATTAGCAAGGAAATATATGTTGAAAGAAATGACGGGGCATATATCCCAGAGACAGCATTAGATCTTTTTTTCCAGGAAAGAATGAAGGCAAGACTAGATCTAGATGAAGCACGTATTAAAGAAATCTCAACCAGAGAGCTAGTCAAGAAGATGAAGAGTTTTAGAGAAAAGTCCGAAACATACGAGATATTTAGGCATATAATTAGAAATAAGATAAAAGAACCAGTGCCTTTGGTAAAGTCAGTTGAATGGCTGAAACAGAACTTCCCAGATATCACAAGATACGATAATGTATACGAAAGAATTATGGCAAGAATTCAGAACTTTAAAAAAATCTTCCCAGGCCACAAAATACCAGATGGATTTGAGGCCTTTACTAAATAACCTGATATAACCTGAATCTCAGCAGTAGATCCCAAACAAATACATATTGTATTATATGGATACTAAAATGCACCTATTATTTGCATAAATTAGAAATTGCAGCTGGGAATATAATCAGAACCAAAAACACAAATCTCAGAACCATAGAGGCAGGCTTACAGTAAAAATCACAGACAGAGATATTTGATGAAAATAAAAGTCATTTACTACATACAACTCCTACTTACTACTGTATAGCGCCCTTAAGACACTTATTTATCCTTTCAGAAGCTCTTTATTGTTAGCCTAGTAGTGCACACTTTTAAAGTGAATATTCCATGCATTAAAAGGGACAAGAATTACATCTACTTATTTCCCATTATTTTCCCATGGGACAGATATTCCAAACCTGAAATAAACTCGAAAATATGCATTTATAACTGAAATAACACAAAGATGTCACAATAATCACATTAAATCTGTTAGAACCTGAAATAACCATAAATCGCACAATATATTCTTGGTCTCATGAAATATAATAAAGTGCATATTTATTGGAACAAACTCACAAACCATAAAATACCTCCCTCCCAGAGCATGTACTCCCATACCCAGATATTCCTGAAATATTCTATTTAAGCTTCCTTTCCTTCAACTCCTGCACCTTTCTGTGCGCATATTCCTGGAATTCATTCGTATCTGCATGCTCCACCAATAAGGATGCTATATACTCAGGATCTATCCCATCTACCGCACTATCCTGGCACCTTCCTAATACTTCCTCTATTATTCCGTCTACCCTGTTAATTATCCCAGGCGTACAAGGTACTGCCCTGCCAGCTGTTTCAATAATCTGCTTAATAGCAGTACTAGCAAGTGCACCATCACCTCTATGCACACCCACAACGCACTTATTCTCCAGGTGATCAAAAGTACTGTCTGTCTTATAGGTTTCATCCTGGTACGCATTAGAATAAGCAGATGCACAGTTTAATTCCAGTGCACACCAGACATGCATATCCCGGTTATAATAGTACACACCCCCATCCTCATACAGAACCACAAGAAAGTACGTTTCATCCAGAAGAACATTCACCACAGCAGAGTGCATCAAGATAGAGCCATCCAAGGCACTCCCTGTAGACAAATCTATCACCTTAAAGGACCCAAAGGAGACAACAAGAACTAAGCCATTTTTAACCCCCAAAGACACAACTTCAGAGAAGCACATGGCAGGCACCAGAAGCACTCCCTTCTGCAGGTCATAAACCCAGACAATAGACATCTGCTTATTTATCCCTTCCCGGGCTACCACAAGAATAGACATATCTGCGGCTATTCCGGATATCTTGTGGCCCTCAAGTGTAAACCACTCTCTACTGTCTTTCCTTATAATTACTGTTGTCCTGTCTGATTTTGCAGTTATTTCGTACCTGCCTGTTTTTGTTTCAGTTTCGATTCTTGCCACGGGAGTATCTTGGGTGACTGCTTCCTCCTTCTTTGTCTCCATAAAGAGAACCACTTTGTGGCCATGCACTGCCCCAAATTCATCTGGCCCATCTAATGGTTTAATAAGACGAGGTACTATTTTTCTTTTTTCTTGCTCTACTACTACTTTATTCTCCTTCGCAGGGAAGCCATCAGGAGACGGGAACTTACTTGGCTCCTGCAAGAATTCCTTGGTGTAAGGCAGGGACTTAGTCCTTTCCACAGTGGGTGCCACCTGGCTCCCTAGGTCACTCCCGAATGACAGCACAAAAACAGAGCCATCATAAGAGCACCCATATAAAGACCTTCCATCAGACGACCACCTTAGGTCTAAGATAGGCTGCTCAGATACTTCAGTCAGCAAGATGAGTGGCTTAGCAGCAGATGACACCCAAATAGCAATACTTCTGTCCTGTGAGCCAGTCGCAATTACGTAAGAAACAGTCTCATCCACCTGCCAGAGCCAAGGATTGAAGGCAACTGTTTCCACAGGGGCCGTGTGCCCAATTAAAGTATATGCGCGTGCTAGTGCAGCAGACAGTAAAGAGACAGCATCTTGTTTTTCAAAGAATGATAGCCCGCAGGCAACGTACTTTCCATCTGGACTCCAGCTCATTCTCCCAAAGAATGACTCAGTCTGCGTCCCTTTAAAGGGCTTCTTGGAAGAAGACACTTTCTTCCATGATTTATCGTATATAAACACCTCTCCTTCATCACCGTATGTGGAAATGTATTCTGCGCCAGGACTAAATTCAACGCCCTTGCAGCCCTTCTCGTGCTTCTCCAGGCGGGTTACAATATTATACGTAGTTCTATCATAAATTATCACTGACCCATCATATCCACCTGTCACTAAGTGCTTATTAGACCACGCCAAACTAGACACGTCAGACTTATGGTTATTCAGTCTCTTCTTTATGTACAAAGCAGTACTGCCTTCTTTTTCCATTAGACCCCATATAATTACACTCCCATCATCTGATGCACTTGCCAGTAGATTTCCATCTGGTGAGAATCTAACACACAGAACTGCACCTCCGTGTTTAACAAAAGATCCTTCTTCATGGCTTTCTTCTTGCGTTATTTTCCAAATCTTCACAGAACCATCTTGTCCCCCTGTAGCCAAAGACCCATCACTATTTGGTCTTATGTCTATGCTAAAAATAGGGCACTTCTTCTTATTCAGCACATGCGAAATACTAGTCAAGAAAACTTTCATTAAAAAATAATCATGGTTGAATGTAATGTATGCAAATTGCCAACGAAGGAAATAGACAATGGATATGTGTGCAATAATGGCCACATAACCAGACACCTTAAGGAAGTGGATGAAGAAGTGGATTGGTCGCAAAAAATAAAGGCAGTTAAAAGGAAGGAAAGGTTCAAACTAGACGAAGTCATACAACTATTCACAGCACGCGAACTATGCGCATACCTAGGGGTAAAGTACTTGCACGACCTACTGAAGGAATATGAAATTCCATCTTCTGTTTTCTCCAGGTACAAAGAACTCTACTACGCATTTACAACAGTAATTTCCAGTAAGCCAGAATTCATGCTAAACACAGAGTACAGAAGAATAACAGAAATATTCATCTTCCTAGTGAAAAGAGAGACAGAAGAGAAGAAAGGCAAATTATATACAATACTGGATTTCATCAGAAAATTAGATTCATCAGACTGTCTCTTCAAATATTACACAAGAGCCAGAACGGCAGTGCGCATTAAGTACTTGCGAGTGGTCCCAAAATACAGCATCAGCAAGATAACAGGAGAAGGTGTCATAAGACTACTGCAAGATGCATTCCCAGATAAAAAAGAATATCAAATAGGAGTAATGGGCTTATTAACGGAAAGTGCCTTAAAGAAGATATGTCTGCAGTTAGGGATAACCCCAACACAGGAACTTACAACAGGATACCAGCACTTCCTTGGGACCCTGGAATTAATTCAGTTTGTGCAGAACCGTAAGAAATTCTACTTCAGTGAGTCCATAATTGCATCGTACATATATATGTACTATGAAGCCAGGTGTGAACTGTCTTGTGTAAAGGGGTATGTGCATGTATTGGAAGTGCCCCAGGACCTGGGTGGGAAGAAGATCATGCAAGACTTCTTTTCCCGAGAGAATAATATTTCTACGTTTAAGCAGTTAAATGTGTATATGAATATATTGGAGCACTATAATGGAAGTAGAGAGCCTGTCTTCAATCCTGTTGAATTTCCAGCACCAGAATATGGCAGAGGTGCAATAAGCAATGAAGTACAGCACAAAGCAACACTAAGGATATTTGATCAAATATCCAGTGTAATTGGTCATTCTAGTTCGTATATGATAGAATTGCAGGTGAAATTATTATGTGCATACGGGAGGATCTTAAGAAGATTCACTGCAGTGGAAACAAAAGCCAAGAAGACTAAGAAGAAGTACAGGTCAGTCAGGGGGTAATTTAGTTTGTAGTTTTTTATGGTTAGAGAGAAGTATTTTGGTTTTTGTGATTATACGTGAGTATTTTTGTTTTCAGGTTAGAAAGGGTATTTGTAGTTAGTGAGCGTCTTTGTAGTATTTTGTGATTAGTGAGAAGTATTTTTGGTTTTGTGATTAGAAAGAAGTGTTTTGGTTATGAAATATGCATGACTTAACCCACTCTCTACTAAAATTATCAAGAATTAGCCCAGTCTCTACTAAAATTACCAAGAATTAACCTACTATACTGTAACCCGAAATCATTATATATTCATTAATAAATAATAATAAAAATATTTATGTACACGCACGCACCCATAGAATACGAAATAAACCAAATAGAACTAGCAGAAGTAGCAAATGAAATAATAACCAGAATAAAATACGAAATAAAAAGGAATACACTACTACCAGATACAATTGCACATAATATACAGGTGGACCTAGATAGGTTCATACAGTGTATAATAGTACCCAAGTACATATCACACAGTATAAGTGATGTACAGTTAAATGAAGACGTAATGCATAAGCTAAAGAATATTATTCAGTTCAACATGGAAAGGGGTAATATATACCATATAATACAGCAGGAGATAAATAATCCAGAAATAAATAATCAGAAGAAAGTGGAAGATGCATTATATGCGTGCATATACACGGCTATACAGAATGTAGAAGGAGTAAGACTAATTGGTAGGTCAGTGTATACGTATATGGGTATGCTTAGGTGGGCCACTGTGATACTTATGGTGTGCATGCTAGTGACAAAGGTAGTGCAAATACGAAGCAGCCTGGAGTACATAAGATAATATATGATATATGGGATACTGTTATAATTAGTCATACACTGTTGTATTTATAGTAGTACGTTATAATTGTGACTAACTATAATATTATACTTGGGATACTGCTGTAATTCGGGTTATATTCTGTTCTATTTAGGTTATACTTTGGGATATACTATTGTAATTAGTCGTATACTGTTGTATTTGTGACTAACTATAAGATTATATACGGGATATATACGGGCTATATAGTGTAACTATGTGGTATGAAGTATTTTGGGAATATCTCATTATAAATAAATGGCTTAAAGGGTATCTGGTTATTAATTAGCAAAAAAACGCTTCCAGTCGGATTCGAACCAACGACCTTTCGGTTAACAGCCGAACGCGATAACCAGCTACGCCATGGAAGCCCTACTTTCTGGCTGCCAAGCATATTCTTGTTAGTTCGGGTATTAGTGTATAGTTTAGGAATACGTAAGGTTATTTCTGAAAATTAGCTAAAATATATTCAGTATATGACTGTATATAATCTAGTGAAGCAAGAACAATTTAATAAATATAATTGTGATAAAAATAACCGTATATACCTGTATATAATTAGATAGAACTTTCTTACGCCAGGAAGGCTCTTTGTCTTTTTTGTCTTCTTGTCTTTTTCCTTCTCGTTTGTCTTTCTGTCTTTGTAAAGAATTTTCTGAAATTTCCCAGCATGCATAAAGGTGTTAATTACTAGTAGAACAGAACATTCAATAAATATAGACTAGTTAACCGTATAAATCTATATTTAACCGTATTTAACTTTATATCCGTATTTAACAGTATAAATACCAATAAATACCACTAAATACCAATAAATAACGGTATTTTTTTAATGAAAGGTATATTTATTGAATAAGATCCTGTCAGAGAGGATACCTATAAGACTCTACTGTACAAGGAAAGCAAATCAAGTCAACATAATTAACCGTATAATAGTATAATAGTATAATAAAAACCAAACATTTTTCAAATTCCATTTATTCTAGTGCACGCACGTATGCATAAATATGCCAAAAATAAACAGAATTCCTGCAGATATGCAATAGCCATATATGTAGATATGCATCTCTACTAATGGCTACAACTGAAAAGGATCATATAGTGATCCAATTTGACCTGACTTATCTGCTAGTCTATCACATGATGCTTGGCTTACATCTGCCCGCAACTTGTTGCCTGATGGCAAGGCATTTGCTGTGGGCAAGACATTTGCTGTGGGCAAGACATTTGCTGTCCACATGGCATTTTCTGTGGGCAACTTGTTGTCTGGTTGCAGTTCACTTGTTGTGCACATGGCATTTTCTGTGGGCAGCTTGCTGTCTGATTGCAAGCCATCTGTTGTCCGCAAGCTCCTCCTACTGCTGGCATTTGGCACCCGCATACTACTGCGCCTATGAATATAATAACTGATACTAATACACTTGTTGCTCTCATTGTTATTCTTTAATATTCACTTCGTATATATACATTTTCATTCTATTTTTATCAATTTTCTGTGACTGGATAGTCATTTTTATTTGTCCATCCATTTCCTCATCAGTCTATTGTATGGTGCATTTCCATCTTTTATTTTTTTTTGGTTTTTATTGGTGCATTTTGGTCCTGTACCGTAAGACAATGATTTTAGGTAAAATTGGAGAGGGTTATTGGTTTATTAAGGAAATAGGGGAGATTAGGGGTAGATAGCGGTAGATTAGGGTATATTTGGGTGAATTATGGTTAAACTGTGGTATATACTGCTAAATAGGGTTACTTCACCAGGTGCCTTAAATATAACCACTTTTAACAACCTTTAATAATAAAATAACGGCTTTTTATCATATAACAATAAATACCCATAAATAACCAATTTATTCATATCCCCATATACTATATACCTATACATTACACACCACAACGAGTATAAGTACTGCCAGCAGAAATATTCCACCTGCTAGCTTTAGCTTAGGATAATAATCCTCTAAGAACATTACATTTACATAACCTGTTAGTATATACGGGTTTAATTGCAGTATAATTATCTTTAAGTGCTCACTTATTGTCTGCACTTCTTCTTCTGTGTTCTTGGTATCTGAGTTCTTAATTGTATCCACAATAGCAGGCAGTGATACATCCTTCTTCCCACTTGTATTCTTTATATTCCTTACGGCACGCTTAAATTCCTTGCACATCCTGTCTTGTATATTAGTGATTTCTTCTTTGTTAATATATATGGTAGAGAGTAATAGGTCTTTGTTATTTTCAATTGTATCCCAGGCTGTATTAATTAGCTTCTGTTTATTAGTTGTGCCTGCTTGTATTTTGTCTTTTATATCTGACACTAAAACCCTTGCGAATTCATTTAATTTATCTGGGTTTATTGTTAGGTCTAAGACAGTTGAAGGTGCTTCCTTTGTACACTCTGATGAATAGTCACTTTCTGATGCCGAATCATTATCACTCTTATGCTCACCCATAAGGAGAAAAATAACTTATAGTTTAAGTAGTTTTATATAAGGGGCAGACATAAAACTGTAATAAACTGATCAATCAATTAGTCATAATGATAAATAGGAGAAGGCCCCTAATTATATGGATATACAGGCAAGGAATATGACTATTTCGTGGTTATATTTAGGGTGTATTTATACAGGCAGTAATGCAATTATTCTGTGAGTGTAATTAGACAGACTATAATTAGGGTGCTTAGATAGGTTATTTTAGGGTGTATTTAGATATGCAGTAATACGGTTATTTTCCTTGTTATATTTGGGTTATATTTAGTGTGCAGTGATTTGTTTGTTTTATATACATGCCTAGGTGTCTTCTACTATGGCGTATATAAATAAGCCATAAATAAGCTAAATATACAACAATCCTATTTATATCTCTACAAGAATACTTTCTTCCTCCCTCACTCTTTTTTCCTCTCACTCTTTTTTCCTCTCACTCTTTTTCTCTTTCTCTTTTTCTCTCCTAGAGTAGTAGTGCTTCTTCTTGACAAAAAATTTATGCGACAATGCGCCATGTGGGAGGATGCCAAGGAGAGAAATTCTTGCAAGGAACTACTTTCATCACACTCAGTTAATTTGACGAGTGGCATAAAATATGGTACTGACTTCCTGGCATATTTAGGTGAGCCTGGGTGTGTCCATTCTTCCTTCACTCTTAATGCAAATGCAAGAATGAACTTTCAAACACTCGCTGCCTTAGTGCGTGTTTCGTCCTCCACAAAAAAGGACTTTGTGGCCTGCACCCCAGGCCAGAACATACTTTTCACACGTTTCACACGGTTCTTCCTATAGACTGCAAATATTCCAAAAAGACCTGTAGGAGGCCCAATGGGCCTGTGCGTGTATAAAGGGATAAATAAAAAGATAAAACAAATATAAGACAGTATCAGGTGGGATAGAACAAGTATAAATAATCTGGGGAAGTAAAGGGCATGAAACAGCAGATCTACATAGCAGGAGTGATTCTTGCAATCTTACAATGCTATTATGCACAAGACGTAGAACACGATGAAGGACTGTACGTCACAGCAGCTAACCCAGTTACACCACCCTTGAAGATTACCGAGTCTAAAAAAAAAAAGAATGTGCGTTTAGATAACCATGGATACATTGGGGCTTTACTGCAGAAGGCAGGCGTATTCTTAAGGAACACGCTTCTGTCTAGTTTTAGCCCAATCACTAGCAAGGCATATTCAAAAGACTATCCAGAGTACACTCCTTTGGTTGATAAAAAATCTTCCTCAACTAACAAACAAATAAAGAACTCTGAAAATCCTCTTAAATCCACTGATAAATTACTAGTTCCTTCTAAACCTAAGCAAACAATTAAACCTATTGGAAAGGTGACAGAGACGCACCCTCCCTTTATTCCTTACACTGGGGACGTGGCTGAAGTTGTCTACAGCCCGAATGCCCCCAGGAAAATGTCCAGCCTGGAGGATGGATTTTATAAGAATTTCAAGGCGCACATTGAAGAAATCCCTGACAAAGAGAGATTTGTCAAGAAAGGCATACAGAATGCAAAGAAGAATCTTATGCAGCAAGCAAGACTAGCCAGGGCATATACATCTGCGGCTGCTGAGGAAACCATGGGTGTACTGGATAATACAATGCGTTCTTCTTCTTTGCTCTCTGATCTTATAAAGAAGGGGCTGGTTACACCTGCCTCTGCTGCTCAAGAACTTGCAGATTCTGTGAAGGATGTGGCTACAGATTATCTGGATGCTAGTTCCAGAAATATGAAAGGTGCAGCCAACTACCTTCTTCATACATCTGTGGGTTCTGTTGACGGGATAATTGATAACCTGAAGTATTCGCCATCTGCCATGAGTAGTTTGATTAGCTCTTATAAAAGTCTTCTTACAAATCCTAGGTTTAATCTGTCTGTGCACATTCCCTCTTTAGCTGTCTCTTTGGAGATGGATATGTATAGACTGACTAAATTTGTGCACCCACCGCCTTTTGTTTCAATGGGATACATTTTAGCGGAAATGAATAAGAATGTTAATTCCTTAAAGGGAGAGTGGGATATAATCGAAAGATCATTATTTGGCCACGAAAATGATTACTTCAGGAAGAAGTTCCTGGAGATGACAAAGGACCTTGCCACAGTATTAGACTCTTTGTCTGTACGCTTGGGGAAAGACATAAAATTAAGTATGCCTGGGGTAGATGCGCTTAGGTTCAGATTTAAAACCATTTTGGACGAAATTAAAAAGAAGAACCACTTGACCATGTCGGGTGAACTGGACCTGAAGGAACTTCTGGATTATAGTATGGGGATATCCTCGCAGCTGCATGATATTGATAGGGCTATACTTAGTCTAGGAGAGCCCAGTCAGCATACATCTGGGCACTACCTGGCAGAACGAGGAAATCCTTTGAAGGATCTTACTGGCTTTGATAATATAAGAAGAAGGATCCTTAGTGAGCAAGATGGTTCGTATAAATTAAGAAAATTATAAGACCATATGCTAGTTATTAGATAATCATACTCAGACAGTATAATAAAAACACCTAATTAGAATATACTCTAGTGCGCCTTTACTTGATTTTTGCAGGATAAACTGTTATGTGTTCAGCCTAAAGACTGGCACATTTCATAATCTTGGTTTATTTTTATTACCACGGGACAAGATACATGTAATTGAAACCTTCCATTATTAGGAATTAAAGGGCCATAATCTGATTGGTCTAAATAGGATTTAGAAGCAGAAAATATTTCATTTAAATTAGGGTTATTCGGGTTATTTCAATGGCCTGGTGTGCATCACTAAAAATCCCAGCTGTTTTTTCTTCTTGAAATATTATATCTTGCCAGACTAACTAAAAAAATTATTTCTTGTCCTCTATTTATAAATTTATATTCAAGTTAAAAATATTTATTGAATATTCTGTCCTACTAGTAATTAAAATCTCTAAGAATACTGGGAAATTTCAGAAAAATCTTTACAAAGACAAAAAAGACAAACGAGAAGAAAAAAGATGAGGAGACAAAAAAGTCTTCCAACGTGTGAAAATTCTATCTAATTGCAGAAGTAAATTTGTACAAAGCCAACATAAGATACTTCACTATATTAGAGTTATATTTTGTGGAGATCTGTTTATATCTGTATTTTTTTAATGAAAGATATATTTGAATAAGATCTTGTTAGAGAGGATGCCTATAAAACTCTACTGATCAAAGAGAAAAAATAACAACATCCATGTTTTCCCTTACTGGACTATAATCCTTCTGCCTCTTCAACTGCTGGGTATATCTGTATTTTGGTTACTAGTTTATAGTAAGACCATCAGAATCACTTATTTCTGATACTTTTGCAGTTTTAAGGAAGTTTTAATGGAATTATCATTTTATCACAGATAGTTTATACATCAGCAGCTAGCTCTTCTAGCATGATGCAAAGTAGTATTCTAAATCAGGTAAAAAGAAAATCTTTTTCTGTTTTATATTTAATGAAACACCGGATAATTA